CGCAGGATCAAGGTAAGCAAAGGGCATCACCTGGGCATATATATATGCGTTCCAAAGACAACCTAAATGGTACCAACTTCCCCTAAAAAGACAAATACCAGATTTTAGACTTACTGTATTCCATGCTATGAACCTTACTTAGATTTACGATATTTACATATGATGACCTGAGTATTCATAGCGATTATTCTAATACTAAACAGCCTCGGAGATCGAGTACTACTTTAGTATCGTCATGATTGAGTTAACTTTTGGCCTCGGTAAGTTGTCACGACATCTTGATTTGGGACTTCAGGAAGGGGCATTTAGGGTCTGTACTTAAGTAGAATGAAGGAATGCACTACGAAAAAGAAAACAACTGTAATATATATTTTCCTTTTTCACAACACCCTTCCAAAACACCACGATGGTGGTGTTAGCAGTAATCGAGAGAAAGTCTCCACAAGTTGGCAGACCTATATTCTGTGGTTTATCTTCTAGATGAATGACAGAGTGGGCTTCATACCGAATATCAGCAGACCTCTTGTGTTCAGTGATGAGGTCATAAAGTGTTGATTCTTCTAAAACTAGTGGCCACGACCACATCTTATAAAATTGCTGGCACATAAGGAAACAAGAGTTACTAGCACATGAGAGACCAGCGACCTTCGTCCAAAGAACAATAGCTCGTGGCGGCCCCTTCTTCCGATGTAGTAAATTTGAGTCCTCCTGAAGTCTTTGCCACGAGAAAGACCGGATTTTGCTAACATGTCACAAGGCAAGACACAACTGCCTGGTTCAAAAGAGCCAGATTTACAGGACTTGGCCCGGGGCTGTACCACAGCATCGAAAACTGTTGGCACGGATTGTATATGAATGGCTGTTTATTGGTCAGAAGCTTCCACTTTCAATGGAAGGCGGAAATTTACCTTGTTCTGTTTACACGCATCTTCCCTGTGGTATAAATGTTCGGGCAAGATCCGTATCAAAGCCCAGTCAAGCGACCGTTTCTTGTCTTTGGAAAATTCAAGATGTCGATTTATTCCACTGCCAGCGACGACATGACCGCCTTGAACACCGCCGTCAAGATACCTGGTGCATCTGGAACTGACTCGAAAAAGAGAGGGAGTCTAACACAGACTGTGCCATTTGTTGCGGCTGATAGTCAGTCTGCTCACTGGCTGCATCATGTAATATAGAAATCTTGGAAATGCCTAAGATCGGCTCGGCTCTCGTCGATCAACCCTTCTGATAGGTTAAGTTCGTGATCTTCCTCGGGTTTCAGACCATTAATTTGCTTCAAATTCTTTTTTTGAAGGAAGCAAAAGCGAGTGTGTTGGAGTTGGTGGTTGATAAAGTCCTGGTCATCTGCAATCCTGTCCCGTAAATCCGAGGTAGACGGCTGCTCAACTCGGAGGAGCCTTTCGGCTTTTCTGTCATTGAATGACACATTGTGAGATTGTCAGTGATCAGAAGCTGAATGTCAGAATGTCAGTATAAAGAGAGCATGGTATCTGCGAGTGGGACACACCTTGAACTGCCCCTTCAATACCAGATAGGTTTGCTCGATGTTCATTAGGCGGATAGACGGAATAGGAAGATGTCAACCCAAAGATTTGCCATTCATAATCACCACAGAACTTGATCTGGACGAGCCCACCTAAAGTTGAGTTTCCAGCTGAGCTTGTAGCGGCCGTCTACGATCGTACGGTTGCGAAAGCAGGGAGGAAGAAGATTGTTCTCTACCTAGCTAAGCGGCCGACGGATGTACCGACGGACCGTCACATGACAGAGCTTCCCTCAATCCCGATACTGACACCGGGGGAGGAAGGCGATATCCGAGAGCAAGATGGTAGGGGCGGAATATGGTATTCGTCGGCCCTTCCCCACTCAAAACTGCCGGTCCAGGAGTTCCATCGGCCAGTGCGGGTGGCGATGCTCGGCGAGGGAGGAGTGGCCTCGCCGGGGCCTTGGAGGGTTCGGGTGGGCGAGGGGGGGACGGCCTCGCCAGAGGGGCGGGACACAACGTCCCTGGGCCACCACGGGGGGGCTCGACTAAATTCTCGTTAGCATCTGTGATCATAGACCTAAGCACTGAACTTACCCGCCGGAGCGGGAGCTTTCTCGCCCCAGGTGGCCACAGGGACGTTGCGGTGGGAGGGGTGGGGAGCGGGGAGGAAGACGCCCCACCGCCGGGGCCAAGGGCCGCGTGGCGGTCTATTGCAAGTCAGCATCGTTCGAGTCCAAGGTTGTCCGAGAAATGTTGTGTGTATTGATATGCATACCTTTTTCGAGCCGCTTGGCTGTTGGATGTATCGATCGCACGCTTTCTTTGCCAGAAACGAAAAGTCGCGGTTGGGTAACATGCACCTTTCGCTTATCATGAAAAGGACTTCCACTTCATTGATATTCTCTGAAAGTAGGATATCCTCAATGCGCTGGACTGGCGGCGTGAATGAACCTTTGGGCGATTCTAGGAGACCGACAATCAAAGTCACAGGGTTTTCCTTTGGCTCTCTTTCGGGGCCGTATCTCCAGCACCCGATCGAGTTCCAATGTCGAATGTCCGAAACTCTCAAGATCCTTTCGCAGATTGGTTGACGGAGCAACTCCTCGTCAATCAACTCCACAGAGATTCTGCGAAATTTCAGGCAATATATCGCGTAAATCTGCTTCGCCGCTTCATGCCAATTTGGTGGTAGTGAGCGCGCGCGGTATTTGAAGACCACGAGGATAGTTGGAACAGGAGTGGGCTCAATTCTCACGCGTGATTCTCTTCCTGTGACCAAAAGCTCGATGGGATCCTCGGTGATTCGCAGACACATGCATGAGGACCTCATCAGAGGCCCGCTTACTAAAGAACAGTCGTATGTTAGGAATGAGAGTGAAAATATGATATTGACTTACTCCTTCCGCCTTTCCTTCCAACAGACAAGGCCGATGAGGAATTCCACCACCAAGACAGTGACCGCGCCGCCTACGATCCAGTGCAAGGCTGTTTCGTCCAGTCCTTCACAGACGACGGTGGTGATTGTGGTGCTGTTACTGGCACCAGTGAAGTGGGGGCGGAGGGAGGGGAGTGGAGGAAGAAGAGAAGAAACCCATCGAGTGGGCGCTTGTTGATAGATCTCGCGTCTGACATAGAAGGAAGGTACGACTGGAGATGAAAGAGTGATGAAGGTGCGAATCCATGGTTTTACCTCCGACAAGGCATCTTCCTCTCTACAATCAAATCTACACTTTTAGTTTCTCTTTTTATATTACCGTTTTATAACTCGACTGAATACCGTCCGATCTATGGATATTATTTTATCCACAGGTCAAGTTTAGGATACTGATGAGACTGCTCCAACTCGAAGTTATCACTTTAACTATCGGTATATTAGACTCAACCAGTGACTCATTCTAAAGTTACGAAAGTTATCGATCATACCGACAGAGAAAGAGAGGTAGGCAGAGACCCGGAGAGAGAGAAAGAGAGCGAAACAATTTAGTACAATTTGATCATCCATCGTTGACGTGTCAAAACCAAGAAATAGTCACTTCACCGCAGTCTATAAAGAATCGCGCAGGCGCTGATGATACTTTTTCAAGAAAACTCGGAGTCTCCTGGTTCGCGATGGCTTGTTGCATCCATAAGTTTGATTGAAGCGATGGTTCCGGTATTTGTCCACTCCGACCTCTGTTGATAGCATAACTGGTTGCACCAGTTCAGCTGTGGTGCCTGATACAGCCGCAGTGGCTGTGAGATAACCCATTGATTCTCCAGCCGCTATTCTTGACGAAAGAGCCTCCGTCGTCGTCTCTGATTTGAGCACAAAGTTTGGTTGGAGTAGGGCATGACTGGTCTTCTCACCCACCCAGTCGGAGATTCCCGAGTTTAATGTGTGTACCGCCTTGTCAGCGGCAGCGATACGAGGGTGATCAGCCTGGAAGCTGGCAATGATTGCGGACGGTAGTTGGTCACTCGGGACTGAGTCCTTGAGTTTGACAAAAGCATCGAGCACAGCTCCCAGATTCTCGAGTCCCAGACCAACTCCGGCGGTGCAGACTTTGAGACACACCCCGATTGCGATGGCCTTGTCGTGACCTTCTGTGAACAGCGCGTTCAGCCGAGGATCTTTGGCGAGGCGAATCTTCGTCTCTCTCTTCAAGCGGTGTCGATCGACCACTTTAACACCAACCTGCCAAGCATTAACACTTGCAAGGGCGTAGAATGGCGGCATGGCTTTAGCAATGCAAGTGTTGATCAGACATCCAGTTGTGGCTGCCGCAAGTGCTAGGCGATTTGACAATATGGAGCGTGCAAGCTCATTGTTGGATAGACTTTGGGGGCGATCTCGAATATTTTTCTGGGTTCGAAGACCCAACACCTCGCCCCATTTCCTGATATCTTGTGACGATGAACCCATATCTTCAGGTCGGTGGAATTTTGATGTCTCTCAAATCCCGAATAGTCGTATTGTTGATCGCGAGAGCACCACGCATTTATAGATGTCGACAACTACGTGAAGGCTGAGTTACAACTTACCACACTGGGCGCGACTTCGTCACCCGGGCTTTACTGGGCACTTATCGCGCAAAAATCGTAAGTTGGAATACGAGATAAGATGAAATCGTCTTTAGAGGTCGAGATCTCGGGAATTTCCTTCATGCTCAAGTGCTCCTGAGCACAGCCTACTCGATGGTCAGCAGCCTTGGCATGCTCGGCGCGCCATGCACGTAAGATGACAACTGACACTTGCCGACCAATCAATAGCATTTATCTTGCTTCTGCAGCTCCCGAGGTCCGCAGGCTGCATGCATATTTGCATAGGCAGCACTCAATTGTGATTTAGCCTCACGGGTATCAATCCACCCAACGCGAGTCTGCCTCGTAAAGCTAGCGAAATCCGCCAAACTTTTGGGTTTGATCAAGTATACTTTCCATGGAAACAATCATGTTGGGAACCAAGTGAAATATGGAATTCACTAATAAAGTCACGTAGAAAAGTTGAGATATGATAGAAAACACGAAATATTTAGCACGATGCAGGCATTTCGTAATGAGCGAAATGTAGATCAGCATTCATATCCATCCCATTACTATCTGCTAGTGCTTTGAGTTGCTCTTCTGAAAGTAATCCCTCAAGGACAGTCCCTTCATCATTTGTTAGTGACCGATTACCCAGATGTCCAAAAATTTGCATTTTCCAAGATGGGGCAACCTTACCAAGAGTATTCTCTCTGCTGCGCCTCCACACTTGAACTTGATTTCTTAACAAGTCCTCAACTCGAGGGGAGAGTGGTGCCCCATGAGAGCAATGATTTGTCTGTGCTTCAATCGAAGAAAGGTGCTGTAGCATCTCTTTTGTGCAGGTATATTTCCCCAGCCATGCGTTCCGAACAATATCATCGAGGCTCTGGATCCCCGAGTTCATTTCAGGAAGAGCTAATACGCCATTCTCGATGGAAAGAACAGGAGACACCCCGTGTTCCATTTGAAAGATCAGCGAAGCCATTGCAAACATGTCTGTCGCTTCAGACAAACTCGCTGCTGGGCCATTCAAGGGAAGCGGTAAATCCGGGAAGACAAAATTAGGCTCGCCGCACGGGCTGGCAGCGCTAAAGTCACACAGTATCGCCCAGTCCTGGTCATCGAACAGGATATTGTCAATTCGCACGTCTGCATGTACAATTTTGAGGCTATGTAGGTGGCGCAGGGCGTCCGTGATACTGAAGTATAACTTGATCCGTTGAGGCTGTGAGAGGCTGATTTTAGGATCTGCAGCTCGGTACCTCCGGATATATATGCCCTCTGGTTGATCTGTGTCAATTGCGGCCGCAAGATTTGGATGAGGTCTACTTTGAAGTATTCGAAAGACAGTTCGTTCGTTTTTCAGCAGATTAGAGTGAAAGATGGTATCTGAAGCATAATTCCACTGGTCGCGCGGGGAGGCATCCGGACCAGGCCTTTCAAAGACCCGACTAGTTTTAAGAACAATGTTATCATTGACCTTATACACCTGACTAGAGGCCCCAACACCAATTATTTCAAGATAATGCTGAGGTACCAGGCGAACGGTATAGGTGTAGGTCTCGGTTATTGATGCACCTGCTGTGAGATCAGAGGACTCGATGTCCTTGGACTTGGGCGGTTCCATGAAATCTTTTCGATGAAAGTTATTTATTATGGGATGTACTCGTAGATAGGCAGGGGAAAGAAATTAAGATTGCTCAAGTTCGTTTCCAAGGTTTAGGTGTTTGATGATCAAATTGAGACGGTGAACATACCAAAAGTGCAATCGCAGTTGAGTGTTGGAAGCGACATGTGGAATATCACATGACATACCGCTTTCTAGTTTGCATCGAGTTTGCATTCATGTCACGTGGATCATAATTTCTGCCTCAGGCAAAAGTCTTCCAGTCCATAACGAAACACTTCGGATTTTCATTGATCAGTAGTGAATATTACTCTGTTGATACTTGTAGATGAATCTGGTCGTAGCTAAGTGATGTGAGTCAATGAGTATATAACTTCATTCCAATGAGCTATGTACATGTCTATTTCAACCAAGTCATGATAGTATTCATACTGGAGACGAATCGTGCCTGCAGCGATCAAGAAACCAAAAAAACAGAACTGCTATATCATAGATTGCACATGAGAAGTCGCTCTAAATAAACATTAATATGCAAAAATCATGTCATGTATCATGATTCATGAGTCAAAGATCGGCCCATAGGCCGGAATCCCCTGGGATTCAAATTCGTAAACGATTTTTTGGGTCATTGAAGGATTGCTGATGACGAAGACAGCCTCCGCTTCAAACTCCTTCACTTGCTGTCGCACCATGGGGAGCATATCGATACGACCATCAGTGGAGGTGTCCCAAATGATTGGGTCCGGGCCCATCTTGTGAACAAGATCAACGACGTCCTGTCCGTATGTCTTCACGGGAGTACGCGTCTGCCAAATGACCTTGATAGCGGGTCTGTTCTCGTCACCAAGGAAACCCAGACAGGGTCCGATTCCAGAACCGGTGGTGACAATGATGATACGGTTGAACAGACGCAGTCCGTAACCGACACCGCGCATCAGGGCTCCTCTCTTCCAGAGATGGGTTGGTGGGTTGGCAATTGTGTCGGCGGTCCAGTCTCCAGCCTTGGAGACGACAATAGACCAGCTTTTCAGGTTACTCTTGCCAGTTGGGTCTGGGTCAGGGAAACCCGCAAAACTGTGCCAGTCACGGAGAGGGTGCTTCGTGACTTGAACACCCTTAGCGAAACTGATGGCTGTGTGATTGAAGTGGAGTCGCACAGCGTGGGTGGAAAGAGGTTCAGCTGTCACGGGAACCTTGCGCAGCAGAAGCCATGGGTGTGCCACAGCGAGGACTGCTGCGATCAGGAGCCAGAATGCTGGCAGGTTGATGAGGAAGTGACCAAGAGTGTCTTTTTGCGCGGGGGCAACCTCGTGGGCAAAGACCATAACCAAGACAACGAAGAGTGCGAGAATCAACCAAGAGGTGAATCGGTGTGTGAACTCAAAGTAATCATGGAACTTTCGGCGGATTGCAGGGTGTGCAACAATCACCATGACCATGAGCAGCACCAAAATGATGTAGGCCAGAACAATAGGAGCCGCTGAGAATTGGATAGGCGTCAATGGACTGATAGGAGATGACGTCCATTTGGTTTTAGAAACCATGGCAACAAATCCAATGTACCAAATCAATGAGGCAACACCACAGCCACTGTGAACACCGCCGTAATGTGCTGCTTTGGCAGCTGTACGGCGCAGCCACAGCGGTGCAGACCTGGGAAGACAGCACACAATTCTATAGATGGCATTGACGACCATTGGGTGTCTAGCGAGACCACAAGCAACCAAGTTGACAGCTGTCGCATTCACTAGCGCCAAAAGTTGCCGATCAGAGATCATCACGTAGAGAAAACAGGCAAAATTTGCACAGAACACTGTAGTGAACAATCGTCGATACACAGTGAAGATGACATATCTGGCATGGGAGAATCGCTTGCGCTCAGGGTCCTCGGGCAAGGTGATTTGAGCTTCCACATCAAGGGTGTAGTTCCTCTTGTGACCCTTTGGCTTTCGGGCTGGAGCTCCTTTAGCAGGTTGATTTTGAGCGACCAGCGCTTTCTCCGGATCAGAGATAATGCCATGAGGCGGGTCTGCGATACAGACTACCTTTGCCGGTGGTGATGGCAAGGGCAATGAGCCGGCCTCTTCATGCTTCTCGTCCGCCATAGTTGACAGTTAGGGGAGGAAAAGAAGAAAAGTGAGGATGTAAGACTATCGCGCCGGCGCAGCTTCAAGTCTTTATTTTAGCGTTTTTGACATTTTCTCGACGTGGGGAAGAAGCCACAGAAAACCTAGTCCAATGGCGAGGAATCCTTCGGAAACTCCGCCGCGGGATTCCCATGGTTAGCGGCTTGCATTGCAAGGGCTGAACCCATGGCTGAGATGACTCCACGGTGGATATCAAATGCCTGCATGCATAAGAGCAGAGAACCGTAAGATCCAGACTAAGTGGCTTGCCAATGAGCTGCTGTGAGATGGGTCCTACCAACACACGGGATTGTTGACTAAAGTCCAGCTAAAGATCGACAATCGACCCCTCTCTGAAGATCTTTGCCAGCCATTGGCATTTGAGGTTATCTTGGAATTCGACCAGATTCGGAGTACCTCGGCCATAAATGATTGAGCCCGGCCAAGTCCCGGAAGTTGATAGGCGCCGCTTTGCACACCGACAATTACCTTGTACCATGGTGGATTCCCAGCGAGGTGGTATGGAACCCAAATTTTGAGTCCAGTGTGAATGAGGCAAGAATACAATCCCAAGCGGGATGCACGGGACAATCATCCGCCCGCCTTGCTTCGCGCATGCATGTGTTCCACACCGGCTACGTAGTACATTGTATGTTCCTTCGGGAGATCAAATTTCGAAAGTTCCAGGCGTCTGAATGCATTGTTGGTTGGGAAATTCCCGCAAACTTTCAATCTCGAGACAGGGCGGGGCGACTGACACTCCCCGGACAGCCAGATCGGAAATTATTTCACTGGGGAGCTCGGTTGTTCTGTTGAACTGAGGCTCCCGATGGAGTATAGCATTGTCGATCCAGTTCCCGATCCATAGCACGATGTGGATCGCTGTCACGAACTCAGGCCGCGTACAATAGTTTGGTGGGGTGGTGCGCTCGGCCCCCTTCACCGCTAGGTCGTGTAAGCTCGGCGATTCCCTGCATCATGCATGCATGACGATCCTGGTAGAGTGGACGGAGTGCATACAGTCCCATTGTGTGCATTGTTCAGCAGCTGAACGTGGCGAGCAGGGATGGGGGTGACTCGCGAAAACAAGGCCGCTTCCCGAACGCCATGCAAGGGCGGTGATTGGCTAGTTTCCAGAAGAGCCCCACTGGAACACAACCAGATTTCGCATGCTGCGTTACGGTTGCCAAACACGGTATTGTATGTAAAAAACGTAAATTTCGCAGCTCAAAGACTGTCAAGATCAACATTGGCAAACAGAAATGTGATATAATTATTAATACTATGCATCAAACAGTCAACGCTAAATTCAATATGGCACTGAATGCGCAATCTGAACTCAGAAATGGCAGATTCGTATGCCCAGTTAAAAAAACCCAGCTATGCTTCATGGATCACAATTGTGATTCAGCTTGATTCAGTGACGAATGAGCTGGCTGAGGCAATCTTCTTAGCTAGTGCCTTGGTTGGCTGAGAGCCAAGGAATTCGAAAGAAGTAAGGTCCGCACCGAGCTCGTGGGAGACCCAGTTTTGGACAGATGTTGCCTTGAGTGAATCAACTGTAAATTTTGTTAGCGAAAATTCATCGCAGAGTTTCGTAGATAACATACCACCCAGGGCAGACAAAGGCAAGTCAGGGTCAATGGCGTCAGGTGTAGTGGCCATTGCATCTGCCAAATATTCACACAGAGCGTCAATGACAATCTGCGTAGCGGTATCTAAGGAGTCGGCCTCCTTAAGTAAAGAACCGGTTGTGATCTTGGAAGAGTCACTGTCTTCCACAGAAACGCACAGACGGTGATCGAACTTGCGATCCAAAACCCACGCGGTAGATCCATTGCTACGAGAGAGGCTATCCGTCATACCGGCAATGATTTGGGATGGCAGAGAGAGCTTGCTGTTGATGATGACGCGCAGCAAGATCTGGATCTCATAGGTCATGATCTCAGTACCCTCAAGATGCTTGTAACGGCGACGGCGCTGCTCCTGGTCTTCGGCAATATCACTCATCCCACTGGCATCGGGAACAAGACCTATATTAATAGAATGACCAGGCAGGCCCTGGTTACGTCGCCACTCCATAAGAGCATCGATGAAGCCATTTCCAGCGGAGTAGTTAGCCTGACCCATGTTACCAATAACACTGGCCACCGAGGACAAAGCCACGAAGAAGCTCAAATCCTCCTTTTTGGAGAACAGGTTGTGCAAGTTCATTGTTCCACGGATCTTGGAATCAGTGGATTTAGTCCACTCTTCAAAAGTCATGTTCTCAAACATGGCATCCTGTAAGGAGTGTTTAGTAAGTGTAAAAAAGGGAAAGAGAGCGATGGGATAAATTACCTTCAGAACTGTGGTGCACTGAATCACACCGGCAACAGCCCAGTTCTTACTCCGGATCTTGTACGCAAGATGATCAATGTCTCCTTGCTGCGAGATGTCGCAACGGACAACATCGATCTGGCATCCTTGTTCGCGAAGGAGATCAAGCGCCACTTGCTGACTGGGATGCGCGCTACCAGATCTTCCGAGGAAAACCAGGTGTCGAGCTCCAGACTGCACCAGGGTATCAGCAAGTGCAAGACCCAGGTTTCCTAATCCACCGGCAAGGATGTAAGTGCTCTCAGCCGGCAAGCCGGCAAGATCAGGCAAAGGAAGTACAATGGGAACCTTTCCTGGAGCCTGCAAGTCAACGATGGCTCGAGTGTCGGTCTCCTTGCAATTTTTCATAGCATCCTGGATGCTAGAAACAGGGAACAAGGAATATGGCTCGACGCGATCCAGCATCCGGTTCTGCTTCATGAAGTCAATCACATGTCTGACCGAGGCATGGAGACTGCCGGGCTTCTCTGAGAATGTCTTTTGTAACTTGGGGGACGAGAAGGTACAACCACTGTCAATGAAAGATTCAGGTAGAGCACTCAGCTTCATGTCGCTTGACAAGTTGATGTACTGACCACCTTGAACCAAACACTTGGCGGCATTCCGGCCAGCATATCCACCCAAGAAGGAAATGCTGGCGTCAACTCCACATCCATTGGTAAGCCTAGACACACTTGTTTCTAGGCCACTGTGAATGCCAAGGATTCGATCTGTCAGCGAAGGGTAGCGTGAGCGAAGAGAGTCAGTCGCGACTTGAGAGTCGGTAGCCACGATGACTTGGATCTCCATCGCGAGAGAGTAATCAATCATAGCCCGAAGAGTCTGACTGGGTGACCCAACTAAAAGGACAGAGGAGCTTGAGCTCAGGCGGCCAATTTGCGTGATGATCTGATAAGCATTGAGGTACGCAAGGGGTGCTGAGATTGCTTGTGCGGGTTTAGTGTTGGCGGGAATTCTGATCGTATCACTTTCGAGGACGCGTAACGTGGTCGGCAGTCCAGCATCTGCGGAGGCCAATGTCAAGACCTTGTCGCCAACGGCTGAATCGCGAACACCCGATCCAATTCGAACAACTTGGGCCACAACTTCAAACATAGGAAGGGCTGTCTCGGGAGTTTTGCCCGACTCTCCTTGAACATCAAAGATGGTGGCCATCTCAACCTTCAGCTCGGTCTGTTCTGGCAGAAGGTGATCTTCAAGGGGCGCTTGCTCTTGCCAAATCGCATTTTCGGCATCTTCGATCTTCAACTGCAGTGGCCTTGAGTCTTCACTCAGCTCCGACAAGACAGGTCTTGGGCCTTCGATTAGAGTGTGCATAGCCTCATCGACCGCTGCGGTTTTGAAAACGCGTGGAACCAGAAGCTTTCCACTTGTCAGTCGGTATTCAAGGTCAGGCCGACGGGGGCTCTCCTGGGTGGTGAGCTGCATGACCTGCAGGATGCCGCATGCCAAGCCAAGGTGATCTTGCATATCCTCCACATCCGCCAGAAGATGAGGGATTGTGGTGTTGAATTGCTCATTTCGCAGGGTTCGCAGAAGACCGCCTGTGGCACCAGATTCAATGTTCTCGGCATCTCCCTTGCTCCAGCAGGGCGAGACCCAGAGGACATACTGGGCCTTGATGAGCTTTTGGAGGTGCTTGAGATCTTTCTCTGTCCACTTGGACACCCAGGGGCTTGCCAGATCAAGCAATGAGATCACAGTCTTGCCCTCCAATGATGAAACTTGGTCCAATCCAACAGAGATGAGTCGAACATCATGGGTAGCAAAAATCTTTTCAAGATGACCGAAGACAGCGTCAGAGTTGGCGGTGTCTGCTGGGTTCAACACATAGATTTCTCTGTCTGTGCTCCACGACACTGGAGTTCGGCGCATGACAATGTACTTGCGATCCTGGGTCACACTGTGGATTTCGAGACCCTCCAAAGCTTGCATCGCAGTGACCGCGGAGTTGAGATCTTCATCTGACACACGCACCGCAGCAAAGCCTCCGCTACCAACAATCTTCGGCAAAACCGACAGAATAGCCGAAGAAGCTTTCTCATTCCATGGGCTGAGCTCATCATCAATGATGACCAGGTCGTAGCTCTCTTCCGCAAGGGAAGAAGAGGGGAGTTTATCAAGTGCATCGAGAGGCGTAACACGGGCGCCCACGATTGCACTGTCCGATTCATCATCGGAACCGCATGGGGCGAGCGTAATCTTTCCTAGGCAAGGTCGGTTTCCGGCAGCAGGGGTCAAGCCTTCGAGGAGCTTGGACCAAGAGCTTAATTCACTGGAAGTAGCGATCAAAGCAGTAGCATCACCGCATGTGTGACACAAGCGTTTGATCCAGTCAGTCAGCTGCAGACTGCTGGCCTCCACTGCAATCTTCTTTACTCCGTCATGAATCTCGCCAGTGACAAGGGGAGATTCCAAGTGCTCATCCCAAACGATCGACGAGTATCGGCTTTGGGATGCCGACTCTTCCTGCTTTTGCGTGTTGTTGTAGGGAAGACGACCGAGATGCACACCGTCGAATGAGATCCAGGGCTGCGACCAGGAAGGATCAGAGGCGACACAGTGCGACCTTGATTTTCCATCCTTCCATTTGGTCTCAGTGTGGACGACGAATGGCTCGCCTGTTTGAGGTTGGAAGTTGTTGGAGATATAGATGTTGTCAACTCCAACGGGGATGTTTGCGTCGTTGCTTTCAAGTGCTTCGGAGCAAGACAGTAGAGCGGACTGGAATAGGCAATCCAAAGTCGTGGGATGAATGAAACTTGGGGTCTCCTTCTCATAAGGCATCCCAGACTTGGTGTCGGTCACAACTCCAGAAAGCCAGATACGAGGCTCCGACTCGCAGAAAGAAACACCTGTGATGGTCTTGAAGGCAGGTCCCACGGTAAGTCCTCCCGTAACTGACAGCCACTCATATGCTTTTCGGATATCAGCCATCTTCGCATTTGTTTGTGTGTTCTTGATGCGCTCTAGTGACGCCGACCAGTTTGCCTTGCGCTCGTCATCCGCCTCGTTCTCGTATCGGGTAGCAAATGAGCCCTTCGCGTGTTGGATCCAGCCACCTCCAGATGGAAGAGAGAAGATGCCGAATTGGTACCAGCCTGGCAGGCCTGGGTGGGGTGACAGCTGGAGAAGGGTTTCCAGGCCTCTCTCTTCCTCCGGAATCACCACTCCGCGCATGAACTGAACATCCTGGAACTCAATACCCTTGATAGCCTGGCCATCAGCTAATTGACGCGCTGCCTCGGTAGCCATAACCAGCATTCCTGCGGCCGGGAAGACGATGGAACCAGCAACGACGTGATCAACAAGCCATGGGTTCTCTGAGACCCGGAGGAAGTTTCTCCAGCGTGGTTCCAGCGCGTTCTGGTAGTCAACAGCCGCTCCCAAAATATCGTGACGGGAATGCTTGCGCTGTCTCAACTGAGCTGTCTCGAGTGGTTCGTGCCAGAAGGAAGTCTGGTGGTTCCAGGGATAAGAAGGTAGGTCGGCAAGCATTGCGGGCTTTGTGTTGTCCACACCAGCGTTAACAACAGAGAGGTCAACTGGGTGTCCTGTGCTCCACAGTGATCCAGCAGTTTCGAGGGCGGTTCTCAACGCATGCTGGTTGCGCGAAACCAGTGAGTGGTAAGGGAGAATGGCCATGTTCTTGTTGACCGCTTGCAAGATCTGGTTGACGGGACCCTTCAAAACAGCATGGGGACCGATTTCGATCAAGCTGGTCCACTTGATGGGAACAGGACGGCGACGACCTTTGGTGGACTCGCTCAGTTTGGCCAATTGGGAAACCGCGGCAGTGAACTCAACGGAGCTCACCATGTTTCGCACCCAGTATGCACCACCCAGCTCGGGCCCATGAACACGCTCCTTGGTGACAGATGAAAGCATGGGAATCGAGTCACCGTATCGGTCTTCAGGCTTGATGCAGTTGATGGCATTTCCAACAACCTCCACAAGTTCCTCCATGTGAGGAGAATGGTAAGCTGTGTCAATACGGAGTTTGCGAGCAAAGTGACCATCTTGCTGCAGCCTCTTTTCAAGAAGATCAACTTGGTCAACATCTCCAGAGAGGGTTGTGCTTGAGGGGCTGTTGACACAGGCTACCACGACTGAACGAGGAGGCAACTCGTCAAGATACTTCTGGGCTTCCGTGGAAGAAATTCCAGTGGCGAGCATACCACCTCTCTTGTCACTCTCAGCAATTTGCTGGGAGAAGAAACCTCGGAACCATGCTACTCGCAAGGCATCGGCATGGGAAAGATATCCTGCAGCGTATGCACCAGCTATGTGATGTGTTAGCTTGAGGCCCAGACAGCACCAGTTTTGAAAGGACTGGAGGCAGAAGAAGACGGGGAATTCTTACCAATTTCACCGCTAGAGTGACCGACAACTGCGTTGGGATAAACAGACCAGCTGGACAAGAGATCAACCAAAGCAATTTGAAGTGCACAAGTGATGGGCTGACTGCGGTCAGGTCGGTTGATGCGACTTTCCTTGGCATCAAGCTTGATCTCTTCCACAATGTCGAAGGGGCACCCAAGGGATGACAGTATGTCTTGAGATCGTGCCATGCTTTCACGGAAGGTGTTGATCCGCAACAACTCGCGGCCCATTCCCGCCCACTGGCCACCTTGGCCAGTAAAGACGAAAGCAATCCGTGTGAGAGCCTTACGACTAGCCCGTGCGAATTTGGGAAGTCCCTTGGCCAAGGTGCCCTGCAACTGGTCTTGGGAGTTAGCAACCGCAAAACTACGGAAGCCCAACTGCGAGCGTCGGGTCAGCATGGTGTGAGCCAGATCATTCAGAGGAATTTCCAGGTCGGCCTGCTTTTGCCGAAGAAGGAATTCACTCCAGTTGCCACCAAGACGCTCAATGCCGGCTTGATCGAAGGTAGAGAATACCACCACCCGAGGGGCAGGCTCTCTGTCTTCAACATTGTCCTGGAAAGCCTCCTTGGTGCTTTCCAGAATAATGTGTGCGTTTGATCCACCAAATCCAAATGAGTTGATGCTGGCTCGTTGAGGCAAATGCTCTGGCCAGGGCATTGTCTTATCACTCAGGCGTATACGCCACTCATCGGTGCGAATCTTGGGGTTGATGTTTTTGAAACCAGCATTTGGCACCAACGTAGCCTTCTCCAAGCACAGAACTACCTTGATCAAACTCGCCACTCCTGCGGCACCTTCAGTGTGACCAAGGTTTGTTTTCACGGAGCCCACATACACCGACTCATCTTCTGGTGTACGTGCCTCACCCAAGGTCATTCCGACTGCTGAAAGCTCAATAGGGTCCTGTTATTCAATATTAAAATCAACCTTGCTCTTTAAGGATCAAATTGCTCCACTTACACCGACTGGTGTACCAGTTCCGTGGGCTTCAAAGTACGCAGTGTCTCTCATTGAGATCCCATGGCGTTCATACGTCGAGCGAATGAGATTCGCCTGAGACGTAGGACTGGGCAAGGTGATTCCAGGGGTCCGGCCATCCTGGTTGATTCCAGTGCCGCGGATGACGGCTCTGATGTTGTCTCCGTCGGCCAGCGCGGCGCTCAGGGGCTTTAGGAGCACAGCTCCGATACCCTCTCCTCGGCCATAGCCGTTAGCTGATTCGTCAAATGAATGACTCGTTCCATCTGGGCTCATCATGTGCATATAGGAGAGTCTCTGTGTAAAATTAGGGTGTAAGATGAGACTGGCTCCAGTGACCATGGCCTGGGTGATTTTGTTAGTTTGTTTGAACGCGTCCTTATTTATCTAAGTACTCACCATTCCGCACTCGCCAGAGCGCAAAGCCTGAGCTGCCAGATGAACTGCCGTCAGACTAGAAGAACACGCTGTATCCATCATGATACTCGGACCCTGGAGGTCAAAGAACCACGACAAGCGGTTCGCCAACATAGTCCGCCCGTTTCCGGTAGCAGAATTATGGGGCATATCATAGATATCTCTGGTCGATAATAGCTCATAATCGTTAGTCATGGAGCCAGAGTAAACTGCTGTATTACTGCCAGGGAGTGAATCTATCGGAATTCCACCTGTATTGCATACTCTTAGTCAAGTGTTTTCGGAGCACTCCATGTCATCATCAGCATACCGTTTTCAAAGGTTTCATATGCGACCTCGAGCAACAATCTCTGAGCTGGGTCCATACCCGCCGCCTCTTTGGCGGTGATAGAAAAGAAAGGGGCATCAAAGCGGGATGGGTCTTCCTGAATAAAGAAGCCGCTATCATGATTAATCTACCAGTATTGTCAGCTCTGTCTTCACGGAACAGACGCGTACAAACAAGGTCCAGGGGTAAATCATACCGCGCCTTTGCGTTCATGGCTGGGATGGTGCCAAGCCGAGGCTTGATATCGGCTCTCCGGGATGGTTCCATGCCCGGTGCGTCCGTCACATAGCATCTGCCAGAAGTTCTCGACGGAGTTTGCTCCTCCGGAGAACCGGCATCCCATTCCAATGACCGCGATCCCCTCCATGTCTGTGGATTCCGACTTGTTATTGGGTCGGCCAGGCATCGTGTAAGAGCAGTGTTTCGAAAAAGGGTTTGGCTGTCAAACTTGCAAATGCGGGAGACAGTGGGGGTATTATACTCTCCGGTCCGTGATCTGGGCTGACTCGGTAAGTCTCCATCATGATCTCAGCCCGAGGATCCAGCTGGGAGTCTTCGAAGCTAGTGCCAGACCTCCGGGTTGCCGCGCATAGTCGTATGCATGTATTAGTGGCTAACGAACGAGCGGAGGTATGGTGTGGGGCATGGTCATTTATGTACAATCAACAACCACTTCCTTTAGGTTCACTGGACTATTCCTTTTGATAACAAGAATCCTTGATTCGAATGGCTATGTACTCGTATGCCTCGGGATCTGTGATCTCGCCGATATCACTTGCTGCATTGGCAGACAGCAGGAATCCCTTCCATCATTCCATTACATACACTATGTCTGCTATCTGCGGCTAAGTGAGAAACCATCATGTGGATACCTGCAGGTCGTCGAACCAGATCGCCAAGGCCATGTGCTAAGACAATTAAAAAAAAGTATTCTGATCAATTGAATTTACAAACGAGCAGGATGAAGTGCAAGTGTGGAAGTATAGCGAAGTGAGGGAAGGATGTATTGTGACGCGATTGATACGAGGCCTCGTCACGGTATTTCCGACTGCTCATCGTGCAGGTAATGATCTGCATGCTCCATCGGCCCGCATAAGCCCACACTCAATTGTGGTTCACCCCTAAGCTTACCTTGGCGGCCGACGATCCTAGCCATGGTTGAAGAATTTTTTCTCTGGTGGCTGTTCAGGGGCTGTTCGCCATTCCGCAGTGGGGACTTGGAAAACACATGCACCAAAGTCGCTTCTCAACCCTTGTTTGAGACACTGAGATCTGACGGCAAACGATTTGCTTGCTGGTAAAATAAAAAAAAGACAAATAATGCTGTATTCGGAGTGTGTAAACGCATTGCAGCACATGGACCCTGTACATCCTCTGCCGTTTCTCCTTACATTCCACTCCCGACTACATGCAAACAACGTACGGGTAGAATTGAAATTTGCTGGGCAAGATTATGACCAAGGCCGCTTGTTGCATACTCGTTATAGTAGGATCATTCGGTTGGGATGAAAAAAAGGTCAACCAAGCAAAAGCAAAAGCCAAACCGCGTTAGAGTTGCATCTACGGAGTACTCCGTACATAATCCGGATTACCGGAGACCCATTTCAAGACCAGATCTTCTCAGCGTGACTCGACCTACTCGTACAAGTGCTCGTAGAACTTGGCCCCGGGAGGCTGGCACACGGGGTTCTCACCTTGTGCTAAATGTCCCCACCCCCCACATCGATCACCGAGATTCTGCCAGCATCTCGAATATCGAGCTCAGTGGGACAATTGATTGGCTGTTGAGTTATGGAAAACACCGCCGGCCTGCATATGAGTTCACGAAATGATTTGAACTCGCCCCAATCATAGTCCGGCATAAAGGCTACAGTACACACTACTCGCACACGTACGAGTACTCGTACAACAGCATTCCGCCCTTTTTCTATCTACGAGTGGGATACGAAGGCCCTAAAATATTTCCTGGACACATAAGTTTACTCCTAGTAATTTGCCATTTAAACGATTTCCAGCTCACATGTTCCCCGCCTCACTTTCACTGTTTCCCGTCACCCACGTCACAGAAGCCGACCAAAATGCCCACCCAAAGCGCGATTGTCGCCCAAGAGCCGGGTCGTGCTACCCTGGAACAAAATGTCCCACTTCCTGAGCTGCCAGATGACTATATTCTGGTCAAAACAAAAGCCGGTAATTGAGCCTCGCATCTTTTTTCAAATCCCCCTATCCCATCTTCGGTGGAACTGAAAGAAAACAGTGGCTTTGAACCCCACGGATTGGCGTCACATCGACTTCGTCCCTTGTAAAGGGGCTATCGTGGGCTGCGACTATTCTGGAATAGTGGAGGCCGTTGGCTCCCGTGTCAAAAAGTCCTTCAAGAAAGGGGATCGCGTTGCTGGATTTGTGCACGGCAGCGATGTGGTCCGTCCCAATGGAGGTGCATTCGCCGAATACATTATTGCCAAAGGTGACTTGCAAATTTTGATCCCTGAATCCTTGAGCTTCGAGGCGGCCGCCACCTTTGGTGTTGGCCTGACTACTGTTGGTCAAAATCTGTACCAGATCATGGAATTTCCTTTCCCAGGTGAATCGGAAGAAGAGTCCGAAGGCATCAACATCCTAATTTACGGCGGAGCCACGGCCACTGGAACCCTTGCTATTCAACTTGCCAAACTCTCCGGCCTGCGGGTTGTGACAACATGCTCCGAGGCCAATCGGAACCTGATGTTTGAGCTCGGCGCAGACGCCGTCTTCGATTACCGCGATCCAGAAGTCGGCGATCAAATCAGGGAAAATACTGACGATGCACTTGAGTTTGTGTTGGACACTATATCTACCCCACAGTCTGCCGCCATTTGCAGCGCTGCCATCTCATCGGCAGGTGGGTCCTACAACGCGCTACTGGATGTCAAATCTGCCAGAGACGATGTTGACTCGCATGTTTCGATGGCATACGACATCCTTGGAGAGCCTTACCGCATGGGCACACAAGATATTACACCCGACCAAAGCAATCTTGAATTCGGTATCAAATGGTGGGACATGGCTCAAAAGCTGCTGGAGGAGCGCCGGATCCTTCCCCATCCTTTCCAGGAGAAGAGTGGTGGTTTGGCTGGTGCACTGGCCGGGCTTCAGCTCCTTCGAGAAGGTAAAGTCCGGGCCAGTAAATTAGTTTACTCTGTCGATGGATCCGATTAGAGACCAGAAATATCAAGAAAACATTTTGACATTCTCGATTGACCGCGTTAAGGTTCAATAGATCGCCGATCTCCGAAGCTGTACGGGGCATGGTTTAACCTTATTTAGTAACAGTATTGACAGAAAGGGTCAAAGGAGCGAAGGAACTAATAAGCCCACAGAACTTGGTAAATCAAGTTTTGGATGCCTGGAAATACAATATTGTACGAGCTCGGAAATTTAGAAGTAGTGCTGACTTCAGAAAGTACTCCAAACCTTGGGATTGATTGTAGTCTATTGGATTGACTATGTGACTCCGGCGGAATTCTGCATAGGTAATCTGGATATCTGTACTCCGTAGCCACAATCCTTGGATCCCGGAGGATCATATGAGCACAACGATGCCCACGGGACCGTTTGTCTTTCGTTTTGCATCTATATTTATCAAATCGAGTGGCATTGATACTTCCTCTTACGTGAATATGTTAGCAGTCTGTGCGTGTTTTGATTCTGGGACGTTGTAGTGTAACATACCGACTCGACCCTTACCGGCCCGGTGATGGGGTTGGGCCTATGATAACATGTTAGAGCGATCCGATGTTTCTCACGGAAAAGAGAGATATCAGTCTTACCCTCTTGGAGGACGAGAGGGGCGGGTCTGTGGTGTAGTGTCGGGCAAATACCGACTGGTGGTGGAGGGGCCAGCACCCCTCAACAGTGTGCCCGAAGGCACGACAAAAAGTACAATACAGCTGCAAACAATTAGCATGAAGCTCACCATGTCGTCACCCTGGATCCAAGCAGTGTGCTCTCGAGGTCCGACAGCATGCAGAATAGGGACCTCTGAATGCTCCGAGGGATGGACAACAGAAACAGGACATGGATTTCTTGACTTACATTTGTACGTACGTTTTCCGAAATCTTGTAGGAGACTTAAAGAAGAGGGAATTTGATGTGGGAAGTGGGCCGTAAGACAGCGGATGAGCGCCGCTTGGTGCTCTATGCGCCAGCAATGGTCAACCGTATGGCCAGTTCCATGGCAATGACTACAGAACAGCTGCACATAATTAGCATGAAGTTCACCATGATAGATTTCTTGCCTTACACAGCCGCTTGGTGCTGGAAATGCCAGCAGTTCTCCACAGTATAGCCAAAGTCATAGCAAAATCTATAAGAAAGCTGTATACCGTGACCCTTTGAACCCCAGCGGATAGGCTTGTTCTGTGACAGCATGTTAGACCGATCTGATGTTTCTCATAGAAAAGAGAGGCATCAAGCTTACCTTTTTGGAGGGAGCGGGTGGCGCCGCAGTCAGCCCACGGATGAGCTCAATTTGATGCCCTACACGCCAGCACTGACTTATGACGTGTCCGCCCTGGCGACAGTGCGTGCAAAAGAGCTGCAAACAATTAGCATGAAGCTCACTGTGATGGATTTATTGACTAACACGGCCGGTTGGTGCTGAATATGCCAGCAGTTTTCCGCAGTATAGCCAAGACCATAGCAAAATGTACAAGAGAGCTATATACCTCAACCCTTCGAGCCCCGGTAGGTGAGCCCTTTCTGTGATAGCATATTAGACCGATCTGATGTTTCTCATGGAAAAGAGAGGTATCAATCTTACCTTCTTGGCGACCGGGGGGTCCATTATCCAGCGCCGAGCAAACACACTCTGGTGGGCGAGGTGCCAACACGTCTCTACAGTATGTCCTCCAGTGCGACAGTACGTGCACCACAGCTGTAAACAATTAGCATGAAGCTCACCATGATAGATTTCTTGACTTACGCGGGCTGGGCGGGAATCCATTTCAACTTGTAGAAAGCCTAAGGAAGAGGAAGTTCGACGTGGAAGATGGACTGGAGGTCAAATGACGGATGAGGGCTGTTTGGTGCTCTATGCGCCAACAGATCTCAACAGTATGGCCATTTCCATGGCAAAAGGTGCAAAACAACTGCAAACAATTAGCATGAGGCTCACCATATCGTCACCTTGTATCCAAGCAGTCTGGTCTGGGGATCCGACAGCATGTAGAATAGAGACCTTGGATTTCTTGACTTACATGGGGGTGCCGGGAGTCTGCCATTCTGACTTGTAGGCAGTCTTTCAAACATTTTTATAGGAGATTTAAGAAAGAGGAAAGTCGACGTGGGAAGTGGGTTAGCGCCGCTTGCTGCCCTATACGCCAGCACTGACTGATAACGTGTCCATCTTCGCGACAGTGCGTACAATAGAGCTGCAAACAATTAGCATGAAGCTTATCATGTCGTCACCTTGTATCCAAACAGTGTGGTCTGGGGATCCGACAGCATGCAGAATAGGGACCTCGGAATGCTCCGGGGGACGGACAACAGAAACAGGACATGGATTTCTTGACTTACATTTCGACAGGGGTTTTCGGACATCTTCGCTTGCAGACAGTCTTTCAGACATTTTTGTGGAAAGCTTAAGGAAGAGGAAAGTGTTCGTGGCAGAGTTGTTTTCTTTTTGGTGTCGCGTTCTAACGTGGAGGATGGGCTTGGGGAAGAGGAAAGTCTACGCGGCAGATTTGTTTACTTTTTGGTGTCGCGTTCCTTCCAACAAACCCCAGTTGCTCCTTCCAACTTTAGAAGGATATATTGGCTCCGTGGACATTGAGGCCTCTACCCTAGGCTAACGCCGGCATTGCAAGATTGTCCGCTCAAGGCCATTGAGCATTGCAGTAGCTATGAATTCGTATGGCTAATCTCATAGATGCTTTCTATGATACCGGTGAGGTTCCTGGTCAAACTCAAGAACCTAGATTCTGGTCGGATCACTAAGCTAGGACTGATCCCGATTGTCAGCCAGCGTCCATCAACACCAACTCCATTTAGACCAAGAAAGCCTTACAAGAATATATTGATTGTACTATATATCCAACTGTAGATCCACTGGTGGAACTGACAGTCATGTACATGGGAATGCTGTTTGCTTCCACTGTTATTGCCAGAGATGGAAGGTGCTTCCATGGATTTCAATCATTGAGTTTCTCATCGAGATGGTCTGATCTGTATTTTATTTGCAACCAAAACTTGATCCTTCAATCAACTCGGATTCCATGATTCTGAAGTTGATAAATTGAAGTATTGACTACGTGACTGTTAATCAAGTTTCTTCAAAACTGCACTTTTCCGAATCAATCATCATGAGATCAATTAATTTAATTTGGTATGGATCATACATATGGAACATGTATTAGATCACAAAGTATAAATTCTATAGTGTTGATCTGGAGTAGTTGCTTTGAATATAAAAGAGGGAAGGATCCTAGTAAGTAATTATGCTAACCTTGACTACTTTTTTTTTAAACCATCCCCCAATAATTGGCAGATCTGAGGTTCGGAGTTCGAATGGTGCGAGACGATCAAGGGAAGTAATTGAAGTGGAGATCACGATTTTGGACCAAAATCGTCAAAGGATGGTAGCTTGGACTAGAGTCCCATGTGCCTTGATCGAGGGGAACTGGACGCCCAATGCCGTACCAAGATTAGACGGTCCAGTTTTGCGTGATTTGCTGTACACAGCAACAGCACCCGATCTGCAGCGTCTCTACCACTTTGCGAACACGGCTGCCGACATTCAAAATGTGTTACCAGTCCTGGATCTTGCAAACAACCCCCCGTCATTGCCAGACATATATTATACAGCCATTAAACGTGCTTCTGATCTTGGAACCGCATCACCAACCCAGCTCCAGATATCAAGGATAGCTGGATTGCCAAGGCCAAAGGATATGCCGACAGCAGCCCCAGGCGCTCCTCCCTGATAAGCTGGCCATTCATGTACATGATGACTTCCATCAAATCGTGGACCTGAGTACTGGGCAAGCACCCACCTGGACAGATATAGTCCAAGGATTTGAGGTTTTGATACTCGGCTCTTTCTATGCGTTTTTCTATCTTGTTTTCTTTTTTTTCTTGCTCTTTGCTTTGACCACAAGGCATTCATATCTCTTACAGAACTCTCGGTTATTTAGAACACGTAAATTCTTTGCCTCGGGAACGAGACTCTGCATCTTTGTAGAGTATGGAATCACACCTGACATTCGTTGGTCATGGTCATGTCACATAATATGGGAGCAACCTTGAAATATCCGTGATGTGACAAATTGCTAGATAATGCAAACGCAAACGGAGTATCCAAAAATATTTCAAGGTTCATGTTTGATGCCGCTACTCCCTCAATCGATCGTTTTTCTTGTCTTCCTCTTTGGCTGTAGCCTCAATGAATACCACTCATGCCTTTGTGTTCAAGCCTTTGATTCCTCACTTGATTCCACGGCTCGAGCAACTGAAGCTCTCCTTGTGTCGTCACGACGGGAACGCCCTATACCAATCATCTGACCCATCTCTCTCCAGAATCCAGTGGGAGGCTCAAGGAAGCTGTCCTCATAGGCATCAATCAAAGGTCGTTCCCAAACCAGATCTGCTTCATGAGACTTGACGAACTTGGTTCTCTTGATTACCTTCCAGATGATGAAGAGAGGGGGGATGACAATCTGCATGGTGTAGCTAGACCAGAAGGTGGACACGTCCCATGGCTTGTACGATGGGTAGCCGTAGACGCAAGTGACAATGATCATCCAGACCAATGACATCCACGCACAATGAGGCTGAAGCCAGCCGAAATAGGAGAATGATCGGCGGTCGACACCCTGCACTTTGCAAGCGCGGTGGAAGCAGATGTATGTGATGGTGATGACGATGTAATTGATGAGACCTGAAGGAACTGTTAGCTGTTTTTTTCTGTGTGAATTGTGGTTCCCGATTCCATTGATCTTACCTCCAGCAGTAACAAGACTGGCGAACCAGGTGATGACGACGGATGAGCTACTCGAACACTGCAAGAATGAGAGCATTGGGAAAATCATCACGACACCGAAGCAATAGATGGGAACACCTTGGCGTGTTGTATAGGAGAGAACCCGAGGAGCTCTGCCTTCCAGAGCCAAACCATACAGAGTGCGAATGGCGCAGTAGGTGTATGTATTGCCAGCGGAGAAGATAGAAGTCAGCAGCAACCTGCCGAGATGTTAGTTGTTAGTCTAGACGTGGATATGGAGAGATCCATACGCATTAATGATCGAAGGGAAGATCGAAACTCCGAGGTTGCGCATCCCAATAACATACGGGGATGCAGAAGCCGAGGTACCATCCGATTTGCCAGTTACCACAGCAGCCAGTGCAGGATCCCGGGCGGAGCAGACAATACCGACGGCCAGAGCACCACCGATGAAGAAAAGACCAAATCGGATGTAGACCGTTTTGAAGGCATTCTTGATATAAATGCGGGGACGCTTGGCTTCCGCAGCGACCATCGAAATGTACTCGGGGCCAACGACAGCAAAGCAGGCTGACCACAAAGAGCCCAGGAAACCTTCAAATCGGCCGAGAGCACCGCCATCCAGGTATTCCATAAAAGATCCCGGGTTGTTCCAGTGGCGGAATCCGTAGGCATCATGGGCCGGGTTTCCACCGACCATTGTGATGAAGGTGAAAAAGAACAAGGAGAAGATCAGGATAACCTTTCCACCGGACAGCCAGAATTCTGCTTCGCCATAGGCTTTCACGGCCAAGACGTTTAGAGAGCTGGAAAAAGGTTAGCATTCGGCGAGGTCAAACGAGGACGAACTATTCCATCTAGGGGACCGAGATCAGTGAAGTTGGAGAGTGATACCCATAGATGATAATGACTGCAGCACAGATACCGGCCACCGGACCAGGTTCAGTGACCGTTTCGGACCAGAATGATAGTACCAGCGTGAAAGCTGAAATTTCAAACGGAATCAGAAGAGCCTCGTAGAAGCTATCCAAGGCGTTAGTATATAAAAAGGGAGTTGTTTTGGCATCGCCAAGAAAACCGACAAAAAGTTCCATCCAACCATAAATCCAAGAGCATCGTCTACCCATTTTCCTGCCAGGCGGATGAATCCACCACTGACGGGGAATGCAGTAGTCATCTCAGCCAGGCAGTTGTTTACCATGGCCAAGAAGATACTTTGGACAGTAAAGGCAATGAACAAACTACCGGGTCCACCGTGGTACAGACCTGTACCAATACTCACGAACAAGGCTGTACCAATGGATCCACCGATAGCAATAAGCTGGATCTGACGGTTGCCGAGATGACGTTGCAAGTTATCGGCATTGGATGCCATCACACCTTCCTGTACATCTCGGGGTCCCTCAGACTTGAGTCCCAGCGTGTGCAGCACACCGCCGCTGGTTTCTTTGTCCTTGTCACTCATGATAGCCATTTTGTTGTCATTCCTGTCTTGTTTTTAGTTGCAAATATGGCTGTGGTGTGAGCAAGTGGGAAGTTGCGAGAGGGTGCACGGAAAGTGAGGTCGCACGCAGTTGCACGGAGATTTGAATGTCGCTTATCGGTCTGTGTGTTGGTGCATGGAGTTTCTAGAAGTTGGCGATGGCTTGGGGCTTCGGCTACAGCGAGATGTTGCGCAACGGGTTGTGTCGCAAAGGGAGTGTCGCAACGGGAATATGGTCTGGGTGTGGGCAGCGAGGTTGTTGCAATGGATGTTGAGCGGGCGCAATCGTATAGCTGAAGAGGATAGGAGTTGGGGCCTTGGACAAGAGATCCAGTAGCAGTGAGTACGTTGCAGAATCACGGAGATAACTTTGAGTGGTCAAATTTGGTGGAAATGAAAACAGAGTGTAAGGTCGAAGTGAAGTCGTGAAAAAGTACCAGGAAAACCCGATACTTGAGGGAAAAAATGAAGGTCAAGATTTCTCAATTCGTAGTGTGAGAATGTGAAAATGCAAGTAGGCCGGAGAGCAAAGGGGAAGACATAAAAGGCAGGGATTTCCCAGAGATCAAGACAGCCTTCGAAGCCATCCAAGCCACCATCCACTGATGACCCGGTTCTTTTCTCCGTTCGGACACACTGATTGGACAGGAACTCATCTTTATCAACCCCGCGCGGTCTGACACGGTCCAGTGTGGGGGCTAGTCCTAAAGCGGACGTCTGGGGCGCCCGAGCCATGGAAAATAATACGTTTCGGGGCACGTGGCGCTCGCCATCCCGAGAAACCAAGCAAAATCCCAGAAGACCCAGCCCGGGTGCTGCGACCTAATGGGGGCCGATGGGACGTTGCGTCTGATCCCCTGTATCGGTGTGCCCGAACCGTGCTGGAGTCTCGTGTGCACGCTCCCCTCGGGCCAAGATCGCCCCCAATGCACAATCCTGTTTCATTTCTCTGATCTCGACTCGTCCAGCCCTAAATCTATGGGTTACCATCTGCATGGATATGCATTTTGATCTAATGCATGAGCAGCATCCATGCGGCTACGGAGGACTCCGAATAGGTTGATGAACTATGATCTCCTTTTTTGCCCCTTAAAAATCACGGGAGACCAAAGAAACACGTCCGAATAGGATCAAGTCGACCAAGGAATCTACGGCTAGAAACGGGATACTGGAGGCAGGGAATCAAATCATATACAGAAAAGGCGAAAAAGAGCGAGACATTACTTCGTCCAAGAGCCTTGGCGGCCCAGCGAAAGATAAGAATTATTCTGCCTATCGCCATTGCCACACCGCCTCAGACAAACACAGTCCGCAAGGATTGTTTCTCCATCTTGGGATCTTGCACCGTTCCCTAGGTTTTCCTAGCCCATAGATAAATCTTGTCCAGAGGTCGTCAGCTGCCCAGGTGAGCAAGGATACCGTATTGGCTAAAATTGTTCTCAAATTTGCCCGTCAAGTCGAAATTTTAACAGACCGAGTCTTAAATGGAAGTATCGATCAGGAGCACACCATTTGGTTGTATTTGACAGACTCCCTCGAACTTCAGTCAGGAGATCTGGAGCAAATCGTCGCACCGGAATATAAATGCCTTGGGCTCGAAGCACTCAATTAACGACGCAAGCTGCATGAAGAACGGAAGACAAAGCTGATGTTGGCCGCTTCGTTGTGGCGCGCTGCGATCGATCATAGTCTCTAATTTGGAACATACTGAGGATAATAAAGGAGGTGGAGCTGACATCAACCGAGGTGATTCAAGATAATCCCGATCGGATTTAGCTTACAGAGAATCCAGGAGATGTTAAATAGGTTCTACGTAGGAAGAGAGAACGGCCTTTCCCTGACTTCTAGCAGAGATGCTGAGACCGAGGTTGCGACCCACGGCAGTGTTTTGGGATGTTTAGGCTTGGTTACTTCTCTTGTCTCCATTTTTCGATCATCTGGGATTATCCTTTCCCGTCTCCTTGCTATGCTAGAGAAACATGAACTTTGGATACCATTAGTTGGAAGATGCAACCGGTGTGTAGTAACACTCAGTTTTAATAGAAGGGTTGACAATAAACCTGAAATATACCCCATCTCGAGAGCTCAAGATGTTAACAGCTACTTGGGGTCTACAAATGCGAGGTGGTGACGAGCTGACAACATGGATTAATTAACTAAGTACCCGTAATGATGTACAACCCGTGAGAATAACGCCATAGCCCGAGTGTTAATTCAAACAACACATCGGAGATCCTTGAGCGGGATCTCTAAAATAGACGGAAACCATCTAGTTGTCGATGGCAGTGCACTAAGTATTCAACGTCAGTATTGAGGTCGACACGCCAGAGAGAGAAGGTTGAAGGTCTTACCTTGCCGGAGCCGGAGGGGCAGCAAGCAACAATGTTCTTGCAAGAGGGACCCTCGTTGGTGTCCTTGGTTTGGGCTGTAGTTCGTTAGAATCATGCAGTCATACGTTGTTGGGATGGGTGTCATACAGAGGACGTTGAGGTCGTCGAGAGCGCTGGTCTTAGCACAGGCAGCGTCGTCGTTGCCGAGGAGACCGTTAAGAGCACCCTTGCCGAGGAGGTTACCAAGGATACCGTCACCAGAGAGAGTCTCCTTGGAGTCACAGCAGGCAAGGTCGCCGTTGGTGCACTGCTCCTTAGCACCACCAAGAGACATGGCGGAGGCGGAGGCAGCGAGGGCCAGGACAGCGGAGATGGTGAACTTCATTTTGAAAGATTGGAAGATTGAAAGATTGATTGGAGATAGGAGGAGATGGAGATGATGAGATTGATGTCTGGTCTGAGGTGATTGAAGCAGTTGTCTTATATATGATTGCGTTTGACCCTTGCTTGATAGGGTGACGTGGTTGACTTCTAATTAACGATAGAATGTGAGCCCGGATGTGGAATCTCTCAAGCTCTGGGGATCTGCAAAGCGCGAATGGTATGGAGTTCAGCTTCTCGCCAGCACGCTTTCAGGAATGTCAACCTCAGGGTCTGGAATGTCAGGCCCCACTACTTCCCGCCCCGCCGGACCACTTGAGAACGGTGGGGATCGCAAAGAAGACCCGTCAATGAGATTTAGATGTTCAATTCTCCGTTCCATCTCGATTGTGATCGCCCCAAGTAGCTTGGAGAGAGATCCTATGCTCGATTTTCATTCACATAGAAAAATTCATGATACAAATTGGTCAGAAGCTCAATTTCATCAATGCTATTAGAGATGATAGATTTTGTTAGATTCTACAAATAGATCACTTGTTGTACAATCAAACTTTTGGGGGCGCACAAGGGCGTTCGATTCATTGGGCCACTGAAGACGCTGATTGGAGAATCGTACCTGGCAGTAAAATCCGCAATCGGTTGTGGGTCCGTATACCACAGTCTGGGAATACTAAATGCAACCTGACTTCGGGAAGGGGCAAAATCCAGCCACCAGTGGAGATGTATTCTTGATACCGGTATGTGGCTCTACCGCAGATTTTTTACCTGGAGCTTCCCGTTTGGGAATGCAATATACCACAGTCCCGGAGTAGACACCTCCAGGACGCTGCGCGGATTCTCAAATGTTTGATCACAACGTTGTATAATGCAAATGTCACCCTGTACTGATCTACAATATCTTCGTCTCTGGTAAAGATAGTCCTGAATCTCGGTCTAGAAATTTTGTAAGGGCACCTTGAGAGCAATTTAGGGGTTCCATTGTTCATGCTGGCTGCAACGAGAATGCGATTTACGAGCGAATTAGTCTCGCAAATGAGTTGAAGCTGGTTCCACTGTAATTTCAGAGCAAATGTTTCCCCCTGGGTGGTCATGCGAAAACGGTGAGAGCATTCAACCTTGGAAGTTTTTTGTTCTAGATTTGGTTGATTGATTGATCTTCCAACTTTGGAAGGTTGGAAGCAAGTTTAATTCCCGGCATCGAATGAATATTCCCGAGGTCGGCAATGGGTTGGTCGGTATTTCCTTCAATCTGTCGGCAGTCGTGTTTTGAGCCCAATTATAGAACGGACATGTCATATACTTCAATCACGAGGATGATGATCTCGAGGTATCAAACTTTCTAGACACCACATGATGCAGTACTTGGTACTGATTGGATAAAAGTTTTAAGAGCATGGTGTGGTTTGTTTTCTACATTCCAGTTGAGGAGTTTATTTCGAGGCCTGAGTTTAATGCCGTCATTGATCTATAAAATCGCTTGTTTTGTAGGTGAATAACAAGCACAACATGTATTCGTGCATAGCTTCCAAGGTTCTGCCCACACCAGCTGGTTGATGAGATCCACAGATAAATGCGACAGAAAGAGAGAGCGAGAGAGAGCGAAAGCGAAACACATGGTTGTGTACCAAGAGCATCGTACCACGGGCATTACCTAGCTCTGGGGTAGGGCCACCCAGCGGGCTAGATTTCTTTCTATGAACTTTCAGAATAGTCGCTTCAGACTTCAGGAGTCAATGAATGACCCTTGAAGTCCTGAAGTCCTTTGGAAACTTACCTTGGCTTGGCAACTTTAAAACTAGAACCGGTCGGGAGTCAAAATCTGCTAATTAGTTGGTAAGGTTTGCTGTATATATCACAGCTACAATTGAAATTATGCGACCACCAACCCATCACTCTCGACTTTACAAGAAGGTCCATGACTCCCTCCAATCATACAAGTTCTAAATTTCTAAATTCTACTTCGTACACCTACGACACAATTAGTCAATTTATACCCAGCCCGTGGGTGGTACAGAGCATATATATCCATATTGGCAGTGATTCAATTTCGAAGCCTCCATCTTTGATGTGGCCAGCCACCTTGGCACAAGTCCATCTGGACACTTTCTTTTGTACCTGCCCTCTAATTGAAGGGAATAAAATTGAGTTGGAATCATAACATCTTGGTAGCGCGAATAGTTCGATTCTAGACACATCGGTGGCAATTTAACTCTAAAAGAACGTTGGAAGACCCACCGATAGTTTCCCAATGGGTGGATTGCGGCCCACCTGGCCAGAATCTATAGATATCTAAACATACTGTTCAAGAATTGAAAATAAATTGAAGGAATGTCGGAATGATGAAATCAAACCCAATCAAGTTTGATTCATCTAGTCATTAATTTTAAGAAAAAAAGCACGGTAAAGTTGAATGTGGATTAAAGGTGGACCTCGCGGATTGACAAATTTACTCCTTGCCAGAGTTGTCAACGGCAGTGCACTGAGTATCAAATGGTTAGACATTGGCGCATTGAATGGAGATAATCATTAAAACTCACGGTCGTGGTTCCCTCAGGACAGCAGGCAATGATGTTCTTGCACACGGGGCCCGAGTCGGTGTTCTTAATGGAGGCTAGGAGATTGTTAGTAATTTATACTAGGGCTTGATGTTAATCATGAAAGGTTGACCTACCAAGGATGTTCAGCTCATCAATGAGGCTGGTCTTAGCGCAAGGCGAGTTGGAGTTGCCCAAGACACCGTTCAGAAGACCTCCGGCGAGAAGGTTGCCGAGGATGCCGTCAGCCTTGGTGTCCTCCTCGGAGTTGCAGCAAGAGATATCGCCAACATCGCACTGAGACTTGGCGTGATCGAAGGCAGCAGAGTCAGTGAGCTTGGCTCCCATGGCAACAGCCACAGTAAGGGAGAAGGCGATGGTTCCGATGAACTTCATTGTGAAGGGAAGTGTGGTTGGGAGGGGAAAAATGATTTTGTGTAGAGTGGAATATCTGTTTGATCTTTGTTGAACCAGCATATATGATCCGAGACTGACAAGGGTCTTATATAGATTCACAATGCTCATAGTATACTACATCTATCAAGCTTTAGTGTCTAGGTGAGGTGTTGGCCGTTTGCGGACTGAAGATAGGTTGTATCTTATCGTCGGTGGATGCTGGGTATGGAGTACCACAATGATAGGTTGGTATCCTTAGATTGAAGAGCATGATCTAGTGAGATGTTATTCATTACCTAGGTATGATTCTACGTAGTACTCGCTCTAATGACGATTTACAGGTACTTATGCTGATAGCCCAATAGTTCTTCCAGCACGGCGAAGTAGATCAGTTATCTGGTTTCTCAGGTTACTTGGATGGTTACGCATTCAACACTACGTGTAGAATTTTACTTGTCTCATTTTACTAGGTGTAATAAAGTAGGTGAAATTAACTTTGAAGCTAGACGGGAAACCAAGCGGGAAGGAACGTTGGAAGTGAATGGGTCCGCAGTCGTGTATTTCCTGTTTCGGCGATGATTACCAAATGTGACGTCATCGACTGCCCCCGTTCACCACGTTGGGACGTTCGAGGTCGCATCCATTTCAATGTGGATAGATTTTGTGCATAATGTAATCGAGACTACTCGTACATTTCGTACTTTGGCAATCTGGAACCTTGGAAGCCTTCGGATATCACAAAGACTTAGAAAGACTGTAACGGTTACCCCATGTGGGGCTCCCACTCTTTGCTAGGACGTCAAGAGATGTGCTCGTCGACTTACCTGTTTGCAAAACTGTGTTCGGTACGCCAATTGGTGAAGACGATGATGTCTCACCCGTGGACAGCAGTAAGTCAGATCTGGAATCTACCTATGGTGCTGATGTGGCATTTCTGACTAAGGATTTAACCAACCCTGGGGCCACACGATGAAGGCTATACCCCGGATGGTTTCTCCGGATTTTCATATTGAGAAAAAATGACCTACATCATCATTTGTATAATAGAACGGTTACGCCGTTGGACGACACCAATAAGGTGGTCATAGAGTTGTGTTGAAGTCACTGATCGTAAATTCACTTCAATGTTGGAAATCGAATGCGGTGATGCATCGTACTTTCATCAGCTTGAATTGTTGCGTTGCGACAAGAAGTTGCACAAAACCGTCCAATGATTCGTTGAGGCCAGTTACTTGAGTAACTGGCCGCGATTTACAGTAAGAATAGTTGTCAGCATGGTAGACTCCCGAAAGCAATCATCCCACTCCGTCTTGCCCGAAGCCCAGAAGGTCTCAAGCACTTGACATGCTGCAAGTGGGCCGTGTGTACCGCTGGAGGCACTCAGGTTAACAAGATTCTCTCTCACAAAGGTACGTAGGTTTCCGCAGGCACCAATTGCTTGCACACCGAGTACCACGAGGGGCCAGAGGAAATATCCATTGGACCCAGCTGAGGGTAGTGGGTTCAAGGCCTTGTTCAAAAGTTCGTATAGAATTCGTGTTTCCATGTAGCGGTTGCTTTTCAAACGTGGATCTGGTGGCAACACACCGACACTTTGCAAGGAAGACATGCAGTAAAGAGCAACAGCACTCTGGAAGATGCTGATCAGAAGTAAATTCTCGTCGTCATGTTTGTCATTGGCAGACGCCCTTTCCTCGCCCGGGAAACCGTATACTTGACTCAGGATTTGGGAAGCTTCTTTCTGAAGGGTATCGTCTTGTGTAGTATCCACTTTCGACGCTCGAGATCTGATATGGTTGATTTTGATGATATCAAGGAAGAGCGGTGGGGGGCACATTTGAAAGGCATACCCGTTCCCACCAAACTGATCGATTATCGAGTATAATTGCTGCAGGGGCAACGTTTCAACAAGAAGATCTGAGGCAGGAGAGGAGGTATCTGCGTTGACGATGAGACTAGATTGTATTAGGAGAGAAGAGACTCAAAGGTTTAGTTATTCATGATAACTCACAAGACGAAGCAAAGAGCTATAGGAAGTACACCCGGTGATTTGATCAACTGGAGAATGCCACCGCGAAGATTGATCAATCTCCTAGCGCCTTCAATGTGATGACGCCAGTGCTTGGCGATGCCTTGTTGGGCCTATGATAGGAAAATATCCATATTGAGCAAAAGATCGTGAGAGGACTCGATGAGCAACTCACATCGGCAAATAGCAAAGTCAGAATACCGGCGAGCACAACATCGCTGTTTCGCTTGTGTGGCACTCCGATCTCGTTGTTTAAAGAGCGAATCAAGAGACCTCTGTAATGAAAGAAATTCGATTGCAAGGCTTTAGAGTCGGCATTATGGCCCATCTGATTCATTCGGTGGCTGATTGTCATACAAACCAATCCAAGTCGTATGTGATTTGGGGAGGCAAGACCCGCCCGGAAGAGTTCGACGGGGATCTTGTAGATATTGGTATTGGTGCCCAGTCGCTGGGTCTGTGCCAGCCTGGGATACATGCAATCATTGTCTTGTGTGCATTTCAGCAATCGCGTCCTTGACTTGACTTCCGATATTTACCTACAGTATTCGAACGCGTCGATCAGTGCATGAACCTCAGTCTTAAGATCAGGGCGAAGATCAGGGCGAATAGTATTGATTATCTGTGTGTCATCCGATGAATTCGAGCTGACACTGTCCGACCTAGGTCTGCAAGCCTGGTCACGATGCTTTGCGGGGGATTTTCGTTGCCGAGATTTTACTCTGCCAGGCTCAAGCCATCTCACCCGCACTGGTGGGGTTTCGCTATATCCAGGGCAATCTACCCCGGAGGATTTGCAGCGGTTGCAGCCAGGTAGGGCAAAGTCGCAAACCAAGCGACGCCGAAGGCATTCCCAGCAATGACGCTTCCGAATTTCCACCATCTGTATAGCTCAAGAGGCGTGTGTTGATAAAAGGCAAGGGGCAACAGCCATCTCAGCGGTGGATTAATGCTTGCGAAAGCCCCGCTAAAATAAAGTGGGTACCCGGGGGCCAAGACTAAAGTCCAGGAGTATTGGGGGCCTTGGACTTGAACCTGGATAAAACTTGTAAAGTATCAGCGTGTCAGATTCTTATCAAAGGTTGCCGAATGCCGTGCAAATAGGGATGACGTGCATTGATTTGCCGGCGAGGCGAGAAAATCCAGCGAAGGTCCATTGCGTAGGTCACAGCCACCGGGCTTGAACCAGTCAGCTTGCATAAGCTCCGCGTCGAAGCTTCGGGGCTTGGATTCAAGCTCCGTGTCAGCGCGCAATTTAGCGCAATTTAGGCATGGCTTGTGCTGATTCTCCCCGGCCCACGGGCGCCGATCTGCGCCGTACGTAGTCACTTTTAAGTGTGAACCACGCGACGTCGAGTTGGCAAGTCAGCCGCAAAGCCAGCTTGACTTGCGAGTAGGAGGTGAGCACGCCATCGTCAATGGTAGAACAATGAGCCAGGAACAACACGAGAATCCAGGGATAACAAAATAATTCTGCCAAGTCAACTTGACCGCCTTAGCTCACCGCCAAGGGACTTGACAACGAATGCTCAAGCAACACACTTGCCTAGACCCTCACAATTGATTCCAGCTGCTCAGATTGGCCCTGGAGGGTGCATGCCTAGGAAACAGAATCAGAAATTCCCGACCTCCAGATCTGTCGCCATCCAACACGGTACATGGACCCATGAAACACCCTCGCGCTCTTCGAGAGCTGGAAGCTCAACCCGGACACGCACAGACGAGATAATTAGCAGAGCCTGGCTCAGCACACACAAATGAGCAACAGAAGCGCCAAACTCGGTTTGAGCCGCATGTTTGTCCAGATAATGACCTTCGGCTCATTGGACTGGGGCCGACCAACCCCTCAAAATCGAGTTATATGATGCCGCGTTAAGACGCATAGAACCTCCGTGATATTCGTGAAAGAAAAAAGAGATTTGATTTGCATTGGCCTCGCTAAAAGCCCATGGTTGAGTAATCTGAACTCCAAAGCAAGATATCAAACCCTTGATTATACCCACAGCCAAAGCCCAGAACAGGAAAAAACGAAACGGAACGAAACAATCTATAATTCAAGCACGCTTGACTCCCCAGAAACACAATTTCCTTAATATCCATGATACCACCGCAAGAGGCAAAGCGACGGATGATGTCAAAGCGGTTCCGTTAGAAAAGGCCACTCCGGCGATTAGCGATTCTGCGGTGCAGTCGACCAACTCCAAGTCCTCCGCCAAGACGACCTCCGCCAAGACGACCTCCGCCAAGACCGTTGTAGGGGGTATTTGACTGAGCTGGTACCACAACAACAGTTTGTGCTGGCTGCTGCTGGTACTGCTGCTGCTGCTGGTACTGCTGCTGCTGCTGTTGGTGTTGCTCGCTTGTAACTGTCAGCCCTCACATCCAAACTGCACATGAGATGAGATCACTGAACATACTATTTGTGGGTGGCCATATTCATGCCAACGGCTCCCAGTAGTGCACCTCCAGCGGTGGCTAATTTCCCGCCTCCCATCTTGTGAGCCGCAAATCCCCCAGCTGCACCGCCAGTGACGGTGGATCCGAGACCTCTCTCATCTTCTGGGAGTTGGGAACCAGGGAGGTTGCCCTCCTGGTTATAGTAAGAGGCATTCGCGCCGTACTGCGGCTGCTGTTGATGCGGCATGGATTGTGCATCTTGGTTGTGGGTTTCTGGTCCTCCATATCCGTAGTACTGGCTGTATGTCTGTGGTACTCCGCCATGGCCAGACTGCGGTTGGTTCCAATGTTAGAAACACAATATCAAAGAAGGCCGCTTGTGCTGGCCACAAATGATCATGGCACACGCAAGAGCATTCGTTTTTGACGTCAGACTCACTTCAGAAATGTATGGGTTCGGGGCTTGATGTTGTTGGTGCGGCTGGCAGCCTGCAGCATGTTGATTGGAATTCTCAAAGTCAACGTACGACATGGTGAGTATGATGGATAGATGCTGTATCGGAGAATAGTCTGAAGATAGTATGGGCTGAGGCCTTGAGATCGTTGTAGAAATGAGATGATTGATGGAGCTGAAAGTGAAGAAGAATGCCTCTATTTATGTCTTCCAGACATAAGCAGACAATGAGGTAAAACGCTGTACCCATTGGGGTAAAAAGAGAAAAGGTCGGCCTCACAGCCCTTCTCTGGTTGAGATGGCAAAGCCATAGCGAATAGAAGCTTCCGGGCGAGGAAAATGTGGAGGGGCACTGCGCAATCTGCATAAGCTGGAGGAAAAAGTATTGGTCGAAACTTGCGCTGATAAAGCTTGTAATGCAAAAGGGCTGAGATGACTTCGCCCCATCTTCGGCATCAGCGTCTTGGCACTTCTTACTTCCCAATCGGCAATGGTACCAGATCAGCGTGTTGGACTTCCCAATTAGGAAACGTGCTGGTTCAGCGCATAGTACTTAGTCAATACTTTGAAGCCTCGGCTTTGAACACTCTAAAGGGAGCGGTAGGTATTCGCAATCAAGATTTCTTCAATTCTTTCCAGTTCGTATTCATCAAGCTAAAGCCTCCTTCGACTTCATTTGTCTTCTGCTCCTTAACGGCACCAACCCAGGAATTAGTGGCACCCCATGGTTTTCATGGTGAATATTTAGCCTCCAAGCCGAATATGGGAGGAATTGGAGAGTGTTCCAAGCCTTGAGTCCATCAGGCGAAGGAAAAAGGGTTTCAAGTTCATCAATTCGAGGAGAAAGAGAGAGGTTGACAGGGAACCTATCCAACTGGTAAACCTATGTGTTTTTGCGATAATCAACCGCGAGGATTTTCAGTTCTCTCTCAAAATGGTACGATACTGCAGACTGTACGCCAGGTTATACGCCTCTACGCTCTCATATTCCAAGGTTCATCTCTCCGCGTAACGTGGGAGGCGGGCGGGTGATCCGCGCAGGGCTAGTCCTATTCGGGTATGGTGGGGAGTTAAATAGTGGGTCTGATATCAGCACCTTCTTCAACTACTCCGTGCTTGACAACTGGTGTCTTACTGTTTTCCCTCGACTTTCAAGAAGCTCAATTTTCTATTGGTACCTCTGAGAAAGTGATTGATGCTGGTATATCTGCACTGTGCATCGATATCACCAATATCAACGGTAGCGTGGATCAATCTCTTTTACTGGTTGCCGGGAGGGCCTCAATATTGTTGGCTTGAATTTGTCGCTACAGCTGAACCTAGGATGCGTGTGCACCAGAGTCATCCTTTATAGAGTATTGTATTCGTTGGACTAGGCAAACAAAATACATGCGCCCGCCGAACATTATCCTGAGACAGCAAAAACTCAGCCTGGGGGTCGCCCCCAGGCCTACAAACCCGAAGGTTTTCAGGAGTCGCTGCCAAACAGTGGTATGCTGAGTGGTTTTTCCTACTCCCTCCCGGGAGGTAGGTGCGATTTCAACTCCCCCGATTCGGAATCGGAGCTCGGACTCGCTTTAATGCGGCAGTGGAAAACGAGAGGTTTAACCACTGAGCCACTCGCCCTCGCGTACTAAAAGGAGCCCCAATTGCTCCCCAAATACCCCCTTACATCCTATTCGAAGCTGCGCGTTCAAATACCGGCCTTGGCGCTTTTTGTGCCCCACATAAATTTAGATGAATTCGGTAGATCAGAAGCTTAATTTTACCCCAGCGAATTTTGAGCACCACTTTAATTGTAAACATGATTTATTTTCGCGGTCTAAAGTAGGGAAATGCGAGCTTTTCGAATGTGAGACTATTCCCAAGATGCGCACCTGCCGTCTGTTGACTCTGCTCGTCCACATGTCTCTGCCGCTCATCCCCCACCCCCCATCAATTCTCTCCCATCACCCCGAACTCTTCTCTTTTTCCAATTCAACAATTCGAGCATGTCTGATCTACTTTTAAGAAGCGTAAGATTTGCTACCATTTCCCACAACCCTGCTGGTCCGTCAATCCGACACATTCCTCCCGCGATCGTGACCACATACTGTGAGTATCTTGTTTTGTTTTCAAGCATACATACTGATACATTCTTTGCTTCCACTCAACAGGTAAACGCGCCATCAACCGAGCCTCTGGAGTTTTCCCTCATCCTCACACTCAACGTATCTGGAATATAGCCGATCTTACCGATCAACACTTTGCCCACACGATATGCCGAATTTCCAATTTCCAATCTTTCTTTCGCGCGATGCACTCCATTCATGAGTTATTTACTACGCTCAGTATCTCCACATACACACCCGACATCTCACACCTCCTGGTTGATCTATTTTATCCTCCTCTTCTTGAAGGGTTGCTGCAAAAACGATCTGACAAAGATTAAGCGCGCGTTTCCCGGACAAATTGAAGATCCAAACCGGCCGTTCGCCAGCGCGAGAACGAATCGAATCGTTTTCACATCCATCGTCTGCTACACCTTTTCATGGCCTGGGAGGAAGGGAGAACATCGGCTTGGAGGCCTTGTATGAACTCAATCTGCGCGGAGCATGCTGCCCAAATATCTGATCTTTGCTGTCCTAGCCCATAATCAGGATTGGTGGTTCTAGGTATCCTCCCTTCGGGCTTATGACAATCAAAATCTACATGTTCTCTAAACCGAGTCTGCTTTAAGTTCCACATCCACGCTGTTGACAGACTGTTTGAAGGCTTTTGCTTATATTTGTTGGCGAAGCAGACTTTTATAGTACAGTTCACTCCAGTTCTGCTACATGCTTATGTTCCAGCTCCACTGCCATTTCCCGCCGGGTACCTGGAGCCTCAACCCGATGTGTAACTGGAGCCTCCACCAAATCCCCAGAGACTAAATTAACTTCAGCAGGATCTTGGTTTCCTGGAGCTTCTTTGCCGGCACTAGCATTACCAATTTGAGCACGCAATTTCCTCCGCCGCAGAACAATAAACACGCCAATGCCAGTGATGAAAAGCGTGCCTACCACGGCCCCGATAGCAATACCCGCTTTCGTCCCGGGAGACATGCTTCCAGGGGTATCAGAGTTGCCGACCGTCGATTCCTCAGGACCAGGATTATTACCCGTGCTTCCGCTCGTGGTCGTTGACGCTGGTTGAGAGGTCGTTGGTGCGGCATTTGAAGAATTGGTCATTGAGTCAGTTGTTGACAGACCAGATGTTGATCCCTGGGTGTCAACGTTGACGAGATCGCAGGCAACCTGGTAGGTGTATTTGAGGTATCGCGCCCTGACCGTCGGGCAAGACATAGTGTTGTTAAAATTGAACCCACTGACGTTGAAAGTTCCATATATATGTTCGATCTGTGGGAATGTGATTCTGGCACTAGTTAGCTTTTTCGCCTACTTGGGATGTGCGAAGGTAAAGCACCTACTCGGAAATATTGCCCCAGAATGTTGCATTTTCTTCGATTTCACGAAGAACCGGGAAAGAGAAGTTGGTACCGATATCCCAGTCGGTAAAATTGATATTGCTGAGAGTTTCAAGCTTTGGCATGTTGAAATCTGCGAGGTGGTCATTAGATTCCAGCCCAATCGTTTCGAGTTTTGTCAGCTCCGGTGCTGTGAAGTTTGTGATAGAGGTTTCCGACAGGTTTAATATCGCAAGGGATTGCAGGGATCCTATGTCGACGGAAGAAACGCCATTGCCGAGGTGGAGATTGCGCCCCGATATTAAGGCAGGGAACTGTACGGGCGTAGCGCTGTCATCCGGTGCCACGCTGAGAATCCCCGTGAAGTTTTTCAGGTATGGAAAATCGATAGTCGCTAACTTCTCGTTCCAGATCACATAAACACTGTCAACAGTCTTTGCTCTTAGCCAACCCAGGCTTTTGATCGCTGTCTGAAGAATCGTGGCGTTTGCAACAGTCGTGAGCCCGTCGTCGGGAAATGAATACTTTAGGTCTGATGCAGATTTGTACCATATCAACGACCCGACGCTGGACAAAGAACTCAAGTCCAAGTTTTTCAACGATGTTGTGTTCTCCAGCCGCAGAGTGCCCCCAACTGTTTCCAATTTCGGTGCAGAAAAGGACGTCAGATTTGACGCTTTAATTGTGAGATTTCCAGTGACCTCCTGAATTCCCGAAAATTCGATTTTATCGATCTCATCATTGTTGATCGTGATATCGGAGATCGTCGAACACGATTCTATGCTATCAGCATTGGACTGTGTGTTAGCTTCGAGTGAATATCTGCATTCTATCCAAAATGGCGTTGTCAGCGAGGTTTCACTTCAACACCGCACCTCTCCGGAAGATCACCTTTTGCCCACGATGAACCGACGTAGAGGAAAGCAAGACACCCAAAGCTTGAGAGCCGCATTATTCCGAATGCCGCAAGAAACACGGAGTACTTCGGTACATCCGAAGGAACGCGAACCGCTTGGTGTTTGGTTCTACACCCCTATTCGATTGGTGTCACATCGAAGTGAAGAAAGTTGAAGAAAAGAAGACGACTTCATTTCAAATCCCGTTATTTTGCATAGCCGACAATGTGTTTGGAGATCTCCCAGTCGGGAAATTAGTTTGGGGGCAGGTGGGGCGTAAGCAGCGAGGCAGATTTTCTCACCAAACGGTTTTTATCGTGCAGTGCAATATTTTCACCGGTAACTCGGTCAGAAAATCAGGTCAACATCTTCGGAAAACTGTTGTGCAAATGAACCGATAAATTATCGCGATCCAGCGATATTTTGTATCGTGCGATCTCTGGAAACCTCATCTTGAAGACCATTGTTGGCCCCCACCGAATACGAGGTTCACATCAAGCCACAGGGGTCTTTGTATCAAGATTTAGTCCCTTGGCTAATTTAATTCATTATGAATTTATTATGTCTGATCAGCCTCGCGCAGAGCTAATTCTTGTACTGAATATTCCGCTCTTCAATCTTCAACACCATCATCCCTGTCCTCCTGATTACCCATAACAGCCGACCTTGGCCATTTCAATGCGATTCCCGTCATTATGGGCCTACCAATCATTACAACTTCCGGAAATGGATTCTTGAAATCAGGAACAAGATGGCAAATCAAAGGTCAGTCCTGGATCTAGGGCAGGCGATGGCGCCTCATTGAATTAACGACCTTCGACCAGGCGTCGCATACCGCGATTCTGACTCTGATGACGCTGCAGTGGACGTTTTGACCAATGCAAAGCAATGTGCCGTTGACGCGCCCCTTATTAAAGCACTAGGCGCAAACACTATCACTGTTGGTTATCTTGACCCAACGAAGAACCACGACAGTTGCATGAAAACGTTCGAAGACAATGAAATCTACGTTGTTGCACCACTCGCAGATACAAATAAAACAGCCGTGAGAGCACCATCCTGAGCAAGCACAACTTTGAGTTCTTGGCTAAAGCTCATCTCGGTAGAATAATGAACAATGGGACATGACCCAATACAAGCGATTTTCGGCTGTCGTCGATGCAATGGCAGGATACGATAATCTTCTTGGGCTACTTATCGGCGATGATGTGATCGATTATAGCACATCTGGAAAGGGTTCGTTCAAAAATCTATCGCTGAAATTACTCTTCAAACACTAATGACCAAGAACAGATGACGAAGACACTCTAGCCCCTTCATTAAAAGCCGCTGTCCGAGATATGAAAGCTTACAGTGCTGCGCGAGATTATCGTACCATACCTTTTGGATATTTCGGCAATGACGATGCCACAATTCGAGAGGCTTTGGCCAACTACTTGGTCTGCGGAGGAAACAGCAGCGAAACCATCGATTTCTATGGTCTTAACTTATTTTCATGGTGCGGAGACAGTTCATACGCCAAGTCCGGCTACGATGGAACAAATTCCAGGTTTGGGGCACTGGGTGTGCCTGTTTTTCTCTCGGAGGACGGGTGCAATGTGATACGGCCACGCAAATTCACGGATCAGGCTGTGGTCTTTGGATCCGAAATGTCAGGCAATTGGAGCGGTGCCGTTATTTACGAGTGGCGCGAAACGTAAGCTCTCTCGATCTCAGCTTGTCCTACAAATTCTGTTCAAATCAAACTGACATACTGGAATAGTGAATATGAGTACGGTTTGGCAAATTATACATCCACAGCCCCTGCATCTGGTGCTAGCACTCCAACCCTGCTCCCAGATTATACCAACTTGAAAAGTCAATGGGCTTCGGTGACTTCGAATACTCACTCGCCTACTACATTCGCTACACCATCCTGTCCATCGCAGAGTAGCTCATATTGGACTTTGGACCCTAGCGTCACATTGCCGACGATCGCCGGTCTTAATATTGCAACCATCACACCCACCAGCGAGTCCGCAACTCCGACCACAGTTTCCAGCAGCACTTCAACACCCGAGCCTACCCAACATAGCGAGAGTGGACTTTCAGGAGGCTCCAAAGCCGGCATTGGCGTTGGAGTGGGTGGAGGTGTGCTATTGATTGTGGTAGTGGTGGTTTTGTTTTTCTACCGCCGCAGAAAGAATGCCTTGTCCAATTCGCCTGATCAAGGAAGTACAGTAGAGCTGCCAGTGGCAACTCCCACAGCCGAATTACCAGGTATGGGGATTGTTGCCCAACTGCCCGGATCAGGGAATGTGGCGGAGATGAACGCTGGTGATGCGACACATGTCAATGAGTTGCAAGGCTCCGATCCATGGAATGGACCACATGAGCTCAACGATAGCTCTGTCCATGAGTCTAGTGACGGACAAAGAACTTCCCTTGGTACACAGCCGGCCTCTCCAGGGATGGCCCCGGCTCGCACGGAAACAAGACCTTGACCTTCTCTGGTACTTTTGGCTATATTCAGGACTCAGCGCTCTTCATTGTTCACAATGCCGATGACGCGGAATTGATTTTCAATGAGCTTGATCAGTACTTTCCTGTGAGCGAAGCCAGCGTGACTTTACTCACCACTCGTTCTAAAGGTGGCCGTTTCCTTTGCTGGGAGGGATATATTGAAAAGGGCTCCGAGAGAAATTTGATGGACAGAAAGGGTAATCGACGTGGATGATCGATTATAGGACTATGGCCAAGTCGGGCCACTGAGGATTGGCTTCCCAGTGGGAAAGTTCAGGGTGGACGATGGAGGTGTCCCCCGGGATGATACTCAGTTGAACTTTCGGCAAATTGTCCTAATGAGAACTCTTCGCTAGTGGGAGGCTATAAAAAGCCCTGGAGTGACATGGATCTTTTCATGAGCTACGAAGCTGATGTAGACAGAGAGAGAATCTTTTTCAATTCAAGAGCATAAACTTTTGCCTTTGTTTTTTTCTTTTTTTTAAAAAAAATACAAAAACGGAGCACAGACAAAAAATGGGGCTCTGTTGCCCAGAGCCATCGCCACTCTGCCCCTCGCCCATCGTGATGTCTTCCTCGCCCCCTGGCGAGAAGTTGATGAACCCAGTCCAATGGAGGCTTGTTGAGTTGCAACAGGTTTGGGCGCCTCGCATGGAGGAAGGCTATATCCCGGGCGAAGATAGTGGGGCCGAATAATGGAATTCGCCGGTCCTTGCCCACTCTGCTCAGGAGTTTTCCCCGGACTGGCGCTCTGGTTTTCCACCAAAAGGTGAAGTTACAGATTCTCGGCGGCGGCGGCAGGGGGGGGGGGGGGGGGGGGTTGTTCGGCCTATCCCGGGGGGTTCTGCGAGTGGTTTCCCTGCCCTTCCTTTTTTTTTTGAGGAGGGAGAAAGGGAACATACTGGCCTTCTTGGCCTCTCTGGCCTCCCAGGTTTCTTGGAGCCAGTCAAAGGTCTGCGCCATATTTGGGTTGGCAGACACATGCATCAGGACCTCATCAGGGGTCCACTTCCACTTCCTACAAAATAGTCATATGGTTAGCAATGAGCGTGAAAATGTGATATTGACTTACGCCTTGTGCCTTATCTTCCAACAGACAAGGCCAATGACCGATGTCACCAGCAGTACAGAGTCCATTGGGCTGCGGCCTCACCAGAGGGACGGATGGAAGAGGGGGCGGGACACGACGCCCTGGGGCCTCCACGAAGGGCCCACTGGATTCTCGTTGGTATCTGTGATCATAGACCTAAGAACTAGACTTACCCGCTAGAGCGGGAGCTTTCTCGCCCCGGGTGCCCGCAGGGAGGTGTACGGAATTTTTGCGAGAGTTTTCATCCGTCCGATCTTAGCTGAGGGGTAGACACGAGGGAATCAAGACAGAAATAATAGTAGTGCATTTGCGTGGCGCCATGTTTCAAAGAATGGGAGGAGGATCAAGGTAGAAACAATCGTCTTGCATTTTCGTGGCGTCATGGGTTGATGCAATACTTGCATGCGGGCCTAAAAGCGTGGCAATGTCACCCCGATAGAGTCCCATTAGAGTGCAGCCTGTGTCGTGAACAAAATCGAACTCAGCAAACCATGGGACATTTGGAATACGGATTGCCAGTTTTACCTTCGAGACCAAGTTAGTGTTAGAACAATCGTTGAGGAATTTCTGAGGTTCATTTCATACCCCAATCAATTTTGGACTATACCCAGAGGCGCCTACTGTAAGCGATGTATATGATGGTTCAGGTTCAGGTCCGTCTAGCTGTAAATAAAGTTAGAATTATGGCTGGAAGATCAAAGATGCTTTGACGTACACCTTCAGTCCAAAATGCCCCTTCATCTCGATACTCTGAGTTGATAATCTCGAACTCATCCCAGTCGAAATTTCTTGGCTGGCAGATTTGAATTCCATTTGACCAGTAAGTTACCAACCCATCATTCCAATCAATCTTTTTTGATCTATATGCCTCCAAGAGTGCATTGATATTTGTCAGTTGTTTCAATGTATGAGGGGGATTGGATGCATCGCGGGCTCCTTCTAGATCTGCCTTCATAGCCTCCAGCACATTCAATCTTTGAATAACAGCAAAGCTAAGATCTTTTGACCCTGGGTTTTTTTGAGTCTCTGTGAGTCTCATTTCCCTAGAGAGTATTAGATCAAGCTGTGTTTCGTAGGAGAATAGCACTCACTCATTCTCTTCTTTTGCAATTGTGTATTCCTTCAATCTTTGCTTAAAGATATCAGGCATGATATTCTCTGCAATTCGCTCATGGCACCTCTTGATCTGCCCTTCGATGTCACTATTCAGTAGAGTTAGTCTGTGTATGATCTGAAAGCGGAGCTAATAGAGATGTTTGGCATCTGAGCCACATAGCTCCTGGAGAATCAGGCCGTCTTACTCGGTTGCAAGATCAGGCTCGTTCATATGCCAGCCTTTTGGAAGCTTCTCTGGATCGATGACCTTTTGGAAGCTTCTCTGGATCGATGAGAGGGTTTTTCTTCGACCATTTGGTCCAAGTTTTTCGTTTTGGCTGTCGAACTTGCTTTCCCCCAGAGGCTCTAGAGCTGTGGGCGTGGGATACATCGAGATCAAGCTCTTGTAGCAAGATCGGCACCCGCGCAATTTGATCCTTTGGTGAGCCCGTCAGAGCTTGTTTCTTCGACTTTTGAATGCGAGTACTCTTCCGAGGGCCGCGTCTTGGGGGCATATTGACAGTAATACGGAAAATAAGGTCAGAATAATTGGAGGGCTGAAAAGGTATGCTTGACCTGGTCTGCTCGGGGGTTTAAAGCACAATGATCCTCCGAGGTATCTATCTGCTACGCGTTTGCTCGGTCTGATCGAAGTCATCTCAATAACTAATTGGACAAAGGGTAATCATGGATGGCATGACAAATTAGAATTAAGGTTGTTAAAACTGAGAATGAAAGAAGGCCATGTCTTGGTATCCTGTTTCACTTGAGCAACAGTTAATTTTTCTCCAAGATTGGTCTCTTTTTGATAATATATTCTTTCACATGGCTTCGAGGATAAAGAAACTTGATGAGTATGAGATTTGGGATGAATAGAATACCAAAGGACAAGTCCGAGTTCACGATAGATGGTTCAGCCGCTCAAAGAACGAAGCCTGTTGATGTGGGATGAGACTTAGAGGGGGGGAAACGACAAAGAAAGGGAGAACGTAAAGGTAGTGGATGGAAAAGTGCCTTCCAGTTTCATTGATAGGGACTGAAATCTTCCTGGAAGTTGTTTTGAGTTGATCGGAGATCGTTTCAGACTGTCTAAAGTCAAACAAAATACTACCTTGTTCGACTATGGCAGTACCGTCGCAGGTGTTGGGATCAATTCGCCGAGCAAATATGCTCAAAATACCCCTGTCGGCGGGCAACAAAGGTAAAGGGGGAAGCACCAAAAGAGAGTTGGATAGAATAGAATTATAAATCTTGGGCGATCTTGAAATGGCACTCCTGGGTCCTGGCAGTGTCAAACAATCTTCAAGGAGTGAAGAACCCTCAAATCCAACCCAAGCACCCAGAGAAGCGAAATGCACGGGTTTCTGCTCTGGCAGCTCTAGCCTCTGACCCAGGGTGGTCTTACAGAAAGCAAGATACCCACCAACGTGGGGCATCATGGTCCGTAAGATGCTCGAACGCGGATGCCAAGCTTCAAAGAGCAACACAAGTATTCTCAAGGGGAAACCCCTTTGGTCTTTGTTTTCGCTTCATCCGAGGGCATTCAACATATTCTGCCCAGTTTCACCGCTGAAATGTTCCTGACTCCTTTCCCAAGGGAACTTCACTTGTTCACATACTGATGGTCAATGAAATAAGAAAGAGCTTTAATTTTTGAATGATACATTTACCAGGAATCTGGCTTCAGGTCACGTCATATCAGCCAGACTCGCGCACTAGGTAATCATTGGTGTTTTCAAATGGTCTGTGCCATGGTGCTATTAAGACAACGAGCACGCAAGAAGCCATCTCCTATTGGAATGTTCCTCTCGGCATATACCCCGCCTCTTGGTTGTTGGTGATCCCCAGATTCTCCTCCTTGATGTAATTTTGGGCTCGGATCACGCAAAGTATACACAACAGTCTTTCTGCTTGAGTACACAGGGGCTCCGATATTTCGACAAATTGTGCCGTGGATTATACACCATAGTTGCATGATCTGCTCTACTCATTTGCTCCACATAGTATATAGATTGCACCTTCCCACTAGCTAGTTTTGCATTCTTACTCTTCCTCCTTCATCTCCAGCTTCTGTCCCATCTTTGTTGTCTTCATCAAACAGACCTTATTCTAGGTCCCCTCTCTTAGTCCGCTAGCACCAAGTCTTGCTTCGTGGTAAATTTGAGAAGTTGACTTTCCCGGACTTTTTCCCAGAACCTCCCAGTATCTCGACATGGCACCCTCTATCATTGAAGGACCAGTGAATGGGGTCATCGCACCTCTGAAGACTGCTGGAGCAAACACCACTGTGCCTCAAGTGAGGAGGATTATTGACGAAGAGGGTGGAAAGACTACTGCAAGCGTAAGACACCAGGCCACCCTTCCATAGCAAGTACCAACAAGATTCTAATACCATTCCAGTATCCAGCGTACCTCCCAACCTTTGACTACGCCGAGAAGTACCCTCCCCTCGAGCCATTCGCGCACACCGAACACGGGAAGAACGCGGATCCCTCCTTCAAAGACCTGTTGGTCGAAGGCTCCAAGATTCACAAGGTCACACCGACCATCGGCTCGGAAGTTACTGGAGTACAGCTCAGCGGTCTCACCTCTGCTGGAAAGGACCAGCTCGCTCTTCTGGTCGCTCAACGTAAAGTCGTTGCCTTCAGAGATCAAGACTTTGCCGACCTGCCGATCGCAGATGCCTTGGAATTCGGCGGATACTTTGGTCGCCATCATATTCACCCTACCAGCGGGGCACCGGAGGGATACCCCGAAATCCACTTGGTTCATCGGAATAATCAGGAATTGAAGTATGACGATGTCAATAGCACTGCGGCGTGGCATTCAGATGTGACGTACGAGCAACAGCCACCCGGCACCACATTCCTATACATCCTTGACGGCCCCGAAGTTGGCGGCGATACCGTCTTCGTGGATCAAGTCGAGGCATATAACCGACTTTCACCGCCGATTCAAGAGCTGCTCCATGGACTCAAAGCGGTGCACTCTGGTTTCGAGCAAGCTGAGTTCAGCCTGAAACGTGGAGGTGTGGTGAGGCGGGAGCCGGTGAAGAATGAGCATCCTTTGGTTCGGACTCACCCGGTAACAGGAGAGAAGGCGCTCTTTGTGAATGGAGGATGTAAGTTCAAGATCTCGAGACCTCATAATAGAGTACCGCGCTAACACCATGATAGTCACACGCAGCATCGTAGGACTGAAGAGGGAAGAGAGTGATGTCCTCTTGAATTTCTTGCTGGCTCATGTCAGCCGTGGCATCGACTATCAATCTCGGATCCGTTGGGCTCCCAAGACCGTGGTTGTTTGGGATGTGAGTTTTTGTATCCACAGCTTGGATTTTCCACCGCTAACATATGAACAGAACCGAGTGACTGCTCATTCTGCAGTTGTTGATTGGATAACGGGTGAGCGTCGGCATCTCGCGCGTATCACCCCACAGGCTGAGCGCCCGTTCGAAACGCCGTATGTCAAGCAAGAAGAGGGAGAGAAACATTAGATCTCGTCAACAAGTTTAGTGATATAAGCGGTACCTATTCCAGAGCAACTGGTTAGTTGAGCGAATCAAGTGTTTGGCTAGCAAGGTACACCAGTATATTTCCAAAGGTCAAAGAGTAAACATGTAAAGTGGACTGGGTAGACCTCAGGTCCAACAAACCCTAGTTGGACTTGAGGGCAAGATGTCTTCCTGGTACAACTTTAGAAGGGGCAAGGCGCGTTGGGGATTCCGTGACACGGGCATTGGTGCCTGAATTGTTCAATTTACTGCCTTACTCTCTCGACCGCTCTGTAGACCGCTCTATCCCGTGCCGGATTTTTTGCCCGACTATAATTCAGGCAGAGATGCAGCAATTAAGGCATCAACGGTCTAAAATACGAGCTAAGCTCCTTCGTGAAGGGGTTTGGTTTGGTCCAGGCATTGCTACTTGACCAATTTTTGGGGTTGGGAGATAGCTAGCTGTAGAAAAATCCCACAATTTTTGATATCATCTATGATGTATCGCATAAGACTGTATCGTTTACACAAAGTCGAAATTAACCGGACCAATTTCAACGAGCAAATCGGAAATCAGTTCTAGCAAGACGAATGATTAGCTGTGATCGTGTGGATATGGAACAAGCACACTGGATATGTATACCTTTTGTTTGTTAGCACTGGGTTCTCGCGGAGATATTGCTCGCGTTGTTCGCTTGTCATGGCATTCCATTTGGACGAGTTTCTCCTGCTTTCATGTTAGCAATGGAACCTTGAATGAGAATACTGAAGCTTGAAGCCTTACTTGTTCCACCAATCATAGTAGAATTTTGCTGCAACGAACAGAGTCCCACTCGCTATAGACAATGCGATGAGCACCTTGTTTCCATGCTTGTAATACGGGGCATCCTTTGTTTGGTAAACCTGTGCGAAAAGGTCAGCATCCTGGAGTCCCAGCTTGAACTGTGATGAAGAAGAAAAGAGGAAATCGACACTTACATTAGCACCTGCAATACCACTTATCTGAACAGACATATTGTATAGTGCAGAAGCAACTGTACGAGTCCGCACCGATCCGGCATTCCGTGAAGTCAAAGCCACCACAACAGGATGAATACTAGGCCCTCCAACAAGAAGCGTGAGAATAGCCCATCGTTGCCAAGGCATTGTTTTCTCTGGCAGGACCACCAATGCAATGAGCAACATAAGGTTCCACACTTCAACCGATGCTCCGCAAAGCAATCGTTGATTGGTCCGCTCTGCAATCCAGGTAATGGTTATCATTGTTGTGATTGAAATAATTGCAGACGGGATTACCAATAAGTTGGTTTGGAATGTCGTGAATCCCTGCGAGCGTAGCTGAAGGGTGAGATAATTGGCTGATGGCGTGGTAGGAATCATCCAAATCAATCCAAGCAGATAGATCGGCCACATGTGGTAATCTTTGAGAGATTCCCAGAAACGCTTTGGAGTAAGTGCTTGTCGGTTATGCATTGTGCCTTTGCTAGGATCATCCCTGATCACTCGGTTCACAATGATCTTTTCCTCGTGCTCTGTGAACCACCCGTCTTTTCCACGGAGTCCCCCCTTTGTTTGGACCGGAGACGCGGGCATCCAAAACACTGCGACAATGCCAATCACACCGGTGATCAATCCTTCGTATGCGAAGAGGTATCGCCAAGAGCCACCGCCATTGGAGTCTGTGATGTGGAGAAAGCCAAACGCTAAGAACGAGCCAATGATTCCGGCAATTGTATAGGAGATCCAAAAGCAGGTAAGTCTTTTCGGCAGCTCACTTGATTTGTAGAAGAAGGACAGAAACAGTATCGTGTCTGGTATGCTGTGGAAGGTTAGCTCAACTTCTTCTGCACTGGTGCGGTGTTCTCACAATCCGCCTTCCAAAAGCCCCAATAAAGCGCGAAGAGCCAAATAAGACCCACGACCCTTCAGGAAGGCTTGACATGCTGCGACCAGACTCCATGCAATGATCTGTATGGGGATCCAACGATCTGGTCCGATTCTCTTAGAGAGCAACTGAGACGGCATCTCCGCCAGCAAAAAGCAAACCAGGAAGATCGTCTGCCCCAGGTTGTAGTCATTGCTGGTCATCTTCAAGTCTTGCAACAATGTACTTGACAATGCCTGGCCAACATTGCCTCGGTCAAGCTGTAGCGCGAAGAAGGTCACACAGGCAAATGTGCAGACACGAAGATCGATCTGGCAAGGTTAGCCTGTTTCGCCTCTTAAATCAATTTGAAATCAATCAATTTACCTTTCGAACAATCTTCTTTTCCTCATCCTCAGTCCATTGAAAATCGGGGTCCCACCGGTGAAGCCCTTCATAGCTATCAATGGGCCTGTAGAATTGATGACCTTCGCCAGCATCAAATGTCCCTCCTTCGCCAGCGTACTGCGTCTTCTGCAATTCTTTGTCTGATTCATCTTGTGAACTGATTCCCTGTGAATCTTTCTCACTAATGGAGCTTTTGGCAGTTTTTTCATCTCCGGCAGACATAATGTGCGGCACGAAAACTCAATGAGCCACAACTCGTCGCTAGGTCAACAGAGATAAAGCGATAGTGCTCAGCATATTGTATACTCGCTCTGAGGCCGACACTTTATAGCTCAAATGTAGCCGACAAAGTCCAAGATAGCCGATCTTGCAAAGTCACGCAATTTTGACCTTTGAAGGCCAACAACAGCCACATGTTGCGACTGCATATGAGAATGAGACCATCTTCGCTTAGCCCGGTCATGGACAGAGGTGCACTGCGCACAGATAGGGCAGATGCAGAGGTTATCGAAGCGACCTAGAAAGAGGGGAGATTGGCATCAATTCTTCTAACTCAAAATGTCTCTGGGGGAGGGGGTCATTCTCCAAGCGACTTGCATCATCCCGGACTGAACGACGCAATTCGCGACACGATCGCTTATTTGTCGCTGGTAATCTGTTACGCCAAGAATCAAAATTGCAAGGAGGGGTAGTTCACTCACAATCAAGGTTAAGAGAATTCGGGATGCTGGGGTGATTTAGTCTCCCACGCCATGTCGCCTTGAGAATAACCTCAGCTCCAATCTCCGTCTGCCGGGTCTTATCCCCGGAGGCGCCCGAAACGTATTTGAATCTGTCATCATAAGTGTCCAGTCAACTGCACACATAGTCGTTCGATCGTTGTCGCCTGCCCGGGTTGGGCAGATCAGTAAAACATGTGATCCTCCAGATGGCTCACATTTTTCTTCATGACTGAGAGTTCAAATCCTTGGCCGCAGCATCGAATATTGTCGTGACAAGGGTTTCGTGAACTGGAAGCCCCCTGTACGAACTTCACACATATGTTCAATGGAAAGAAAGCGGGTGGACTGTTGATACGAGGGTCTTGACTTGTAGAGATAAATTCTCATTCATTCAACCAAATCGCCGAAGGACTCCTGTCGTAAATGCTTAACCTGCTGAAAGAGAAAGGCCCAATTCCACTTTGACCGACCGATAATTCTCAAGGATGGGGCAGCCCATCTCATATTCCATGTTGCGATAGATTCCCTTTAGAACAGCTCCTTCTCAATCATCCCCCCGGAACTTGCACCCAGTACACAGCTTCGGGGTGCCAAACGCAAACCGGGCGGAGGAAGCCACAGGCACCTTATCCGAACAGACCGATAGAGATCAAGGAGAGGACAATAATAGTCGCGTTGAGCGGAAGGTCGTAGAAGAGCCTTTGTGCTGCAAATAGCATCGTGGCACCATCATCATCTCCAGAGGCGGTGCAACAGATAACGATGATTGCGTGCTCTTTGAGTCTGAATGGCCCAGGATTCAGGAATCGGAGAGCAGAGATCCATTTCGGGGTCTTCCCTCGGCCACCTCGAGTCTTCCACCGACTCTCCACCTTACTGGCATCGGGGAATAATTTGGCCCAGGCGTTGCCAAGGAAGTACACTAGCATCACAATGGCACCCATATTCAAGCTCGAGCCGGCAGGTTTGAACTGATAAGGTCGTGTTAGTGGGAACGGTATTCGTGTAGGCTGGGGCGTGGCTCACATTGTAGATCTGAGTGAGGGCCGCATTAAAACCGACAAAGACCGATGCAAGGAACAAGCTCCGAAAGTTGATTGCCGTGTCATGGTCATCTCGCATTGAAACCAGGTGCGCAGCAACGTCGGCGCCAGTAACAATTACGGTGTCCCCGGTATCAGAGCCATCTTCACTGGTCTACACACCGTCTTTCATGTCCATCTCGTGTTTGTTTTCCTCGCAGGTGACGACGGGAACGACAGACTTCTCGCTCTCGGGTGGGAGCTTCGAATTGTCAACCCCAAGGCCCTCAGGGCCTTGGAAGATCTCGGAAGGCATATCTTTTCGGTGAGTTGCGGTGATTTTTTGGTGCTAATGGAGGCACGGGTAATGGAAGAGGGATTCGAAAGAGAAATGCAATGTGAGAATAGAGAAGTGAGATGGGAGATGGGAGAGATGGGGGAGAAGTAAAAGATGCAGATGGAGAAGGTGCTCAATGGAAGCCCAGTTTACCACATGCCGTCGACAGGGCGTTTCCCCATGTCACATTGTAGTACCTCAATAGTTCACGGAGATTGAATATCAAATATGTTTTTTCATTACTTAAGTAAGTGTTCTCGTTTTCGTTCTCAGTTGTATGACCCGCGGTCGCCTCAATTGATATAACCATATATCCCATACTTAAGTAGGCTTGAGGTCTCATCCACGGCTTAACTCATTCCTGGTTGTTCGTGTACGTAGTGAGCCAATTGGCAATGTAAATGTCTCATTGATCTGACAACCAAATCCATTTGTGATGTTCGATCTATCCATGCACTCGACACTTGTGGGCATCACTTGAAGCTTTGACAGGGGCACTGGCTTACGCGGTCCAGATTTGCGGCGAGAGAAGCTTTGGGGTAGAGCAGTTATCTCACTATGTACAGGCTTAGCGTGCCGGTCTCGTTTCCCAACAGTTGTAACTGATACCTCGGTGCTAAAGTTCTCTTTCGGTCTCTGTTTTCATGCTGATGACCAAGACCCCCGTCAATCATGACCAAGAAAGCAGTAAAGCTTGTGAGAGGATCCGAGGGCTTGATACTCCCGTCATATTCAGATCAGATATTCCCCTTGCAATATATCTCAATGTTTGAGGAGTTTCTGTGCCAAGTTCAACAACCTAGGAGTTGCAGGTTCCCGAGGTCAAACTGCTGCGACCGTTGTCCCATTTGGATATTTACATTTTTGGTGATATTTGAGTTGTCTGGAGCTAAGAGCTGCCGATTGGGTTTCTCCGAGAAAATTCTGCAAATTCAACAAGCAATGCTGTGCAAGAGAAAGGAGGACAGCAGCAAATGAGGATCATACCTTGGCCAGTTCGTGTTTGTACTGTTTGATGCTTGCTGTAATTAGTCAGACTAACCGGCCCGACCATTACTCCGCAATTCTCGCCGGAGCACACTTACTCGTACTCTGTGCTCCGTACATTATATGCTCTCCGTGCTTTCTATCATATCTTCCCATGTTCTTGACAATTCCCTCAGGCTGCGGCTATTCATATGATACCAAGATCAACTACAGCCCCAAGATGTCCCAAAGCTAACAAAATTCGTTTGACTAAATCCATAATCTCAAGGAGACCTCACCTGGTGGGGCCTTGATGTCAACACTGCTCGTTCTTTGTTCAAAGACTTCGGCTGAACGGATAAGAAAACACTTTCTTTGAAGACAACTACCTAGATTGGTTCTATTTCGGTAAACAATTCAATTCTAATTGGCTTCCATTGGTTCCCTTTCCACATCGCCACCAATTACATCCCCCAGTAAGCGCTTTCTGCCAGAGAGATCTTCCTGTCCGGGGTAGGCAGTGATAGCCGATTGGATCAGGTCCCACGTGGTAAACGGAGTATATCTGGAGATGCTGCATGTGCGACACGCGATCGGGGATCCTCTGCTACAGTGCATGAATATGCCAAAATTTTTGGTTTTCCATACCCTGGAAATATGTTTCCTAAGATATGTGTGTCACTGAAATTCCGAGTGTCCTGGCCTTTCGGTTTAGCAAAGAATATTTTCTTTGAGAGGAAATGGCTTCAAAGTCTGGACTGCCATTCGATGATTCATTATCCTATCAAATGCGTTCGAAATGACAAGGGTTTCGTCAGGATATCATGAGAGGCAACACCAAGGATCAAGTCGCTTGTTTGTATCCCTGATTCGTGTTCCTTTTGCCGCATCGTGGCGTTATCATTGAAGTCCGAGCTTCAATATACGTGAGTTATGCTGAGCATGGGTCGCCAAGCGAACGATCCATCTGGGGTATTCTCAAAGAACCCTATTGAGCTTTTCGTACTGTCGATATCAATCCAGCTACGGTAGCCCAAGAGGGGGATCCTTGGAAGGATAGGCATGGCAATAAGCCATATTATCAACAAAGAGATTTGCAAGCTACAATCATGTGGCCCTTGCACATCATGTCTATAGATAACTATCGCTAGATATCAACTTACCCAAATCTCCTGCACGAAATTTTCAGCAAAAATGGCGGGGTTTGATGACCAGCATAGTAGAATTCCCGAAAATGTCTTCTTAGTGGGTTCTCCCTAGTGAAGATCAAGTCCTAGATATCGCTAACACCATCCTCACAGGGCTTACTCTGGTCTCTTACCGCAATATCATTTCTCTTCGTCGTATTCCGTGTTTATGTTCAATTTACCTCGTTCCGCCGTTTATTCATCGACGACTTCCTCGTGATATCCGCATGGATCATCATACTCACTGCTGCGATCATATGGCACGTCAAAGGAAAAGTCTTATACGAACTATATGCCATAAGCGCTGGCACGAAACCATTAACCCCGGACTTTTTACCACGGTATAACGTTTTCATGCGCTACAATGCTCCGTTTCAGATTTTATTTTATACGGGGCTGTGGTGTATCAAGTTCTCGTTCATGGCTTTCTTCTACCGACTCAGCTCAAAGGTGAAGAAGTTCCGTATATGGTGGTTTGTTGTGCTTTTCTGCACCGCAGCGGTCTACATCGCCTCAATCGGTGACATCGAATACAAATGCAGCTTGGGAGGGCTTGAATATATCATCAGTATGTACCCAACGCGCCATCTCATTCCGACAGTAGATCTGACTGATGTGACTACAGCTCAATGTCCACAACTTCATCATATCCATTACGAGAACCGCAGTTTCTGGGCCAACGCTGCAGGCGACATTCTCACAGACCTGATGAGTATGTTCCCAATATCCCATACAGCTTCAAAATTCAAATATCGATTGACCATATCACAGTTCTATCGATCCCGTTCATCGTTCTATGGAACACCCGTATCTCGCTTCGCAAGAAGCTCGTTCTCCTGGGTATGTTTTCAATGACGGTGGTGATCATGATCAGTGCCATAATCCGCGTCGCCGTTGGAATGAAGTACGATCGTCAAATCAACATTGATTGGCTATGCTTTTGGAGTTTTGTGGAGGTTGATATTGGTATGTTGCATAGATCCAGTATTTTCCCAATGTTCTTCCGTTCGCTGACTCTGCTCGTCCAGCAATCATTGTTTCATGCGTTCCTTCCCTACGACAGCTTTTCATCACTACTCAAAGTGAGAGCTCGGCTGGAAAGGCATCTTACCCAAACACATATGAGCCCATGCTCAAGAAATCGAACGATCCGTATACGCAAGACAAGTCTCACTCTGTCGGGGATATCGAATCACCGTCTGTTGATGAGGTACCCATGTCACCCTTGAGCATTGTGCATGTTCGCAGCGACTACGAGGTGACTTCTACCGCTGCGGGTGTATCTGAGGATGGTCGAAAGTCTTGATGATTTTCTAAGGTTTCACCACGCTCCTGGATTATTTGGTCCTTTCCGTCTACATGGCATTGTCAGTGGTAAAAATACATCAATTAAAAGTGAGGGACTTCAGGAAGAGATCGAAGTATGACGATCCAGGTCTATTACAAAAATATCTCTCAAATCTGTATATACATTCGGCCTTTCGGAAATGCATTCCCGTCGAATGGTCCCAATGAGACTATAGCCTAGCACCCTTGAAGCCAGTTCGGTAGAAGAGCAATGACGTGCGGATGTCCTGTTTTTCCAAAATCGACAACCGTATTTACAGGGTGTCATCAGAGTCATCGAAATCGATAGTTCCGTTCTCGATCGAATCAGTGGTCCAGGTGATACCGTTGTCGGAGGTCGTCAAGCTGCCTTGGGTCATGGTGCTGCCGAACTTGGCATCGGCCTTGTCCAGGGTGACGGTGAAGTTGGAGACATCTGGATTGTTAGAAATCATTAGTAAACATATTCCATCGGAAGCTCCGAGAGCAGGATCAAGGAGTCTTACCCCAAGCGTTCACGGTACCGCAGCTACCAGAGCCGGTGTAGCACTCGTCAGCAGACATGATGTACAGCAAAGGCTCGTCAAGAGCTAAGGATTCAAGTTAATATTATTTCTGAGTGTTCAAATTATGAACACTTACCATCAGTCTGCTTGGAAATCTCCTTTCCGCTCATGGTAACGGTCTGAGTCACCTTGTTGTTCTCGACAACGACTTGAAATCATTAGCTGTGAAACTCTTGATTTTTGCCATCGTGAAAAGCAAATGGCGGTATCATGGAAATGCGAGAATAACATACTTTCGAAATCAAGAGGGGTGCTCTTAGGAATAGCGACGTAGTCCTGGCCGATCTGGCCATCTAGTACAACAATCGTAATTAGCGAATGTGATTTTCACGAGATATGCGGTCTCGAGTTTGAGTCGAAACTCTCAGGTGGATTTATTACCTTTGGTGTAGGTGCTTGCGGCAACGCACCACTGGTCCTTGCTGGCAGTGCAGCCCCTATAAACACACCAGGTTAACTTATACTTATTTCTTCAAAATCGGAGGTTGATCTCCATACTGAGATTCCTGGTCAGGGGACCAGTTGAAAAGAGGCTGGTATAGGTTGTAGTCGTTGTCACCAGCGGTGGACGAGGCTCCAACCCAGAGGGAAACCCAGATTTCGTCGGAAGTGTCAGAGACGCTGTATCCGGAGGGAACAGCAGGAGGGGTGATCGAGTAAGTGGCCTTGACAATCGCGGCGTTGCCCGAAGGAGGTCCAAGGTAGAATCCGGAGGTACCGAAAACCCAAGAGTCGGCAGCCGCGAGAGCACCGATGGCGTTGGCCAAGGTAAGAAGAGTCAAGGAGTAACGCATCTTGAAAGAGTGGTAAAAATTGGTTGAGAAGTGAATGACGTCGAGTCGAAGCTGTCGCAAAATGAATGGAATAAAAACAGACCTTTCCAGAAGGTTAGAAGAAAAGAGTGAAGTATAGAGGACCGGTATGATAAACTCGGATTGATACACGGGGCATCTGTTTTATATCTAAGGTATTTGTATAGCTTACAACAGCCCAGGGGCATTCGGGGCAGCCACTGTGCCGTTAATCAATAGAAGTCTTACGATGATGATCATTTGTCTAAAATGGGACCTTGGTCGTTTCATATACAGATCGAACAGGTGCCCCTTCCAATCAATCTCCTTTTGACTGAAACACTATGGTTTCGGAGGATTCTCAATGGCTACTAGAGCTTTCTCCGTGGTGAATCTGTGCTGGTGCTCACATAGCCAACATTTTATCTCAGGTTTGTGGGACCTCTCTGAATCAACCTTAGGACTAGGTAGTAGTGATGCCAAATTCCTTCCCCGGGTAGCCTGTGTGCCTTGGTGTGTCCTCGGAAGAAACGCCGAGCCAAGCCCCTATTCCGCCCCACTGAAGATATTTCGCCCCACCGACGACTCAACCGTTTTGTCTCGAGCTGCAACATTTGCCAAAGGTAAATTAAACTATTGGTCAATCCCCACATATGTTCACAAGAAGGCGCTTGCTTAATTGTACGGATACGAGTACGGGTGCATACTCAGACGACAACCTCGATGCGCTTGAAGACCCTAGTATGACACTTGCTGTAACAAAATCGTGACTCAAAATGCTTGAAATGTTTTCATCTCATCTGCTGCCGTCAGCTGATGAGTATAGCGAAGTAGTTTCAAAAAGCACCATCCATGATATAACAACTCACAAAGCCCATGTGAGACAAGCGCATCACCCAGGCACTGGGCTAGCTCGGCTTAGGGTCTGGTATCCACTGGGCAGGCAGCCTTGGAGAATCCCCATTTGGCATTAGTGTGGCGGAGGAAATGAAATGCGACGAGAGTAAACCTCCGCTTAGTTAGCACACCTGAAGGAGAACGGGGCTTGAAAATACAGGCAAATCCCCTGGTAGAAAAGAAACACCCGTCCATCCCCGGGGCTCTTACTTGGCCAAAGTGATGTGAATCATTGGGGTTTCGGGAGCATCCCAATCTTGTCAAGGTAACCAAGAGACCATATGATGCAAAGTATCATCCCTAGACGAGAGAGTCTGGGAAAGAACTTTGAACTGTCACTCGTAATGGCTGTGTAGCTTGAATATATTTCGGACCCCTATAGTATTGCCCTGTGTCATTTCAGCCTTGCTGACTCCATGTTTGACTTTCTGGGCTTGGAATGACAACCTCATTAGCACCGAGTTTGAGACGTATGTTTCATCACAGAAGAACCATCAACATTCTAGAACACGGAGATGCAAGGGGCCAGTGGTTTGGTATGGGTGGTGTGGGGCTAGCCGAAGTTGTGGGGGGTGGGGAACTGTAGCTGCGGCAAAGTACTTGTATGCACTGCAGAAATGCAACTTAACTGTGAAGAACCAAAGGTTAGTTATGAAAAAAGACAGGCTACTGGCGGCGCAGAATACAGTGAGATCCAGCCTGGCAGGCAGGGAGGGACATCTGCAGGTATACCATGAGATTGAGGACACCTGAATGGGAGCCTGCAACAACAAAGTTAAGCGGGTAGAGACAGGACGAAGAAGGGAGAAGAAGATAGAAGTAGAAAGGCACAAACGAGATAGAAAGAGAAACAGCAACCGGTGACCGTGTCATGTGATCCACGCATGCTTCCTCAGTCTTCCCAATTTGGCAAGAGCAACCCCCATGGGGAAATGGGAGGTCACAAGAGCTTCCCACTACCGCCTTTCACCGTGACACGTCAACACTCCACAACTGAGACCACACTGAATATCACGTGCTCGGCCTGTCCCGCCAACAATGGACCTAACAGAGTCGGACTTGCCGGCCCTGGTTGGGGATGGCTCCTTCGGGGCAAAACGCCCAGCCTCCAAGGAGCCAAGCCCTAGCCCTGATGCCAAAAAGCCTCACCCGGACGTGCAGATGCATCCTGAGTCCCAGACTGTCCCTTATCAAGATAAGGTGAGCTACGATCTTGACAATATATCTCTTGCTAATTTCTCTTTCAAAAGCCTGCAGTTGTCGAAGAGCGAAATGGCGACATCGAGATCCGAGTGGTCCACAATGATCGCTCACCTGAAAGTACAGTCACCCTCACCGGAATTAAATGTCTATTTCAATCGCAACTGCCACAGATGCCCAAGAAATACATCACTCGTTTGGTTTTCGATTCCAACCATCTATCTATGGCTATCGTCAAAATGCCTCTGGAGGTGGTTGGTGGAATAACGTATCGAGAATTCCGAGACCGCAAGCTTGCCGAGATTGTCTTTTGTGCCATTTCACCCGATCACCAGGTCAAGGGATACGGATCACATCTCATGAATCACTTTAAGGATTATCTGAAAGCATCATCTCCAATCATGCATATGCTCACTTACGCCGACAACTATGCAGTCGGATACTTTCAAAAGCAAGGCTTTACCAAACAAATCACGCTGGACGAGAAAATATGGAAAGGGATCATCAAGGACTACGAAGGAGGAAAACTCATGCAATGCACCATGATACCCCGCATACGGTATCTGGAGGCAGCTCGTATGCTCCACAAGCAGAAAGAAAGCGTCAAGGCCAAAATCCGCACCTTCAACCAAAACCATGTCATCCATCAACCCCCGGAGCAATGGGCTACCAAAGTCACCCCGATTGACCCACTCTCGATCCCTGCAATTCGCACCAGTGGATGGTCCCCGGAGATGGATGAGTTCTTGCGAGCTACGCATCGCCAATCTCCTGCCCAGAAACTCCGCAATGAGCTTCGAAGCTTTTTGAACCAAATCCAGAATCACAAGCACGCATGGCCTTTCCTCAAGCCCGTCAACAAGGAGGAGGTGACTGATTATTACGATGTCATCAAGAATCCAATTGATTTGGGTACAATGGAAGAGATCCTCGAGACTGACGTTGATCATTATGCTACTCCCCAAGACATGGTGAATGATCTCAAGTTGATGTTCAACAACTGTCGGTTTTATAATGATCCAACATCGCCGTACTACAAGTGCGCGGATGCGGTGGAAAAGTACATGTGGAAACTGGTCAACGAAGTTCCGGAGTGGCATAAATTGGTCTTACAGGATCAAACCTAAGGCTTTCACTGAATGGACTGGGAATTTTCAAGTGATACTACGAGAACTATGTGAGTATGTCATTTCATGTTATGTGCATCGGCCTTTCTAGGAAATCAATGCATACTTCGTACTTTATCATTTGTTTCTATCTGGTTTATCTTCTACAAAGCTTTGATCTCTAGCATTTCACTACAGAACAATTTCATGGCAATACCTCCGTTCATGGTTGAAACAAAAACTGCCTGGCTTGAGATAAAACCTTGAATTTTTTTACTAATCATCAACCGGTTCTAAGCTTATCAGAGCATGAGGCTATTTTGGACGATAGATTCAAACCAATCATCGCTGCTTGGGTCGATCACAGTATCAAACCGCATCAGCGGACTCGCTGACACCCACAAGTCTATGGCCCTTTGAATGCCACGCCAACTGCTGTTGACTATCAGCAATCACAACCTCCCGCCAGTAAGTCGCCTTCAATGGCCGCCTTGTAGTTCTTACTCAAATACGAATAGCAAAGCGATAGACCACTTGATTTCAAAGAAATAATAAAACATTCAATAAGGAACAATCTAGATAAAGCGCACAATACATCATCTCACCTCTTCAAATGTTGTAATCGCTTCGAGCGCCAAAAATGCAAAGAAACAGCACCAATAAATTACCAAGCCAGAATCTCCTTCTGTGGTCCACAAGCAAGAGAAGCACAAAGCGCCTCATCCTTATCACTGACTGTCGTATCACAAGGAACCTTAGGCTTAGCAGGCCAGACCTCATGGCCCTCAGCCTTCTCACGCTCAAAGTGTTCAGTAATGACTTCTCGGACTGTGCTCTGGAAGAAAAGCGGTGCTTTCTCGAACTTAGGGTGAAGTTGGCCGTTTGTGAAGACGTTGCGGTCGATGTTGTTCTGGGCGTTTGTGCAGAGGACTTTGTCTTCGCCCATGACGCGGGCATACATATCACTGATGAGCTTGAAGTCTTCCTCTGAAGAGTTTCTGTTTCGGTAGACTTCGTAGGCCATTTGGGATTTGTCGGCGGCCTTTGGGAGGAACTTCTGGACCATTATGAAGTGTGGTCTGGGATTGTTAGTTGGTTTTTGATTGGTTATTTGGGGCGGAGGGGGGACTTACGACACGACCATGGCTGACATGGGGAAGTAATATGTGCTGGCAGTGTACAGGCCCTTGGCGATCTGCTCGGGGGTTGACTCGCAGTGGTGTTGGATGTGGCCAGCCTTAGTGTCACTGTCGAAGGAATCGAGGTTCAGGAATTCGGGAATGTCAGAGTGAGTGGTTGGGCAGTGGTAGCATTCGTTGAAGTTATCGGCCAGAATCTTCCAGTTGTAGTGGCCTTCGAGCTCGTAGGAGTGGTCAAGATCGTAGTCTTCAAAGTTGTAGTGCTTGTATCGCTCCTGTGTGTCGACGTTCTCGAAGTGTTCCTCCCAAGGAACCTCGGGAACTTCCTTTGCATCGAGATTCACCCAGATGAAACCGTTGACGTCGACCTTCACATGAATTCTGAAAAGGTTGTTCTGGTTCTTGTCAAATCCATCGAGGTCCTTGTATCCAGTCGCCTTGGCGAGCTTGCCGTTCAGGCCGTATGACCATCCGTGGTAACGACAAGCCAGAATCTTGGAGTTTCCAGAGCCTTCCTGTTCAATGACTGGATACGCCCGGTGTCTGCAGACGTTGTGGAAGGCATTCACTTCGCCCTGTCGGTCACGGGTGATGATGAAATCGAAACCGGCAATCTCATATCGAAGCCAGTCACCGGTGTTCTTGACCCGCATGCTGTGAGTGATGAAAAGCCATCTCTTGGAGAAGATGGCACGGCGTTCCAGCTCATACATCTCTGGTGAGGTGTACCATGACGCAGGTAAGGCTCGAACTGGAGTATCCTTAACTTGCTCTTTGGCAGAAGGAGGAGCATCCTTGCCGAAGCCGAAGTAGTGCATCATCGAAGAAGCCATGGTTGTGATTTGTGGGCCTGTTCAAACAGAAAGAGGTCTTTGATTTCTGTCTTCATCCTGTTCATCGGCCCTTCTTTATACGCATGGCTGAATTGACACCGAGCCGTATACAATAGCACATCCGATCAGATGATTAACCCGATATCCGAATTTGGCTGATAATCCTTCCCTTGGCGGGTTGGATTCCCAAAAGGGAAATCGAAGCCGCCACCCCCAGATTGACAGAGTGGCTGGAGAGAGTTCACACAATCAGCAAAACCCGCGCGGGCGCACAATTGATATTTGATTGCTTGGCTTGATACCCGCTCGGTAGCCCTTCCGTGCATGATGCCCACGAGATTGGGCATCATGATTCCCAGGGCCAATGGAAGTCCCCATATTTGCTATCACCCCTCATTATCAGACCCAGTTTATTTCCGGTTCCTGAACGGCGACTCTTGATAGAGCGGGTTCGAAGCCCCTAATAGTCGAATGATCCAACGCGGGGGGCCGGATGATCTTGTTGCCCCCACTGTCTCGACAGATGTCAGTATCTCAATTGCGAAGAAGCGGGAGATCCGACTACCAATGTCGCACTGCCCAGTCAAAGGCACCGATGACGGCACAGGGTTGCCGATACGATCAATGTTGCATTATGGCTGTCGGCTCGAGGCCCTGTCGGGTTCAAATTGATTATTCTCGGAAAGGCCGATCATAAGCCCCCCTGTGGTCATTTCTTCACGGTCGCATTTCTTCGCAAAAGCATTTCTTCGTCCTTTTCAACGTTGACCCGACTGGGAGGATATTCACGAGTCGCTCTCGCCTACTGTGGAGAAAATGCAGTAACAACAATAAACGGGCCAGATCGCTGACCATGTTGCCGTCACCAACAGAGTAGTCCTCTGCCTCAAGGGGACAATGTGGCCAGTCGGCTGGAATCTTGCGGAGGGTGCGAATGTGAAAGTTGGAAACATTCAATGTCGGGAGTAAGTTTAGTCCATCCCAGCATGCGCAGTATCTCAAAGTATGGAGTACAATCGCTACTTTTGCTGAAGAAAGTCTTCGGGGGTTCGAATGCACCCTTCAGTGTAATTATATTGAGCGGGCGTGTAACTGATACTCAAAGACCTCTCCAATAAGCATATCCGATTTGATTGCTCTGATGCATCTGCACACTTCTTCCGCTGCTGAAGTCCCTCGGTTTCTTGCGCCTCCTCCGATATTTTCCACTTACATCCACTGTGGTATCTCTCAATAATCCTGCCGGAAACCGCGTCACCCAAGGTCTGGTATAGTTCTCTGCCTCGCCAGCAATACTTGCGATACTACATACATATAACATTTGTTGAAAACTTCGTTCTCCTCTGTCTGAGCGGCACTAACTCGCAATGTGTCGCAGACCTCGTTGAAAAGGCCGACTGTTATGTCCGTGTGGTTCTGTTGCGCGATCTTCTAATGCATAAGGCCTGCAGTGGGAGCTTCTCCCTTGAATTCATCATTTGGTATTGTCAAGATGAAGTAGGGTGGAGGGGAAATGCCCTACCATTCAAGGATGCTGGATTGCCCCTGGACGGCATGAATGTAGTCAGCAGCATTATCGAAATTCTCGCGGCTAAGATTCCAGAAGCTGGTGACATCGAAATGAGGATTGTTGCTCTTTCCTTCCTCAGTGTTGTGTGGGAAGTTCGTTCCAACCATCGTTTGCTGTTTGTAGATAGACCCTCTTCCCCGAGTCTCTCTCTCTCTTCTTCCTCTCTCTCTCTCCCGCAGTCAATCAATCGGTTCCAGTCAGCTTCTTCTGTCCTTTAGGCCCAACACTCAGTGATCGCAAATATCTCGTTCATCACATTGTCGGCATACCAAACTGGAATTTGGCCCAAAGCCGACCTGCCAGGCGCCGGCGCTTTCTTGATGTTGGCCTTGACGCAGTCCCGGAACGCTGCGGAGAGATTTTTCATGAGCCAGGAATCAACTAACAACGAGTAGAATTTCCACGCCAGATAATTCTTGTCGTTGCGTTCGGGGCGTGGCACGAGGCTATCGATGAGAGCCTCGAGGTTGTGAAAGCTTAGGCTGCGGCGAACACTTGAAACCCATTCATCCACATTCTTGTCTTTTTGGTCCAGGATTTCAATCGTTTGCAGAATCAATGTTTCTGGACCTTGAATCTTTGGGAGGTTCATTGCTTGATTTTCCTCCAAACCCCCCAGTCAGGAAGGTGCTCTTCGTCGAGATAACCGCGCAAGCTGCGCTGGAAGACGCCGCTGGAATGGGGGCTGCGAGTTCTAGCAGGAATCGTCAATTCGGCGTTGCTTGTGCTGGCTTCGGTATCGATTTCATCACCATCCTCCTCCATTGTATCACTGGGATCAACGAGTGTGCTGAAATACCTCATTTGTCGATTGACCAGGTGCATTTCCTTCTGCCTGTGTTCAAGATAACCAGTTCCTGTCAAGAAACCCACTTCCGTGGTTTGGGCCTGCCACGTGGATTCAGTCTCAGCGCCGACACGACCACGCTCGTGTTGGCCCATCTCTGAATATCGAGAATCAATTGGTCCGCGCGGGTTGCCCAGTCCAAGCTATTCAACCCACGCTCGCTCAAATCGTGCAAAATCCGGAGGGACAAGAGAAAGAAAAGGAGAGAAGAGAGAGATGGTGAGTGACTTCCCAGGTGACCTGAGTGAGGAAGGAGCTCGGGAAGGAGCAGAGAGAAAGGGAAAGAGCGCCCCATCAGGTTCTCAACTGCCAACTGAACGAAGAGTGAGCCCCCGGAGAAAAATGTCCCGCCATTACATGTTGCCCCAAGTATGATCTATCAAGAGAGTGGGTTTCAGCTCTAGAGCTGTAGAGGGTTGAAGGAAACAGCTCATGCGCGAGACCGTGGAGCTACCTGGTAGTGAGGATCTCTTAATCCTAGCACAAAGTAGCCATACACATGCGGAATCCACTGAGACCTGGAGTCTAGTCAGTGCTCTGCCCATCACTTCTACGTCCACTGGTGTGAGGAATGAGAGGAATGCCAGACGATTATTTGACCTGAGCATGTGGGGCTCAGGCTTTGGTTCAATTGGTCGGATATCTCCCGGTCAATTGAGGTCTGTGATTGGCTCGGGAAGGACCGCATGTCAAAATCAGGCAACAGCGAAAACAATCTCATTTCTGCAGAATACTGGTACTCAGAATGTATGTCCATTGATTATTGGATTATCATGCGAGTACACGGAGTATATAAAACTTGAGTACAAAATCCAGAACAAAGCCACCGAGTTCACCTGGCACTCAATTTCATGGGTCATACGACCTGCCACAAACATGAATGCCGAAAGCCTGTGTGTCCAAACACAACACCAACACTAACAAACTAGATCATGGCAGCGATAGCCACGGCAGCAGCAGCACCAAGAGGAGCACCAGTGATGATCGCCTTCGCAGTTGGGGCAGCTCCACCGGTAGTCGAAGTGGTTTGGGCGCTGGTGAGCTTGGAAACACCAGCAGTGATAGGCAACTTGTAGTATTTGACGGAGCTGGTGGGGATATTGGAGGCGGAAGTCGAAGTAGCAGTGGAGTAAGTGGTACCGCTTTGCGAGCCAGTGACCTCGTATTCCAACGAGCAAGAAGCAGACTGGCTAGTGCTGGTGAAGGAGCATTTGTGTTCCTGGTCAATGGTCACAGTGCCAACGCGACCAGTGGTCGCGGCAGTGTACTTTCCGGTGAAGCTGAAGGTCGTGGAGCCCTGGATGAGGGTCCAGGGAGTGTCGATGTCACAGCGGGACTTGGGGGCACCGGTCATGCAAGAGATCTCATATGTGGTGAGGTGGGAAGTGATGCCGACAACGCTGGCGGCGGTGCTTGTGGGGTAAGGGAGCTTGGAAGCCCAATCGAAACCATATCCAAAGTATGGGCGGGTGGTGGACTGCTCGGCGGCTGTGACGAGAGAGGCCAAGGTAGCCACGAGGAAGGAGGTAAGTTGCATTTTAGCGGGGTAGAATTGACAACACAGTAGACTTGGGCAGTTCAATGAAGGACTCAGAAAATTTCTCAAAAAAATACCTACCCCAGAATAGGGATACAGACCCCTTTTAAACAAAAATATAGGCGCTCGATCTTCTCAGCCTTACCAAATACTACCTGGCGTTGTATAGGGCCTAGCGTAGCCAAGCCACTAGGATGCCGGTCTCCTGTGCATAACCCATTCTCATAGGAGCCAGGGTTTGGCCAAGCCGGGGCCGCGCTGGATAGGGTCTCAGTATATGGAGCTCAGCTCCCCCCTAGGCGTGTAAAATGCTAGGCACTGCTGCCTAGTATGCAGGTTTTGACCGCTCTGTTTGGGCATGCACAGACTGCCCAGATGTGAGCTGGTTAAGATTCGAGCATGTCCAGCCAAGAAGTGCTGTTGTCAATGCCTAATATCAACAATGCAGTGGGATTTGAGCTTGTTGGGAAAGAAAAAGGGGAGCTTTGCAACAAAGAGCTTGAGAAATTTGTATGAGATCAGCGATGATGATTTTCATTAGGCGCAGCCCTTGGTTCGATTGACATCTCCAGTCGCAAGTAAAACAATTCCGTTTCCAATAATTCCAAGCTCGGACGCTCCGATTTGTCGGGCTTCAACATCAAGATTATTGGTGACGTTGGTGGTTCCATCAAGCGCCGGGCAGACAGGGAGGTGTCTGCAATAAAAAGGTTAGTTTTCCGTAGTTCAGGGCTGTTTGGTACAGAGCAGAGCAATTTGTCCTCCGTATTGGCTGCTCAATCAAATGCTCGTGTCGGTTTCTTGACATTGACCCCTTGCTTGGGCGCACACATGTAGTGTTCCGACAAAAACTTGAAAATGTGCCATTTTGATTATTAGAAAACTTGATCGATCGATTCATCATGCCACGAAGAACACCTCCCCTCACGGATCTTACCCCACGCACTAAGCCTTGCATGTTGATCAACTTGCAGATCTAGGCTAGTTCCTGGGGCCATGGGGTATGGGATGGGGTACGGAGTAGCCAGTAATAATTTTACTCTTTGTCATATCGTAATGGCTTCGGAAAAGGATTACAATCTTTTAATTGAATCAATAGACGCTGGGAAGGGAAATTCGGGGAAATGGTTGTGTCAACACTGCTGAGTCGGGATTGTTAGTGGGGCTATCTGGTCCGAGGTCTGCCGGAGTGACTCGTAGTATGTATTCGCTTCTACCAACAATTAATTTCCAAAGCACTCACCAATCAGCTGAATGGGCTCAATTATCCTGTTGAAAATCGGATTTTCAGCAATGAGGAATTTCTAAACTTGAAAATTGTATGAATTGGGCTGAAATGCATGCCTCGGCTTTTTCCGGCATTGGGGGGAAATGAAGCACTGGGAATACATGTATCACAAACTTGAGCTTTCCTGGGGTTTTTCCTGGCTTTTCAATGATACTTGCATGATAAAACTGCAAGGAATGTTTCCCGATTCAACGACGCTTAAATTGAAGTTGCAAGGAAGGCAGCGTAGTGGTGAAGGTATCTAAGGTGTGCTTTTCAAAAGCTTCGCCGCTTTCACCAGGAGCGAGTTGAATATTGAAAGACTGTATCAACGTTGAAAGAGAGATCCGAAGGCTCATCATTGCCAAGTTCTTTCCAGGGCAACTATAAGGGCCTGAAAATCGAGGATTAGAACATCACCACAGCCAAGTCACGAGGACAAACTCACCAAGTACGAACGGGAAGAATGGTGCACCATCCGCACACATCTCTTTCTTTTCACCCCATCGCTCCGGCACAAACTCTTTTGCATTTGTGTAATATCTTTCATCAGTTTGGACCAACTGAACCGGAACAAAGACATTGACATCACCAGGGATATGTACTTGATCCACCATGATACCTTCTGCTGGGGTAACACGGTATCCCCCGGTCATGACTGCCGGTCGCAGACGCAGGGTTTCCTGAATGATATCATCGAGGTAACTAACCGACTTGACCTTCTCGTAGGACCATTCATCCTCACCAGCCGGCATAGCGTCATCCAATTGTCGTTGCAGCTTCTCCAATACTGCAGGGTTCTTTACCAGATAGTAAAGCACCGAGGCCAAGGTAGTTGCCGTGGTCTCACTACCAGCGACAATAACAACGCGCGAGTCTTCGTGGAGAGCTGCCTCGGATGGGGCTGCCGATACATCCTTTTCCACGTATGCCTTCAGGAGCCAGGAAACAACATCCTGGGGTGTTTCATCCGCGCTCCAATCCTGAACAAGTCAGCATCTCTGTTGAAACTGAACTGGCCATGCTCTTTGCACACCTTTTGCTTTCGCTCAATCTCATCGCCGCACCATTTGAAGAAACTGGAGTACCCTGACGCTGCGCCTGGAATGCGACTTGCAAGGTTCAAGAACCATGGAACATGGCCCAGGACACCAAGAATACCCATGTGGTCATGGACGCCTTTGATCGCGGGGTGCTCGATTCCAGTACCAAGATTGTTGAACTCTTTTCCAAAGCCGACTGCTCCCATGATGTCGAAACTCAAGAACATCGCCCAAGCGCTGGCATCGATAGGCTGTCCTAGATTCTTGTTGAGATGCAAAGCTAGTTGATCTGCCTTGGCCTTGACACGGGGCTCGTATGTTGCAAGAGCTGAACGCCTAAGTCAGCAGCAGTTACATCGAGGAGTTGAACCAACTCACCTTTGATACTGAACCCGCGGTCCCATGCCTTGCGACGTTTGCGATGATCATCGATATCGCGTGTATGGTGCACAGAGCAGTTTTGGGACTCCGTCGACGCCTGAGCATAGTATGTGGATTTGCGACATTTCGAGTTGGGGCCAAATATCAACGGAACAGCGGACTTTCGAACAATGCAAATTTCGCGCGGACCTTGAAATAGAAAAGCACAGTTCAGCTACCGCAACTTTTGCCGACGATCGGTGAGCACTGACCAGTTCGAATAAAGTCTCCATAGGTGTGGTGGAGTTTCTCGATCTCGACGTTGTATTGAATGGACTTTCCTGCGAGATAAGCATCGTAGAAGCGAGAGAGCTTCGAGAGTATCGGACCGGGAAACCGATGAAGTCGATGGAAGAATAGCCGATATATTCCAATGCTGGATGCGAGTCCCACATTGAACGAGGAGACAATCAAAGTCACTCGCGTCAACACCTGCAGCACCGTGAATCCCGTGACAAATAAATATGCAAGACAAATTGTAAGCACCGCCAGGAGAGACAGGCCAAGAGTCCCCAGCAAGTATTCCTCAACAGGCAATGTGCGGAAAATTGAGACGTGGGACAACACTCCCAGACCCAAGACCGAGACACCAAGGCTCACAAGGTCAGCACTCAGAGCCCACTCCAATCCTTCCACGAGGTTGTTTGAAAAAGCCATTCTGGCGATGAGAGATGTGGAATGGATACGATCGAGGAGAAACGCTCGTATTCTCGACAGCCATCTTGACGGCTTGTTGCTCCACCAATTCCAACGGTAGCACGATGATTGGCGCAAGATCGAGAACAGTGATTCGGGGTTTGAATTGGAGATTAGAGTGAACTCGAACTGCTAAAGATTTCACCCCGGTTCAAGTGCGTGTCAAAAGTACGACAAAGTGGGTTAGTTATGCACGCTTCCTGCGCCTTTTTTTCGTGTCTCAGCCCCCTTGAGCTCCACTCTTTTATTTTTCATCGCACTCAAAAATGCAGAATACTGACATCAAACGAAGAAATTGGGGCATAGATCAACTATTGATTCGAACGTTGAAAGTGTTTGACATCGGAGAATTCGCCCGTGGCGCCCGGGCTCCCGTGCTCCCGCCGTCCCCCCGCCAAGCCCTCATCGGGTGGCTGATTAGCGCCGGAGAGCCTCCCGCTCTGGACACAACTGGGCTACTTGATTGACTGGCGGAGATTGCATCGCGCTCCACACTATCGGACTGTTCGCGATCGTCAGCACTAGCATTCCCCCAAATAAATTTGCGCAATATATCTGTCAGGGTTGATGGGGGCCAGAATCGAATTTTGAGCACAAGATCCTCTCGATCATAAGGGATGCAGCATGCTGTTTTGAACAGACCAGCAAACGGAAATGGCACTGGTGAACCTTCGGCCGGTCACCTACGTGATCATTTCCATTGCGTTTGCCCTGGGGACCACCTCTATCTTCCTCCGGCTATACTGTCGATGGCGTCTCAAGATCTTTGGCCGAGATGATGCCGTTGCCATTTTTCTCTTCGTTCGTCGCACGCGTTGGTCTGAATGGTCGGAAACTGACGATTGTAGTTTGTCAATACCATGCAGCAGGCAATTCTTTACATCTTTCTTTCCTACGGGTGTGGGCTGTAAGTATCCGGTTCCACCACCCGAGATCCAGAGCTAATTCGACCAGACCAGCAGATCAAACACCAGCCGGCACAATGGAACATATACAAAAGGTAATGGAGTACCTTGACACAGTTTGGGCAGAATATAAGCAATTGGTGCTAACGTCTATCTCCAGTGGCTCTTTGTTGAGGAGGTCTTCTACATGTTTGTACACTTCACGCTCAAACAAGCCTTTTTGCTGTTTTATCTTCGCCTCTCGCCGAAGAGAAACTTTCATTTTGCCGTTTATGGAACAATGGTGATGTGCACACTATTCCTCGGAATTGAGTGGCTGTTGGCATTCTTGCAGGCCCAGCCACTGGCGGCCATGTTTCACCCTGAAGCTTACCCGAACGCCAAATTCCTCAGTCAATACGTCGTGCAAATGGTCCCGACAGCGTTGGTAAGAAACATTGCGGTGTTTCAACAGGATAAAAAACTGACATTCGATTGCATAGAACGCCTTTTCCGACATCATCATTCTGATACTGCCCCTTCCTACCATACTCAAACTGCAAATGAGCAGGAGGCGAAAGGCAGTCGTGATCGGTATTATTTGCTTCGGATCCCTGTCTGTCGTCACGGCTCTCTGTCGATTTGTTGTTCAAAAACAACTCATTGCCGAACAAGATACCGCCTTTATTATGGGGCGGATGATCATTGTGGCGGGCATCGAGATTGAGATTGCAGTCATTGCAGTCAATTTGCCAGCACTCCGATCACTTTTCACCAAAATAGTGGGAAGTTCGCATGATCCTGTCAGTCATGCTCACGGAGATGCCCATAAACTATCGAGTTTGAATAGTGTTGGCAATCGACAGCTGAAAGGAATGTTTGGTGGGTCCCACAAGGCCAATCACCCACTGAGCGCTACCCTAACCGAGTCGGAGGAAGAACTCATGCGCCAAGGAGAAAATTTCAAGGGAATCCATGTCATGACCAATGTGGATGTTAGCATCGCGAAGAGCTGAGTGTTGGCGGATGTTCGACAAATAAAAGCCATGCGTTCCCTCGTTGGGAACTGGATTTGCAGCTAGGGGGGATCATCATCGTTAACCGAGGATCAGCTGCAAAGCATTGACTCGTATTCCTCGGCAACAAGGCGAATCAGCTGAAACTGACCAAAGGTAAAATCAACATAGGCGAACGATAGTTAATCTGAGATCCACACACTAGTTAGAACATCGTGGTCGGGTTGTTCCTGATCGCCCTCTCCACTTTTCGTTACTAATCTCAGGGGTTCGCATCCTTCGATCGGTTAAAGTTTTGGATGTTTTCTAACTTGTATACTCAACGACGTGATGCGATTTGGTCGGGATTTGCATGCGCACATCGTGCCCGAGTGGGCGTCCTGCTACGTCCCTTACAATGTGGTCAAACGCGCCCTCAAATTGGCGGTCGGCAAGGCTGTCGATGAAGGCTCTGATCCAGATTTGACAGGCGAGTAAATAATGACACTGTATCTTGAACGCAGTGCTAATGTTCCAATAGAGTTCTTTGCGCTTCTGGGTAAGAGTAATGAGTCCTTTGACGATTTCCATCGCGAAAAGTGCGATCATCTCAGGGCAAGACAGGCCGAGCTCTGCATCAAATACGAAAGAGCTATCAAAGCATGTCCTTTCTCAAGTGATGGAAAACGAGAGTTTCACGAAGCAAAAACTTTCATCAAGGTCGCGACAGAGCTCCGTGAAGACTTCGGAAAGCTGCAAAAGTATTCCCGCGTCAATGAAGACGCCATCCACAGACTATATGTCAAAATTGAGAAGTTGAACAATTTCATCACGCCGGCTTATGAAGAACAAAAGTCTAGGTGGCACATGTCCCAGATTGACCGCCATCGACATTCCGTGAATTTCTTGAACAGGCTGGACAGCTTGACAGATAGTATCAAGGAAGCACGTGAAGTCCCTGAGGAGATGCAGCTATGCTCGGACAAAGATACATCTCAGCAAAAACAGTTCATGGCCGTCAAGCGACCGGCCTTGTATCGTGCTGTCAGCAACGATGACCCCTCTACCTTGGCCTACCTGCTCAGAAATTTGTCGCGTGATCCAACCCTCAAGCTTGATCGGAAGTCCATTGTGTACGAAATGGCAGAGACGGCCGTCAGTTGTGATTCTACATCATGCTTCGAAAATTTACTATCAAAGGTTTTTGATCGAGACGGCGTTGTTTTAGACCATGACTTGCTCAATCAGATCATCTCTAAGGAAGGCCAAAGAGACCAAAGTGACACTGAGAAGAGCCATAGCCTGTTCGAATTTGCTTTCGAGCACATTGTGCCGCGTCAGACAGATGCCTTGTTCTCAAAGGACCTATGTGATCGTTCGAGTCTTCACTATGGCGCAATCTACGGCCTCAATCCCGTCTGCAAATCTATCCTTAGTTGTGCTCAGGGCCTGGGTGGTGGATATGCGGCGAATCTGATCTTGTCTTCGGACTCGCATGGATTTACGCCTTTTCACTACGCTGTGATCAAGAATCATGTGGATGTTGCGAATACATTCCTGGAGGTCCTGCGGTTGGACAACAGGAGTGATGAGGAGCTGTGCTGGGAACTGGATGACCTACTAATAATCGCACTCAGATACCAACACGACGATATGGTATTCCTCCTCGCTCGTGCTAACTTCGGCCCAAATAGCCATTCTTTGCACGGTGAAACTGCGCTTTACGTTGCCTCTCAGATTGGTCGTGAAGACTACGTCAAGTTGTTACTGGAGAATGGCAGTGATGTCGACATCAATACCCCTGAAACACCGCACGCATGGACTCCATTGTTTATTGCGTGCATTGAAGGCTACGGGTCCGTTGTCGATGTCCTTCTGCAAGCCGAAGCGAAACAAGATGTCCTTGATCACCTCGGCTGGAGTGCGAAAGAGCACGCTGCCTTGAGGGGCCACCTTGAAGTGGCTGGAATGTTGGAGGCATGGGATCCAAACAATCTCACTGATGGACCTGCTAGTCTTCCACTGAAACCCGACCCTGAACCCAAGACACCATTACCACTCCATGCCCATCATGTTATCATCAACCTTGGTGTGCTGAGAATTGGCGAGCATGTCGACGCTGTCGATTTTGAAGGCCCATTGGCAACGACTTCTTCCTCTATCGACATGTCCATGTCGATCGAAGACAATACCAGCGAAATCATCAAGCTTCCCATGCTAAGTGACATGGTGAATGAGCCTTTCGTCTTCCCTGTTGCAAAGCCAGATGAAGCGCGTTTGGTCTTCAAGTTTTATAGCTCGGATCATTCATATGAGGAGCGGAAACTTGTGGGCAGTGCCGCGGCTCTGCTTGGGAATGATAAAAAATGCTTTGGCGAGAACCGTGAGAGTCTCGTCAGAGAGCGCACCGTTCCGATTTTCGACAAAATCACAATGGATATCATGGGAACTGTGACCTTTACTTGCATCATCGCGAAGCCGTTGGCATCGTCGGAGGTTCCGTCACTTCCGAAACAATTATTGGAGAAGGACGAGCTCCAAGTGGTCGGCCACAGAGGTGTGTTCCAGGACATTTCTAAGACACCCAGTTATCTGGGCCATTGCTGACATACCACAGGACTCGGTCAAAACACAGCCAATCGAACTCAGCTTCAGCTAGGAGAGAATACCATCGAGGTTTGTTTCTTCTCGTTCCTGTTTGACTCGTTCTCGACATCTAACATTGAAATCAGTCATTCCTTTCAGCCGCGAGGCTGGGTGCATCATACGTTGAGGTAACTAGCCAATACTCCTACATTATTTCAATCGGGTTGACTAACATTCATCTTCTAGTTCGGTAAATCTTTCGCTATTCTGACCTTTTCCTCTCTATCTAACATCCAAGCAGATGCGCAACTGACCAGAGACCTTGTGCCAATCATCTACCACGACTTCTCGCTCAGTGAATCAGGTACCGACATTCCGATTCATGACCTCACATTCGAGCAGGTTGGTACCACTCTCCATATTCCAAGGCTAGGTTCTAACATTCTCAGTTTATGTACACAAGCAAACTTCAATCTCCAAGGGGCAAACCAGCATCAGTCCTTGGGAGGCCGCCTCTCAGCTTTGGTCAAAGGCCACGGGATAGACTTCGATCACGCTCTGTATCAAAGGACCGTGGGGAGACCCAGAACGTTAACGACAGGATGAAATTCACTGTTGATTTCCAAAACAAAGGATTCAAACCAAACACCAGGAGACAATCCATCCAGGACTCCTTCACAACTCTTGAGGAGTTGATATCAAAGCTACCAGACTCTATAAGCTTCAACATCGAAATTAGTAAGTCCTTACTGGGAGTTTCTATCAATACACCTCTTTGATTCGCTCTAACTTATCCAAGAATATCCTCGACTTCACGAAGCCGTCGAAGCCGGAGTTGCTACCGTGGCCCTCGAGATCAACACATTCGTTGATCAGATCCTCGACCGAGTCTTCAGAGCCAAGAGCGAGCGGAAGATCATTCTTTCTTCCTTCTCGCCCGAAGTCTGCATGCTCCTCACTACCAAACAGAATATCTACCCCGTCATGTTCATCACCAACGCAGGGAAGCCACCGCCCGCGGACCTTGATATGAGAGCGAGCAGTCTCCAAGCTGCAGTGCGCTTTGCGAAGCGCTGGGAGCTAGCCGGTGTAGTCTTTGCTTCTGAGACTCTAATTTTGTGCCCAAGACTCGTGGGTTATGTCAAAAGATCTGGATTGGTCTGTGGGTCTTATGGCGCGTTGAACAACGTTCCTGAAAACTCCAAGGTAAGTCTTTCAATCCCTTTTCTGGCTTTTCCTGTTGCCTGAATTTCTTTTAATAAGATAATTTTTCTTACTGATGCACATTACAGGTACAAAAGGCTGCTGGCCTCCAGCTTCTCATGGTCGACAACGTCAGGCTCATTACCATGGCTTTAGACGAGAAGCTTCAACTCGACATCTAGACGGCACGAGCCATTGAACCAGGATTGTGGATTCGGTCTGACCTAGTCCACGGACAATGTATTTTTTATTGAGTGAAATAGAGCTACTAAATCGGGGATACAACCTCTGCCAATACAAAGCGGCCTTAATGCTTAATTCAGCAGAAAAATCAGCCATCAATCTCTGTAAGACGGGGCCAATTTCCCGATTATCTTTCGGAAATGACCTGGGAGTCTGGAAATCGAATTGATGGAATCTTCCAACCTGCCACGCAACGAGTGGAAGTTTGTCGGCTCTCGGATTGCTACACTAACCCTGGAAAATTTAAATTGAAGTTGATTCTGAAATTCTCTGTGGGCAGATGGCCTGCACTTTAGATAATCCTGTTGTGTGGCATCTTTCTCCTTTCTTCCCTTCTCTTTCCCACTTACACCCTCGGTCTATTGCATTTCTATTCATCTTTCTGTTTCTTCTCGGTGGCCTCCATGTGATACCATTTCATGACATGCTCATGGGCATTGCTGACACTTGGAAATTCACATCGAGCGGCTTGTAAATTGGGGTCAGGTCAAGTATGCCCTCTCGCGTTTCTCAACTTTTTTTCAATGCGTGTTTCTCACTCTCAGCTAAGCGCCGCTCCTTGGTCCCGGCCATGACTTACATCGGAGAATATGGCGACCATCTGTTGTACCCATACACACCTTCCATCATTGCCGCCGGGATCTTCTTTGTGCTGTTTCTTTCCACAACCATGTACCATGTTTATCAGCTTCTCGCCAACCAGTCCTGGTACCTCTTGTTGCTTGCTCTGGGAGGGTTCTGTAAGCGCTTTTCAACATCGGCCTCTGTGAGGCCAGAAAAGTGCATCGTTGCCGTTCCACTGACTATTCTTATCCCAGTCCAGATGATTGGATACGTTGAGCGGGCAATCGCGCATTCGAACCCTGAAGTCGCACGGATCTATTCACTCCAAGCTATCTTCATCCTACTCGCTCCTGCTGTTTGTGCTGCGTCAATATACATGGCTCTTGAGAAATTGGTGTTGCATCTTCATGCGGAAGAATCCAGCATGTTGCCGTTGGGCTGGATGACAGCCATATTCATGAACACTGCTATGGTAGCGTTTTTACTTCAGGCAGCAGGTAATCATACCGGTCCCGTCAAAGCCTGCTGTCTCACAAATCAGGGATATGAGTTGCTAATTACCTATCTCAGGGTCAGGTATCATGGCTAATGGCAAAACGGACGATGTCATGACGATCGGGCGACACATCGTGATGAGTGGTCTATGCGTTCAAATTGTCTTCTTCGCACTATTCATACTCTCATTGCTCATCTTCTATCTACGCTACCGTACCCATGCACCCGCACAACAGGCCGTTGAAACCGGAAGAATCAACCTTCTGCATATCACTCACACCTGGGTAACGACTCTTTTCGGGCTGTATGCTGCGAGTGTGCTCATCCTGGTCCGATCGACATTTCGTCTCATCCAATATGCTCAAGGGCCCTATGGCAGTCTGCTCAGTCATGAGGTTTTTCTCTACGTTTTTGATGCACTCTTGATGTTCAGTGCTATGTTGGTAATGAATGTGTTTCATCCATCCATGGTATTATCTCCCCAACGCCGGAATGATTCTTTCTCTTTGGGGGCTTTGAGAGTTTTGTCTTAGACTCGTTGGACACAGTTTCGTGCAATAGAAGGGTCAAGGACTCGGGGAGTGGAAAATGCGTGCATATCTGGTTTGTGGAGTGAAATTTCCAGTGTCGCAGTTCATGTTCGGGTTCTATGAAAGCTTTTTGTCTATCGTTCTACTAGCCTGTTGTGATTAATGTAATCAACCAAGTTAAAATCTTTGCCTGTCTACCAAAGCAGTGTATACTTCTAGTATGATCTTTCCTTGTTGCAGTCTCTAGCGCACCTTCCTTCACTTGGCTCTTGCCTCTCTTCCCTTCTCCTTCTTTCTCCTCTTTCCTCTCTCCTTTCTCCTTTTTCCTTTCTCTTCTCTCCCCTCCTCTCTTCTCTCTCCTCTTTTCTCTCTTCTCTCTCATCTTCCCTCCTCGTCTTTCTCCTTCCCTCTTCCCTCTTTTCCCTTTGCTCTCTCTCTTCCACCCTATCCTCTTTCTTGTCATCTTCCTTCCTACTCCATCCAGCTTTCGAGTCAGGCATCCACTGCCCATCTTAAGCTTCCTCCCTTTTCACATCCGCGGGTAACGAGTTCTCTCTACCTTGCACCGCACAGATACCGACGTTTCTCTTAGCACTCCTGTGGGTCATTTTCACAATTCCTTCCAGAAGTTATTGCTCACACCTTTTACAGGGGTCTCCATTTCACCTCTTGTGCAGCATGTCTTCGTCTGCGAGCCCAACTGGCGCCACTGCCCAAGCTGCTTCCAACGTCACGCATGAGAACACCGAGGTTGAGAACACCGGGGTTGAGAACACCGGGGTTGAGAACACCGAGGTCCCCACCGAAATCAGTTTCAATCGACCCAAGCCCAGGGGTCAAGCACGAGATCTGCCGGAAAAGATCAATGCTCTCACGCTCGACAACGTGCGGGTACTGAAGGAGACCGACACGGACTTCGAAAACTGGCTCAGTGCCGTGAATCGCAGTCTTGGTCCACATGGTTTACGCAGGTTGACCAATGACAAACTTGCGCGTCCCAAGCGTGGTGATCCCGAATTTAAACTGTGGTTTTACTATTCCCAGAAAGTCGCGGCTTGGTTGCTGTCGCACGTCTCGGAATCAATCCAACTCCGAATCTCCATCAAAGAAGAAAGACCCAGGTGGTACCGTCATCTGCACGACAAGGATTATCAATCAAGTGAAGATCCTGACTTTGAGTACGACGAAGAATCTTCCCACGGCGACGGAACTGATGTGGATGACGGCGATGACGGCAATGAGGATGAAAGAGACCCCGATCATGATATGGACGAGGATGAAGAAGATTTTTTCGCCGACCATGTCATGAGAGACATTTGTGGCATCATGTTGGGGAACAACGCAAGCGATGAAGTCTTTTTGCATGTCCGCAAGTTCTTGCACCTCTTTCGCCCCCAATTCAAGACTGCGAATGACTACATTTCTGCCGTCCAGTCACAATACATCTCGCTCCTCAAGAAGGGTGTCGGTCCACCGCCCTTTTTTGTCCTATCTATGATGTTTGATCAGCTCGAGAAGTTGCCAATCATCAATACCTTGAGATACGAGCTATCTGACTGTGATCCAAAGATTGTGTCACTAGAGGACTTTTCCTACTATTGTCAGCGGATGCACGTAAATTCTTTGCAACTCTCCTGAGCCCCTTCAGCCGAGCACCACAAAAAGCCATGTTTTATCTCCGCTGTTCAGATTTTCACCACTCACTTTTCGTGGAGTATGTTCGCATGATCGAAGTTGCTTGTGGGCGAAGAATTTGAGATTGGTTTCTTCTGCTCTAGGGTGGTGGTTGGGGTTTCGACGGCTAGATGGACATCTCTCTTCTCTCGTCTGTCCCCTCGCTCAGCTCTTTAGTTAGTTTCAGGAACAGATATCTACCATTTCTGGGTATCTTCTCCTCTCGGTAGCTGTGCCTGTAGCCCCCCATAACAGATTTGTACGTTGAACGCCAAGCCGCAATAAGACTAGCCCCTCAAAGCCACGAAGGACGTGTCGTCTACGAAGGCTTTGAGTACTCTAGACTAACTCTAGAGGAGTGACCAAGGTCTCAGACTATCAGTCCTTCAAAATGCGCTTCCATGAATACTTTAATTAATTAGTAGATTGTGACTGATTTCATTTATTATACTAATTGTTTGGCATTCAATGATTTCGGCTTCTTCGACATACGGACTGCATATTGCCAGCCTGCAATGAAACCTCAACAAACCCCGGTCAGCGCATCCAGGATTGCACCAGTCATATCACCCTCTGCACCCATGATTCTGAGTCAGGATCAGAGAAGACCTGACCAACAATCAAGCAACTTCAGCATGCATGGCATGCGGCATTTGAAGGTCGCAATCTGTCAACAGGACAGAATAATGCAGCAACCAAACTTTGCCTCCAGTGGGTTTGTAGATGTGTCGTAAGAGTTGTCAACCTGGGAGAATTTCAGAAGTGTACCGGGGATGAGGCTGGTGTAGGGCTTTTCTCGCATATGTGTTCATGAAGAATGCACAGCTTAAGCTTCGTAGATGGACAGAGACTCAGGCAGATCACTACCACCGCAAGCCTTGTTGTAATCTCCAAACTGTTCTTCTCTTTCCTTGAGGAATTTGTGGAACTGCTTCTTTGAACAACTCCCACCTGGCCCATCTCGACAATCCACCAAAGGCTGAGGAGTAGCATTGTTCAAGATTCGGTAGTATTCTCCCTCGTCATAGCCATAGCTCTTGCAAGACATCTTCTCGATAGCAACATTGGTAAGGAATGGGAGGATTTCGCTGCTTTTCCAAGCGCGGTTGTAGTTGACTCTGTCCTCGGGCATGGTCTCATTCACGTGGTTCGCGCCCGTATACGCGCTGTTGTTGTACAGTCCAAGGGCAGTGATGACGGTGGGTGGGAGTTCGCGGTGGGTAAAGGAGACGTATAGCTCCTGTGCTGATGACTTATCATCCAGCGCTGCAACACTGGCATTTACCCATGGGAAACCGAGGCTGGCAGACAGGTCCCGACCATAGCCTGTGTTGTGGAAGTACATGATGTCATTTGCGTATTCGAAGGATAGCCATTCCTCTGATGTGAATAGGCTAGGTGCACAGAATGGTGAAGAGCCACGGATGACGGTCTCATATCCGCAGAGCTCGAACATGCCTGTGATGTCGTCCTGGGTGAAGTTGAAAGAGGGTGCTTCGGCTTTCAAACGCGCAATGATGGGCTTTGTGTAGACTTTTATGAAGGCCTTGATATTTGGTTAGCAGGTGTATATGGATAAAGAAAGTGTTAGATGACTTACAGAAGATTGGTCACTGCCGTAAGAAGAGCTGTACTCCGAGCAGCCCTTGTACGGTGTCAGGGAATCCGCGCCAGCGGTTTTACTTTCTTCAATCTGAGTCAAGTTGACCGATTTTGTGTTATTTCCAGTGAAACCCGAAATGAAGCTCTCGGCACTTTTGACGGTGCGGTCTGCAGTGGATGACCAGACCTTGGCAGGTGTTTTGAGGTGTGCATATTTCTTGTGAAGGCTCTTTCCCAGAGACCGGGCCTCTTGCAATCCAACAGCAGTCAATTTTTCAATGTGCTCGTCGCTAACTGGTGCAGTCCAATTGGACAGGAACTTGAGTGACTCTGTTTTCTTCCAGTCTTGCGTTGTGTTGTGTAGCTTTTCGATGAAAGGTTCGAGATAGGTCTCGTAATCGAAGTCATTGGCGTAAATGGCAGCATGGCGAACCAGATAAGATGCTCTCGTCACATTGCATCCCTGTGGGGGAGAGGATTGGATTGGAGGGTTGTGAGGGGTGAAGTAGGGAGCTATCCCGGCGGAATGTTCCAGGGGGTTGAAGCGGTAGGACAGAGCCAGGACCGGAGCAGTGAATACTAGAAGATTTTGGAGATGCATTTTGCTGGTATGGTCGCAGGCTGTCTCAGAAAGCTCTGATCTGCTATCCGTGAGCAGGACAATCTATAAAAACAAGCCATGAAGGTGTATGTCATTGTTTTGATCAAACAGGGAATCAAGATTGACGTAGGGATCGGCAACGGGAGTGAGCCGAACCTTGGAAGCCAACCAATCAGCGAGGGCTCGGTAAGCCTTATGGGGCTGGGCATCTATGAAACAGCACGAGTACGAGTGCACATTGCCTGGTAGAAGCTCTGGAGTACTCCGTAGTTAAGGTACCAATCTACAATCATCTTGCATACGGCATGACGGGTCCATAGTCTATTTTTGGTGTAGCTGCTTGGCTATAAGGTGGCTTTGGTCGCAAGAGTCATTCGCTTGCCAAAATCTACTGCGATTATCCTTGATGCTTTCGACTGAAACGGACCTGCCTTGCGACTGAGGTCGAGATTCGCCCTTCACGTCGCTGGTCCACTTGAAGCAACAGATTCTTATCGTTTTCTGTTAGTGTGGTACATGCTCCACGAACCCTGAGTTGGCGAAATGTCTAAATGATCAAACCTTTTCGCCGGAGAAAAAGAAAATTCAACAACAGCATTCTACTTAACTAGATTTTTAGGGTACAACACCTCCGTATTCGGCCACGACATACTTATGATTAGAATGTTATGATTAGAATGGACGCGGTGCAGGGGACTCAGCTCCCCGAAGTCACAGTATCGCGCGCAGGATGTCATGTTTGAAGCGTACTTTTGTTTTCTTTATTCCTGATATTTAAGTATAGAGATTGGAAGGAGTTGTGGTGTCAGGGACTCTATTGAGTTCTACTTCGAGGAACACTCTCAATAGAGCCGCCACCCGCGCGGATGATCGCTAACTATTGAATCCTGATCCTAGTCACCGGGCTGTGAGGGGAAACAAAGAGGTTACTCAAGGATGTCAAATTCGAAGTCTTTGTTCGTTGCGAATTGTTGAAGGTCACTGGCCCTTCGTCCCATTGGAGAAAAAATAGAACACAATGAATCCGTCGTGCTCTGTGCCATGGTTGGTGACTCTTGAATCGCTAGTGGCAATTTGAATATCAACTTGCTGACCAGATTTTTGATCCCTGTCTTGAGAGGCCTGTTTGCTATGCAACTTTATAAAATCTCCGATTCATCCTTATGCAGTTGTTTTCCAAGTCCACAAACGCAATGAAAACCATTCACTTTGTCGCTTTTTCTTTCTTCTCCACTATCACAACAGCCACTACTTTGAGTGACTACACCTGGGGACTCTGGACCAGAGGACACAGCAAACGCGATGCTCCCGTGCCAGACACGAGTGAAATATGCTTCAGACATACTACCCAATATGGAGACACCTGTGCCAAAATCGCCGAAAAGTACTCCGTCTCAGTTAGTGACATTGAGAAGTGGAATACTGGATCATGGGGCTGGACCGACTGTCCCAATATCATGCCGGGGGACTTTGTCTGCGTCAGCTCCGGTGGCCTTCCAATGCCCAAAGCTCTTCCGGATGCCCAGTGTGGGCCACAGACGCCCGGTGCAATGCGACCGGAAAATTATGCTGATCTTGCTTCCGTCAAGCCTTGTCCCGTGGGCCAATGTGTAAGTATCACTTGTCAGTGCTCGACTTATCGGAAGACGCTAATACCGCTTGTCGATAGTGCGCGCGCTGGTTGAAATGCAGTAACTCATCGGAGGCCTGCAGTTCACAAGACGGATGTCTTTCCGGCTGTGGGGCACACGCGATCAAGAATGTGGCCGAATTGATCAAGGCCGAGGCCAACAAAGCAAAGACCTCAACTACAAGTACCACCACCAGTACCACAGAAAGCCCACCAGAGCCCACAACTGCGACTAAAACCACCGAGTTCAAACCATATGGCGGCTCAACCGAGACAGCACACCCAAAGCTCACATGGAAAGTGACCCTGTACGAGGCCGACACTTGCGATGGCGGAAATTACTACGACCTCATTGGGCACAATGACTACATGACCAATGGTATGCCATGTCTTCAATTGAATCAGGGCTGGACCTCTACCGATATGACGGATGAGACGAAACCATCTTGCCGCTGGTGGACGCAGGGCGGCAACAAATGGGAAAAGTGTCTGAATAGCCCCCTGAACACACCTAAATCGTGGTTTCTCGAGCGGGGATTTTGCGCAGTATTCACTGATGACAATTGCCAAACGCCTGGCGGGCGTCTTTCTCAACGAGGAGGTTGCCATCATCCAGGTGAGACGGCATACTCCCCTACTTATTTTGGGTCTATGCAGTGCTTTAGTTATGGATACTCGCATATCCATGACTGGCAAGGACGTGAAGCTCCGGAAGATGAATGAGATGCTTTCCGGGGAAATCTGGGAAGCCTAGGGGGATGTTTTAATGGAACTTTTGGCAGTTTCGGGTTCTGTTTGTTTTCCAGACGTAGGCTCTTAACCAATATATACATTTACCTGGACAGCGCTCAATGACAACAAAAAAAAAAGACACAAAAGCCCAGCCATTACTGAGTAGCGATTGGCTATTGACCCTCTTGCATAACCTTGAGAATCCTCCTGCTAAATTGATACTTAAACATTCGGTCTGGTCAAATAAAAAAATGTTGATGGAGCAATGTCTCTAGTATGGATGATGTCTACCCGGACTTTTGTTCTAAAGTTGTTGTAGCATTATTCTCCCAAACATTTCATCAACCAGCCAAGTGGCCGAGCAGTAACTCAGCCATCACATCTTCCTTGGTCTAGTGGTGATGATTTCCGCTTGTCATTAACACCGATAAGCGCGGGAGACCGGGGTTCGATTCCCCGAGGGAGAGATTTCTTTTTTGCTTTTGTTTTATTTTGCCCGCTGCTTCTAAAGTTCTTTTTTGGTTCCTGGAAAATGAAATAAGCTCTGCTCCAGAGTAGTATACTAACCAACCCAGGTCCTGGAGTAGTGACTGTAAAACCGACACTAATGTCCATGATTTTTCTCTCAACATGTACTGCAAACCCCACAGGCTTAAAGAAAGATCAAACAGCGAATGCTGGATGAGCACATGATGATCACATACACTGTAAAGAGACCGAGAATATCAGCGTTGGCCGTTCTTTCTCTGTTTGGTACTTTCCCTATGTCGAACCCTATGTTTTACTTCCTGGACTTCCTGGTATTGTTCCCACGACTCACAACTCACCTCTGGACCGGGGCTGAGATATAACTAGACACTGGTCATGCTGACTTGGGTCTGATTGCCCTCACCAAACGACTATTACCGTTTATCGGCCATGAGGTTCTGGGTGGATTGGGAACTATGGGAAAAGTTGAGCATGGTATGTTCGCAGTCCATGTTTGAGGCTGGAAATATGATCGGCTGACTGTGATCGCAACAGGTGCTGGCAATGTTAATAGTATGTTACTCTGTGTTGTCCAGCATCTGAGATAGTTTTATTGACAATCCACAGGGCCTCGTCTTTCTCTACGCACTGTGCGTTCTCGGTGTGAGCAAGTGGAAGATGCGCAGGTATGCGGCGACAGAGGCAAAGGAGCAGGAGGTAGAGGCAGAGATATTTCCGATGCTACACAAAGACGATATCCCATTCGGCGCACGAGCTTTGGAAAGCGGAATCGAGATCGAAGGAATCTGGAATTCAAACCCCAACACACCGGTCCCGAGTCCACACCAGCCTTCAACTCCTGTCAGAAGTAGGCCTTCCAGTTTGTCACCAAAGTCGCTGCCTCGAGATCCCGAGACCTTCAGTACCTCAACAGACTCACAGAGCCCATTGATCAGCCCAAAGGCCGTACTACCGGCTAACCAACGAGGAAATGCGCCCGAGGCCAATCTACCTCTCATTCATAAGGCCCAGAGACCGAGCAACTTGAACCCCCGAGGAAATCTTCCCGCGAAGCGCAAACGCCTCCCGAAGTCCATCCTGGTGTCGCCTGCCAGAGAAGAAGCACTGGTTGGCGTCAAAGACCCTGTGGTCAAAGAAAGACGCGTCAGCTTCCATTCTCGAGTGTTTCCACCGCCCCAACGTCCGGAAGTAGTGGACTACCCAGTGGGCTCCGACGGAACTCAGGATGAGTCGGGCTTTATCGCAGCCATGATGGGGGTTGATCCTCATTCTTCGCCGAAACAGAAGCGAGCTTCACGACTGACAAGTAAGTTGGCCCGATATAATTCGATGACTGAGCGTGAGACTAATAAACACTGCCTTTGTACAGAGGGTCTTCGTCGGCGTTCGTCTGAAGAGTTCCGCCGCAAGATGAGTCAAATCTTCAATGACAACATGGCACTGGAAGTGTCTAGCGAACAGTTGGAATTCAACCCGGCCTTGCGAGAATATAGCAAGCGAAATTTTCGAAAGTCTTTACTTCGTCCGCTTCGTCCTTGGTTTAACCATGCGGGGAATGACTCCGCCGAGGAAAAGGTTGAGCAGCCTTTGTCTTGAAGTAGACGCTATGGCGCGAGGGAGTCGGTTGGATCAGCGTTGGCATCAGCATATTCGCATGCAGGATTGGTTTTAGGCGAGCAGGTTTGAACGGTTTGAGAATGTGTTTTGCAAAAGAAACGGGTAGGGTTGTTTATATTCTTATTTCTTGATTGTTGCAAATTGATGAGAAGTGTTTTCAGCAAGCAGCATCGCCACAGCCCGTAATGGAACTGGCTCCAGCATCTAAGCTTGACAATTTCAAGGCAATAGTCCGTAAAATATCCACATACAAGGCCATGGGCACTGAATGAGACGAAGGAAATCAAAGGGCAGAAAAGTCCAAGGCAGCAACGACCCACGTGATCTCGCGATCCCGTCAACGCGTCCAATTCGTCGACTTAGAGTCACTCGGATTTTTGCCACAAACAAATCGCTGAAAATCCAGAAGCGAGCTGCCAGGAACTTCTGTTCCTGAAGAACCTCTGTTTGAGTTGGCACTTGAGAGGACAACACAGCTCATTCCCACCCCTCCCAAGTCCAAACCGACGCGTCTCGAGTTGATCGATCCCCGCGCTTTCGAGCTGTGACACAGCCAAAGAGGTCACAACAAATTGCCACGAACTTCCAACTCAGAATTGATAGCCATGGAACCGGACGGACAAGAGCAGCTCGATGAGAGCGGGCTTCCAGGCCCTGGTGCCCCCACCCCGCTCTCTGCACTGGATGTGAGTGATGCCTCTAGATTGCACGGCGGCAAAGGAGAGATCGACATGCTGACCTGATTGACAGGGTCTTTCAGGATTGACTGGCAGGGATATCAAGCTCTTCGTGGATGCAGGATATCACACCGTCGAGGCGGTGGCTTACACGTACGTATCTCATGATCTAGATTCACATTGCAGACGGTGTTCCGTTGCAGCCCTGATGCTATGAAATGTATTTGGTGTGGCTAACATGCCTGGGAATTTCTAGACCCAGACGCTTATTGGAAACAATCAAAGGTATCTCAGAACAAAAGGCTACCAAGGTCTTGACGGAAGGTGAGTCGATGCTACCACAGATCTTGAGACCCTATGGACTTTGCAAGCTAACCAGATGGATTAAACAGCCGCAAAGCTGGTACCCATGGGATTCACAACGGCAACCGAAATGCACGCGCGAAGAAGCGAGCTCATCTCGATCACAACAGGATCAAAGCGCCTGGACACATTGCTCGGAGGCGGAGTTGAAACAGGCTCGATCACGGAGATTTTCGGAGAGTTCAGAACGGGAAAAAGTCAGATTTGCCATACTCTTGCCGTGACCTGCCAGCTGCCATTCGATATGGGTGGTGGTGAAGGCAAGTGTCTATACATTGATACAGAGGGAACATTCCGGCCAGTCCGATTGCTTGCCGTGGCTCAGCGTTATGGTCTTGTTGGCGAGGAAGTTCTCGATAACGTGGCGTATGCACGCGCATACAACTCAGACCATCAGCTTCAGCTGCTTAACCAGGCTTCTCAAATGATGTGCGAGACACGATTCTCATTGTTGGTGGTTGATTCAGCGACGTCTCTTTACCGAACGGATTTCAACGGTCGTGGTGAGCTTTCGTCACGGCAGACTCATTTGGCCAAGTTCATGCGTACTCTGCAGCGCCTTGCGGATGAGTTTGGTATTGCGGTTGTGATTACGAACCAGGTCGTCGCCCAGGTTGATGGTGGACCAAGTGCCATGTTCAACCCGGACCCAAAGAAACCTATCGGTGGTAATATCATTGCTCACGCCAGTACGACCCGACTCAGTTTGAAGAAGGGTCGTGGTGAGACTCGAATTTGCAAGATTTATGATAGTCCTTGCCTCCCTGAGAGTGACTGTCTCTTCGCCATCAATGAGGATGGTATTGGAGATCCTTCCGAGAAGGACCTGGAAGATAAATGATCGACTTCTGAGGATGGACCTTACTGCGATACGATGTTAGTGACTTGACGAGCAACACATTCAGTAGCTGTTTATGTGATTAGTGGCACAGCGTTTAGAATATTTCATGGCAATAAACTTGTAATACCCAAGACGAACGCACAGAGTAAGAACTTTTTTTTTAAAAAAAAACATTTAAAGGGCTATGCATAAGGTGGGTTCTCCGAAGTCTTGTATATATAGGTGTGGACGTACACAAAGGGAGAGCTATCGCGGCAAATGCCAAGACTCATGTTTTTTGAGCTCCCCCGATATCTCTCTTCCCGCTCGATCTTCCTCCACCCCAGGTCATGGAGTGCTAAGTTCAAACTTATACTCAATCGATCATGGCGAAAATCTACAAAGACTCAAGGGTCGATCTTCGGCCTTACGCCCCGACCACGGTCGCTAACATCCAGATCCCTACACAAGAGAGCCTGATCAGACGCCCACGCTTTTCTATCTCAACGGCCGATCAAGAACTGCCAATCGCCAAAGACGAAGACGAGTTCGCGAGACGATACCTTGCGACACAAGGGAATGTCTACTTCCGCAAGCGCAGGGTCTATCCGCGGACCTTCTTGTGGAGGGTCATCAACGACAACAAAGTGCTTGAGATCCAGTGCGCGGACCTGACCAAGGGTGGGACTGAAGTTTACGAATACAATGTAACTTTACGACTAGACTTCCAAGAGGACATCCTTCCTTTTGGGGTTGAGCTCTCCGATTCCGAAGACCACGAAATCATCAATGTCTTTGTGATCACCGCATCCAAGCACCTCCACACTCTGTCTCTACGCCCTGAATTCTTCCGCCGAACCTCCTCCATCGACGAAAATGTGAGAGACTGGTGCAAAACCTGCCTCCCCGCTCCTTTGGCCTTCTCGAACCCCCACCGACTACACGCTAGCAGCCCTCTTGAACTGTTCATTTCCCTTGACAATGGCGCGTTGCTGCGATTGACCCGCAGAGCTGGAGACGACGGTGAGACTTCCTATGAGGATTTCATCTTCCCGCACATCTACAGCATACTGACTACTGTTATGGACAGGCTCCCACTGGTCCCCTCTTACCTTCGACGAGCGCACATGGGGCTCTTCAATCCGAGGCCTTGTGAAATGGAACGCGCCCTCCTCCATCCGACACGACGGGCGCAATCTCGATTTGAATGTCGCCAATGCGATCGCGACCACATCCGACGAAACCTACGTTTTTGCGATCTGCCTAAACCACACCCTCAAGATCTGGAATCTTGCCACGAACAAACTTGCAGCTACAAAGGACCTCCTCGGACGCCAGATTCAGGACCTGGATGTCGTTTCATACACACTGAACCCCGCCGAGTCATCATTTATGCGCGTTTTCAATGCCGAGCGGGCAATGGACGGGGGGCACCGCTACTACGTGGTAACATACTCACCATTTGAGGATGGAAAATTCAAGTTCTGGGCTGTGAAGGGTGGTCTGACATCCGACCTTGTGATCGAGGAATTGTTCCCGAATGATACTTTCCGACCCGTGGACCCCGATGCGACTGGCAATATGTTCTGGAACATCGCCGATTTCCAAATTAAGTCCCGGGAAGAAGGCAAGGGAATGGAGATGTGGGTGCTCTGGAGAAACCACGGTCTTTATCAACTCTATACCCTGCACTTCGATCTACAAACTCTTGTGTCGGATTGGGCCAACAAGTGGGTTTCAACAACATTCGAAACACATCGACACGAATTGCCACCTTCTCTGGTCGTGGACGACGTTGTCGATCCAACAGAAAAATGGCTGCAGTACTTGCTGCAGCCGAACAGATATTTGCCCGAGGTCCTAGAGACCGCTCTGGCCGTATATCAAGAAGCCCTGAAGCCGCTTTCATCGGCTTCTTCCGGTGGATTGAAAAAGAGTTTGCCTTTGGCGGAACGACTCTGCTCTGCGATAGCATCTGCAGTATCACTTCGAAAATTCGCTGATGATGAGATGGACTATCACCGCTTCACATCTGACACAGACGCCAAGTGGCGTCAGTTCTGGCAGGTCGCAGAAGACCTCAATAAGCGTCGATTCGAACCAGTCTCCCTCGCCTACGACTCTTACACCGATATGCCCTGGCTGCTCCTGTCCGACGCCTGTGCGGTAGTGCGAGAGTGCAGTATCACCGAACTCTTGCTGCACAATTCCGATACCGAGATTACTGATGGCGTGCCGCTCATGATGGACCGCTGGAGGCACAGGAATGTCCCCAGGGAAATTGGCCCCGACTCCCAAACTGCTTCTGTTTTACTGAGGGTGGCGTCTGATTTCCGCAAGAAGTTCACTGCTCAACTTGATGGGGCGTGCAGGGCTGCCCTCCAGGCCGAAATATTCTCGGAGCCTTCTTCATCGATCTTGGATCGCATGGACAGCTTCCGGGAGCGCTGCGACTTCACAAACCAGATCTCGAACAAGACATTTGATAATTTGGACGCTGCTTTGAGCGAATATATGGACACGGATTCCTTGCCCATGAATGCATTCCTTGCTATCATTCATACAGCCTCGCTTCACTTCTGCGGAGAAGACTCTGAGCTTTCTTCGACTTGCTTCGGAGCCCGAGTCCTCGTCAGTGGCGCTCAGGAAACAATCTCCATCATGCGCCAAATATTCTTCGATCTATTGATTCTTGTCACATTCTTGGACGGCGAGCTGGAGCAATCCAGCGACTCGGAGTTTGATGCGCCCGCTCTTTTTGCTTCTCTCGTCGATCTTCTGCGCGAGTATGAGATGATGGCTTGGCTCAGCTCCAACGTCCGCAAGTGCCCGGACAGCCCTGTAAAGCCACAAGAGTCGTCAACATCGAGACTTCTCAAGGAGAGCAACTCCAAGGGCAAGAATCAACGAACTGCAAGCATTCTCGAGGACTTGTTCGTGACCGACATCAAACCACAGCAAGCAATTGATTCTCCCCAGACCTACACCCTGACTTTGGGTATCAGAGATGTTGTGGCTTGGATCACCCGCGCAGGCGAGGTAAACTATCAGAATGCTGTCGCCCACATTCAATGCGACTTGATCGCCAAGAATAATATTGACCTTGCATGGGACTTCCTGCGTTTCCAGGCAAGCACCTCCTGGTCGACGTATGTCAAGGGCCGCTTGCATGCCGCTATGTCAGAATTTGATGCTGCAGCAATCTACTTCCGAAAGGCAGCCTACCTGCTATGTGAGTCCTGATTTTCCATTACGTCTACTTATTAACCATACTAACATACATTTCAGCCTGCGGAAAACCGATGGGCAACCTTTCCGACATGTCGGCAGAGTTGCTGGATCTCCTCGACGGGGACTGCTTCCACAACGGTCTCGCAAAATACTACCAGCACGTCCTTTCGATCTTTGAAAAAGCGCGCTCATACTCCCACGTCGCGGACTTCGCCAGCCTGGCGCTGCAAGCCCTTGACTCCGAAGTCTGGGCTGAGCAAGACGTCGAATACTCCACCACTCGTGACGATCTTCTCTCACGCTTATTCACTGGTGCCCTGAAGACGTGCCAGTTCGACCAAGCATACTCCGCTTTGACCAGATTACAAGACCTCAAACTACAAAAGACTGAGCTCACCGAGCTCATTTCCACCATTCTGGCTGTCTCCGGCCCCGGAACCACCGGTCTCAAGCAGATCCTCCGCTTCCCCACTTCCCTCGTGCCCAATATTGCCTCTTTCATCGACGAGATCCTTGTCCACCTGACCCGCAAACAAACCACCAACGTCTCCTGGCAGGATGCCGATAGCAAAGCCTTCCAAGCCACCCCCGACTACACTCGTATTCTTCAGGCCTACCGCATCGCCCGCAGCGACTACCGTGGCGCCGCTGAAATCGCCTATCGCAGTGTCCAGCGTCTCCGCAAGGCCCGAGACACCTCATCAGCGCTCACCCACAAGGTCAAGGATGCCGACGAGGCCGCCCACCCCACTGTCGAAGAAGACGATGCGGAAAGTCAGGAAATCCGCCACGAACTCCTCTCTCTCATCAACCTTCTCGCCTGCGTCGACAAGAGCGAAGCCTACATCCTCGTCGAAAGCGGTCCCCCAATCAGCACCACGTTCAACGACGAGCGACGCCCAAGCACCCACGCAGACGAGGAAGGAAACATCTCCATGGAAGATGCCGACAGCCCCTCTGTCAAAACCACCAACCGCCGAGGCAGCACCAAATCCGCCATCGACCGACGAAGTAGCGTCTCTTCCGAAGTTCCTGCCACGAATCATCTGCTTAAGCGCCGCATCATCGTCACGCTCGAGCATCTCCGCCGCGAATTCCAGTCCGAGCTTGATCGCGTTAGTCGAATTGAGCGCGGTGATTGGGAGTTTGGACTTTATGAGGAGGAGTTGCAGCATGATGATGAAATGGTGCTGTAGTTGTGGTTGTGCATTGCTTTTTTGCGCCACGGAATTGGATTTCCCATTGTATGGTATTCGCGATCGGTGTTTTCGTCTCGCCTTAGGATAGTTTCGATCTTTGGTTGGGGTGCTTAATGAATTTGATCTTTTGAGAATTTATATGTGCAATGAGACTGTAGATTGGTGCTGTCTCGGCTGGGGTAAGTAGCATAGGCGGGTTTTTCCATCGAGCTCCCAAGGTTGAATTATATGTTCCCCCAAACTGTGTAAGCAGTGATTTATATGTACCAGACTGAAGCCATTTTCACCCAAGGACGAATGAAGCTTAGAAAAGAATGACAAAAGAGAAAAACGACAAAGAAATACCAACACTATGGAGTAAAAATGCACCCAGTTTTGTTGATTTACTGTATAGACCGCACCACCAGGGCTCCGACTCGCGGGCAAATGTTTGGCTAAGACATTTGGTAGACCTGAGATTAGGACACAAATTACTTCTAAAGTTTGAGATACCACTGGAAAATAGACAAAAAATGAATACCAATAGTGCTCAAGTGTGAATATATAGTAATGATAATTAACAGCTCGAGAGAGATTGACTCCAAGCTTTTCCTGAAAACAACTTTAGAATATAGACAGGTTGAAGTTCTATGTAACGACCACAATCCCCAAAATGTGCGATGCAATGGATATCACTCGAACTTTAGAAGCAGAGCAAGCAAAAGTAACGAAAGGCATAATGGTCATGTCAAAATCCATATACAGCGCCCCCCCAAAATGACAAAATCAAAATCTGGTATATACGAAGCCAAGAGTCAAAAAGGACGCTGTGCAAATGAAAGTAAATCCCTGAATCCAAAGAGTGGATGATTAGTCCATCTCATCTATCGAGGTCGCACTCGCATAGAGTTTGCTAAAGTGAGACTTGGGGTTTTGGAGGAGAGTCCACGGCTCTCCATTTTCGACAATCTGACCTGCATCCAAGACAACGATGCGGTCATAGTCCAGGATGGTATCGAGTTTGTGAGCCACCGAAATAATGGTGTGGTTGCAGAATTTCTCGCGAATAACGCGCTGCATAATTTCGTCTGTTTTGGTGTCGATGCTACATGAGACCGTTAGTCATTTGCTGCAAGGGATGTGTTACATTTGTGGGGGAAAAGAAAAGAAAAAAAAAACAACAGATCAGAAGTTAAATGAGAGTTCGCGGTCGGATCCCGGCTCTGTGCACATCATGCAGGGGATTGTGGGGTTGACTTACTTGCTAGTGGCCTCATCAAGGATGAGGATGTTACCCGGGCGAAGGAGAGCGCGAGCAAGGCAGAAGAGTTGTTTTTGGCCGTGCGACAAGTGGATCTCGTCGATGTCTGTGTCCAAATTGCCCTTTTCTTGGATTGCAGTGAGGAGTCGGACGCTCTTGAGTGCAGCCAAGATGTCTTTGTCGGTGTGGATCCCAGTTGGGTCGGCGTTTAGTCGGACACTGCCCTTGAACAGGAGGGAGTCTTGGGAGACGCCGTTGATGCGCGAGCGGATCTCCCGACGGGGGAGGTGGCTGATGTCGACTCCGTCCACTGTGATGGTGCCGCTGGTCAATTCCATCATTCGGAAGAGACTCATGATCATGGATGTTTTGCCACTGTTGGGTTGTTAGTGTAGTTCATTAGAAGTAGAGAAAATTATTCTTACCTTCCAGTTCGTCCGCAGATACCGATCTTCTCACCAGCAAGGACGTTGAGAGAAACATCCTTCAGGACTGGTTCGGAGGGTCTGTAAGCCGCGGAGACGGAGTTGAAGTTGATGGCGCCGTTGGCGGGCCAGTTGGGAGGGATGTCCTGGTCCTCTCCTGACTTGTCTTCCGATTCGACATCAGCGGTAAAGTCTTTGATGCGCTGGATGGAACCGATGTGAGTCTCCAGGTTAGTCCAGAAAGTTACCACGAGCTTGATGCTTTGACTGAATTGAATGACGTTCAACAAAGCGACACCAACAGAGCCTGCACTGAAGCTGGTTCCACGGAGGCCGACGACCAGAGCGATGAGTAGTACGGCGATACCAGCGACGACCATGTCGAGCGACAGAGTGAGCCAGCGTTGGATAGCAAACATGAAGTAGAAGGGACGCTGAGAGAGATCCAAAAGCTCGATGTTCTTCTGTTCCATAGCATGTTGCCAGCCGAAAGCTCGCAGAGTAACGAGTCCTTGAAGACAGTCGCTAAAGTGGGAGTACAGGGGAGCTTTGGCTTCGAGATCGAGGAAACGAAGCTGACGGGAGGTACGCAGATAAATCTTCTGGATCACGTAGAGCAGAGCGAGAACGAATGGGAAAGAGATAGCAGCATATTTGGAAGAGACGCCGATGAGTGCCATCTGGGCCAAACAGAGGAAGAAAGTAGCAGCAGTGTTGATAGCAGCGATAGGGAGTTCCATGTCGATGAGCATCAAGTCTTGACTGAATCTGTTGAGAATGGCACCGCTGTCTGTGGAAGAGAAAAACAACATGGGCGCACTGAGGACAGTGGTCAACAGCTTGCGGTGGAAGAACTCGCCGGACTTTGGAACCATTTTGATGATCATCTGCCAGGTACCGGCAATGAGACAGAGCATGGCAAGACACCCGAGCATCACGTAGATACCGAGGTAGTAACCTAGCTCTTGCTTGGGGTGAGCAGTGTCAGACTGGGCCCACCACTTCAACCAGATACTAGGGAAGGAGATGCAGAAGACGAAAGCAGCAATCATGACTGTAAAATAAACAGCCGGGAACCACCCAATCGCGTTGATGTAGTAGGTGTAGATTCCAAGATCACCACCAGCATCGTGATTCACTGGTTCATCGATCAAGATCTCCTTCTCCTTCGGAACAACCTTCTCCTTGGTGATAGTGCTAGTACTCGAGCAAGTGAGCGAGTCCGAGAGGCGCTTGGGTTTGAATTGCCAGTCAGGGGAACTGAGCCCAAAGCTTGCCACATATCCGCCCGTCTTGCTCAGTGTAGAGAAGCTGCCCTGCTCTGAAATACGACCATCTGTTTCCAAGACAACAATGTGATCGGAGTAAGGAAGACGAGTGACAGAAGAAGACGCAACAATGATCGAAGTTCCGATTTCTCGGAGAAGACCCAGGGGACCGAAAAGGTTGTGGAAGATGTGGTTCTCGGTGGTTGCATCCAAGCCGCTGAGAGCATCATCGAGGATGATGATCCTTCTGCGAGCGTAGACTGCACGTGCGAGAGCGATACGTTGGCTTTGACCTCCACTGAGAGCAACGCCTTTGCTTCCGATGACAGCGGCATCACCGCGCGGGAACTGTGCGAGGTCCTCTTCCAAAGCGCAGGCGTGGAGCACCAAGGAATACCATGTGGGATCATAATCGGACATCGCCACAATGCTGTCCTTGATCGTACCATTCATATGCCAGGGAGTCTGATCACAGTATGCAACACTGGGGGATGAGAGCTCAACTTTGCCATTGGCATAGGGCAGTTCTCCAAGGAGAGCCTTGAGGAGTGTGGATTTGCCACACCCGGAAGGCCCAATGAGCATAGTGAAGCTGCCCATACCAATGGTCATGTTGATACCCTTGAGAATCGGTTCCTTGTCAGCCTCCCAGCCAAAGCTTCCGTTCTGGATCACCATAGCGTGGCCGGATGCAGTGGTAGTCATGCGTTTGAAGGAGTCAACGGAGGCAGAGAGATTGGAAACTAGGTCGAGATCAATAGACTTTGCGATGACATTTTTCTCACTCATATCATCCACAGTCAGAGTCTTTGAGAGACTCAAAGCCTCAGCGGGGTGTTGTCTCTGATCGGAGTGGTCTTCCTTGTTAAGGAACTCTTGAATGCGCTGGAAGGATCCAACCGCACCGGCAAATGACATCAACGCCATCACCAATGTCAAAAGTGGGTCTGCGAGGAGCGAGAAGAGCGACAAAGATGTGAACACACGAGTGACGTTCAAAGGCTCACTCGAAACGCCGGCGTAAACACCAAATGTGAAGATTGGAGCAAAGATACGTGTCAACCAGCCAAAGCCCATGTTGTAAACAAGAAGGGTACGGAACTTTTTGGAGATGTCCAGCTCGTCAAGTCGAAGCCCGTGCACAAACTTCATGAAAGAGTTCTGCAGACCCAGCATCTTGACTCCCTTGATTGAACCGAGCATCCCGGAGGTAGAGGAGATACGCTTCTCGATAGCCTCCAACCACTGGGCTTGCCGAGCAACGACCAATGACATACCGACGAACGACCCGACCAGTGCGAAGAGCGCGACACAGACAGGAACAATGCAGGAGATTCCAAGCTGTCGCTGTAGGAGGTAGATAGCCAGAGCAATTTCCACGGAATTTGCCCAAATGTCGTGAAGGGTAGACCATCCTTGGGTGATTCGCTCGACGTCCGCACTCATGAGAGTCAGGGAGCTTGCTGGGTCGTTGTCGCTGAGGGTGAGGCAGGTTGCCTTCTTGTACAGCATTGTGATGAGAACACCGCGTACCAGGGTAATACCGCGGTAGGTCAAATGCTGGTATTGACTCATAGAGATTGCTAGACCAACATAGACCATGATGAAAGCACCGATGAGACCGTACCCGATGTTGTTGCTGGACGGGTTCACCTCAGAGTTGAAGAAAGACAGCGATCTTTCGAGTAGCAAAGGCTGGCAGATATTGAAAGCAACGACACAAGCTCTGGCGGGGACAGCAGCGAGTAATGGCCATTTCGCAGCTTTCATAGCTTCCCATTGTAAGGTATTGGGAGCTTTGGTGGTCACTAATTGAATTAACAATCTGAAAACAACCATTTCGGGGGCAATAAATGAACTTACCTTTGCTCCATTTCTCTGAGAATCGAGAGAGAAGACGTTCGGAGCTTAGCTCCTTATCCAATACAAACAGGTCTTCAACGCGAAGAGCACCATTGAAGCCGATTTTGAAAAGCGGGTTCAGCCACCAGAATATCGCACGGTTGTAGAAACCCGCTGTCGCCTCAGGTGGGTAGCCAGCATATTCTGACTTGAGAATATGTCTCTTTTCAACTGCTTCGAGCACAAACAGTACGAACTTGACGCCAACCGCAACTGTGGTGATGATGGCAATGGTGGTATTGTATGAGTCTTCACTGCGGAGCCATAGCGTTCTGGACCGAGCAATATCGAAAAGTAGGCTGCAGAAGAGGTAGGTGTTTAAAACAAATGATGGTTTCACGGAGCGCATGTGTTCTGCATAAGAAAGCAAACTCAACGCAAGCACCCCGACAGTCAGGAGTGCATTGGCTGGGATCGATGTCTTGGTCCTGTCGGCTGCCGGCAACGCCCACAACGCTGTCTGGACGACTTGCAGCGCCAGTAAAGACAACCAAGCTGCCTAAACAACACAAAAGATCACAGAAGTTAGATAGGCAGGTCTCAATATTTGGTCTGAAAGTTCGTGGTGGGGCACATGCGAGTTGACCTGGGGAAGGAAAAATATCAACTTACAAGCTTGATGAAGACCAAAAATGACCTCACAACTTTGTTGCGAGTGTGAGAGAGTTGCCATAATCGAAGAGGAGCAATAATTAACATTAATAAAATAGGTAGGATCTGGAGGATTGATTCCTCAAACAAAAGGGAAAAGTCGAAACCTCCTCGACATGACCCAGCATCAATACGCAAAGTATTGTCAAGATCATGGCACGAAGGCCCTGTGTAGCGAGTGGATGCCATGTCTAATCTTGAACCATCTGGCGACAAAGGCTGGTTAAAGAGAAGAGGGCCGGCTTAAAACGAGTGACGGGGGTGAGGACGAAAGAGTGTACGGAGTATGAATTGAACAGACGTGCATTAGGGGGAAACTTTCAGGCTTTTGGCCTAGATCAGATACATCTCAACGTAACACTTGAATTGCCAATTTTAGTAAAATAATCACATTAGGAAGTACGGCATAGGGCCAAAACAGGCACCCATCCCTCTTTGCAGGAGACTACGATCTAGGAGAACTACAGCTCTGAGACCACATCCCCATCATATGACTGGCTCACTTCACTCGGGATACAGCACTGAATGCATTCGTCTTACAATGCCAATACTGACAATGGCTTCTGAGCTCATCTAGACTGGGATTCAGTGCCGGGGCTGTATGGAGACCCATCCGGATGCACCTCACAGGGAAAATTCTGTTTTTCGTTCTTTTTCTTGGTACCATTCCACATTTCTCCATAGAGATTTTAGTGAATTACACCTTGGATGTGATTTGATGACCCCACTTAACCTAGATACGAATACCTGTATGGATCGTAGGGACATCTTCATTTTAAAGCCCGAGATTAATACTGTATAATTTACCCCTTGGGGATGTGGGGGGTCACTAGATCTTTTTTCCCCTGGAGTTCAAAAAGCCAATATGTCCCTGGAGTCGGGTAAAACAACACGAGGGAGGCGTGCTGCCTTGCAGCAACAATTCACTATACTTGGTAATTGAACCAATGGCGTTTTTCACACATCTTGTCGGCCAAGTCCCGTGTCCCCGGTAGCTGTACGGCACCGACAGCACGATGCGAGGGCTAACTGAAAGCCTCTCTCTCTGGGCGGGAGATCATCCTATTTTGGTGATCCCGGGACATTTTTGTATTCTCTAACATGATATCATTTGGGTTTATTCTTTAAACTTTGCGTTTTCAGCATCATGCTTTGCCTGACTGCATGGCTTTTACCCCAGCTAAACTCGGACACGAGGTTTTCATGCACCAAGTGACTCGGTGAGGCATACGGAGTACTCTGGACGAGTATCTTCCGTTCTCCACCGGGAAAAAAAAAGGAGAACGAAAATCATTGTGAAAACTGCGTTGTGCAGAAGCGGCCTTCCACTTGTCAGGATCAAAATCCAGGTTCCAATCTTCGATACGGACAATGGAGCCCTCGTAGTATACTCCACCTGGCCCCCACTTGGTGTGGCCAATGTTTGTTTTCGCTCTCGCTCTTTTCTTTTTTTTTTTTTCTTCAATGGGGACCAGGTTGTTTGCTTCAAGGCCAATCGTCGATTTTTACTACAGTACGATTGCTTGCTTGCTTTTTCCACCACTAACACCACTAACACCACTAAATTTTAGTCTGCTTAGAATGTACTCGGAAATCCATCGGCTCACTTCGGCATCCTGTCATGTCAAAATTTCAATCCAGGCTGGCCCACGTATCTTCCCGCATACCAAGACATGATGCTCGTGGTGAGCGCTGGCCAATCTGCATATAACGGGATTTGTACCTACAGCCGTCGGCGCCTGACGCCAGGATTTAGAGTGACAGGGATGGTGAAGTTGGTTTTCTTATTGTCTTACATTTGAGCAGCGTGGTTGATGGGTGGCAACTCCCGGTCATTGCATAAACCCACTCGACCATGCGCGAGTACAGTTCACCCCCATGTCCAAAACTTGATATCTCGAACCAGCATGATGCATTACGCCGACGTTGTAACATTAAGATATCCTATTCAGTGTAAGCGAGCTCAGAGCTATGTAATCCCATGTATGTTTATGTATCCGCCATTTAACTTCAGATCTGTGCGAGAGAACATTCCAAGATGACCTGTCAGCAATGTGGATCGTCGAGATTTTCGCCTGTCAACTTCCTCTCTTTCTATTCTCGTCTAGTGCTCAGACTAATCCTCGCAATCGACCCATCGCGGGATCCATCTTGGTGCCTGTGTACTAACTGTCCAATAGCGCCCCTTAGGGTTCTGTGGTCAGCCACCCGAATGGCTGTGAGCGCGCAAGCCCTCGTAAGCCCCCACATTGAAGACTGTCGATCTTCGCGATTTACCCGTCATCTTTGGTCATTCTAAAGTTTCCTTGTCGTCAGTGGATCTCGGTTAGTTCCCTGTTCTCGTACAGTAGTGTCTTCCAGAAAGTGGGACTCACAACGTCGGAACTCTAGAACCTCGCAAGGTCTTACTATTTTGATCATACGAAATATTTCGTACTTGTGTGCATGTAAATTTTGGCATAACTGGCGACTCGCCTGACCTCACAGTGGGGGCGACAAATGTACGTTCCAGATCAGGTTTGTGCTTATACGAGAACGAGATATATATTTTTTAAACTTCTTTACTGGGAAAAGAAAAAGAACATCAGAAAAAATATATATGGAACATCTATCGTATACAATTTAATCTTAACAACAAACCCACAAAACACTAAATCGGGGACAACTTGATGAAGATCGAAACTCAAATCGCATCGCATCCATGGAATTCAAAGTCACTACTCCAGACGGAGTAACGCTTGCAGAAACGAGCTCGAGTTGACCGGTACTGCCCAGACTCAATGCCCATGTGGAGCCGTTTAAAGAATTATTCGTGGCACGGAAACCCCCCGGGCCCCATACAATACGAGTACACACGAGTTTCAAGTTTCGATAGAAGAATATAGTCGAATATTTTGAATTGTGGATTCTACTTGGTACCTTTTTAATTCTTTGTACCAATTTTAACAAGCTACTTAAGTATCAAACTTGTGCGCACTAAATACACACTATTCAACAAAATATATTAATGCCAAGTCGACAGGTCGCGGATTCGGTTACGCCCGCATCCCTTGAAGACCCTTGCAGAAGCCACTGTGTAGTGGCGCGTAGACTCCTGAAGTCGGCCTTAAGACCTTTTGGTCCGTGTTCCGTGTTCCGTGTTCCGTACACATCCATGGATCAGAGCTCAGGTACCCAACTCTGCTAAAACCGGAAAAACATGACTGGCCACCCGATTTCCCAATTAGGTCTCAACCGCCGGCCCATACCCGCCGGATCCAATGAAGTCCATTTGTAGCCGAAAGGTTCCGCCCTATCCTTAGGCATAATTTCGGTGTTAATATCGATCGCCAGATCTGTCGTAGGAATCTTGGAACTTGAGGATAATCTGATCTCGGTAGTCCCCGCAGTGAGATGTGCTCATTACAGGTTTCTCACACCTCAATGACTTGGGGGTCATACGTCTGGGCACATCAACTTCTACTAAGTAGTTCAACAATCACAGGTACACTTGGTGAGCCTGACACCCGTAGAATCCACGGAAGTGCCTGAGCTGCGCGGTAAAACTTCCCCAGATGAGTCTGTACTACCTTCTCGAACCTTGCCGGAGAGGCGCATCTCTCAAGACGTGCAGTGTCCGAGAGCCCCAGGACTCTCAGCAGATAATCTGGGGACGGTGCCATGTGCGAGTCGGTGTAACTGAAGTTGATCTCACGAGGCCATCCAGGCTCGTATACCTGCATTGAAAATGCAACAGAGCAGTCAAAGCACACTTCCGCACGAGGCGAGGGCACATACTGGCTGCGGCACTGTTGTCCAGACCTACCAGAAGCATTCTTGACAGAGTCAGCAACCTCAGCACCGTCAGCACGGGAGTCGAGCCTTTCCAAGCGAGACAATGGGGTTGAAAGAAGAAAAGAAAGAAATATCCCCAAAAGAACCAAAAATACAAACAAATACTCGAAGACAAAAATAGCACCCATGGCGACTTCATTCAGCGCCGCCTCTTACTCGGCGGACGAGGACGCCCGTTCCAGGCCGGAAAGGCATTCTCATCGGGGAGCTGCAGGCTCTCGCCTGAAAATAATTCTCATGAAGTGCAATCTAGAGCTTTCATATCCCTGCGTACGAGTACTCGTACGAGCTCGTATGTAGTGGACTTTTGATTTTTAGTTCGAATTAGCTTCCAAGGGTTGCCACTAAGAAAAAAGCGAAAGTAAATCGGGAAATTAGACATCGAAAATAACAATGTGTGTCTGACTTGGTTCCACAGGGGCTAATACACCTGATCCACTTACCTTTTGTTCCCCTTTAGATCCATATGCAAGGAAGATAGGGGATTTGCCATTGTCCAATGCATGACTGGTCTCCGGCAACCGTATGCGAGCGTGGTCTATGCATTCTTGGGCCTCCGACTTAATACGGCGTAAAAATTATGGCGCGTGGTGCTAATAATTTCCAATGAATTTTTTTCTCTCGGAAAACCTCTAGTTCTTTATAATAATTGGGACAATCTGATTCTGCGAATCTCTTCCATCGGATACCCCGTGGATTCATTCTGTCGTTCATCATACATAGAGGCCCTATACACTCCCTAATCCTGCATATCACGACACGAAGCGACAACCCAACGCCAGCAAAAATTGCAGCCAGTAGAGGCCATGGCTCAATCCACTCAGTGCAATCTTCCTCGATTCGCCTCTGCGGTCGATGGTCCCAAACGCCCAATCTCGATAAAGACAAAACCAACGGATTCGCAAAATGCGCAGTTATCAACCGCATGGTCTGAAGGCCGCTTGGAGTCTATCATGCAAGCGACATGGGCTCTCGTTCTACACTACTATATCCGAACCGAGGATATCTCCTTCGGTTACCAACTTCTCGCGGGCGATTCATGCCCGCAATCTGTACAGCGCACGAGTGGTGAAATTTCGACCATCCGCATTTCAATCAACGACGACGACTCTCTCACGAAAATTGTAGATAAGGTTTGCGCAACCGCTTCGGAGAGACAACCTGCAACCTCGGAGGCCTCTGAAGGCCACTTTCCTTTCAATACCATTGTCACGCTGCGTACATATGATCCATCAATCGCCGACTCTGCCCCTTTGGTTGCCACCGCGCTCCCGGACGAGGTAAATTGAATCGAAATAGGGGTTTATTGAGTGGCTTTCTGACAATTCGATAGTGTCAAGTCCGTCTTCATGTGAAGGTCCTGAATGGAGACATCGGCATTTTCCTCGAATGGCGCCAAGGCGACATGTCCGAGAATCAGATGAAGAGCGTGGGCAACATTTTTGAGCAGTTCCTTGCCAAAATCCTTTCTGCCGAGAACACCGCTATTAGCCAGCTTAATTTGTTCACGGAAAATGATTGGGAACGTATCTGCAAGTGGAACTCCGCCATTCCACACCTTTATGACCGATGCATCCACGACGCCATCCATGACCAGATGGTAAGCGGGCCAGACCGTGAGGCTATTTGCGCATGGGATGGCAGTTTGACATTCGGCGAGCTAGACCACCATGCCTCGAAGCTTGCGTGTCACCTTCGCATGCAGGGTATCGGCCCGGAAACTCGCGTGGCTTTGTGTTTCGAGAAATCGGTGAGTTGTTGCGACGTTAAAAAAAAACATTTTGAATCAAAGGGCTGACGCAGGACAGAAATGGAACGTCGTTGCAATGCTGGGCGTTATGAAAGCCGGGGGAGCCTTTTCTCCTCTCGATCCAACTCACCCCACGTCACGACTGCAGAGTCTCGTCAAATCACTTGAAGCTTCGGTTGTGCTGTGCTCTGAGAAACATGTCGAGAAATTGCGACCAATCGTGAAGACCTTAATACCCCTTTGCGCGGAGACCCTGGACTCTCTGTCCGACCCGGCGGATAGTGTTGATCTCGCATCAGGTGTGACAAGTCAAAATGCAGCTTATGTTCTGTTTACTTCCGGATCAACTGGCGAACCTAAGGTGAGAGATTGCGTTACACAGGGGATGTTCTGAGTTGCTGACTGGCTGTAGGGAACTTTGCTAGAGCATCGTGCGTTCCTGTCCAGTGCGATGGTGCATGGTCCCAGACTGCATATCTTCCGCGAATCACGGGTGCTCAACTTTGCTGCACACACATTTGACGCGAGCCTGGCTGAGATTCTGACGCCTCTCATCCATGGTGCCTGCGTTTGTATCCCCAGTGAAGAGTCTCGACTCAATGATATTGTCACCCCTATCAACGAAATGCGAGTCACCCAAGCAACCTTCACCCCATCTTTTATCGGCTTCATTGATATCGACAGTGTGCCGGGACTGGAAACTTTGATTCTCGCTGGCGAGGCAATGTCGCAGTCACAACTGGCTACCTGGTCCAGAATTCAATTGGTGAACGGGTATGGACCTACCGAGGCAAGTGTAGCGTGTGTCTTGAACTCCTATGTCACACCAGACACCGATTGCAAAGATATCGGCCTCCCTGTCGGTGTCAGGGCTTGGCTTGTGAACCCTGAGAATCATGATGAGCTAGTCCCAGTGGGGTGCCCAGGAGAACTACTTTTGGAAGGCCCGTCCCTGGCCCGATGCTACGTGAACAATCCGCAAAAAACCAACGAATCCTTCATCTATGACCCGGCCTGGACTCAACTCGACCCCAATAATACCCCTAATCGAAGACTCTACAAGACTGGTGACTTGGTTCGATACAACGCGGAAACAGGTGCTTTAAATTACATTGGCCGGAAGGATACCCAGGTCAAAGTGCACGGTCAACGCATCGAACTTGGTGAGATCGAGAATCAGCTGAGTACCGACCCGCACGTCACTCACTGCTCTGTATTCTTCCCCAAATCCGGCTTTTCAAAGGGTCGGTTGGCGGCCGTTCTCTCCTCCACGGGTTTGCTTGCTGAACAGTCCGACTCGGATGCGGAGCCTTTACGACTAATCTCTGCCTCGAAAAAGGCTGAGCTAGTCTCTGGCGTCCGAGAGCGCTTATCCACACGTCTCCCCACTTATATGGTACCAGCTGTTTGGCTTTGTGTCGAAGCTCTGCCTCTCTTGCCGTCCGGGAAACTCGATCGTAAGGGTATCTCAACTTGGGTTGCCGGAATGGAAAGTGATCCTGATATCCTGAGTGGTGCCTCTGCCTTGGTGATCGACGCAGAGGCTACCCAGCCCGCAAACGAGAGAGAGGAAGCACTGGCTGCTGTATATAGCCGTGTTCTCAACATTCCCCAGAACCAACTCAACCTCAATGAGAGCTTCCTAGCTCTCGGAGGTGATTCAATCGCCGCCATGACATGTATTGGCTTCTGCAAGAAGCGCGGGTTCGCTCTTTCAGTACAGGAACTGCTGCGCAGCAAGTCAATTCGTGACCTCGCCACCCGCGCGAAGACGATCGAGCATCTCACAACCTATGAAGAAGCTGTCGATGAACCATTCAACCTATCCCCCATTCAGGTGCTCCACTTCGGCGTCCGCAAAGAAGGTCAGGGCCACTTCAACCAGGGCATTCTTACCCGCCTCAACCGTCCGCTCGGAGAACAAGCCCTTCGCAAGGCAGTTGAAAGCTTGATTTCCCGCCATTCGATGCTCCGTGCTCGCTACACTGACACAGGGTCTGCCACTGCCTCAAGTCAGCACATCACTCGCGACATTCAAGGTTCTTACCGATGGCGCCTGCACAATGTCGAGAGTATGCAAGAGGCCAACACACATATTGCGGAGAGTCAAGCCTCCATCAATTGCTTCTCTGGTCCAATGTTGGCTGTTGATTACTTTACATTGAAGGATCAGCCCGACATCCTCTCAATGACCGCCCACCATCTCGTTGTTGATATTGTCTCCTGGAGAATCATTCTGGAAGACTTGGAAGACTTTATTCTGAATCCTGAAAAATCGGTCAGCAATGATGGATCACTCCCTTTCCAGACCTGGTGTCGCTTGCAAGAGGAGCACTGTGAAAGTATGCGCGCCGAGCAGAAGGTCGCAACTGACGTGATACCAGCTCCGGACTTTGCCTACTGGGGTCTCGAAAACACGAGTACTACATATGGTGATGTTGACTGTGCCTCCTTTGAGATCGATCCCGCACACAGCAATGCCATTTTATTGGAGTGCAGTAAAGCACTTGGGACCGAGCCAATCGATCTGTTCCTCGCAGCGATGCTCCACTCGTTTGGCCGATCATTCCCCGATCGTGCACTGCCGACAATCTTCAACGAAGGGCACGGACGTGAAGTGTGGGACTCCTCCCTGGACATCTCTCACACAGTCGGCTGGTTCACCATCGTTCATCCCATCTTCCTTTCCGCATTCAACGCAGACAGTCCAATTGAGACTCTGATTCAAGTCAAGGATCTTCGTCGCAGGGTCACTGACAATGGTCGCGCTGATTTCACCAACCGGGTCCTACCCGCCGAGGGCCGCCAAGGACCAGACCACCCTCACCCCTTCGAGATGTCCTTCAACTATGTTGGCCAGCATCGCGACCTCCAGCGGACAGATGGTTTGTTCCAGCTTGTTGACGCGATGGCTGGTGAAGCAGGCCAAGGAGGTGGCGCTGCTGATTTCGGACGCGACACTCCTCGATTCGGATTGTTTGAGATCTCGGCCATGGTCGTCGGTGGTAAAATCAGGTTCAACTTCTCTTTCAACAAATTCATGAATCACCAAACTCGCATTCACGAATGGGTTTCCAACTGCCAGCAGCTTCTTGTCTCACTCTCCGAGCAGCTTCCCGCTCTATCGCCACGACTGACTCTGAGCTCTTTCCCTATGCTCTCCCTGACTTACCCGGTCTTGGATCAGTTGCTCAACGAGAAGCTGCCAGCTATGGGCATCGAGTCTGCCGATCTCGTCGAGGACATTTATCCTTGCTCTCGCATGCAACAGGGTATTCTACTCGGTCGCAAGCGAGATAGCTCCTACTATGCGGTCCACGATACGTTTGAAATTCGCGCGACAGGTTCGAGCAAGCCGAATCTCGATAGACTTTTGATGGCCTGGCAACAGGTTGTGTCCCATCATGCAATGTTCCGGACCATCTTCGTTGAGAATCTGACTCCCCGGGACCCCTTCTGTCAAGTCGTGCTGAAGCATTACGATGCTGCTCCTTTGTTGCTGCACTCGGCAACTGACGATGATGTTCTGGCTACCTTCAATAAGCAGGAGGCCAAGGACTACGCTGATATTACCCCGGCCTACCGCTTCACCGTTTGCCAAGCAGCATCCGGAAGGCTCTTCGCACGCCTGGAGATGAGCCATGCTGCGATGGATGGTAACTCAATCTCCATCATTCTTCGCGACATTCAATTGGCTTATGCAGGAAGGCTAGAGGAGAACCCTCAGCCCCTGTTCAAGGATTATATGGAATATCTGCAAGACGCACCGCGAGATATCAGTATCAACTATTGGTCATCTTACCTCAATGGAGCGAAGCCTTGTCTGTTCCCCGTGCTTAATGATGGGGATCAATTTGGAAAGAGTCTGAAATCAATCCCGGTGCATTTCACTGGGCTTAGCAAGCTCCAGATGGTCTGCGAGCAGCGTGGCATTACATTGGCCAATGTTTTCAATGCCGCCTGGGGTCTCACCCTTCGCGCTTTCTGTGGCACTGACGATGTTTCCTTCAGTTATATGGCATCTCTACGTGACCTCCCAGTGGACAACATCAGATGGGTCATTGGTCCAGTCATTAACCTTTTGGTCTGTCGAATGAAGATGTCTGCGGACTCCAAGCTCAGCGAAATCTTGCACCAAGTTCAGAATGACTACCTGGAAAGTTTACCTCACCGCCACACCTCGCTCATTGATATTCAACATGCTTTGAAGATGTCTGACAGCAACCTTTTCGACTCGGGTGTTTCTTATCGTCGACTTCCAGGTTCAAAGGATGCTGTCAGCAGCGAGATCGAGTGCGCCGAGCTTGGAGCTATCCATGATCCTGCTGAATTCCCTGTTTTCATGAATATCGAGTCTGAAGATACGGAAGCTCATATCGATCTCAACTACTGGACTACGACCCTCTCGGACGCACAAGCCGCCAATGTTGCAAACACATATCTTCGTTGCCTTGAAAACATCACATATCATATTGACGAAGAGCTCCGGCAGCTGGACAACGTCGGGGAGCAAAATAGAGCGCAGATCATGACTTGGAACAACAAGAACCCCCAACCCTTCGAAAAGTGCGCCCACCAGGTCGTCCAAGAAATGGCCAAGAAGCGCCCGGAATCCCTAGCAATCACGGCTTGGGATGGCAACCTCACATATGCCAAGCTAGACCAGTACTCCTCCCGTCTTGCTAGCTATTTGGTCACATTCGGTGTTGGTTCTGGCACCCTTGTTCCAGTTTGCTTCGAGAAGTCGGTTTGGAATACCGTGTCCGTCATTGCTGTCATGAAAGCTGGTGCTGGGTGTATTCCAGTTGACACACCTCAAAGCATGGCTTTGGTTGAGAAGTGGATCGTGGACAATACCGTCCAAGTTGCTCTGGCTTCCCCGGAGAAGGCGCAACTCCTGGAGGATATTGTTCCATATGTTGTTCCAGTCAGCGAGTCCCTCCTCGAATATCTGTCCGATGAGACTTTCAAGCCGGTTGCGTCCCCATCTGATGTCGCATATGTCGCCATGACCGCTGGTAACTCCGGCCCGCCCAAGACTGTTGTTTTGGATCATGCGACCGTCATGACTCGCGCCGAAGGATTCGCAACCACAATGGCCATTGCAGACGTCTCTAGAACACTGCAGTTTGCAACTCACATATCCGACTCCTTCCTCCAGGAGACCTTCGGTACCTTCATGTGGGGAGGCTGTGTCTGCATACCCGCTGATATTGATCCAATCAATTTGGCTGCTTCCATCAATGCCCTGCACGCCAATGTGGCGAGCATCACCCCGACTGCAGCTAGCTTCTTTTCGCCCAGGGATGTTCCTGGATTGCGGTCAATCGCTCTGGGCGGTGAAGTTGTCACTCAGAGTATACTTGATCGTTGGCAGACCGATGACCTTCAGCTGCAAGTCTTGTACGGCACAAGTGAGATCTCATCCGCTTGTTTCCATTTATTTTGCTCCACAGAGCAGAATCAGACTGCTTCCATCGGAAAAAGCTCATCCTGCGCTTCCTGGGTCATTGATCCCGCAAATCATGACCGCCTTGTTCCAATTGGCAGTGTTGGTGAACTTGCTATTGAGGGCCCTATCCTCGCTCGTGGATATTTGTATGACAAGGTTGCCGAGAGCAATGATTTCTTCCGGAACCCCTCGTGGATGTCCGACCGCGGCGATGTCGAGACTTGCTTCTTCAAGACCGGGGACCTCGTTCGTTATAACTCCGATGGTTCGCTCACATTCGCTGGTCGCAAAAACACAGGGACTGAATCTGGTCTTGCTGCGGATATTTTCCACACCCAGGAGCAGATTGATGCGGCCCTGGATTCTCAAAACAAATCATTTGTTCAGAGAGTCCAGCTGGAGATTGGTGGTACGAAGACCCAGTCCTTGATCGCGGTCATTGTATCCTCGGACACCGTCTCGACCACCTTCGGGGATCCTGTCATTCATCCATCCCTCCCAGAACTGAAATCCTCGATCTCAAATCTGTACAGCCAACTAAGTATCAAACTACCTGCAATGAAGGTCCCGAGTATTTACATTCCCATCTCCTCCCTCCCCCTCACCTCTGCTGGAAAGCTCAACCGTAATGGATTAACTACAGAGATACAGAAACTTTCAAGCAGTGCACTCGAATCATACAACGTCAAGTATTGGAATGGCTCCAAGGCTGCCAAACGAGTCTCACCCCATGCTAGTCTCCCAAAATCTAGTGCTGCATTCTGGTCGGAATATCTCGCGGGCGTGGAGGCTTGTATCTTCCCTGCTCTCAATCATGAGGCGGAGAAGAACAGCCGCGAAACGCTCACGCTCAGCAAGCCGACTGCCAAAATCCATGCCTTTAGCAAGATTTCTGGCTTGCCAACTGAGACTCTGTTCCAATTTGCTTGGGCTCTTGTCCTGAGGTGGTATATCGGCTCAGACGATGTCTGTTTCGGGTACTTCCGTAATGGATCCAAACACGAAAAATCGGAAATTCCTGAAGTCGCAGCTTGCCGATTTATGATCCAAAACGAGCTCAGTTTGCAGAAGACTTTGCAAAAAGCGAAAGCGAACTGCGAGAATATTGCAATCAACGTGGCATCTTTGGACGCAGTCAAGCACCATCTCGGAATTGACGATTCGACTCTCTTCAACACATCCCTTAGCTATCGCTCTACTCCATCCGCCCTCAAACGGAGTGCCGTCGAGCCAAGAACTTCCAACGTCTACGATATCTCTATCGATGCCGATGTTTCACACTCCGTCGCGGAGATCCAGTTCAACTTCGCCGCGCACGTCCTCTCTACCTCTCAGATGGACCATGTCATTGATATGTTCAGCCAGGTTTTGGATGACCTGATTTCCCAGAATTTCAGCCAACGCACAATCGGTGACGTCGACATGCTTTCCGAACGATCTATGCGCCAAATTCGGCAATGGAACGCCGAATCGCCACCCAAAGTAGAGAAGTGTGCCGACGAACTCATTCAGCAGCAGGCACTCCTTCACCCTCGGGCGGAAGCCATCTGCTCGTGGGATAAAGACTTTACATACGGTCAATTGGAGATCGTTTCCAGTCGCCTTGCTCGCCATCTCTCAGGCCTCGGCGTCAAGCCCGAAGTATTCGTCGTTCTATGTTTCGAGAAATCAGCCTGGGCCGTAATTGCCCAGATTGCAGTCATGAAGGCTGGAGGCGCTTTCGTTTCAATTGATCCCTCTCACCCCGACTCGCGACTGAAAATGCTGATTGGTGAGGTTGGAGCTGATCTTGTCCTCTGCTCTTCTTCTGTCCACGCCAAGGTATCCAAACTTTGCGAGCAGACCTTCTCTGTTTGTCAAACATCTGTTTCGCAACTGCCGGAGTCACCTTTGGCCTTGCCTGGCGTCCGTCCCACACCTCAGAATGCCGCGTACTCAATCTTCACTTCTGGTACTACAGGAAAGCCAAAGGCAACCGTGGTTGAACATACCGGCCTCAGTACCACATCGCTGGCTATGTCCGAACCGATGAATCTCAATACCGGTACGCGCGCTTTGCAGTTCTCCAACTACACCTTCGACGTCAGCATTTTGGAGATCATCATGGTTCTGATTAACGGTGGCTGCATTTGCATCCCAAGCGAGGAGGAGCGCATGAACAATTTGGGAGGCGCTATTTGCCGCATGCGCGTCAACTACATGACGTCGCCCCCTGCCATTGTCAATACCCTGGAACCCACCAGCGTTCCTTCCCTTAAGACCATTGTTACAGGTGGTGAGAAGATGCCCGCGAACCACATTGACCGTTGGCACGATCGATGTGTCATCAATGCCTATGGACCGTCGGAGGGCACTGTCATGTCGACGGTTGGCGTGAAGGTTGACACGGAGGGTAATCGTGTCAACAACGACCCGACATCCATTGGAACAGCTCCGAACTGCCGAACCTGGATCGTCGACCCTAACAACTCCAACCGCCTCCTCCCAGTTGGCGCGGTTGGTGAGCTTGTCATCGAAGGAAGCAACGTTGCCCGTGAATATCTTGGTAACGAGGAGAAGACCAAAGCTGTCTTCTTTGAAAACCCCGCCTGGAACCGGCACCCTGGTTTGCAGGGCGTATTCAAGCGATCTGATCGCATGTATCGCACTGGTGATCTTGTCCGTTACGCTAGCGATGGCAGCCTGATATTCATTTCTCGGAAGGACACCCAGATCAAGTTCAACGGAGTCCGGATTGAACTCGAAGAAATTGAGCACCAGTGCTCACGCTGCCTTCCAGAAAATTCGCAGGTTGCTGTCGACGTCGTGGTCCCCGAAGAACGTTCCATCGCAAAGGGACTCGCTGCATTCTTCACTTTGCACGACCCAGAATCCAACGGCGGGAGCAGCGATCAATTCACTCCCACAATCCCAGGTGCCGACCCACTCTTGCTTCCCATCTCGGTATCCAATATGGATGCCATCCAGAAGTTGAAGGGCTCATTGCCTGAGCTGCTGCCTCAGAACATGATGCCCCGGCTCTTTTTCCCGCTGAGAAACCTTCCATTCACCACTTCCGGCAAGATTGATCGACGCAGGCTGAAGGCCATGGTCCAGACCTTATCTAAGGATACGCTCAAGTCTTACACCACGTTCAAGACCACTGATCAGAAAGAAGAATCCTTAGGTACCGCTCTCGAGGCCCAGATTGTGGCCCTTGTGGAAACCACCCTGGGACTTGGCGCTGGATCTGTCACTGCCGATGACAGTTTCTTCGCTCTCGGTGGCGATTCCCTTTCTGCGATGAACCTTGTTGGAGCAGCTCAGGCGGAAGGCATCGCGCTGACTGTCTCGAGCATATTCAAATCTCCCCTTTTGATCGACATGGCCAAGAGTTGTGACGCTGCTGGTGGAGCGATTCAGACCAAGCAAGCAGATGTCAAGTCCTTCTCTTTGATTCCCCGTGAAGTTGACCAGGATGCCTTGTTCGATGAGGTCACCGACAACTGCGAGGTTTCCAAGGACCTCATCACCGACATTTACCCTTGCAGCGCGGTGCAAGAGGGCCTACTCACCCTCTCCATCAAACACAACGGTGCTTATGTGGCTCAACCATCGTTCCGCCTCCCCGATGCTGTTGATTTACCTCGGTTCAAGCAGGCCTGGCAACAGACCGTTGCTGATCTCGAAATTCTGCGCACTCGCATCGTCCACACCGAGGCCATGAACTTTGCCCAAGTTGTTCTCAAGGATGTTGCTATTCCTTGGGTGCAAGTGAAGTCATTCGAGGAGCTTCCGATGGACTTCACCCACCTGCCCAAACAGAACGGTGCTCCTTTGACTGGGTACGCTCTGGTTCGGCCTCATGATTCAGCTCCTGTGCACTTTGTCTGGTCAGTTCACCATGCACTTTACGACGGATGGAGCATTCCATTGGTGTTCCGTCGGTTAGAGGAGAACTATTTCGGCACTAAAACAAAGCAAGCTGGAACGCCCTACAGCCTCTTCATCGACTACCTTACGAAGAAGGACATGGAGGAATCAGATGCGTTCTGGAAGACCTATCTGGCCGAGGTCTCTAGCACACCCTTCCCCGTGAACAAGAATGCTCTTCCAGACGCCATGCGGGCTGGAAACACTCAGCATCATACTCTCAGGATTTCCCGCTCCCCCGAGAGCGTGGACCTGACACTGCCAGTTCTGATTCGTGCTGCTTGGGCTATCGTGATCGGTACCCACACCTCATCTGGTGATATTTGCTTTGGTGAAACCCTCTCGGGTAGAAACATCGATCTTCCAGGAGTTGCTGAGATTGCTGGGCCTGTTTTGACCACAATCCCCACTCGAGTGAAGGTGGCGAATGACATGTCAGCTCTGGAATACCTGCAGAGTATTCACAAGTCGACTACTGAGATGATTCCCCATCTTCACCATGGCCTTCAGCGCATCCGTCAACTCAACAAAGATACCTCATCTGGTTGTGAATTCAACAATCTACTGGTCATTCAGCCTGGCGAAGATCTCAACAGCAAGATCTTGATCCACGACAAGCGTCAGGCTGCCAGCGAAGACTTCTTCACGCACCCGCTTGTTGTTGAATGTGCCGTCACCAAGACCGACATCAAATTCACTGCTCACCATGACGAACTCGTGATCAATGGGTGGCAGACCAAACGTCTCACGGAACAATTCGCACACGTACTTGATCAACTGATCTCGATGCCGAAGAGCAGCACCATGAAGGTTGGAGATTTGGACTTGGTTAGTGCCGAGGACAAAGCTGAAATCGCTACCTGGAACCAGCGAACTCCTTTGGTGGTTGAACGTTGCGTTCAAGACTTCATCCGAGAGAAGTGTGATGAAACCCCGAACGCCCAGGCTGTATGTGCCTGGGATGGTAACTTGACTTACAGAGAGTTCTGGGACCTTGCATCAGGATTCGCAAATTACCTTGTCTCTCGTGGAGTTGGCCCCGAAGTGTTTGTCCCAGTATGTCTGGACAAGTCAGCTTGGGCGATGGTCACGCTCATCAGTATTCTGATTGCCGGTGGTGGCTACGTGCCATTGGATCCCTCTCATCCAACCTCACGACACGAGGAGATTCTTGCCGACGTCGGCGCCAACATGATCCTTTGTACCCCTAACTACACCAGCCGCTACAGCCGTGTTGTTAAGACAGTTATTCCAATCAGCAGAGAGACCATCAAGGCCTATGGGTCATTGAAGGCTTCTCCTCGGGGTCGGGCTCAGGTCCAGCCTTCCAACATGGCATACGCACTGTTCACTTCTGGCAGTACAGGCAGAGCCAAGGGCATTATTGTTGAGCACCGCAATGTGGTTAGCAGCATTATGGCATTCGCTCCATGGGTTCGCATGGATGAGACGTCTCGCGTTTTCCAATTCGCGTCTTTGACCTTCGACGCTGCCGTGATGGAAACACTTGCCATCCTCATGGTGGGTGGTACTATTTGCGTACCAAGTGAAGACGACCGTCTCAACGATGTTGCTGGTGCCATTCGCCGTCTGAATGTGACATGGACATTCCTGACTCCTTCGATTGCTAGCATCATCGAGCCATCCTCTGTTCCCTCACTGAAACACCTTGTCTGCGGTGGTGAGAAGATGTCCAAGGAAGTCATCACGAAGTGGGCCAACTCTGTCCACCTGATGAATGGATACGGACCAACAGAGACGTGTGTCTTTGCTGTTGTTGACAATGCCGTTGCCACAAGTCTTGACCCTGCGCGCATTGGATATGGTATTCCCAGCACCTTGACTTGGATCGTTGACCCGGACAATCACGATCGCCTGACGCCCCTTGGCGCTGTGGGCGAACTCGCTTTGGAGGGTGCGGCTCTTGCTCGAGAGTATCTCAACAACCCAGAGAAGAATGCAGAGGCATTCGCTTACGACCCTGCTTGGATCAAGGATTTCAAGCCTGCTGTTCCTGGACCCCGCAGGATCTACAAGACCGGTGATCTCTGCTACTATAACCCCGACGGCTCTATTGAATACATCAGTCGAAAGGATCACCAGGTGAAGTTGCATGGTCAACGCATGGAACTCGGCGAGATCGAACATCGTCTGATGGAGAACTCTCTCACCCGCCATGCCGTCGTCATTCTTCCGAAGAATGGTCCGCTCAAGCAGCGTCTCGTCACTGTGATGTCTTTGAACAGTGTGGCAGCCGATAACAGCCTTATCTCTGATAAGCCTTGTGAGCTTGTCTCCGAGGACGAGCTGGAGCGCCACGCCTACAATGAGCTGATTGATGTCCAAAAGACCCTTGAGCAACAGCTTCCTGTCTATATGGTGCCGCAGACATGGGCTCTGATCTCCAAACTGCCCATGCTGGTATCTGGCAAGCTCGACAGAAAGAAGATCACCGCTTGGCTGGAAGATATTGATGATGACTCTTATGATCGCATCATGGCTGACTACGACCGCATCAAGCGGGGCAAGACCGAAGAGAAGCCCCAAGAAAAGGAAGAGAAAGACGATTCTCTCAAGTGCATTCGTGAGATCATCGCACAGGTCTTGAACATCTCTCTTCCCAAGGTCAAGGCAGACCGTTCTTTCGTCAGCCTAGGTAAGTGCCGTGCATATATTTCAATTTGACCCAGCTGACGATCAAAATAGGTGGCGACAGTATCACTGGAATGGCGATCATCTCTCGTGCCCGCAAGCAAGGCCTAGTGGTGACTTTGCATGACATTCTGCAGAGCCGATCGGTCAAAGAGCTCGCCCAGGCAGCCAAGGCGAAGGCATCGATTTCTCAACGCGAAGAGAAGTCCGGCGCGCGCTTTTCTTTGTCGCCAGTCCAGAAGCTTTACTTCCAGAGCTCAACTGCCTACCAAATCGATGCCCGATTCAATCAAAGTATGACTGTCAAAATCACACGCCGATGCGAGGCAGAGGTCCTTCGTCGCGCCATTAAGGCTGTGGTTGGACAGCATGCTATGCTCCGTGCTCGATTCACCGCAACAAACGGTGATTCATGGCAACAAAAGACTGTCGCGGTACGTACCTCAGGAAATTTCGAAGATACGTCTGCTAATCATGCACTACAGGAGGTTGAAGAGTCATTCCGGTTCCGTGTTCACTCCGTTGATGATGCCAAAGCGATGGTACCAATGATTGGAGAAAGCCAGACATGTCTCAACCCCGTTGATGGCCCAATTCTGGCCGCTGACCTGTTCAATGTGGGCACCGGGGGTCAGGTTCTCTTCTTGACTGCTCACCATTTGTGCATTGACATGGTATCTTGGCGCATCGTACTTCAGGATCTCGAAGAACTTGTTGTGTCTGGTTCTCTATCGCTGGACAAGGCTCTGTCCTTCCAAAGCTGGTGCGCATTGCAGACAGAGCGTGCTAAGACCCACGACGCCAATATCTCGTTGCCCTTCGCACCCATCAAGCCTAATCTCCAGTACTGGGGTATGCATGATGCCCCCAATGTCTACGGAGATATCAAGATGGAATCATTCACTTTGGCTGAAGACGCCACCAACTTCATTCTGGATGGCTGTCACAGTGTTTTCCGAACTGACACTGTTGATATCCTCTTGTCTGCTATCATTCATTCCTTCGGTCGGACTTTCACCGATCGCAAGGTTCCCACCATTTACAATGAGGGACACGGCAGAGAGTCATGGGATGCAAACATTGACCTTTCAAGAACTGTTGGCTGGTTCACCACCATGGCACCCTTGCAGGTCGACTCTGAAGCCCGTAAGTCATCGTTTCTCCATTCGAGAAACACTAAGCTAATATCAATAGGTGCCCTGAGTGATATTATCAAGCGTGTTAAGGATACACGTCGCAAGATTGCGGACAATGGAAGACCCTTCTTTGCTAAGAACCTTCTTCAGGAACAGGGCGCCGACTTCCCCGTCCCATTGGAAGTCCTATTCAACTACCTCGGCAAGATGCAGCAGCTCGAGCGCTCGGATTCACTTTTCCACCATCACGGCAGTGCTTTTGATAGCTCAGACTTTGCCGTTGCTGGTGACATGGGCCCTCGAACTGCCCGCTTTGCCCTCTTCGAAGTCTCCGCCATTGTTATCAAGGAGCGCCTCAACGTGGCTTTCACGTACAACCGAAACATGCAGCACGAGATCTCCATCCGGCGCTGGATTCTGCAGTGCAAGCAGACTTTGGAAAAAGACCTCCTGAACCTGAGGACAGCCACGCCTGAGCCCACTCTCAGCGATTACCCGCTACTGCCTATCAACTACCATGGTCTTCAGATGCTGACGAACACCACCTTCCGAAAGGCTGGTATTCGCAACAAGGACCAAGTGGAGGACATTTATCCCTGTTCCCCAATGCAAGAAGGTCTCTTGCTCAGCCAGTTGCGTGATCCCAATGCGTACATGTTCCACACTGTTTTCGAAGTGAAGGACACTAGATCCAGCAAGATGGACGCTGAGAGACTTGCGCGAGCATGGGAGACTCTTGTTGATCGTCATCCCGTTTTGAGAACGATCTTTGTTGATAGCAATTACACCGGTGGATCCTTTGACCAACTGGTTCTCAAGACATTGACCGACAACCTTCACCGCGTGGAGTGCCTGGACTCTCAAGTCGAAGAAAAGCTGGCCGCTATCTCTCTCCGGGACTTGAATGCCATGCGCCAGGCGAAGCTTTCTCACCAAATGACCGTTTGCAGAACGAACTCTGGCAGAGTGATTATGAAACTCGAGATCAACCACGCTATCATTGACGGTGGCTCAATGGACGTTATACTCCGTGATCTGACTTTCGCCTACGATCAAAAGCTCCCCGAGGGTTCAGGCCCATGCTTCAGTGATTACATCAAGTTCATTCGAACTCAGAGCCAAGGAGATGCCCTGGGCCACTGGAAGCAATACTTGGGTGGAGTCAACCCATGTCACCTCGCCCCCTCAGCTGGGTTCGAATCGAACCGCGAGCTGAAGGGTGTCCTGATGAACTTCCAACGATTCCCAGAGCTCCTCGAGTTCTGTGAGCAAAGCTCTGTCACACTCGCGAATCTGACCCTATCTGCCTGGGCAATCGTGCTTCGGCAATTTACCGGCTCTGACGATGTTTGCTTTGGATATCTGTCTGCCGGTCGCGATGCCCCAGTGAATGGAATCCAAGACATGGTCGGAATCTTCATCAATATGCTTTGTTGCCGAGTGAAGTTTTCCCCCCAGCAGACTCTGATTGACGTTTCCAAGAATGTCCAGGATGATTACATTCGATGCATTCCCCATCAGAGTTGCTCTTTGGCAAGCATCCAACATGAGCTTGGTTGGCAAGGACAGTCCTTGTTCAACACTACGCTGTCTATTCAAAACCACTCTGTCGCGGCAGGCTCTAAGGGACAGGGCCTGTCCTTCGATCTTCAGCACGCACACGATCCAAGCGAGGTAAGATTTCGAACCTGATGTACTCTATTTTCCCCCTTCTTTGTTAACTGACTGAATACAGTATGCGGTCACTGTGAACGTCGAGATCGCTCGTGGTCAAGAAGGCATCCTTCTGAGATACTGGAATGATGTGGTGTCCGATGAACAAGCGCAGGAATTGTCTGATACCATTGCCAGAGTATTCACTGGGTTCATCGATACGCCAACTGGGACTTTGTCGCAATCCAACTTCGGTGTCCCTAACTCCACAGACTCAATGCGCTGGGATTACTCTCAGACGACGCTTGCCGCCAATTCCACGTCAAACAAATCTGTCAAATCCACAGAAGGAATCGATAGCGTTGCTATGCAAAAGATCATTGATGATCGTGTCCATGAGATCATCGGTCGGATGTTGAGAGAAGGGAAACTAACAGTGCCACCAGTTCAAACAGATTCAATGTCTAGCTATGACCACACGGATACCTCTACAAACTCACAATACGAGTTAGGAAATCCAGGGGCTCATGATTCGGGTGTTTGTTCGGAGACTGACCACTCCAGCGAGGATGGTGCGTCGGCTGAAGTGGAAAGAAAATTGTGGACGCTTTGGAGCACAGCTCTTGGTCTTTCTCCCAACGTGGTGAAACACCAACAGAGCTTCTTCAAGCTCGGCGGTGATAGTATCACCGCCATGAAGATGGTCAGCGCTGCTCGAGAAGAGGGTCTGGTGCTTACGGTCGCGGATGTTTTCAACAACCCCGTCTTTGAGGACATGCTGAGCACTGTTCAAGCAGCCAATGTCACCCAACAAATGCTTGATGTCGATCTTCAGATGTCTCACAAGGATGTCGAGGCAGAATTTTCTCACGGAGCTCCGGGAAATCTGGTCACAAACCCTTCGTCCGAAAGCATCGAGGTGCTCAAGCCATCTTGGCTTGATGATGCTGCGGTTGCGCGTGGAATTTGCCCTAAGATTGGAGTATTTAAGGGCGGCATCGCTGATGTTCTCCCGGTCACCGACTTCCAAGCAATGTCACTGACGGCAACTTTGTTCAAGTCTCGATGGATGCTGAACTACTTTTACCTCGAAGGCAACGGTCCCTTGGACCTCCGACGCCTCCGCGCGAGTTGCTTGAAGGTCGTCGATGCATTTGACATCCTGCGAACCGTCTTCGTCTGCTTCCATGACCAGTTCTTCCAGGTCGTCCTGCGCAAGATCCGTCCTAGCATCTTTGTGTACGAGACCGATCGTGCTCTTGATGAGTTCACAATGTCGCTTCAGCAGCGTGACCGCGAATATGGACCCCGTGAGGGTGAGCAATATGTGCAATTCTACGTTGTCAAAAAGAAGGGCAGCGACCAGCATCGCATCCTGATTCGTCTTTCTCACACTCAATACGACGGAGTCTGTCTACCGAAGATCATGGCTGCCCTGAAGAATGGGTACGAAGGCACGCCCTTCGCCCCGATCAGTCCATTTGCTACTTATCTCCGTCAACTGCCAGGGGTGATTAGTCCAGATCATTACCGCCATTGGTCTGAACTGCTCAAGAACTCCCAGATGACCCAGATCGTGCGACGAAACGACACCAGCATGTTCCAAAATGTGGGAGCATACACAGAAATAAATCGCAAACTCGAAATTCCTCCCGCCGCACTTGGCAACGTAACCATTGCTACCGTCATGCAGGCGGCTTGGGCCTTGACCCTGGCCAAGCTAGCCGCTCAATCTGAGGTTGTGTTTGGGTTGACCATTAGTGGTCGCAATGCCAATGTCCCAGGAATTGAGGACACCGTTGGCCCCTGTGTCAATGTCATACCAGTGCGAGTGAAACTCGATGAGAATTGGACTGGAGACGATCTCTTCCGCTACCTCCAAGATCAACAGGTGGCTAACATGCCATATGAAACCTTGGGCTTCCGCGAAATCATCAAACAATGCACGGATTGGCCCGACTGGACCTACTTCACCACGTCTGTCTTCCACCAAAATGTCGACTACGAGGGCACCATTGAACTTGACACCAATAAGTACCGCATGGGAGGTGTCGGTGTCAACGACAACCTCGCAGATCTGACCATGGTATCGCGACCCGATGGCCCGAACGCCCTTTCTGTGACCCTTGGATACTCCGAAAAGGGACCTGTCATGCCGTCTTTCGCGCACAAGGTTCTCGACATGGCCTGCGAGCTGGCACAGTCACTGATCGCAACCCCCAACATGCCACTCCCTTCCGCAACCATGCTGCGCTCTTTGGAAACCCAGACCATCGACGACATGCCTCGTCCAACAGACCAGCACTTCCTCAACTCCCACCTCAAGTCTCGCTCCATCTCAGAACTCCTGGTGCACTCGGATATTCTTTCCCGCTCATGGCACCAAGTTCTACCAAGCCGCAACACTGCGGCACCAATTGAAAGCTCCGATGAAAAGCCAAACCACCCATCTCCCTTCCAGTTGGACTCGTCCTTCTTCGATCTTGGAGGCGATGTTTTCAATCTGGCTCAGTTGACTTGGCTCCTAGAGCAAGAGGGTCTCAAAGTGCGTCTTGAGGACCTGATTCAACACACTACTTTCCTAGGCCAGATGGCCGTCTTGGCATTGCATAATGCAAAGCACGTTGAAGATCTTCCCGCCGAGGAGACACTCGCAACAGGTGCCGCGGGACCTGATCCTGTTCCCCGTCTGAAAAAGGCCAACACATGGGACAAGGCAAGGATGCTTGCTCGCAAGTTGACTCGTCGTAACAACAATCTTGTTGCCAATCGAGCATGAAAATGATGCTTGAAGAAAAAAAAAAAATAATACCACGCCATCCAACTACGGGCCACCAATCCTTGAAATTTCCTTTTTTTTGTCTGTCTTCGCCTTTTTGCTTTTACTTTTGCCTCCAAGATTCGCAAGTTCGGATCGATTACCATGAAATCCATGCTGTTTTCCCGATTTATATATGTATAGTTTAAAAGCCGGGAGGCCAGCTTCCATCCATACTCAAACACATGAAATATTTCTCTTTCTCTTTGAAGACCACCTAATCAGCATTGAAAGACACCGATCACACTAGCCCTGGAGACTCTCAAACGAGCATATCACTTGGGAACCTGAGCAGTTGACCGTCTCCGCTGCTTAACCGGACCCCTGGAATTACTATATTCCGCTTCGCACGTGAGTTCAATTCTATCACATGACAGCGTCATGGCATATCCGAGCGTCGGAAGTGACGGTGTTTCTGCCGTGGCGTCGCTGCCAACCACCGAGTGACAGGGAGAGATCAATTTTTTTGTAGCATTTTTGATGTTATCCTAATGTCTGTACCATGAGTTCCTTCTGGTCCTTTGTTTCGTTCACGATCTATTGCTCAATGCTGCCTTCATTATCCCACTCTCTACGATATTTTTCAATATCAATGTCTATAGTACGAGTATCAGGAGGATCCTCCATAACACTCCAGGCCCGAGGGTCTAGAGGGGGAAGAGAGAGTGGATCGCGGGCGATTGTAAACTTGTACATGAGACACTCGGCGGTATGATAATTGAAGCTTTCTGGCCAGAGTTTTGTGGAGGAAAGGTTCACATGCTCAAGGTCCACGATCTTCACCTGTTCATCATCGTCGGCCAACAAAAAGTTATCCAGTCTTTCGTCATTATACTGGACCCCGTACTTCACAAAGGCCTGCAGCGCTGCGACAATTTTTGCTTCCAGAGCTACCTCTTTGCTTTGGGGAAAACCTCCACGGGCGAGCTCAAGCAAAGTGGTCCCGGAGATCGCAGATAAAACAAGGGCAGGGGATCGGTCGTATATAGCTTCGCCGTAGAATATCGGAATGACCGTTCCTTGCAGACGAGATAAGAGGTTGTAGGCTTTCTTTTCGGTATTGAACTGATCTTCCCACCAAGGCTTTTGCTTCTTGAGAATCACTATGGAGGGTAGAGAGGGTGAATCTGTAAGTTCCAAGCGATACACCGTCCGGCCGGAATTCGGATCCAATAAGTCGGCTTTTTTAGCAGTGACACAGCGGTCGCCAAGAAAGAATTCCTGGCAGAATTAGTAATTAGAGGCTATCCAACAGAATTCATATTAGGGGTTTACATACTAATGGAGGTGGAAGTGACTCAGTGAAGTCATTCATGATTCAGGGAGGGGGGGGGATCGGTCGTTATCCAGGCAGGGTGTGTCAACGGGAAAATGACAAGTATTAATAGTGAGAAATGGTGCTCCGGACTGATTTGATATCCCGCCAACAGAAGTAAATTCAGACTAGTTGATGACCTGTGTGACCATGTGTTACCATGCACCTGCAAGGTTCAACTTCCGACTCTACCACAAACAGTTAGAAACAGTATCCAGTATCAGGATGTATGGCTTCTGTTTCTGGGTGCATCCAGGACCAGTAACCGCGCCCCTGCTGATCAACCTGTATCGCATATTCCCGTCTGGATGAGTATCGTGGATGTGACCATCCCTCCCGATGCAGGCTGTTCTTCCTGACCAATTCTCGTCTCTAAATAGTAGGCGGTGATGACAATAAGATCCCCCAGGCCATTCTCACTTCTCGGTGGGACAGAGGAAAGACCGCTGCAAAGACCCCATTGATATGCGCTTTTAGCTGAACTTTTGAATCATTAGTAAGATATGTTAAAGTTCTGTGCAGAGGTCCACTCACAACTTTACAACTTGGCTTACCGTCAACCATATATCGAAGGCGGTGAGATCATGAGTATTGTACAGAGTACGGAGTACTTAAGTACGTAGTGTTCCCTCTGATGCTATCATTTGGCACTCTAATAACAAACCCACACGGTTTCCAAGGCAATGGGAACATTCCATTGATCGAGCACTGGAAATTCCAAGGCTTATTAAGAGGCTTACCTAAATCTCCCAAGGTTGGAATTGAACATGCCCCGTGCAAAGGGTCCCCGTGCAAAGGGTCCCCGCAAGGCAAGCGGGCGTCGCAGGACAGGCAAGTCTAGCTGGGAGCTTTGTTCACAGATATCCTTTGTTAATGCCATTTAGGCTGGTAAAGCTCTCCGACTGTCTTAGTGCTATTTAGAGCAACCTGTGCTGACCTGACAGTCAAAATTGTCGTACTCGACGGATCAAATGCGACGAAGGAGCTCCCTGCAGCTATTGCTCTCGAAAGGGCTTGACTTGCAATCCACCAGATTTCATCGTACCGCAGCGATGGTCAAACCTATCAGTAACAAATCAACTCAAGAATGGGGACCAGGAACATGAGACATTGAATGATCATGTCCCGGAGTCTACATATGACGTTTTCCAACAAGCTCAGCTCATCATCCAATCCCCGGCATCGCTTCAGTTGGAATCATCTATTACTTGTGACGACATATTAACCGAAGAGACAGCTGCGCTTTTGAAAATCTATCATAACGGAATCGGAACATGGATGGATATATTCGACCATACACGCACGTATCAGAGTGAGATTGTACGCTGTTCTCTCTCGTCTCCTTTACTCATGCACGCGATTTGTGCCATGTCCGCCAAACAAATGAGTTTGACGGAGAACAAGTTTCTGTGGGAACCCGTTGCTTCGAGATTTTATGGTGAGAGTCTCGGCCTATTGATCAAAGAGCTCACCAATCCGGGCACCGACCGTGGACTTTTGCTGGCGGCCACCATTCTACTAGGCAGCTATGAACTGCTGGCAGAGCCTGGAACCGATTATCAAAAGCATATTTACGGCGCATGCACGGTAATTCAATCTTTCAAACCGGGCGAAAAAGAATTGCGACTCGAACAGGCGAGCTTTTGGGTATATGCACGACAAGACGTTGCCTTGGCGCTTGTTAATGAGCGCCCAACATTGACACCGCCAGATGAATGGCCACCAATTCCCCAGCATGCCAACTCTATCGACACAAAGTTTGGGCACAACATTTTACAGTTACTCGGCAGGGTGATTCAGATCAAATTTGCTCAAGGGGATCGCGCATCATCCAATACCAAGTATCAAGATCTAGAGGTGCTGTCATCGGAGATTGAGTCGCTGTGGAAGAATTTACCCCTCCATGTCCGCGGAACCCGCGTCAAGAATGATTTTGTTGATTGCGAAGGTCTCTCTACCATCTGGTTTTGTGATCCTGCCGCAGGTTAGTAGAAAATGACCCGCCCGTGGACCGGAGCTAATAGACCCAGGAGCTGCTTGTCTCTATTATCATATGGCGAAGATTCTCATATTGGAATCCTTGTCAGAAGGGGCTGATGATATCGATTATGCAACCTTAATTCACTTTCATGCTCAGGATATAGCATCAATTTGCCTTTTGTCAGATATTCCTGACAGTGCCATGGTGGTGGCAGTGAATCCAATTTTTTACGGTATGATACAAACACTTTGGGGTCAGCTATATGAGCGTTAACATTGCGCAGCAGCAAAACACATGCCGTCTCTTGCACTGAAAATAAGATTGTGGGGTGCTCTTGAAAAAATCGAAACGCGAATGGGATTTTACACACGCGACAGGCAGACCCAAATCAAATCCGAGCTTGAAAAATAAATGCAACTCTGCTTGTTCTATTGACTAAATCCCGAGGCTTCAGCCACTTGAACACCCTTCCTACTGTCTGTCTCATTTGATCCGCCTTCACGTCTCCAGAGTTTCAAAGGCATTTGACTCGGCCACAAATTAAATCCTTCCTCCCAAGTCAACTTCCAATCTGGAAACGGAAGCATGAAGTCGTATCGCTGGACTAACGTCGCAATAAGTATCTGCTGCTCCATCATCGTGATATTCCGACCAATGCACGCTCTTGCGCCAGTTGTAAATGGAATGAAAGCGGATCTCATGTCTTTTGTTGACTCTGATTCGTCCAACCATCTTTCAGGGATGTAATATTCGGGCTCAGGAAACAGTCTTGGGTCGCGGTGAGCAATGTATGCTGGAACAGAAACGGTGACGCCCCCTGCTATGCGCTCACCCAAAATCTCCATTCCCTGCGGCGGAGTTTTCCTTTCCAGCCCGCGTGGAACAGGCGGAGAAAGCCGCAGTGACTCATCGAGACATGCCTTCAGATATGGAAGACTTTTCACTTTGGCATAAGGTGCAATGGTTTCTCCTTCGTCTAATACCCCAGATACTTCATCCCTGAGCTTTTTGAGTGTGTTTGGATGCTTGATCAAATAATAAAGTACATTTGTCAATGCAATTGCTGTGGTATCAGAACCAGCATCCACTGTAGTTGAACAATAAATTAGCTCGGCCGTGCAAATATGAAGAAAGCGCCTCTTACAGAGAATACTAGCTTCAGCTTCGATCTCGCCCCGGTCCAAACCTCGGGCTTTCCCTGCCTTGTCCTCAACAAGGCAACTCAAAAAATCACTCGTCTCTCCGCTCTCTTGTTTTGCCAACCTCCTGTCAGTCAACATGCTCACTATATTTCCGAAATCGTCCATATGTGAACGGAAATATGGGGAGCATAAGGTGGCAATAACTTTCAGGGAATTGAACCAATCAGTCGCTCCGACAAATCGAGACACGGTGCGACTCCCACAATGAAGGCTTTCAATGAAATTGAGATTCTGCACAGTACTGCCGGATGGTATTCCTTCGACTAGATCGGTTCCCGATTCAAGTAAACCCAATCGCTCACTCAGGGCAATATCGGCGATTGCATCAAGGGTGAAAAGGTTGGACCAGAAACGGAAATTCACAATTAAGTCACTTGAGGCAATAGCGCATTTGTCCAGGTATGGGTTGGTACAGCGTTTGTCAAACTGGACGATCATTTTCTGCACTTTGTCGGTGATTTTGAATTCCCATTGCTCCAGATTTCTCGTGGCGAAGGCATTAGACAGCATACGACGTTTTCGGGCGTGATCATCCTTATCAACAACGTTGAGAATGTGCGGATGACTTCCCGTGATCGACTTATATACGTCGTCCTTGAGGCAAGGTGAGCCATGTCCGTAGATATCTTTGATAGCTGCCACGCTACCAAATGACAAAACATTCGGACCGGTGCGTAGGATGGGATGCCTTTCATGCTGGGAGTGAAGGATTTCTGTTCGGAAGGAGTTTCTTCGCTCGTAGACATAGGCCAAGCTAGTTAAGCCGGAGAAGATGTTCTGATTTGGGTATCGTCGCAGGCGTTTGGGGTCGTATAAGTAGATCGCGAGCGGTGCCGTACATAACCAAGCCAATATGGCCCCTAGAAGAATCCAGAAATCCATTTCTTCTTGTTTGGTACGCCTCATCAAGTTGTAAAAAATCAGCCAGTGATGAAGAGATTGTATCAATTGTCAGTGGAAGTCGACCCTTTTGTATTTCTTCTTCAACTCTAGAATCTGTCCGGAATATTCTAATCACTCATTATCTTCATCATTTTATTGCGTAAAACATCGTGGATCACCATTCACCTCTCCGCTGACGTGTCAGAGGTGAAATAGGACTCTGAACGGGCAGTATTTGCCTTGAAGTGAGGCGCCTGGCATTCCCATTTGGGAAAGTTAAGAGTGTGAGATTATCCATTGATGGCTGAGTTGATGCACATGCTGTCGCCAAATATTAGCTGTTGATCCTGACCTTAGAAAAAACCCAAGTGGTGTCGCGCGCTCAGGTGCAATTACTCTGAGCCTGCGCGTGTCATTCCTATTAAGTAAACTAAAGCGCAAGGCCTCTCGTGTCGCTTACCTATTATGGTATACGAAGCGCGTGGATTTGATCTTCAAACTTCAAGTAGTTTCTTTGCTCGCTGCGTTAACTGGATTCAGAGATTTTCGCGAAACCATCGCAATCCTGTCCAGATATCAATTTAAATGTTGCGGATCACATTCCTAATCCGGTATGCGACGCGCCGGGCTACGGGGGATACACGACCGATCACCGGGCATCAATCCAGCGATATCTGAAAACAATCGTGGCTCCGAGACTGCCGCACCTTTAAGTACCCCGTAATAGTGACCCGATGGCTTTTTGGCGCTCTGAAATCCGAAATATACCCCGCCCCCACAACATGGGTTGTTGCGGGGGATATACATGATAGATACACAAGGTCTATCCGATTAATGATAAATTAACACTCTTTACTTTTGGAATCAGAAGAAAAAGTTCTTAGTTCTTTGCGACACCAATAAGCCCAGCAGCATAGCTGGTCTTTTTCTAGTGAGGACCACCGCGCTCAGGCCCGCGATGCCTACCAGTCGGCCAAAGGACCTAATATGACAAGACCTCGTCATGCCTGGGACCGGTATATCTAGTAAGTAGCGCACGGTTGGGGCCGCCACGCAAGGGCGCGCCCTAACATTGAGCTCTGCGTGATGATGATGATGAGATGGAAAAGAACCCTGCGGGGAGCCCCCCAGGCCACAGGGAGAACACCCCGCCGCGCAGGAGCGGAACCGCCCCGAAAGGTTGGTATGACTCGGAAGAAGAATTGCTAGACAAGGTTCAACAATGGGCTCTTTCCCATGGGTACTGCGTTGTAAAAGCATCTTCCAACCTGGGTAAGAATATGACAAAGTGCAAGCATTCCGATACCCCAAGGTGGCGTAAGACCCCGTAAATTCTAGCCAATACGCTTAGAAGGTCTCTTCCGGGGGTATCAGAATGCCTGAACCGGATAGCCATAATTCTTACCCAGGTTGGAAGACGTTTACAACGCAGTATCCATGGGAAAATACAAACTATTTCCATGGATGCAGCCTCATTACCCAGCACAGCGGGACAGCAGGAAAAGTATACCCTTGACGATCTTGTCGTAGATAGAATAAATCACACAAATCTCACCAATCCGGTGCTATCCAATAATCTCCCCAGGCACCGTTGCCATTATCCGCATCTCGGAATTTATCAACTCCTCCCTCGACACCATTTTCACTCACTGTCCATACACCACTTTCAATCAGCTCTGTCCATCGTTCAAAAAGCCTCTCCAGCCTCTGCGACCGACGTTCGCCTCCAAACGGATGAAACCAGCCATGTTGAAAGAGTTCCGTAAATGAGCCCGATTCCACTAATCTCCCATCACTCATCCTGGCCCCTTCTTTGTCTCGGAAATCAGGTCGTAGTGCAAATGGAAGAAGGAGACGGAAGCCTGCCTCCTCCGTATCATGGTAATTTCGAAGTAGAGGTTCACTGTAGAGTCCCGTAGGGATAGGATCACCTTCCTTCATAGTTACATTCTCACTTGCTTGAGAGAACAAATATTTCAATTCCAAGTTGAGATTCACCGTCCGGTCTTGAATTGGGAATAGTAGGACTGCTGGAACACAGTCTTCTTCGTAGGGTAGTGTAGTAAATCTCTGCAGCATCGCAAACTCTTCTTTATCATGTGGGACCTGTAAGCCAGGCGCGATAAATTTGAAACGTGGGGTCTTGACTCTGGTTAAGAATTTGCGAATAAAGCAGTCCTTCGGCACGGAAGCTATATCAAGGTCTGAGTCGGTAAAGAGGGGTGCAGAGATAGGTAAAAGTGATTCAGGAGGCATCCGAGATTCGACTGTATCTGAATAATGCTCCATAGCAGCTATGGTGCTATCAATCTGGGCATTGCAATAGGGAAGCCACGACCATAGACCAATTTGCGACCTTGACGTCGAATTGCACTCAGGCAACCCAGGAACAACCCTGCCCAGACGAATCATATAGATCCAGTGTGTGAGAATAGTCTCCAAGGGGAACCACATCTCCTCGTGTTCGTCGACAGGCTCCACACTTTCCGAATTCTCCAAGGTCATCGGGAACGAGGCCCGATTAAGCTGTTGATCATAAAGAACACCGAGACAATGCGAGCCCAGTTCTGGAACAGTGTCGTAAATCACCACGAATCGCTCTTTCCCTTCATCCTCAAGCTCGTTGTCTTCAAAAGGGAATGATTCATCGCAGAGTCTCATCTCAAGACCGTTAACCCAGTAGAAGAATGACGGCTCAGGATCATAGATTAAATCCAGGAAAGAGTTCAGGGGCGAGTCCAGACGCTCACGTATAACGTCTATATCTTCAGCTGGTTGTCTAAAGAACCACCTTTCTCTGCCTAGTGCATCGAGGTCAGGTGCGTCTTTTCCATGGCGGGCCATCCACCCATATGCGACCAGGTAATTATGTAGTCTGGCACAACGCTCATAATCGAGAATGTCGTCATCACGGGCTGGAGTCTCGTCGGAAACCAGAGCGTCCTCGATATCGAGGATTCGTTCTGGGGTGGTATTCATGGCGATGTAGAGAGGAAAGTTCCAAGTTCCAAGGTTGAACTAAGCAGCAGTTGCGGAGGGGCTATTTCCAAGGTTGTGTATGTTGGACTAAGCACAAATCTGGCCAATCATGGATCGTTCATCACCTCCATTTCTCTATCCCTTAGGGCAATTTCCAAGGTCACGGGTTACGTGGGAATCTGACTAATAAACTAAAGCAAACAGTGCAAACATATAGGGTAAAGACCCACTTCCAGGATCACATACTGACACTCGAGAATCTCCCCAGCTCCATCACTGTCCAACAGACTCTTTGGCACGCTATGCTACCAACGGGGAAATGAAACGTGACTTGAGCTCGAGAGAACGGAGCCAAGCCGCGATATAAGTGGTTTTCCCTGCGTCGGACCCGACGTCCGCATCAATTTTCTCATGACTTTCGTTTCTACGATGTCTACGATGATGTATAGCCTTATGGCTCGTGGCTAAATATTGCTGAGGGACAAACCACTTTCACAAGCTTGATTCCTGATCTGCACCATGCCGCGCGCCAAACCGAAGATTCATTACCACTCGATGTCGGGCTCCTTCATGAAACGCAACAACCGAAAATCCTAGTTGATCGGTGCTTTTGACAGCGACAATGATCTTCTTGTATTGATCAGGTCGACATCATGAAACGCGAAGCACCTTCTGAGGTACATGGCTACAACAGTGATGGTGACGTGCGACTAGCAAAAGCGCGCCGGCGAGAAAGCCTAAGCACGAATCCAGAGCTTTGGAAGGAAAAGCACGAGCACAGCAAAGCGCAGCAATCGCTTTTACACTCAACTTGCGATATTCATCACACTGACTGACTACCCAGCAACCTGATCCTCTCGAACACCGAACTACCACTTCAACGTCCCTCACGAATACCGCCGACGAGATTCTGGACGACATCTACCACTGGATCCCTGCGCCATCGGAAACTGACGCACTTGAGGTGATGAGCCAACCCGCTTCAAAACGATCCCGATCGCGTTCGATCTCAACGGATCGAGGGCGTGCTCGGTCGGTCTCATCGGACAATAGCGAGAGCACTTCGGCTCAGGACACCAGGTCATATGCATATAGAGCTGTCAATTATGTCACTGTGCTGGAGACCAAAGGATGCTTCATGCGACAATCCTCTGCCGGCCCGATATCCGAGGATATCGCGCTCTGTGAGCGTCTCCTCAGGCAGCCCATCGAACCACCCACCGGCACACTGCTCGAAGACGAGTATAACACAGATTTTCGTAACGCGTTGCAGAATGGATCCGAAGCGCGTCTGTTGGTGGACCTGCACCCACTCATTATGCCATCCGCGGAGAATCAATACATTCGAGGGAACCAATCTTTGAAGGATGTGATTGATGGGTACAATGATCCCTGGCTGAAGACCGAGCCAATCTATGGTCCGAAACCTCAGCCTGATCACGCACGAGGCTTGAGATGGTCGGCTTTTTCCGAGAGCCAGCGGCGCAAACTCGGGATCAAGCCTGACGAGAAATCGCCCTACACAGTGCGAGAGGACATGTACTTCCCATACTTGACTGCATAAATTAAATGTGGGAACCAGGCGCTGGAGTCTTTCTCTTATTAGATGAAGTGAGCCTGATGAGCTAGGTGACTTGCTAGGTTAATCTTTGTTGTATTTCAAACTTCTAACCCACATTTTGTAGATTTTAGATGTAAGAGAGACTGAAAACAAATGCAATTTCAAAAGTAAGATAAAACAGTAATATGCATGGAGAAAAGTAACACAAAGTGAGGCTAGAGAAGGTATTCACAGGCTGCCTCATTACTGGCCAAGCTCTCGATCACGTCACTGAAGTATCCAACGACGAGATCTGCTGAGTTTCCATCCAGCACTTGGTTGGAGATGGTCATGGTGATCGTCAGGGTGAGCCCATGGGGAACAACAAGCACATTGGCAGTGTTAGATGGCCGATTCGGAAGGCTGTAGAGACCAGTCTCACTAACATGGCCGTCAAAACAACAAGTCGACTCGTTGTTACCAGTGAAGTTTTGGAATCTGACAAAACTGCCGAATTTGGTCCCAGCGTCCCAAGAAGTGCAGTTTCGTGCGATTTCGCCAAGCTCCAGATTTTCGAATGGCATGGTTTGAATGTGTTGCTGTTGAACTTGGTTGAGGAGCCCATGCTTGTCAGATTGCTGTGGGAAATTCACCCGAACGGGGATAATGTTGATACAAGGACCGACAATGCGGTCTTCATGGGGGATTCCAAGGCCTCGACCATGAATCACCTGGCCAAACACAACATCGTTCAAGCCCTGCTCGCTTCCATCATTTTCCTTGTTTGGGGTGAACAATCGAGAAAGTGTGATTGCCCAAGCCAGTTTGACCAATGTCGCCGTGGTGATGTTAGCAGGTGGAGAGATTGGCAAAGTCTCTGCAATTGCTGTCACCACTTGTGGCTCTTCCGTCTCCGCTCCAATTTTCGGCATCTCATTGTAGCGGAGTCTGTCCCAGTTGCGAAGAGAATTGCTGTCCAACTTCGTCATCGGAGCACCTCCCAAAACCTCTCTCCATACACCGTAGGTCTCAGGGGACCTCTTCTCCGAAACATGCTGGACGTGATCCGAGAATTGAGCACAGGCCGGAGCCAAATCTCCGTCGTAGACAGAGGTGAGGTCACTGCAAATGACATCCAAAGAGATACCATCAAAGAGAGCATGAGGCAAACGGATAGCGAGGAACATCCGTGAGTCTGTCAAGGTCAGGAGCTGTAACTGGAAGCCTACCTCGCCGTTGATAGGTACGTCCATGGCGATAGAGTCATCAGCGCAATGCTTTTCCAAGTTCTTGACATCGGGGTATTCAAAAAAGTGAACGTCAATATTGCGGAGCGTAAGTTGCATGAGAGAGCGGTCATCATTTGGGTAAAAGACAGTGCGCAATATGGAGTGCTTTTGAACAAGTTGATCACAAGCATTCAATAGAAGCTCTCGATTGACTTCTTTTGGCAGTGAGATCCAGAGGTATCGGCTGTAAAAGTTGTGTAGTGTCATCGTTTGGAATTCAGTGGCGGGGATGACCTCCACAACATTATCGGCAATCTCTTTCTGGAGACTAGAGGGGAGTTGACGATAGTCCGATGATTTAATGGCTTGTCCAGACGAGACACTCTTGGAGGCCTTGGCAGTACCTTCATTATCTGCGGTGCATTTTGAAGCAATGCCCGAGATTGTTTGCTGCACGAAGATATCTGCAACGGACAGGCGTAATCCTTTGCGCCTTGCCAGCATGGAAACCTGCATAGCGGAGATCGAATCACCACCTAATCCAAAGAAGTTGCCGTTCATAGATATCGATGCAGGATCCAAATGCAAAGCCTGGCCCACGATTTCTTGAACATCTCGACCACGTGCAGTGATGGGAATGTCTTCTTCTGGGAGAGTGCTGCGTTTCAACTGATAAACCTCCAACCTCTGGAGTGGCCAACCTGTGGACTTTTCCCGAAGTAGTCGTCGATTGACTTTGCCTGATAAGCTGAGAGGAAGATCCGCAATCGGAATGAAGAATGATGGAACCATGTATGCTGGAAGAAGCTCTCTCAGGGAATTTTCCAATGATTGAATGATCGAATAGAACAGATCGGTTGGTTTCCCAACCAATTGCAAGCCACAGAGTTCCAATGATTCGTCGTTCAAGTACTGCCCCCATTCACCATCCGTCTGGGGACAAATGAAGGCAACCAGCGAAGCTCGGTTATTTTGTCCGGGAATCTTGATACACTCCACAGCGGCGACTCTGATTTCCGGGCATGATGAAGTGATGCAGTGTTCGACTTCTCCCACCTCAAGTCTTTGTCCGTGCAATTTGACCTGATCGTCTTTTCTTCCAACAAACAGAAGCGAGCCATCAGAGGTCTGTCTGACAAGGTCTCCCGTTTTGTAAAGTCTTCCGGTATTTGACCGGAGCTCAGTCAGCCAAGGTGGACTGGCAATGAAGACACTTGCTGTCTTCTCTGGATCGTTGATGTACCCCGACGAAACCGTCGGACCTTCAACGATCAGCTCACCGACCGTGCCAATGGGAACCAATCGATTGTGCTCAGATGGGTCAGTGACCCAAGAAACTGCTGCATGACTATGACCAACGTTGGAGTGGTGGGTGTCAGGCCAAATTCGCGCGATGTGAGAGATCACGGTACATTCAGCCGGTGCATACATTCCGAATAGTTGCACCTTGGCGGCCCACATGTCCACGATTTGCGGAGTGAGGGGCTCACCAGCTGAGCCAAGGACCTCCAAAGTGGGAACATCCGAAGGATCAAACAGATTGATAACAGAGGGAGTCAAGAGTGCCCAGGTGACTTGAAGGTCACCTGCCGCTTTTGCTGGATTTCCCCTTCGATCCTCCTCGTGAGGAACACACACACATGCTCCTGCTGCAAGGGTGAACAGAATCTCACCAATGCTGATGTCGAATGCATATGAGGCGAAATGGAATACACGGCTGTGAGGAGAGAGCATTCCATGCTCGCGCATGGCAGCCGCGCTTGAGCTGAGGGCACTGTGTTGAAGAATGATGCCTTTGGGTAGCCCGGTAGATCCCGAGCTGAATACAACACCCGCAGGGGCACCAGGGGAAGTAAATCCAGCTGGTAGCTCAGTAAAAGAGGCAAGTGTCTCTTTATTCGGATTCAGTAATTGAGCTTTGGGGTCGAAGATGACCTGCGAAAGTCGAGGATCTTCAATCATCTTGGCGTGCTCCTTAAAAGAGACGATAACCTTGGCATCAACCTTTGAACACATCGTGCGCAGCCTCTGAGCAGGATGTGAAAGGTCGAGAAGCACAAACGCAGCGCCTGTCTTCAAAACGGCTAGCATGATCACTGGGACCCAAGGGGATCTTTCTAACAAGAGAGGCACGAAGTCACCAGGCCTGATTCCATTGTTAATCAAGTGTCGTGCAAACTGACTGGAACAATTCTCAAGCTGTGAATATGTCAGATCGAGGTTATCAGAATGCACAGCGAGTGCCTCTGGCTGTGTGATGCACATTTCGCGGATGCGATCGTGGATGCAGGCGTCCACAGCTTTGGGGAGCACTTGGTTCCATTTCTTCAACATGTTCATATCCTCCGGAGGAACCATGTTCAAATTCTCAATGCACATTGACTGAGAAGTTGTGAGCTGCTGGATGACATGTGCCATCTGTCTGAGAAGACTCTTTCCTGCGTCGGGTGCTAGAAGAGTAGGGTCAAATGCCGCCTTTAAATGGATTGCATTTTCTTCTGGGCGACATACTAGCACCATTGGGTAGCTAGCAAATGCCTTCGAATTTTCCGAAGAGGCTGAGTTGCTTGTTTGTTTGAACATGCGAGAGGTGGTGCGCTCCTCAAACGGCTGAACGACCAGGAGGTTCTGGAAGTTACAAGCCTCAGCAGCCTCTTTTCCAGTTTGGCGAATACAAGACAGTCCGGTTTGCTCATGCACCATCATGTTGACAAACTGGGCTTGAACCTGCGACAGGCCGTCATGGACAGATCGATGCGTTGGGACCTTGACACGCACAGGTAGTGTTGCCAAGGTTGGTCCGCTCAGTTGATCAATTCCATCAAGGTTCGCATTACGACCACTAACGGTGGCTCCAAACACAACGTCCTGGTTACCCGTGTGATGCCACAAGACGATAGCCCATGCAAGCCGCACGATGGAAGTGAGCGTGAACTTGGTTGGAAGCTCAGTATCAAGCTGTAGGCTATGCTCTAGCACTATCTTCTCGGCCGGATGTCCAACATCCGATGGGCCGGATGTGTTAGGCGGGAAATGCTCTGCCTGCAGACCAGAAAACTCCTGGCGCCAGAAGTCCTCCGTGGCAGGTCCACTGTCAGATAGAAGGTGTTGAACGAATGGGCTGAACGGATGCAGAGAAAGGTTCTCACCGACGTAAGCACGCTCAACTTGTTTCATGATCAAGTCAAGTGACCATTCATCGAACAGAGAATGATGAATATCAAGGCGGAAATTTTCCTTGTCGAGGTAAAATCGGAGAAGTGGCCCGTGAGTAATATCAATACCTCCCAATTCCTTCACTTCCTCAGTGCCAACAATTTCAGTGCCAACGCGCCAGGGTATTTCAGTTTTTGTGACAACTTGGAAGAGGCCTTCGGGTATCTGCAATATTCTTGTTCGGAGAATCGGGTTGTGAAGCCAGGCCACTTTCCATGCATCTTTGAATTTCTCAGCATCAAGCGTTTCCGCCAACTGCCAGGTGTAGCTGCCGATATATGCATCAGAGCTTTGGGCTGTCAGGGCTATCAATCCTTGCTGCATGTGCGTACAGGGATATACATCTTCGATTTGATCGATTCCCGTGTTCAATTCTTCCAGAATTGCATCGAGAATGGTCTGAGAGTTTTGAATCAACAAAAAAGGCGCAAGCGTTGTTGATTGAAATTTTCCATCATCCTTGATCAACACCGAGGCCATGTCCGAGAAGGTCGGTGACTTGAAGATATCAGACACTGATATGATGTAGCCCTCTTGTCGAAGACTGGCAGACATTTTGATTGCTGCGATAGAGTCTCCGCCAAGCTGAAAGAAACAGTCGTGTTCCGTGATGCTGGCAGATTTGATACCCAGGTTCTGGGCCCACGATTGCACAAGAGCTCTCCGCCCTGGCGTCGTCGCCATCGCGCTACCGGTCGCATCAGACCGGTCGGAGCGTTCCTCCTTGTCTCCGTACAGTACGTGTGCAGCTGTTTGTTGGAGAAGGAGTCGGTTGATTTTGCCGGATGTTGTGAGTGGCATGTCTTGCAAGAATATCAAATCCGCTGGAACCATGAACTTAGGCAAAGAACGCAAGAGATGCTGTTTCAGCTCTGCTTTGAGAGAATCCCTGTCCTTCAACTCCCCAGAGAGAACCTCATGGATGCTGTTTGACTCCCTGGAAGTACCAAGGCCCAGAAACGCGAGAAGTTTTATGGTGCCATTTACCTGGTTCTTGGCAGTAACGGCGGCAACATGAGAAAAGCCGGCTTTAACGGCGTGGGGATATGCTGACAAGTGATGCTCGACTGCCGGGAGCTCCAGTCGCTGTCCGTTGATCTTCACCTGATGGTCTTTTCGTCCTAGAAATTGCAGCGACCCGTCAAGGTTGTAACGCACCAAATCGCCTGTGTGGAATATCCGGTTCCATGAATAGCTCTCTCCAGAGTGCTCATCAATTCTCTTCTTCCAGGAGGGGTTCCATTTGAACTGTTTCTGGGTGCGCTCCTCGTCGCCCAAATAGCCACGCGCAACAGACGGGCCCTCGATCACTAATTCTCCCAGGGCACCAATTGGTGCCAACTTATCGGGCTGATCAAGTGCAGCAACCCATAAAGTTGATCCACATCCGAAGCCAATGTTGCCTGCAGGACCATTTGGTTGAATATTGGAGGCCAGAGCCGCTATTCCCGAGCTTTCGCTCACTCCATAGGCATTGAAAAGTCGTACGTGTTTGGCCCACGCAGAAACATGACTTTCTGTCAGAGGTTCACCTCCAAGGACCAATGTTTGAAGACTGGGACACAAAGCAGGAGTCAGGGTACTGGCCAGAGACGGCGTCAGGCTTGCTACATTGACAGATTTGCGGTTCATGAATCCCGAGAGATCATTGAGACGATCCATTTCAGAGGGAACACAGATACACCCGCCAAAGATGAGTGTAATGAGCATATCCCGATTGCTGACATCGAATGAGTACGATGCAAACTGCAACATTCTCGTTTCTGAAGAAATCTGGAGCTTTCGTCCATTGGCCATGGCCATTGAGTGGAAAGCCGAGTGATCTGTGATTATGCCTTTTGGCATACCAGTGGTGCCAGATGTGAAGGTGATGTACATGGCATTCGAAGGGCTCATCTCAGAACTGGACTGTGTGCAGACCTTCTCACTAGTCGATGGGATCTGGGATCCAAAGAAATCGTCCCCGATAGGAATAAAATTGACAGCAAAATAGTTGGCTAGTGCTTTCTGCTCTGTAGAGCATAGTCCAAGTACAGGACATAGAGATGAGCATAAGCGTCGGGTGTACTCGATTGGGTTGGATGTATTGACGAAGAAATAGGCGGCCCCGGCTTTTAAGACGCCCAAGAGCGAGATGATAGCCCATTTTGATTTCTCAAAAACCAGGGGAACAAAGGTATCCGGGCGAACGCCGAGGTTTTGTAGGTGCACTGCAACAATCGAGGACATTTCATCCAACTCTGCATAAGTGAGGTCTCCATCCCAAGCTGATACGGCAATGCAATCTCCCTGAGTAGCACATCGCTGGGAAATTATGTGATGTATGCACTGTGGGGCGAGAACATCACCACCGGGTCCTTTATTCCATCGAAGTAGACAGTTAATGTCTGCATCACTGCATATGTCGAGTGTTTCAATCAAAGAGTCGGTGTGGAAAACGATGTCTTCAACTATCTTGGCCGTTGTCTCTGCCACCATTGTCGCTAAGTCTGTCGATATGACCGAAGGTTTGTGATGAATCCCAATCTCAGGGCATTTTGTCTCGGTTCCGGGCGAGAAGTAGACGGTGAGGTCGAACTAGTTGATATTTGATTGTTAGGGTCATAGAACTTGCACTAGCGTCTGGTGTGGGAGAGAACTACTTACCTCTCTCAGGGCATCAAGTCTGGCATTTTCACATTTCTCTTCAGTTTCTTTGCTAACAAAGACAGCCGAGTTGGCTCCCAGTCCAGCAGTGCTGTTCTCCTTGTGCAACTCCACGGTTTGTGCATCGAAAAGGCTTCGGACTTGGTTGGAAGGTGAAACATGGCGGTGGATTCTCCTTCATCACGACCCGTCAGTCATGACCTAATAAGAATAGTTTGAAACTTACTTTGTCGAGTCCAGGCTGTCAAACCAGACATCATTGGATCCAGTATAGGACCGAAGCGAGACAGACCAAGCAGCTTGAATAAGATCCAAGTGGTTCCGTTGCTCTGTATGCAACCAACTTTCAATAAGACTGCTGGTCAGACCTTTGCATGGAGCATGGACTGTGTCGATGAGCCATTCGACATCTTGGGGATTCTGCTCAACCCCCAATTTTGGGATAAACAAAGGTGAAACTGACGGGGCGGCCATTGAGAATAACTTTGAGACAAGACTTGGACGATTGATCGATAACAAAATGTTGATAGGCCTCCACGGTAGGTAGATGATTTGCAGTGATTTTGGATGTTTTTAGTGGGCTGTTGTATGTCAAGAAGAGAAGACAAGTAGAGTTGTCTTGTTTGATTGTATTGTAAGAGATCAGGAGGAGAAGTAAAAAAAGAAATAGAAGGGCAGATATTCTAGAACTATGCAATCGTGGTATAGAATTGAGACCATCACTTCAAAATCATCTCAGTCGACCGTTCTACTTCCACGCTCTATGCTGCACCGTACTTACGTGCTCTACGGCGTAAGCAGCCTCATCCTGCAATACTAGACTCTGAAACATGTATAGCAGTATACAATATTTCCTGCTTGGCCACGGGACTGTATTTCACTGAAGTCAAAGCCTCCATTGTGGATCAAGTCATATTCGACGTAGACTAGTAAATTACGATAACCAAACTAATTCAATCAAAATTCGTCCGATTTATATTCAAGGGATCCATAGTGACACGTGCCCTGAGATGAGGATTTTACATGCGTGTACATAGGGTTTCTTCACCCCCAGGTCATGTGAGATGGCCAATTCAGTGACCCGGTGTGCTGGGGCCAGGATTACACCAGGGGTACGTACAATACAGTACATATACCCACTTAGTCAATTCATAATAATCCACCTGGTAAGAAGAAAAGTACGAGTACGAGGTATTGTTATTAGATTATTTACACTTCGTCTACAAAGTATGTACGTTGTATCGAGATGCATGTAAGATGATCGACGAGAAGTTCATCATATTAAAGCCTCGACGCCTCACCTCGCCTCTTCCAGGGGTACTCACGGCCCTCGCGACGCCATGGCTTGCATATGCCAAGCCGGACAGGATCCGACATTACTTTTATACTCTCAGACTTCAGGATGAGGTGATTTTGTTGAGCTATGATTTGGGTGAGATTTTAGGCCTCCCGTCACCATGTAACCCTGGAGCCCATGTCCCCACAACCAGGAGTCGCTTGGGCGCTTTTCGAGGCGCCGCCTCTGTCGGCCGGCATCGGTGCGGACCGTGGCCCCACATGTATTACTATTTCGTACGCTCAAGTATGTTACAAGATACTAGTGAATACCATCTCGATTCAGCAGATGATCGAGTCTTGGTGTGAATCGTGGATAAAAGGCCAATTAGCCGTTTATGTAGGAGTGAGACTTCTTTCATCTTGATTTCAATAACCATGTGTGGAATCAGTGCGTTTTTGAGTCACCCTGGAAAGGCTAGCTCCAACGAGCGGACCAAGCCCCAAGCTCAGCGTGTGGCCGCTGAGTTGGAGGAAAGTCTGGACCTAATTGCTCATCGTGGCCCCGATGGTCGCGGACGATGGCTTAGTGAGGATCATCAAGTTGGTAGGTCTCATCATTCTTCCTGTGAATCTGGTCACGGATAGATATTCATATCCTCCCCAGGTCTTGGACATGTCCGATTGTCTATCATCGATCTCAGTCCCACTGGCGATCAGCCCTTTCACGATGAGAGCAGCGGCATTCATGCTGTTGTAAATGGTGAGCTGTACGACCATGAGTATTATCGAGATAAATTAGCCTCCGAGTTCCAGTTTGTGGGTACTAGTGACTGCGAAATTGTCATTGCTCTGTACAAGCATTATGGATTGTCTTTCCTGTCTCATTTGAGGGGCGAATTCGCTTTTGTGCTCTGGGATGCCAGTCGGCAGTTGCTCATTGCTGCTAGAGATCGATATGGAATCAAATCACTCTATTATACAGTCAGCCAAGGCAAGCTGCTGGTGGCAACAGAGATGAAGTCTTTCTTGGCGTTTGGCCTTCAGCCGGAATGGTGTGTTCCAACGCTACGGGACCAGAGCTGGAGAACTGAATCACGCACATTCTTCAAGGGTGTCCACCGGGTAGGTTGATGCCAACCACGTATAACTGTCAAACGATGGACCGTCTTCTAAAGCATCATAGGTTCTTCCCGGCCACTATCTGGTATGCCGACCGAATGAGAAAGAAGAGCAAAAGCAATACTGGGATCTTGAGTACCCCGATAAAGTATGCCATTATGTCCATTCTCGGAAACTTTTACTGACGATCTCTCTCTAGCTTTCACTTGATCCGCGATCGGAAGAGGAGATGGTGCAAGGAGTCCGGGACCGACTTCTGGAAGCTGTAAAAGTTCGTCTCAAGGCAGATGTGCCTGTGGCCATCTACCTCAGTGGCGGAATAGACTCGTCGTCAGTCGCTGGAATGGTGGCCGATCTCATGAAAAAGGGCACGCAGTTGGGTAGTGAGCCTAACACAGCTCCATCAAACATGAAATGTTTCACTGTTCAGTTTGATGAGGGCACCGGAGCAGATGAATCTGGTATGACAATCCTTAAGCCACACAGCATTATGATACCCTGGATGTTGACTGGTTCCAGAAATTGCTCTGCGTACAGCGAAATGGCTGGGGGTGGACATCCATCTCGTCAAAATGGACGAAGAAGCTCTCGCTGCACGCTTCGAGGAAGGTGTTTGGCACAGTGAAATTCCTCTTCCCGATCTCAACGGAATGGGTCGGTTGGCACTGGCAGAGGCGGTACACGCTCAAGGCATTAAGGTTGTGATCACCGGTGAGTTATCTTCCACATCACATTCTGTCTTTTCTCTCTTTTCTCTCACTTCCTTTTTCTTTCCTTCCTCCGCCTCACTTTTCGTGTTCAATCTCTTCGTTTTTGGGGTTCTAGTTTCCCATACGGTGTACTAATACCTTACAGGAGAGGGCTCTGATGAGCATTTTGCGGGCTACGACGCGTTCCGCGCCGATTCACTCAGCGAGCCCGATTACTCATGGCCCGCGCTGCAGATTGAGGAGAGCAAGCGCGAGGAGGCACTCGAGACAGCTGTTGCCCAAAGTAAATACGGTATTTTCGGCGAGTTCAGCGCAAGTGTTCCCAGTGCTACCAGGCGCATGCTTAACCACAGCCATGTGACCAGTTCCATCGCAAGAGTTGGAAACATGCCATTCGCCGATTGGACCAATACTCATGGAGACGTTGCTCCGGAGACCGCTCTCGTTGAGGGCTTCGATGGACGTGTCCGTGATAACATCAAAAACCGGTGGCACCCTCTTCACACCGCCCAATACATATTCGCAAAGTCCTTCATGCCTCACTTTATCCTGCGGTATAACGGAGACAATATTGACATGGTCAACCAAGTCGAGAGTCGCTGCCCCTTCTTGGACCATCACCTGACGGAGTATGTTAACAACCTGCCACCGAGCTTGAAGCTCAAGTACAACCACGAGGAGAAATTCTTCCGTGAGAAGTATATCCTTCGGGAAGCCGTGAAGCCTTACGTCACAGACGAGATCTACAACATCAGCAAGAAGGCATACATGGGACCGAGAAAATTCTGGCCTAGCGGACCATTGCACCAGAAAATCAAGAAGCTGGTCACGAAGGAAAATGTGGAAAGCTTAGGCTTTGTTAGCTGGAGTGCTACAGAGGAAGCAGTGGAAAAGGCCTTTACCAAGCAGGAGCCTATGGCACTCCGTCGTGCGATCACTGTTGCCCAGTTCATTGTTCTTGGGCAGCGCTTCGGAGTCAAGCCGGCTGGGGCACTCCCGAATTGAGTATATCTCAACTTCGCAATATTTTCCAGGAAACTTCCACTTCTCAGATAGTTAGATGATGAAATATATTATTCAATATTTTCTATCAGGTTCAAAACAGCTGCAAATTTTTCCGCGTGGTATATCTATAGATATTCTATAAAACCAACTTTAGAAATTCTAGGTACTGAAAGCAAAAGCCGACCGATGAGCGACTTTTTCCACGCGTTTAACTAACCGATTTTCAAAAAATTCTTCCGTGATGAGCATGAAAGACTTGATTTCTTCGAAATTAAGGGTCGATTGAAGTATGTGTTTACGTAAAAGGAATAGAAGCCAAAGGTCAAGCCCTGGGGGCTCTCAGCATGGATTCAAAGTAAGTCTATCCTGAGCTAAAACTTTCCACATTCTTGAGTCTATGATTCTCACCAGAATGCTGCGCATCGTACCTCGATACTCTCTCTAGCTTCAGCACCCGGATCCTGACCTTCTAGCTCGAATGCACTATGGATGGCGCCCCCAACTCCCAGGCTCGATATCTTATCACTTCCCTCTTGCGGGGCCCTAGCAGAAGATTCCATCTCGTTGTCAAATAATTGAATTAACAAGACATCGGAGGGTTGTTGCTCGGAGATATAATGCCAGTCATGCGCCTTTTGCTCCTTGTCTCGGGGTCCATAAGCTAGGTAGCCTTGTGTTTCAAATGTCCCGTTTTCCTCATCCAACGCAACTCCCCCATTCTGTGGCTTGTCTGTGACCCTTTTATCGGGGGTGTTGGGATCAATTATGCGTGACAGTTGAGCTGGAATGTGGGGATCCACAGGCTCGCGCGAGTCAGAAGCCACATAGTCAGATTCTGGGAAGGAAGCACAGGAAGACAGAGCAAGAGGATCACGTTTAACTGCCTTCAGAGGTCGCCAAATAGAGAAAAGTGCAAATCGGGGAACCCCTTCACCCTCCTCTTTTCCTCGATAAAAGTCTTTCAGGTCATCCCATTGCACACCAGATTCAAGCAATTTGTTCTCTGCCTCGATCACACGCTTGGCTGCCGAGGTGACCTCACGATGGTACTTTCGAATGTGGTACCTTGCACCCTTTGGAGTAAGATCGAGATGGACCTTTGGGGCAGGACATATGGGATCTGTCGGCGAATTGCCAACAATAGGGGGGAATAGATCAGATAGGCCGTTTTGATCTGGGCTTTCTTCCTTCGCTTCGCTTTGTGCTGCAGTTGCAGAAGGTTCATCGCCTTCGGCATATGTTTCATTTCGAATCACCGCGGCGGAAACAACCACTTTTTTGCATCCCGTCACTTCTTGAACCAGTGCCTCTACTTCAGGGAAATAGATTTCCCGAAGCAGGTGCTCATCATTCCAACTCTTTCGAGTGTAGGGAGCAGCATGTAGACGAGAGTGATGTCTGCGAGCAGTGAAAGAATGAACTGAGAGCTTGTATGGGGACTCGTCTCCAAGATCTAAAGAGTCCTTCATATCCGTGAGGGGTAATGTACGAACATCGCCAAACTCGGAAAGAGGTGGAAGCAGATACGCTTCCTTGCTTGTAGATGGCTTAGCACCTCTGTTCAGGTAGCGAAATGTACCTCGGCGAGGCATCTGTGACATGGTACCCATTGCAGGCGACGAAGATAGAAAATAGGAACCCCGATAGACTGTGTGGACGTAGTCTGAAAGTTTAATTTACAGAGAGCTGTCGACACTTTATGCTTTGGAGACGCTATATTACACCTAGCCACCTGAACCCGGCCCTGGACAGCAAGCCCATTGTGTCAGGCCACGTTGGTACAAGGGAGTAAAACCCAGGCCACCCGTTTCTTCGTTTCGTATGATCAGATGTAATGGCCAAACTCGGGTACTTTGACACTAAGGTCCGAAGTCGCTCCTCGACAGCTACTATACTGCAGGCTAGCTATACTTTTCATCACGCACACCAGCTCGCTGCTCTCCATTTTACGTAAAGTCTACTATTAAAAGTCTCTATCGCGTCACATCTTCGCCACCATCACTTTCTGGCGGATTGCGTGTGCCTGGGAGGTCTGACTGCACTAGCAATGCATGATATACTCCGGATGCACCTTGGTATAGTCCGTGATCGTAACATTCGAACTTTATGCGTGTTGACCCACGTCCTCGTATTGAAATACACAATACCGGAAAATATAGACAATACAGTGCCCCGCCAACATGTGGGGCACATGCAGCGTGCCAATTCCCTGATTAAGTTACGCTGTATCTTTGCAAGCCCCTGTTTCACCGTTATGGGGGCTTGCACAAGTGTGAAGGATGCAGGGATTACTTCTAAAGTTTGAGCGAAATGATTGTATATGATCTGAGTACAGACTAGTATGAAATAAATTACTTGACGTTTATTCAAAAGAAATGGCCCATGTGGCAGAGTGCTACCTTGGAAGCACGGAGCAGTTCCATGGTTCAGCGCGCGGCAGATCCACCTGAATATCACCCCTCATTCTTTCGGCGCGTCCAGATGGTGAGATTTTACGGCCCCCAAGTCCTGTACTTCATTCGCCCACTTTCTACAACATTCTAGCCCAACGACACTCTCTATCTCCTCAGCTTCTTCTCGACGAGCCAATCTCGCTCAATTTTCAGTAGGAGTTTTCACCCATCGTGCGATACCTGTGCCTCCGTTGAAAAACTTCTTTTCTGTGCCAACTTCTGCAAAATGGCCCGCATCCTGATCACTGGCTCTACCGATGGCTTCGGCCTTGAAGCTGCGCGTCAGCTGATTGAACGCAAGCACACCGTTTACCTCCATGCCCGAAGCCAAGAGCGCGCGGAGGATGTTAAGGCGAAATGCCCAGGCGCTGCCGGCGTGCTTATTGCGGACCTAACAAGCGTGGCTGAGACACGCAAGCTGGCCGAGGAAGCAAACGCCATTGGTGTTTTTGATGCCATCATTCTCAACGCCGGTTTGCTCTATGGTCCTTTCCGCAAGACACCAGAGCTCGGTGTGCCAGCTATGCCCTTTGTCAACGTTGTTTCACCCTACATCCTCGCTTGTCTCTTCAAACACCCCAAGCGTTTGATCTTCATTGGATCTGTGCTCCACCACGAAGGCAACCCAGACTTGAAGGATATCTTCTGGCTCGAGCGTGGGGAGAAGGAATTCCAGGATTTCCCCGCATACTGTGACTCCAAGCTCCATGTTATGCTTCTTGCCAATGCGGTCGCAAGGCGTTTCAAGGACACTTCCGTCATCTCTGTACACCCTGGATACGTTGCTACCAAGCTTGGTGGCTCGGGTGGTACCGACAAGCTGGAGGATGGTGTTGAGACCTACGTCATGCTGGCTGAAGGCGATTACGATCAAAGCCTCACGGGTGTTTACTACGAGCCCAAGAAGAAGCTTGGTCAGCCTCGTGCAGAGACAACCAATGAAGATATGCAGGAGGTTGTTGTCAAGGCTTGCGAGGAGCTCACTGGTCTTCAGCTAGGAGCTTAAGCTTGGCATCCATGTTGATACCCATGATGATGAAATATGACTATCACTGGGATAGCTTACTTTTATGGATTCACGAAGTAATTTTTATCAAATACATGAGATCTCATAGAAATAAAGTGGTAAATCTCGCACAAAGAAACGAATCATAGCCGATCGGTCCATGACGTTATTCCTATTTATTTCATACTCCGTATTACTAATCTAACTCCTAGTCAGCCTGGACTCATGAAGCTTTCGATGAATTGAGAATCATCTGATTTTCGCATTTTTTGTGTGCTTTGAAGAAAGTCTACTTGTAGGTATGATGATTCAAGGAGTTTACCAGTCTAGGTGGACTCAGTAAATGCTCAAACTGACTCTAAAGATGCAATTGATTGTGCTGTATTAAATTTTATAACAGCCGCGAAGCTCAGGGCTCTAGCTTTTTTCTTAAACTCCCATCTCGCAAATATAACTCACAGAAAAACACTGCGACCATTGCGAGAGATTCAAACAGAATTACAGGATAAAACGCGATAAATCATTTCCCCTGGCCTCTAAGCAATAGGAGCGTAGAAGCTGAACAACCCACTGGGATCATACTTCTTCTTCAAGCTCTGCAAACGGCTCTGTCTCCAGCTCTCACTGCCATACCACTCCTCAGGGCCCTCATCACCATTAGCGTAGTTGACATACGCAGGGATGTACGAGCGACCAGTTCCCTTGTGGAGGATCTGTCTGAGCTTGTTGCCCAGTGCAGCAGCCTTCTCGTCCAGCTCGGGGCCGTCGGGCATGTAGGTGATCAAGGGGGCAGTAAGGACGTTTTGCTCACGGTAGGCGAAGGCTGAGCTCTTGTCATCGAGTGATCTCACACCCTCCATGGAGTATCCATCAAATGTGTACAGAGAGCCATTGAAGATGGAGTCACCACGAATGTTCTCTGCGAAGAGCTCGTAGGCTTCCTTCTGCGCAGAAATGTCGTAGGTCTCGAGGTAAATGGGGAACCGGGGGTTCATGGCGCCAGTCTTCTGGCAGGGTCCATCGGTTGTGGTGACACCAACCCACTTTGCGAGATCGAGGTAGCCGCCAGTGTGGGTCTCAGTGGAGATAGGCTTCAAGGCGTGGAAGGGAGCAGTGTAGGAAGAGTCAACAGCTGTGACGCCTTCTTGGATGATCAAGATCTGGATGACGGGCTAAATAGGGTTGTTAGATGCTGCAAAAGAACATTTGGAATTAATCTTAGACTCACGTTGCTAGGATCAGCCTCGGGCATGTTGACCCAGTAAGACCAGTTGATGACATCGGTGGGCTGGGTGCCGTTCTTCAGAAGATATTTGTTGACGGAGTCATAGAGGCTCTCCACCTTGGAGCCACTGAAAGTGAGGATCTCAATGGCCCAGTCTTTGTGCTCGACGTCAAAGATTTTGGAAGTGATGGAAGTAACGACTCCGAAATTGTGACCGGCACCGTTAAGGGCCCACCACAGCTCAGAGCTTGAGTCCAGAGTGACAAGGGTACCGTTGGCAAGCACAATGTTCATGGATTCAAACTGATCACCGATCAGACCGTGGCGGCCCTGGAGCCAACCGTGGCCACCACCCAATGCGGGGCCGATGTAGCTGACACATTCGCAGGCACCAGTGACTAGTGAAATTGAATTAGAATCCTTCTGTTTTCTCACTGGTGTTTGATATCTGATTGGATCCGAACTTACCTGCTTGCTTTCCAGCATCCCACAGTGTGTGGGTCACCACCTTAGACTTGGTTCCACCGGAGATGGTAGCAGTTTTGCCATCTTCAGCGATTTTGACACCGCTGAGTTGATCGAGGTAGATTTCAATTCCGCTGGTCATCTTTCCCAAGGTTCGGATAGCTCCGTGTGCGGAGTTGTAAGCCAGGAAAGGCAATTGCTTTTTGTTGGCGAATTTGACCTATACATCGAGGTCAGCAGGCGGTTTTCCTTCACCAAAACGTATAAATGTAAATAATATACATGATACATTTACAATTTATGTATAGCATGTAAAGGAAAGTCAAGATGGAGATGGTGGTGACAGGTGGATACACGAAGGATTTTGTGAAACCTTAGAACTTACCGTCTCAACAACATCGTTCTCAGTACCGGGAACAACAACAATGTTCACGGTGGGAACATCCAAATTGGACCACCGCTCGTTGGCCGCCTTGAACTCATCTGTGCCAGGGTAGTAAGCCTTAGCAGAGCTGGAGAGCTTCTCGCTGAGCTCCTTGAAGTCGGCATCGCGAGACCAAAGGTTCCGGCTCATGGGCACACTCTGACAAACTGATGTAACTGCCCACGCAGCCACCGCAGTGACTACTTGCAACCGCATTTTGGTAAGATGAGAAGTCTTGTGAGTACAAAAAGAAAGACTTAGGGATATTTGGAGGATTCGCAGTACTCTATAGCTGGAGCGCCAAGTTTATATACGATTTTCCAGAAGGCAGACATTGTTCCAATCTCCGGCTTACCCGTCTCTTGTCTCAATTGCAAAGCTCTAATCCAACTTTAGAAGCTAGTCTTCGCTTCTCTGTTCACGAGGAGGTCGGTGAAGGTGTGCTTACGGCGCCACTTCCGATTGAATTCAGCTCCATTCACTTTTGGCCCCTATATCCAACTCAGCAAATCTTGGAAATTAAATGCCCGGGTGCCTAGCCAACATTGGTCTAATGGGGGCGCAGCAGGCTGCGATGAAAATTCACATCTCGGTGTAGAAATGGAAGTTGGGGTCCAAAAGCTAAAGAACGGGGTGGCAGACTTGCCCAGGTGGGCAATGGATTTTGTGGCTTACTCGGCCTTCTCGCGCTCGACCTTTCAAGTTTTGCGTCCTCTGTGGATGAGCCATAATCGGACACCATGCTAAGACCGCTCACAAAACGACTTTGATATCCTTGACACTTTTTATCCTTCCTGCCTACTGAGTAAGGATCGTCTATAATTTTGTGGTTGAGTAGTTGAGCCTCCAGAGCTTCGAGAATCTCAAGACTTAGGGGGCACCTCTAAGTCCAATTGAGTGGGAATACATTACGGAGTACATCACCCCTACGGAGTATACTTCCGGGTTGTAAATAAAGGAGTACACCATGGCCCATTTTTGGTGTGATCGGCGTAATATTTTTATAGTGCGTAATATACAAAGTCTTTTTCCTGAGTGGTTAATCATGGTGTAAGATACGTTTTTGTAAAACCAATATTACGCAGATGGAGTACAGTATTGATCGACATGTATTCAGCATCCAACTCCACTATGTAATTTTTCCGAAGGCAAATTAGTGTGGAGTACTGCGCAAAGTACAAAGCATTTCTTTGACACGTATTACACCGACAGCCGGTGATGATACGAAGTACAGTTAGGGTGCTGCACAAGCGAGGACCTAAGGGGAAGTAGTGGTTCCCGACTAGCGCATTGGCATCAGATTCCAAGGTTTTGATCTTCGCTTACGTTGGGCGGAAAAGCCGTACACTCTAAGGTTTCCCGCTAGTGCTAGCTCACCCGAGGAGCGCCCGACGGACCGCAAAGATGCCCGCGAGCCGAAACCGCCCCCACGATTTCCAACAAAGCGCATTATTCAACACCCTGAAGACTTGGTCTAGAACTCACTTGTATCCACAAATCATCTGTGCGCACTACAGAGTGGTGGTTGGTGGGTTTATAGGTCATTCATTGAAGTTACATTGAATACACCGTTGTATTCGGTTTCGGCACGTTATGATGCGGTATGCCGAGTTGACGTGCTTTACCGGACGAGACATGGCCTGTCTCTTGGCAGTTGCTGGATTTTCTCGATCTGAGCCTTGTAACCTTGGAAGGAGCTAGTGCTGACAGACTGTTCTAGATTTGAAACGAGGCAATTTGTCCAGTGGACTTGGTTTGGGCAGTGATAGGCCCCCAAATCGAGATACTAATCTTGTACGAATTCTTCAGGACCTGCGATCTTCGGCGATCACATGATCTCCTATGCTTCAGGCCTTGGGGTGGCTCTCTGTCCTCGTGTTCCTACTATTGGCTTTCCTCGCCTTTTCGGTTTCGGGTTTAGGCACTTAACTAGTCTGCCGATTCTACGCCTACATTCTCGTCATAACTCATCTCTATACACTGCCGCAAATATGGAGCTAATCAAAAATCCCAAAATTGCCGTTTTGATCAATACTCCGCCAGATGGCACAGACTTCCCATCAGTGGTGAAGGAGTGCTTCAGAGAAGCATTTAAGTCAATTCTTCCAACAGAAGAGCTGGATTTCTTTGACCCCGTCGTGGAGCGGAAGTTTCCCGATGCCTCAAAATATCAACTCATAGTCTTGAGTGGCGGCAAGATAGATGCCGATTGTTCTGAGCCTTGGGTGTTGGGAGTACTGGATTACATCCGCAGCACGGCGCATAATTTCTCTAAGACAAAGATGCTAGCTGTTTGCTGGGGACATCAAGCTGTTTCCAGGGCGTTTGGTGGTCAAGTTCGAAATGTTCCGACTGGATCAGTTGTACGTATAGAAATCGAAGTTCCGTTTGAATTATTTCTGATCGGGATAGAATACGGTCAAGGAAATTGGCCTTACGGAGACTGGCAAGAAGTTCTTCCCGTTTGCTTCAACCTCTGGATTTTATGTATGTCTGGTCTCAACTCAATATTCCGACTTTGATGCTGATTTGTTTACTAGAGAGTAATGGCCATACACGACAGTGAAGTCGAGACACCTGCGCCTGGCTTCGTGTCTCTTGCTGAGAACCAGGAATGCTTCATCAATGACGCAAACACTATTCTTACATTCCAGGCGCATCCTGAGATATCTCATGAGCTTTCATGGAAGCTGCTTTTAGAAGAGGACCAGAAGCATAACAGAGCATTCTCTGCGGAGAAGTGGGGACTGGACCATCCAAATGACGGACTAAAATTGCTCGAGAGGGTCGTGCAATGGGCAGCGGAATGAGTGTCAGGTCTGGAGAATGGTCATAGAAGGCACTGGGTGGACGGTATCACAAATAGCATCGAGAAAATAGGCTACGGCTATGCTTATTTGCGATTGAATTATCATGAAATTCTATGTCGTAATTATGCTCATTCTTTTTCAGTCAGTGTCATTTGAGACTAACCACCGCAAGAGGTCCAAATGTAGTAGGGTATATGCTCAATGAGAGGTGCTAAATCCACAAGATGTAGGCAACTTGGAAGGGAAAAGCTGTGAAACCATCAGACAGACTCTTTCGACCACGTCCCGCGTGCCCGAATCTGCTTTCCAAACCTGTAAAACAAATAAGGAATAGGAATCAACGCTACGGCCAGGAAGCCCAAGATACTCGCGGCCCAGGGGACACCCAGGTTATGGAACATAGCCGATGTGAAAAGCGGGAAACAACCCGCAAAGACCGATCGCAGGAAGGTATTAGCTGCAACCGCACTAGCAGAGTATCTCTGGAAGGTATCGATCAGATAATTTAACGCGGCTTGAAAAATCGTGAAGAAGCCGAATCCCATCATGACAGCACCGATGTTGGGCGCGATCCAATGGATGTGCTTAGGGCTTGTCCAGCCGAAGACAAACATACCCCCTGCAAATAGAACAGAGCCGATCATCATCGGTGGAAGACGAGCTTCGGGTACAGGGCGATTGTTGTTCGCTTTGAAGCGTTTGATGTAGAACTTTTGGTTGGCGAGGTTGACGCATGCGCCCATTAGAATTCCCACTAGGTATGCGAGGAAGGGTAGAGCACCGACGACCTGGTTCCAGCCTCGGATCTCTTGGAAGACGATTGGGAAAGCTGCTAGGCTGAGGTAAAGAATGCCATATACGAAAGAGGCGTAGAGGGCGACAAGGAAGCAAATTGGTGTTGTGAGAAGTCGAAAGGGGCGGATGAGATATTTGTTTCCGATCTCTTTGAGAGTCACGTCCCACTCTTCGTGCCGTGCGTGTAGAGCCCAATTACCACTTTCGAAGCGGAGGCGTTGCGCTTTGTAGACTAGTAGAACTGGTGGGTAGCTCTCGTCCACGAAGAGTAGATCCATCGCTAGGAAGAAAAGCATCATAATGCCGGTGATCTAGCGATGTTAGATTGAACTCAGGATTCAACACATGTTGTGGATGAATAACTCACATATTCCGTCCAGCGCCACCCCAGATTGCTTTGACAAATTGCACCACCGGCAATAGGGCCCAAGACTGGTCCACCTACCACAGCCATGGCATAACCGACGATGGCGGCACCACGCTGTTCCGGGGTCCAGATATCACTCAGAACTCCACCGGTGTTGGTAACAGGGGCTGAACCGAAGAATCCAGTGAAGAAACGAGTGATCATGATGGTCTGTACATCTTTGGCGGTAGCAGTACCGAATGAGAAAACGGCCGCCAGGAAGTATGGCGGTAGTACGGCGGTCTTGCGTCCATAAAGCTCCGATAGAGGGGCCCAGATCAATGGACCGAGGCCGAGTCCGAACAGAAGTAACGAGGTGCCAAGCGTGGATACCTCACTTGAAATGCCGAATTCTTCGCTGATCTGCGCCTGGCCTGTCGAGTAACTATGAAATATTAGTTGAGTTCAGTTGTCTGTGTTGAGTTGGGATGCATACACTGAACTTGCCCATGTGGCACCTATTTCAATTAGCATAGCTCATATCTCAATATCAGGATATCAACATACCCATAGTAGTCAACCCATATAACACCGTCGTAATAGCCTTCTTCCTAAAACTCCAATTCAGAGGCCGATAAGGGTCATCCGGCCCTTCAAAATCAACAATGACATCAGGGCTCGTTTGCGTGTGCGTGAGCGGATGACTGAATTTGGCCGTTTGGCCTGGTTCTCGGCTTCGAATGCGCGATACCACAGATTGGGTGCGCTGTTCAATTACTGACAGCCCCGATGCGGCAGTGCTCTGCTTGCGAAGGGAAGGTGTTCCCACGCTGTGGTAGGACTCAATCTCATCACTTGATGTCTCATTGTAGTCGTGTTCTGTTCGCTCAGCCATGACGTATTGGACCCGAGGCTCTGGGGTAATCTGGGGTCAATACCCGTTGGAGGTCGCAAAAGCTGCAGAATGAAATTTTGAGTGAATCAGTGCGGAGAGAAGATTCGGAGATAAGAGGGGGAAATTTTAGGAGTAAGATATCGAAAGTCGGAGTTATAACCCCAAGTGAGTTGCCCAGGTGAGGACCTTCTTTTATTCAAGCTTTTCGTCGGAGGTCCGATGAAAAGACCGAAGCCGTGTCATCCGAGGTGGGGCACAGTTGTTTGCCATGATACTTAAGTATGCCGATATTTGAAAGGTCTTTGGGAGAAAAGCAGCAGATGACAAGCACTTCAAATCAGAATATATATAGTGTGACAGCTTGAAGCCCCCTTTCTCTACATCACTGTCGGACACCGAAAACACCACCATCTCGGCCGTTGTGTCAAAACGCCGATAAAAGTGGGTCCTGTTCGGATAATGAAATTGACATACAAGTAGGTAGCTATAATGTACCAAAGCTACAAAAAGATCGGCACTTGAGGCTTTTCATGCACATGTTTGGTGAGGAGGTACTTAAGTAGAGCGGGCTGTCTGCTGTGATCAATTAGGAAGGTGCACGAATGCTGGCTCTACCCTGACCTACTTAAGTACATCTCCCTATTTCTTCTGCTTTCACTCTTCCTTTGAGCCACATCCACCAGCAAAGTCACCAATCTGTCACTAGTGTTTTTATCTATCTACAAACAGCAGAATCATCTACGGATCGGAGCCCACCCTCATACCTTTGAATTATGGAGGCTGGGATGCGGATCGGAATTGAACTCGAGCTACTTCTCCAACATCGTACCAAAGCGAAGTCTGAATTCACAGACCTGAAGTTGTTGAGCCTACAGGGCGAGAGAGAAGAAGAAGCGGACAAAACCGATTGATTGACTGCGGAGAGAGAGAGAGAGAGAGAGAGAGAGAGAGAGAGAGAAGAAGAAGAAGGGAGAAGCGGGGAGCGAATCTATCTACAAACGGGGGTTGGGACGAACTCCCTACACAACAGAAGTCATTTGCCGACTATCTCGTTCAACATTCCATGCCGCAAGAAAACCGCATCCTCGAATCCACAACGACATTGACGGCTTATATGATGGGCCAGAAGACTCCACTGAGTGGTCTTTGACTGATGATCAGACAGTAATCGGCAACTCTGAGCAATGTATGTCTCAATGCCCATGCATACTTTCAAAACACTAACACAGATCAGGGCCCTTGTTACTCCGATCCTTTTCATTGTCCCAGACCACCGACGCCGCAATCGTTACGCAGCGAGTAACTACTGCGATAATTCTCGCCTGAAAGGAAAAGCCTATGTTGAAGCTATAGGGCAAAAGAAGAAGCGGACAGAACCGATTGATTGACTGTGGAGAGAGAGAGGAAGAAGAAGAGAGAGAGAGAGTCGGGAGAGGATCTATCTACAAACGCAGGGTTGGGATGAACTCCCTACACAACAACCTACCGTCGTTGCTTGGTTGAAATCGAGCGATGCACATCTCATGTCGAAATTACAGATCTTTTGACCGACGGCCGCAGAAGATACTTCGCTTGGATCCTGACCAATCTTTATTACGGAGGAAAGGCTACAGTTGAGTTTCGTCAAGCACCAGCTTTGAAGGACAAGAAATCTTGTTTACCATGGGTAGAGTTTGTGGCATCTTTTGTCCATTCGTCAGCGGCTAAGCACTAAAGCGGAAAAGTAAAGCCAAGAAAGTGGCAGAGGAAATCAAGTACATAGGTGTTTCTCTATAAGTCGATGGACGATGAACAGGGAAGCAATGTTGAAGTCGATGTGAGATGGATTTGTTTTTCGTAGCACATGACCGTCTCATATCATCAAAATACCGAAACATCGTCAGTCTATACTCTATGCATATGGTACAGGGTAAACCACTGCATCCAACCTAAGCTACGGGATGCATACTCTCCCATTTGTTGACAGCCTCCATGGCCGCTGTGACCTTGAGTCCAATACGTGCATCAAGTTCATAACTCTCCCACCGAGCAGCATGCTCCAGGTATTCCCTACACTCACGCACCTGCTTTCGCTCGACCTCTGTATCATCCCCATTAGACGTCCATTCAGACTTGCCATGCAAAGCCTGGTAGTTAGGTCTCTCCATCCAAAAGTTCGCTGCCATCTCGAAGTGCGCAACGGGGTGAACCCAGTCATCCTTGAGATGGCCCTTGAACAGTGCTTTATCATGGTTCAGAACGCGAGTCGTGATGATCTTCTTCGCCTCTTGGAACCGGTTCAATGAGCGAAGTACTGCAGCCCGGAGCAGTTCCAGGATAGCCTTTTCTTCGTGACCTTCGCGGGACCAGGTTTTGTTGGCCTCACTTTCGCACCACGCTAGTCGGGTGAGAGATTCTTCGAGCTCTTCGTCCGTCATGCGGCTGTGACCGTTCCAGAAGAAGATCATCTCTTCGATTGGATCAACGCCGATCGCATCCACAAGAGGGACGTCCCAGGCCTTGGCGCGGGCCTCCCATTTAGCGATCTTGCGGGTGACAAACACATCGAACGGCAGTTGGCGGGCCATGAATTTCTTCGTGCCAGCGAATCCGGGTGCTTTGCGAATATATAGTGCAGCTTTTTTAGCGTGTTCTTCAGCAAGCTTGGGGTCATGGAGAGATTGTCGGTATAGCACGACGTGACAGGATCCTGCGATGTAGTAATAGAGCGAGCGGGACCAAGAGTTGAGATCAACGCACTGAACAGTTAGCTTTGCAGGTGGATATATGGCGGAAAACTTACCTCAATGAAGGCTTCAGCGCAGACTTCGTATCTGTGCAAGAAGAGCGCATTCAAACTCTTCTCGAACACACAGAGCGCTTCAACCTGCTTGAGGGGACTCTTGTTGTCCGACGACAATAGTTCTAAGGCACCATCAAGATTCTTGTTCGCACCCTTCATTCGAGATTCCTCCAACAGCCACAGTCGACTGTTGGGGAAACGGGACCTCATTTCTGCCAGCAGGGCTGCCAGACGCTCCTGTGGGTATCCCTCAACGTCGGCCTCGCCGGGTGTGGGGTCGGGCATAATGTCGCAGTACCGAACAAACCCGTTATAGTATCCGAGTAATGCCAGAGCAGCCATGGCGCCAATGAGGTTGTGGAACTTGCTAGCTTGCCAGAGCATCCTCAATCCTCGCTGCTTGTCTCCGTGGAAACCAATGATCGAAAGAAGCTTGCTAAATGCAGGAGGGACCATGGAGATGAGTAAAAGCAAGATACCAAAACAAAAGTTCGCGCCAGAATGCACAAAGACGTCAATCTCGTTCTTGAAAATGTCGGAGTCGGGGTCGTGGTGGATATGCTTGGGAGTAGATGGACCCGCTGATCCGGCAGGGGATACCACGCCTGAAGCTATGGACAGGTCGTTCATTGACTTGTTGATCTCGTTGTGCTCAACGGTGACTGCCTTGGCGTTCTTTTTGGATGACAGGCTGGAAGTCTCCGACTGTGTGTCCGGGCATGCAGCGGTCGACCGGGCAAGGTCACTTGCGGTGGGAAGCAGTACCTTGTTCGGATCTCTGAGTTCCATGAACTTTTCCTCCATCTTCATGATGGCGTCTAGCGTGATATACGCCTTTCTCAGTCGGTAAAATGCTTTGATACTTTCGGTCAAGCTTTCGTTCAACACTCCAACTACCGCACTCATCAGCTGTGCAATTGCCTGGCATAGTGCGTATTCAGCGCCAGCGGCATAAATCTCCGAGTGAAAGGCATTGGGGTCCTGAGCACTTTGTTGTGCTCGGGTCTGGTCACTAGCCGCGCTGTTTTCTGCCTCGTACAGACGTTCGGATGCTGCGGAAACATCAGAATCAGATTGGCTTAGCGGGTGCAAAGGCGGATCTACCTTGGCGCATAATCTCCTGCTCGAAACCCAGAGTCGCTCGCACAAACGCAACCACGCCTTTGCCCAACTAGAAGCCCAAAGGTCAGTATCCGGCCCGTGCTACGTCATAACCCATAGTGACGATCACCTACATTGTGAAATGTCGAGGACCCCGTCGAAAGGCCACTTTCTGCCCCATCCACATCGTCATTTAGAATCAGGGTTGCGGCTTCAGATTTGTTAGTATCTGAGCGCCTTGGCCGAGTCCCGCCACACACCTTTCATCGCCTCCACCACTGCATCGCACCGCGGTCAGCCTTCGGATCATCTCAGAATGGATGAGATCGTCAAAAAAAAATACTCACGATCTTTAAGTTCAGTCGACGAGTCCACAGACTGCGCCGGCTTCTTGCCGTAAAGCCATGATCCAACTCGCAACATTATGAGAAGAGAATAGCGAACGTGGAGAAACCAAAATGGTCTATCTCATGTCAGAGAGGCGGAGTGCCGGGGTGCCGAGAAGAGAAGACGGATTGGGAAGAATGTCGACGCGATAGCACACAGACTTCCGATCGCATCACAGCATCAATATAGCAAAGAAAGGGAGAATAGAAGAATATCAGGAGAAAGGTTAGGAGGAGGGGCGAAAAAATGAGAGGGGGGATACTCCGTATTAGAAGAGGCTCTTCCCATGGTCTCTAACGCCGGCCGCTCCGGTTGCTCCACGACAGCACTGGACTTTATTCTTCGTTCTAGACTCTACAATCACATACATCTCCCAATAACACTAATTATCTCTGAATATCCCATCTCTACCCCTCTTCTCTCTCTGCCTCTCGCCTCTCGCCTTGTTTGTTGTTGGCTACATCATCGTTATCGCCTATCGCGATCTTACTAAGTCAACTCCGACCTCCGACCTCCGACTTGTGAATCTGTGACCGACTCTCCCACACACACATCCTCCATCCCACAATGTCGAACTCAACTCAAACCAAAGAGCCCACAGAGCAACCTCCCACCAAGCCCCAAGTGCTGGAGGAAGACGACGAATTCGAAGACTTCCCCATTGAAGGTACAAAGCAGATCTGCAACCCCCCCAACGGACCTCTGAGCTAACAACATCCAGATTGGCCCCAAGAAGAAGCCGAACAGACTACCGGATCCGCAGCAAATGGTGGAAGCGAACACCTCTGGGAGGAGAGCTGGGATGATGATGACGCGGCAGAGGATTTCTCCAAACAGCTCCAGTGCGTACCGTCTTTGACACCTCCATTCTACATCCTCCATAACCCCCGCGCATTTGAGCTTGTTCAAGCTTCGGAATCCCTTTCACGCGCCCGCATCTCATCACCTTTCCATACACGTCCAACTTGCCCAGATCATGTGCTGACTAGTCATCTACAGGGAGGAATTGAAGAAGGTCGAGGCATCCGCTTAAGCAACTGAATGGCGGGAACTGTGGTTCTGGATGGGTTCATATCCGAGTTGGCTGGCCATTTCATCTCGCACACTATACCCCCCTGTCTTGAATCCAGTTGATAGGCAATTTACATTCGGGAGCTTGAAGGAATGAGATACGGTCCGCGATATTCTACTGTCTACTCTGTGCCGTTCTTGGGGATATTGTAATGCAGGTTTCATCAGGGACTGGGTACTCTGGGGTGGTCTATGATTTATGTCCTCCATGCTATGGGTGTAGAATCGTCGCTTGGGGTTACGCCACGCCATCAATGTTGGGATTGGAACCCGCGCCTAGAGCTTCGGCCTTGTACCTACAACGATCGTTTCAGTTATCTGGACTAAGAATGATTTACGTGATGTATTAAGGAAATTCATTGGCTGTGTACATTACAGTGTCATAAACATGCTTTGGGGGAGAAGTGGCTCGCCCCTCTAAATTTTGATCATTTACTTACTGGACAGAGCAGCGACACCAGGAAGCTCCTTGCCCTCGAGGAGCTCGAGCGAGGCACCGCCACCGGTCGAGACGTGAGAGATCTTGTCCTCGACCTTGTACTTGGCGGCAACGGTAGCGGTGTCACCACCACCGATGATGACGATGGAGCCAGACTGGGCGGCGTTGACAGCGGCATCGAGGGTCTTCTTGGTAGCGTTGGCGAAGGGCTCAAGCTCGAAGACACCGGGGGGACCGTTCCAGAGGATGGTCTTGGCCTTGGCAATGGTGGCCTCGTAGAGCTTGACGGACTCGGGGCCGACATCCAGACCCATGAAGCCGTCGGGGATACCAGAGGCATCGGTGGCAGCACCGACCTTGGCGTCGGCAGCGAACTTGTCGGCAGTGACGTAGTCGACGGGGAGAACGATCTCGACGTTGTGCTTCTTGGCCTTCTCGACGATCTCGCCGACAATCTTGCTGCCGGCCTCGTCGAAGAGAGAGTTACCAATCTTGACGTTCTCAAGGGTCTTCTTGAAAGTGAAGGCCATGGCTCCGGTGATGATCAGGCTGTTAACCTTGGGGAGGAGGTTGTCAATCAGCTGGATCTTGTCGGAGACCTTGGCGCCACCGAGGATGGCAAGGAAGGGACGGGCAGGGCTCTCAAGAGCCTTGGCGAAGTACTCAAGCTCCTTCTTCACGAGGAAACCAGCAGCCTTCTGGGGGAGGTCAACTCCGACCATGGAGCTGTGAGCACGGTGAGCAGTACCGAAAGCGTCGTCTTTTGCAATGGTTAGACATGAAATTGGTGAGGGGTATAGTGTGGGGTGCTACATACTGACGTAGACGTCACCGAGGGCAGTGAGGCCCTTGCGGAACTTCTCGACATCGGCCTTGTCGGCCTTGACCTTCTTGCCCTCGGCATCCTTGGAGGAACCCTCCTCCTCGGCGTGGAAGCGCAGGTTCTCGAGCAGGACAACCTGGCCACCGGAGGCCTTGTTGACGGTCTCCTCGGCCTGAGCGCCGACACAGTCATCGGTGAAGATGACGCTCTTGCCGAGAAGCTTCTCGAGCACGGGCACGACGGGCTTCAGGCTGTACTTGGGGTTGACCTGGCCATCGGGGCGGCCGAGGTGGGACATGAGGACAACGGCCTTGGCGCCGTTCTCGATGGCATACTTGATGGTGGGGAGGGCACCGACGATACGCTGGGGGTTGGTAACGTTCTTCTCAGCGTCGAGGGGAACGTTGAAGTCAACCTGTACCTGTTAGCAACGGGGAACTGGTAATGCAACTCAATTGGAAGCTTACTCGGATCAAGACACGCTTGTCCTTGAGGTCGACATCGGTAACGGGGAGCTTGTTGGAGAGAGACATTGTTGGAGTATGGGAGTGTGATGCTTTGACAAGAGGAAGAAAAGGGAGAGAAAGGAGACAGAAGTACTAATCAGGCCACGGTGAGTCGCGATCAGTAAAGAGTGGAGGGGTTGGCTTTGGTGGGGCAGGCCGGTGAAGAGGTCGCACCCGCCAGTTGGTACTTACCGGTGATGTATTCGTCCGCCAAAGGTACTTTGAAGAGTATGATGTAATTACCCTTAGTCCAGGTAACCCCATTGAATGAGTACCTTATATTGCTGTATCCGACTACCCCCGGAGAACCGATCGGGCTGATGCGGGACTGATGTAAGAGATGCCGTTGATACGGAGAAGGCCGGGGCATAGAGGTCCCCATTAGCCTCGGATTCGGGGAATCCTGGGGAAATCGCATCTACAGGAAATGCCCATAGCCGCTACGAACCTGAGATTCCGAATTCGTTTCAAGCGGAGCAAGAGAACAAGTTCGAGGCATTCGCGACATAAATAGCTGAAACAAACCTAACATTGAAACCATAACCGGTCTCCCCAAATGTGCAATATTCGACCTTTTAAAATGCAAACCGAGCCCGTGGGCAAATACCAAAAACATGTACACAACAGCCAGATCAAAACGCCCGAAATTGGAAGAACAAGTGCAATTTATATGGCCCGAGTCGTAAACGTGAAAGTCGCTTTTGAAGGGCGTTCAATTAGGACTCCTCAGAGGAGTTGGTGAGTGAGAGGTATGCGGTCCACGCGATACCAATAGTCGAAACAAAGGGCTGGTTGGGAAGGTCAGTGTCGGTCAGATCTCCAGCAAAGAAAAAGACATACAATCTGGAATTGAATAGGAACAACGCGGAAGTTGAGGATCTGCACTGCCGGCCAAAGCACGAAATTGGCCTTGAGGGTTGGCAAGTAAACATCCCGGAACTTCTGGGTCAATGCCCGTCGGCCACCACCCTCGGCGATTGTCATGTAGCTGAAGAAACACGCGAGACCTAAGAGATCCGGTCAGCTCCAAAATATCCCAAAGCAAGATCAAATCAACGCCGTACCGAATGGTGCAAAGATGAACTGGTCGAACGCAACGCGCTTAAACACCGGGGCGGTGGGGTTCATCTTGGTGAGCGGGAAGGCCCTCGACAAGAAGCCAAACCACTGGAACTGAATAGGCGCCATGAAGAAACCATACGCCATGAATCGCGTGAGGCGTTCAAAGTCGAACGACGGCGGTAGGCCCCTGCCGTATCCCCATTCGCCCACAGTGGGTGGCTTCTCCTTGTCGAGGTTGGGGATTTCTATTGAGATCAAGTCGTCACCGCTTGTTTGGGTTCGGCGGGTGTTGAAGGCTGTGATCAGCTGCGCAACAGTATCGGCGACACCACCCAGCACCTATATCATCCTTGTCAATTGTGTGTCTGTCGCTTGGATCTCGGGATCGGCTTACAGCGTTCGTGACCATCGTCGTGAGCACTGTTCGCAGACCTGTTAGCGGGCCCCCTTCGGGAGGTGGCGGCAAGAGGCTTACCTGGCTTTTCGGCATAGTAGGTATTAAATTTGGCTGCGAGGCGCGCTGCAACTGCCATCTCGATGAGGAATATGATCGTGTGCAATAGTGGCTGCGGAATGATGACGACACGATTAGCCTCTGGACACGGTAACCCGTCGCAACTCGTCGCGATATTGAGGGCGAGGATGATGGTTTGGGGTTCACAGAACATACCACGCGACCGTAGATGTATCTCTTATTGAGTCCATCTAGGACTTTTCGCTTTGCGGCACAAATCATGATGAAGGGTTTGGCGTCTGCCAGGAATCGGATGGCAAGACTTCCGGGCCAGAGGCCAATATGACGCAAGGATTAAGAATGAGGGCTGAGTTTGGATCCCTCTTCCCAAGAAGAAAACAAGTATAACGGTCTTAGATCAAGATCGATCTCTAAGGCTGATCTTGAGGTTCGAGATAACAGGGAAAGCCTGGAGATGATCGACTCTGACTAACGAAGTCACCTGGCCAACTACGACACTGACTCCATTACCCCATGGGTTCATTCCCGCCAATCACAGACCGCCCTGGAGTATATCCTGCATATCACATAGATGTTTACAATTGGCTTTAAAAAGACTATATATACTTGAATATACACAAATAATTCAAGTGTGATTTATATCATCGAAAGCATAGCTCACTTCCTCTCTGTAATCAATAACTTTGCAAGATTTGTGTGATGGTCACTCTTGACATGATATATATCATGTCCGGGTAACTCTTAGGGCTAAAAGCAACCTACTGCTCAAGTGCGTATCCTGCCCAAATGCCAAGGCATCAGAGAGAGAGAGAGAGAGAGAGAGTGTGGCTGAATTGTCCACTCGTTAAGGATTAACAAAAGTCAGAGGAGGCCAAACCCAAAAGGACATGGATTGCGAGCATAACACGTGACTTGGCATGCCCTTCCTACAGCTATGACAAAGATTTCACTGGGTCTTGAATGCCTCAAACCATTCAAAAGGCTGTGCTCAACTTCATTCTGAGGTTCAGAGTAGGAAAAATCCCCTGCCGAAGTACAGGGCTGGTGGCGATGCTGGACGAGAAAATGGAGCATGGGTTTGATTCCCTATGCAATTATCAAGACAATCTACTTCACCAGCCTAGTTTGTACTGGTACTAGCTTCACCACCAAAAGCTTAATCACTGCCATCAGTTGGGAGCCCTTCAGGGCTAGAATTTCTGCAGGAAAGCCTACCACCTGAGTAAGTAACCTGCTTGAACCACAGCTTGGACTTCATAAATAACAGAGATTGCGATTCCGTACTACTTGTACTATGAATAATGGGTCAGCTAGAGAACATGTGATTGATCCTAGAGATTTGTCTGTCCGGTTGTCGTATTGGATATCAAACTCGTTTGCCATGCGACTCTTTGTATTTGAACACCCCCATTCATGCAGCGTATCTAAGTATCCATAGATCGCATAAAACACGTAAAACGAGCTCCAATACCATTACAGACCTCAATTATTGGAGCCATACGACCCTTCGTATTTGTATTTCCCTGGCTATGCAGCGTATCCAGTCATAGATTGTAGAAATCACGTAAAACGAGTCCCAACATCGTTGTCAGCCTCAATGAACGAAATGAAACGACTCTTCGTATTTATACTCCCCCGTTTATGCAGCATATCCATTCATAGATTGCAAAGAACACGTAAAACACGTAAAGCGAGCTCCCACGCTGTCGCAGACCCCAATAAACATGCGATTGAAACCATTCGTCCCGTAACTTAGATCGCCCATTGACTCGAATCTCTGCTGCTCTTTTCCACTTCACTTTGCGTTCCTGATTTCTTTCTTTAAACGCCCCAAGACACATCCCTCCATTTATCTCGTTCTTTTCTCGTTCTTTTCCCTTTCAACCTGTCTCTGAGCAGTTTGAGACGGGAAAAGCATCACGCAAATCTGCGTCAAGAAGCGGAACCGTGATCATGGACATACCAACGGTAAGCAGATATTCGCCTTCCCTCTTTCAAAGGTATCACGTGTGGGCATGGCTAACCATACCACCCAGCTGTTTGATAGGATTTTGCAGACCATGGAGCTGGCTGGCTCTGGGTCTGAGGAACCTCCATTCGAGATCTTCCACGCCTCCAAGAAAACAGGTCGACTCTGTGCAAATTGCCACAAGCCTGAACGTGGAATTAATCTCATGGAATGCTGTCCCAACTGCAAGAATACGTACTACTGCAACACATTTTGCCGACTGGGGAATCTCCGAGTTCATTACCCGACATGCACCAGAGTCATGGACGGATTTATGGCTGGCATTGATCTGAACTCGGAAGACACCATCACCGAAGAGCAAGCCAAGACCGTCTACGAGCCACTCGGATTTACCGCAATGGATTACAACCCAGGCCCTTGGACCGGTGCTAGCAAGGACATCAAAGCACCAGGACTCGACGTCACCGTCAACTCTCCCTTTACTCGGATTTACACCAACAGATGGTTTGAAGGCCCATCGGAGAAGGACTGCTTTAAGCTGATCTTCGACACCATCCGCGTCCGAACATGGGATGACCCAGAAATGGCAACAAATTGCATCGTTGATTCGTTCGGGGACAGAGAAGAAGCCTCGCGTATGATGGTTCGCCGATTTTTGAGATCGGCAGAAGAGAAGAATCAACTGCCTCTCTGGTGGAATGACGACAAGGAGATTGAATGCATCGAGTGGGGTCACAGCGAGGAGAACTGGAAGATTGAAGAGCGCCCTGTTACAATGGAGCGTCTTGTTAAGCGCTATGGCACAACGATGATAATGATCCAGATGCGCATCTATGCTGAGCGGGTTCTGGGTATTCCTAAGAACAGGTACAGCTTTGGCCCTACCTTGCACATGTTGATGAGGACTGAACGTCAGGCTTTGCAAAACTCCCTTCGCGAGGCCATTCTCGAGGAGGAGAAGAATGGGCCACAGATGCTCGGATGACTGATGACCGAAACCCGACAAGTGAATGATGGAGATTCTATGTGAATGGCGAATTTTTGTAATAGTCCGAATACTCTTTCATCCTTGTGAATCAATTTATGCTGAAGCCTTTGCATTCCATCTATAGATCCGAGCTAGATCGGCAAGTCGGGGCTGGGACGTGCCCAGGCGGGGCCCCCAGTATGTAGTTGGTCCGATGTGTACTCCGTAACTGTCCAATGTTCCGAGTAAGCTACACAATGAGGTTCTAAGTTTGAAACTTTGGATTAAGGGAAATGTCAGAATGGGTTAGGCAGTCATTTCTTTTCATATTTAGTATGTACAAGGTGGTGCTCTTCTCAGGAGCGTGGTTGATCATCGGCCAGTATGTCTGGAAGATCTCGAATATCAGTCGTTTCGTTCGTATTCACATCCACCAGCCGGACTGATTCTAGATGAAGCGGACCTGTGGCCAAGGGCAGGAGTTTAATTTCCGTCGAGTGACATGTTCCCGGTAGGAGGGGGCTGATCGATACGTTAGACCGGGGAACCAAATAATTAGAACAGGAGTGCTTACCCGACACGAATATCCGTGCTTAAGCTAATCAGCTCGACCTCTTGCCCAGCCACACTCTTTTGCCTGGCATGTACAATGTTGTCATCAGTCACCGCCTCTGCTACTTGGTCTTCTTTTCGGCTGGTGATGGAGGACGACGAAGGCCGAGCGACATGTCCTCGTGGGTCCACGCGTTTGCGGCGGGGAATAGCGATTAAAGCAAATTTGCGAGGTATATTGGATCGATTGACGATGAACACACTCCACGAGAAAGCAGTGCCAACGTGGACCCGGACGGGCCCAGAGAAGGAGATGGTGACACCGACGTCCGTGACAGAGTATGCCCGCTCCCGAAGCGAGCTTCTGTTAGAAGGTGCTGCAATCCCCCCCTGGGTTGAGACGGATAGATTGGAAGGACGGTTTGTCCTTTGCAGTGCAGGACTGGGACCCCCGAAGGTCGGGTTTAGGGCAACGGAGAAATCGACATTGGTTTTCCACTGCATAGAGATGCGTGGTTTGCAATCGTCATCGACCAAAATTGTCGCCTCGAGAGATATAGCCAATGTGCTGACTATGGCGGTGGATGATGGATTGGTCTCAGGGCCGTACTCTGGTGTGAGTTTGTACATAAAGGTGACATCGTCTCGTGGGCGACAAAGAATGGGTAGAGCAAGACCCGGGGCATCTGACATTGACTCAATGGTTCCTTCTGACAAGTGAAGATCTGCCTTGCTGAAAGAAACTTCACTGGTAAGATAAGGGGTGACCTCGAAGTCTAAACTGGCAGCTGTCAATGGGACACCGGTATAAGAGTTTAGTCGAGAGTATCTTATTCTTGCGCTTGCAGCAGGCACAACACGGAAAGGGTGTCCATGTTGTTGCTGAATGTTATAGATAGGTTCTTGGTCGTAAGTTGTTGGCACGACCCGCAAAAGCCTGGAAGCAGGAAGGAAAGGCTCTTTATGGCTGAGAGATTTGTCGCCGGACAACGGCTGCAGCATATTTGTCGATGCGGGGACAAGTGAAGGGAGGTAGTCATCCTCTGAATCATCTTGATGGCATCCGTCAGACGGGTTCAGGCTAGCAGAGGCAATGAACAGAAGGGACGGGTGCTGAATTCGTATGCGGGGGCGCTCTGTTAAACCTATCAGTGATACTATTCCAAGTACTCTGACTCGGTGAATCGAACTCACTCAGCACGGTCTCAATGTTCCAAACCAGGTAGACGTGGTTTCCACTCCCTTCGTCGCCTTCAAATTCATTGAACACAACTATAGGATCCTCGTCTCCGCCAACGACACCCGAAAAGATGATATCTCTGGTTGGTGTAAGATTTTCACCCACCGACTCTGCTGGGTCGACAGCAAAGACATCCAACTTGACTTCGAGACGCGGTAGGTAATGCTTCAGGACAGATTCCGAGCAATCGGAGAGCCTCAAAACTATACGAACGGGAAGGAACTCATCTAGCAACTATCCATGAGTAAGAGACACACCCTATTGACCTGGAGGAGATTCTTACCAAAGAATAATTGTGATCGTTGCGGAATCGACGCGAGAACGGAGGGCAGATCATCAGCTCCGTCCTCCAGGGCCGAACTCAGAGCACCTTCGATATCCAAGGCTGGTGCATGGGGCACAACTGTGTCGAGAACAGCATGACGCAGGAATTCACCTGGAATCTCCAATCCAGGCATTGCGACCTCTTGTCGCATGTGAGGTCAACAAATAGATGTAGTTCGTTTCAGGAGATAACCGATAAGTGGTCGATACGGTTGGCGGAGAAATCCCTTAGCGCAGAATGGCAGATCCGCGGAGCAATTGCAGCTCCGGATTGACTCTTCTTTCTTGAACATCAACCCCAACAATGGACCCAAACAGCTCAGGCTCTGCCCGTTGGCAGGAGGCACGCAATGCTGAGGGCCGTGTCTATTACTACGATCTACAGACAAAAGCTACACAATGGAATAAGCCTCAAGAATTGATGACTCCAGTTGAGGTCCGCGTTAAATTCCTCTGAACAAAGTGAGCTCAGCTAACCTGTTTCTAGCTTGCGCTGGCGAATCAACCATGGAAAGAATACACCACTGATGCTGGGCGCAAATACTGGTACAACGGGGAAAGCAAGCAGAGCACCTGGGAAATCCCGGAGGTTTACAAAGATGCGCTTGCGCAAGCACCTGCTGCCATCCCACCCCCCGTCGCGTAAGTCTGTCCGTCCTTTACCACGGATTGAAACACTAATGCCATTCTAGTGCACCCTCCTTTGTTGCCGGTGGCACCTCTTACCCCCCTCAATCCCACCACCGTGAGCGCGACAACTTTGATCGTGGTGAACGCGGAGATCGCGGAGATCGTGGGGACCGAGGATACAACGACCGAAGAGGTGGATACGGAGGATACGATTCCGGCAGCATGGGAGCCGCCCCAGATTTCAAGTCTTCAAATGACCCTGATTACCATTCCCTCGAGGAGGCAGAAAGCGCCTTCATGAAGTTGCTCAAGCGACACAATGTGCAGGCCGACTGGACTTGGGAGCAAACCATGCGTGCGACTATTAAAGACCCGCAATTCCGCGCACTCAAGGACCCGCGAGACCGCAAAGCAGCTTTCGAGAAATATGCGGTCGATGTTCGCATGCAGGAAAAGGACCGAGCGAAAGAACGATTTGCCAAGCTCCGCGCAGATTTCAACACCATGCTGAAGCGCCACCCCGAAATCAAGCACTACAGCCGTTGGAAGACTATTCGCCCTATCATTGAGGGAGAGACCACTTTCAGGTCTACGAACGAGGAGGAAGAAAGACGCCAGCTCTTCGATGAGTACATTATTTCTCTCAAAAAGGCTCACATTGACCAAGAAGCTGTGAAGCGCAAGGCTGCTTTGGATGAATTGGCTGACATTTTGGGCTCGCTTAACCTTGAGCCTTACACCCGCTGGGCTGAAGCCAATGAAATGATTCATGCGCACAACAAGTTCCAGAGCGATGAGAAGTTCAAGTCTTTGACCAAAAGTGACGTATTGACTGCCTTTGAAGACCATATCAAGACTTTGGAGCGGGCGTTCAATGATGCTCGCCAGCAACACAAGGCAGCCAGGGCCAGGAAGGAGCGAAAGAACCGTGAGCAATTCGTCATGCTTCTCAAAGAGCTCAAGTCCCAGGGTAAGATCAAGGCGGGTTCTAAGTGGATGAACATCTGCCCTCTCATCAAGGACGACCCTAGGTACCATGGAATCTTGGGCCAGCCTGGATCTTCGCCTCTTGACTTGTTCTGGGATATGGTTGAAGAAGAGGAGCGTTCTCTACGTGGACCTCGCAACGATGTCCTCGATGTTCTTGATGTAAGTTCTTCCATGCTCGGATGCTATTTGACTTTACTAATACCTGCCAGGATAAACGATTCGAGGTCACCGCTGAAACTACATTTGATGAATTCAACACTGTTATCTCTAGCGACCGTCGTACTTCAAAGATTGATTCCGACATTCTCAAGCTGCTCTTCGAACGTATCCAAGACAAGGCAATCCGGCGCAACGAGGATGAGAAGCACGCTGCCGATCGCCACCAGCGCCGTGCAGTGGACGCTCTCCGGTCACGCATCAAGCGTCTAGAACCGCCCGTTCGAGCCACCGACACCTGGGCTGAGGTTCAACCTCGTCTCGAAAAATATGATGAATACAAGGACCTCGAAACGGATGAACTCCGTGAGTCTGCATTTGAAAAGGCAATCCGCCGTATGAAAGAAAGAGACGAAGATGCGGAGAAGGAGCGTGAAATCTACTCCCAGAGCCGTGGAGGCCGACGGGACTACGACCGCGGGGATCGGGACTATCGCAGCGGCCGCGGTGAACGCCGAGGGCAAAGCAGCCGAGTCAGCCGCACCCCCGAAACCGACGCTTACGAGGCCGACCGTCGCAAGGCGCAGGCAGACCGTGAACGTACATACCGCAAGGTCAGTGGGATCTCTCCATCTCGGGACCGCCGCGAGGAGCGGTCAGACCGGGATCGTTACCGTAGCCGAGACCGTGACTTCGAACGCGGACCCCGTTCTGCTAGAGACGGAGACCGTCGTGAAGACGAGCGTGAACGCCTGTACCGCACCCGGGGAGACCCTCGCGGAGGTCGTGACGAGCTTGATTATGGTGGTGGCGATACTCGCAGCGTGGCTAGTGGGGACCGTCGTCGTCGTCGTGACAGTGATGCCGAGAGTGTGGCTAGCCGCTCCGCGAAGCGGTACCGCCGCGATAGCCGGGAGCTCGAGCGCAGCAAGGGCCAGGCTCCTCGACGTGAGCGATCTGCCATCCCGGAAGAAGCGGAGGATTCCAAGAAGGACGAGAAAGCCATCCATTCTGGCAGCGAGGAAGGCGAGATTGAAGAAGAAGAGTAATGTTGGTGTGAAACTTGATATGCAAGTGATCCCTGTCCTGTATGATTAGGATAACCAGCTCATTGTACATTGCAATGTCATTTGCTTTTCCAGGGAAGCCTACTTTCAATCTTTTCCGGTACAGCAAGACTTCATTTCTCAATTGAATATTTGAAGTTGACGAGCTTGGGTGCTTTCAAGAATCGACAAAGGTATCAGTATTTTCGCACCCACTATCGTGCTAACATTTTAAGCGCGCGCATAGGCAGGTGGTAGCTGAACGATTCGTATAAATGTAAGCCTCGCTACTCGTATTCCATCGACGAGTCGAGTGGAAAGATTCCAAGATTTCATGGAGATACTGCGCTTACTACAAAGCGAGAATGCACTAGGACCTTGGAAGCAGCTGAATCTGGAGCAATAAAAGAAGCATTTTTTGTATCTGAAAAACAATGGGCTGGAACCAATCTATCTACACGATGTAGAGGCAGGACAACCGCCCATGCCATCCACAGTCTGGAATTGACCACATCGCCATTTCGACACATTCATCTCTAAATCATAAACTTCATGGAAGAGTTTTTGTGAACCCAAACCCTCCCAATCTCATGCAAACATAAACTCCGTTGGAACAATGAACCATGCCCATCCCAATCAACCATTAAAATTTTGACAATTAAAGGAAGATCTGTGGGTAAAGGTTCCAGTTCAGTGTCACTCTGGGAAAGACCGAGAGCGAAGCCAAGTTGCAAGGTGAAAACGATCCAGGCGTTGAATGATGACTGACAAATGGCAACAGGTCGCAAATATAAAGAGCGTATCAGACCGCGGATAGCAAGGGAGGAAACGAGTCCGCTACCTGCTAACCATGATCACTGTTGCCATGTGAGTCATCTTCATCGCTATTATCACCCGAGAGACCGCCGCTGGCACCGGGACATGACCCGGTGCAGTGACGAGTTCCCTTGCCTCGGACCGCCGAGGCTCTGCAAACGCCTGGGAACCCCATTAACCACATGATCTTCCTGCCGCCGCGGCGTCCGTTGCGCCGCTGCTCAGAGTCGCGGCCATCACGCTTGTGACGGCGACGACGATGCTCGTTGAAAATGCCCTTTTCAGTTCTCTTCCTCCAAGAAGTAGAAGTTGCCGGCCAACTTCTGCTCCTGGTCCATCTGACTGTTGTACTTGTTAATACGGGGGCGGTAGCTGTTGGGGTCACGACGGAAAGTGACATCCAAGCTCTTCAGGAAACGGTTGCAACCTCCGACCAGGGACTCGGGGGCCTGAGCACGAGCGTCAACGGAGGGCTGTCCGTCGAAGACGATAACACGGTCAGCAAGGTAGGTGGCCATGATGAAATCGTGCTCGACGATGAAGGCGGTCTTCTTGGTGTGCATGATGAAACGCTTGATGACACGAGCAGCAATAATACGCTGCTCGGAGTCGAGGTAGGCAGAGGGCTCGTCAATCAGGTAAATATCGGCGGGCATACCCAGGGCGAGGACAATGGCAACACGCTGCAATTCACCACCAGACAGGTTCTGGACTTCCTGGTCGATGAAGTCATCCATCTTCAGGGGCTTGTAGACATCGGTCTGGAACTGAGGAGACAAGAAAGCAGTCTTGATACGCTTGAAGAAGAGCTGGCGAACGGTACCAGTGAACTTGGGAGTGATCTTCTGGGGCTTCATGCTGATGCTCATCTTGGGAACGCTGATGGTGCCATCGGGCTTCAGCGCACCAGCAAGCATCTTACAGAAAGTGGTCTTTCCGGTACCGTTCTCGCCCATCATGACGACAATCTCAGAGTCAGTAAACTTTCCAGCCTCAACCTTGAGGTGGAAGCTGCCCATAGTCTTCTCCATGGTGGGGTAGGAGAAGGCACGGTCCTTGTCGGCAATGAACTCTTCGCCGGCCTCAGCAAGACGGAAGGTGAGAGACTCATCACGGAATCGCAAGTTCTCGGTGGGAATGTGACCATCCAAGAAGATGTTGATACCTTCACGGACGGAGGAGGGAAGAGTCACGACACCGTAAACGGCGGGACGACCGTACAGCACACAGATGAAGTCGGAAAGATAATCAAGCACAGACAAATCGTGCTCAACAACAATGACGTAGTCATCGGGACGAAGAAGGCTGCGAATGGTACGAGCAGCAGCCAAACGCTGCTTGACATCGAGATATGAGGAAGGCTCGTCGAACATGTAACTGTTGAAGGTTAGCAATTGTACTAATCCACCTGGGTGTTTGCATGAACTTACACATCAGCCTTCTGCACACAGACGAGACCAATGGCAAAACGTTGAAGCTCACCACCGGAAAGGTGGCCAATTTCACGGTCCGCAACTTGTCGCAGCTCTGGATTTGTATTAGCAGATATATCTTGGAAGTGGAGCGAGTTGACTCACCGAGAACATCCATGATCTCATCCTCGTTGTCCAGTGCAACACGAGCCTTGATAAGATCGTGCACTCCCTGAACGGGGCCCTTGACGGCGCGGGGAATCTGATCGACGTACTGGGGCTTCACAACTGCCTTCAGGTTGTCTTCCAAAACCTTGGTGAAGTAGTCTATTCCAATTAGTAAAGTTGGAATTGGTTATTGCAAATACCATGCGAGAGATTGCGCTTACTTTGCAAGTCAGAACCACGGAAGTACTTCAGGATCTCCTCCCAGTCGGGGGGGTTTTCATAGCGACCCAGGTTGGGCTTCAGCTTTCCACTGAGAATCTTCAAAGCAGTACTCTTTCCGATACCGTTTGTTCCAACAAGACCGAGAACCTGACCGGGGCGGGGCATAGGAAGGCGATGAAGCTTGAAGCTGTTGGCCGAGTAGCGGTGGGTGACTTGGGTCTCCAGGTTGGTAGGCAAGTTGATAATGTGAATGGCACCGAATGGGCACTTCTTGGGACAGATACCACAACCAATACACAGGCGCTCGGAAATGAAGGCGATCTTGGACGTAGGGTCGACTTCAATGCAAAGCTTTCCTGTGCGGACCACGGGACACGCCTTCTTGCACTCTTGGCGACATTTCTGCAATCCATTAGCTTTTGTGTCCTCCCATGTGTATTCAGTTCGAGTCGCATACCTTAGGTTTGCACTGTATAACCGGAAAAATCGCGTGTAAGCCAGCGTTTCGCGAGTCGGAGAAAATGTTGTTAGTGGGGTAATTCTTGACGAACCTTGTCACTGTTGATGATCGCAATACTATATAGAGCATTCTTCGTTAGAGACGGATCAAGAGTATCAGAAATAACAGAGACATACCGGGTAAGCTTGTCAGACATGGTGACGAATGTGGTTCAAAGAAACCAGTATCGAGCGGGAAGTTTTGAGGGAGAAAAAAAAGCGAAGAATCAGCACAAAAAATAATCGGTAAAAGTGGTCGATTCAGTACTGTCGCAGGGAAATAGGCTGGGCGCAATGAAAGCACCGACTCTGCGCAGACTCGACTACCAAGGTAGAAATGGGACAAGAAGACAACAGTACCCAAGCCTGGAGGGGCGGTAGAAAATCCGTTGTGGGAGTGCCCTTACAATGGATTACGTCGTTTCTGATTGGCCGGGGGATGATCTGACACGTGACCAATTACATAACTTCCGTAAGGCACCGATCAGGCATCAAGGGAAGTTTCTGCCTCAGGCCAACAGGCCACCACCCAGCGATTTCGCTTGGCGCCTAAGTCCCATCTCTTGCTTCCTCAAGTCTCGTCTCTCCTCCTCCCCCAAGATTCCGACGCCTTTCACTTCCCCACCATTCACTTTCCCACATTGATCTCCTGATCCCCCGCTGTCGGGGTCACCACGCTATGGAGTGTAAGTGATTTTATATTTTTCTCCAGTCCAAACCTGTCGCCTGAACCATTCGCCGCGGTACATCTCCGCGTTCTTCGACCCACTGTACGAATCCTTGAATCCCCTCATTTTGTTCAGATCCGGGCAGATGGCACCTGGAGATGGTAAAGTAGCGTGTCGCTACTCTCTCCAAGTTCGGTCGCGTGTATCAATCTGCCCATTGCCCTCTCTTCCAGCCTGGCCGCGTCCATCCCACCCGTCATCAAAAAACATACACTTCCATCAAAGTCAACATGTTGGCCTATTGAGCTGGGTTTTGAGCTCCTTTTGAACGGTTTCTGGGTCGCGGGCCACTGGTTTACCCACTACTACCTCTTTCACCCCTCTCCTAGCCCAACTCGAGCTTCAATGCTGACCTTTGACCCTCAACTACAGCCTCTGGCATGGTGATCCCATCTGCTCAGGAACCCTCCTCTACCTCCACGATGTCCAATACCTACCCGGTCTCGCCTGTCGCCTACGGTGCTCATGACGATGGCGACGCAGAATCCCAACGCGAAGGCAGCCCGTCCGAACCCATTGAGTCCCATCCCGTCTCCGAGTCCTCCCCCGAGCCCGATGCCGCGGATGACTCTTATGACGGCGCATCTGCCGAATCAGATGCAGAAGATGAAGACGCAGCGGCAGACAACAGCGAGTATGACGCTAACCCCTACAGCCGTGAAAACTCTTCATCTCCTCACCCCGGCCGCGGTGTTAAGCGGATGTCGTCCCCACAGAGCGAGACCGATCTGATAAGGCAAAATCCCGATTTGTATGGACTACGCCGGAGTGGTCGCGCTCGTACTACTCGCAATATCGCCGACTCATCGGATTCCGATTCCGATGTTGTCGCGCCCCGTGCAAAGCGCCGGCGCAAGGAAACATCTCAACAACCGTCCAAGGCCTCCCGATCGGCTACGGCGTCGTCGCTGTCCGAGTCAGACAGTGATGAATATGGTGGCAAGAGCGCCCGGGCTAGCAAAGCTAGAAGGCGTCGTCTCCAGCAAACCGCCAGTTATGAACCATCTTTGAATGAAGTCCGCTTCTCGACGCGAACTGCCAACAAAGTGTCAAATTACAACGAGGATGACGAAGAAGACGAGGCAATGTTTGAAGCAGACCCTGAAGATCTTGCACCGAGCTACTGGGCTGAAAGTTATGCTGAGGATACCCGCCCCGCCGTCGATGTCGTTCTCAATCACCGCCTCAAGGAAGGCGTTGACCCCAAGTCCCAGGATCTCGATCGATCCGACTTCGAGTTTTGCATCAAGTGGCAGGACAAATCACACTACCATGCTACATGGGAACCAAACGAGGCCATGCCCAATTATCGCAGTACTCGACGTGTTGACAATTACGTCCGGAAAGTGCTCAACGAAGACATTCGGCTGCAGTATGATGAAGATGCCCCTCCAGAAGACCGGGAAAAGTGGAATCTCGATCGCGAACGAGACGTCGAGGCTATCGAAGACTACAAGATGGTCGAGAGAGTCATTGGTGTGCGTGATGGCGAAGACGGCTCCACAGAATATCTTGTGAAATGGAAACGTCTTTTCTACGACTCATGTACATGGGAGCCCGAGGAGCTGGTTAGCGAGATTGCTCAACGTGAGGTCGACCGATTCCTGGACCGTACTGCTCGTCAACCTTGGTCGGACAAGAATGAGACCACCATCGCCACAAGGAAACCGTTTGAGCCTATCCATGGTGGCACCCCCAGCTTTTTGCAGAATGGAGAACTCAAGGATTTCCAGATCAAGGGTCTTAACTTCTTGGCTTTCAATTGGGTCAGGGGTCGCAATGTCGTCCTGGCCGATGAAATGGGTCTTGGAAAAACAGTGCAGACTGTTTCGTTCATTAACTGGATGCGTCATGTCCGACGGCAGCAGGGACCATTCATCGTCATCGTACCTTTATCCACTATGCCTGCGTGGGCTGACACCTTCGACCACTGGACACCTGACCTCAACTACGTGGTCTATAACGGTAGCGAAAAGGCACGCTCAGTACTACGTGACTACGAATTGATGGTCGATGGAAATCCCAAACGTCCTAAATTCCACGTTCTCCTGACCACCTACGAGTATGCAATGAATGACTCGCCCTTCCTTGGTCAATTCAAATGGCAGTTCATGGCAGTTGATGAGGCACATCGTCTCAAAAACCGTGACTCACAACTTTATACCAAGCTGTTCGAATGGAAGTGCCAAGCTCGCCTTCTGATTACTGGTACACCAATTCAAAACAACCTCGCGGAGCTCTCGGCTTTGATGGACTTCCTTAACCCTGGTCTGATCGATGTTGATGTTGATATGGATCTGAACTCCGAGCTAGCATCCCAAAAGCTTGCTGAATTAACGGATGCTATTCAACCTTTCATGTTGCGGCGCACAAAGTCGAAGGTTGAGTCTGACCTTCCCCCAAAGACCGAAAAGATCATTCGTGTGGAGCTTTCTGATGTCCAACTGGAATACTACAAGAACATCTTGACGAAAAATTATGCTGCCTTGAACGACGGAAACAAGGGGATGAAGCAGTCCCTTCTGAACATTATGATGGAGTTGAAAAAGGCTAGCAACCACCCATTCATGTTCCCCAATGCAGAAGCAAAACTCTTGGAAGGCAGCAGCCGCCGAGAAGACGTCCTACGCGCTATGATTACCAGTAGTGGAAAGATGATGCTCCTCGATCAGCTCCTCCGCAAGTTAAGTGTTGATGGCCATCGCGTCTTGATTTTCTGTCAAATGGTTGGTATGCTTAACATCTTGAGCGAGTACATGGAATACCGTGGCTACAAATACCAAAGGCTTGATGGAACCATTCCCTCAGCCGCTCGTCGCTTGGCTATTGAACACTACAATGCCCCTGGCAGTACAGACTTTGCATTCCTTCTCTCGACCCGTGCAGGTGGTCTCGGTATCAACTTGATGACCGCGGACACAGTCGTGTTGTTTGATTCTGATTGGAACCCCCAGGCTGATTTGCAAGCCATGGCCCGAGCCCACCGAATTGGTCAGACACGACCTGTTAGCGTTTACCGCCTTGTCTCAAAAGATACTATCGAAGAAGAGGTTATCGAAAGAGCTCGCAACAAGCTTCTGCTTGAGTTTATCACCATTCAACGTGGTGTCACAGACAAAGAAGCCACGGACATGCAAAACAAGATGGCTCGTGTTGTTGCTGAGCCTAACTCGACTGACGATATCTCCCGAATCCTTAAGCGTCGTGGTCAGAAGATGTTTGAACAAACAGACAACCAGAAGAAGCTCGAGCAGCTTGACATTGACTCTGTTCTCGCAAACGCAGAACTGCATCAAACCGAAGAGGCAGAGCAAATCCAAGCAGACGGTGGCGAGGAATTCTTGAAAGCCTTTGACTTCGTCGACATCAAAGTCGATGATCTCACCTGGGACGACATTATCCCCAAGGATCAACTTGATGAAATCAAAGCTGAAGAGAAGCGCAAGGACGACGATGTTTACCTTGCTGAAGTCATTGAGCAAAATAGACCTCGCAAGCGTCATGCACCGACAGATACACCAGACTCACGCGAGGAACGCAAGGCCAAGCGCCTTGCAAGGGCTCAGGTTCACATTGACGATGGCGAAGATGAGAATCCCTCATTGGATCCCAAACGCGCTCTCGGAGAGAAAGAGTACCGTGCGCTCTCTCGGGCTTTCCTCCGCTTTGGAGATATGGATGACTCTGAAGATCTCATCCTTGAAGATGCAAGGTTACAAACCCGTGACCGGGACACTGTTCGTGCTGCTCTCCGTGAGATCACCGACAAAGCCAATGCACTTGTACAGGAAAGTCTAGATCAATTAGATGCCATGAAGCAAGCGGGCAAAAATCCAACGAAGAAGGAACAAAAGGCGGTCCTGTTCGATCACCACGGTGTTAAGCGACTTAACGCATGGACTATTGTCGAACGACCCCCTGACATGCGTCTGATTCGGAGTATCACCAACGCGCTGCCTGATTTCAAGACGTTCCGCCTTCCTGAAGCTACAAAGTTGGCGGACTACAGTTGTACGTGGGGTGCTCGCGAAGACGGTATGCTTCTCGTTGGTATCGCGCGCCATGGATTTGGTGCATGGACCCAGATTCGTGATGACACTGAGCTTGGCCTCGGCGATAAATTTTTCCTCGAAGAGCACCGAGTGGAGCGAAAGACACAGCGGCTGCAGACTGAAGAGAAGGCAACCAAGTCCCCTGGTGCTGTGCACCTTGTTCGACGAGCTGAGTATCTCATGTCTGTGTTGAGGAATAAGTACAACAACAATGCTACCGCCAGGAGAGCTGTTGACAACCATCATCGCAACAACAAGCGCAACTCGCGAGTCTCTGGCAGCGGTAGTGTCTCTGCCTCTCCAGCGCCCTCTAGCTCCCGCAGGCCTGAGAATCCCCGCAAGGGTCATCGTGAAGTTGATCGTTCGCGTCAACGATCGCACCCATATGGTGGTCGGGAGGGAAGCGACCGTCACCACACCCCAAGCCACGATCGTCCTCGGTCCGGTCTTGATAACCGTCCTCGTCATCGTCTCTCTGATGCGTCTAACGACGACCTTCGTCGACGGAGAGGACATGAAAATGGCGGTGGATCAAGCAAAGAGGACATGGCTTTCATGTTCTTTAAGCCCGTTGTTGCTACCCTCAAACAGGTGTCGATGATCACTGCCAAGAACTATCCTAACAAGAATGAGAGAGCTCAAAAGCTCAGGCTCACTCTCGTGAAGATTGGCGAATTCATCCGCAACACCTTAGACGGACAGCAATCTATGCCTTCGCTGGAGCTCCGCTTATGGTAAGATTTACTCCCTTTGACCTGAATCATGATACATTGCTAACACTAGTCCCAGGGATCACGTTTCACTCAACTACTGGCCTAACAAGGATGCTAGTGGAGCCAAGCTCCAGCTCATGTTCAACAAGGTCATGGAAGCGAGCAAGGCCTCGAAGCCTTCCAATGGCACATCGGCTTGAATACTCGGGGTGCCTCCTACAAGGGGCCTAGGTGTTTTGCCTCACTCAAGACTCATTTTAGCACGGTTTCATGACATGCATGTTCAGCGTTTCTGGTTCCTATCTATCCTTTCTCTTCGGTGGTTAATTATCATCATACATCTCGTCATATCTTCTTTGTTTCCTCTCAAATTCCCCTCTCCTCTATCTTGAACCGATATTCTTGCATTTCTTGTTGGCCTCGAGGCTACCTCACTTGCCTCTGGGCTCTTTGAGTGCACTGCCTTGTTCTCAAACGAGAACAGTCGTTTAATCTTGCTTTTTATTCGAAAGTACATATGGATGCAACTCGTTGCATGGCATTGCGGATGGCGTCGAATTTCCTTTCGCGAGCCCAAAAGCAAAAGGGAGATTTCGGTTTGAAATGAGCATGTTCACGCGCTTGGATGATCACTGCATGGCGTGTTTGGGGTCTTTTTTTTCTTTTTCTTTTTCTGTTTCTATGTTCATTGACGCCATCGAGTCTGCCAAGGTCGTGCTGGCTGTCAGCCCAGTCTTGGTTTTTCTTTGCTTTTTCCACGGGCCTCGACGCTTTTCCCCCGTCGGTCTGCCCAGTTCTCTTTATTCCGTTTCTCGGCAAATGTATCTTATGGAGTGGCTGCAACGGCGTCGATTGATTTTCGATTCTGAGTTGGCTCGGATGGGAGCGTATTATTTGTGACATTTATTTGCCGTATCTTCTGGTTTAGAACCTAATGCAGGATCATCCAGCAGATTCTGGCCTGAGAATTGCTTCCTTGTAGGACACCTGGTTGGTGTTGTAATAATCTGCTAGTAAACAGGGGATGGCGTTATGTTTCCACTCCTTGTGTGTTTTATTTCACAGACGAGGCTCACGGAGAACCCTGGAATACCCTAGAGATATACAAGGCGTTCATAAGAGAGCCATGATTATTGACAATATCATTGAAGGTAATTACCCAAAGTAATTGGGCATTATTGGACCAGTCCAGGCCAATCAGCAAAGAAACTATTCATACATTCCATCGCAGGACGTCACCATATCCTCCACCGAGGAATAGAAAATAAAGAACGCATTCACCAACACCATGCACGCCGGGATATGAAGGTAACAAGACAGTAAAACGACCCGAAAGCTCACAGCACTAGAAAGTAAAAACCACAGCGCCAGAGCCTAAGCACCATCCACATGAGGAGGCTCAGCTGCCCTGGCAAGCTGCTCCTGTTGAAGTTGGAACTGCTCTTGCTGCCGCTGCAATTTCTCAAGGCTAGTAGTCAGATTGGCTGGAGGGACAGATCCAACCATGGCGCTCAAAAGTCCTACCTCGGCATCGATCAGATCGTCCAAGATAGCCTCTTTCTCACGCCATGATGCCTCGCGCCTTGGTCGAATTCCCTCCCACTCTGTCTCCAATTGTGCTGTCTCCTGTCCAGCCCATACGATCTGGCGACGCAGTAGACGATACAGCTCCCGCGGGGGCAAGGAGAGCTCGTGCTCATCGAAATCAAGCTCGGGTCCGTATTCGGGCATCGAGTTCTCCTCCAAATCATGCTCAGTCGGGATTACTGGAACGGTCGGGGCAACCGGTGCTTCGACATGAGGCTCTCCCTCGGTACCTGGTTCACGGGGCTGGGTGAGCTTCAGACGGATGCGCTGAAGCTTCGAGGCAGGTGTGCCAATTGTGGAACCACCTTTGGCAATCGCGTCATTGGGACGCATGGTATCCGTTTCATGGACAGAGCGCATGTGCTTGGTGAGGGCGTCGGAGCGGGTGAAGTTGCGATCACATTCTAAATGGGTGTTAGTGGTTGATTACTCGCGCTTGTGGGTGAAATTTACCTGGTAGGGTGCAGTAGAAGGGTTTCTCGCGGGTGTGACTTCTCATGTGTGCGCGTAGGGCATAAGCGCTGGCGTGCGTTTGACCTTTGCGGGTGCAGTCGGTCCACTCGCACGAGTAGCGTTTCTGTCGGCTCCCGATGTGTTCATTGTGCAGGTGAGACACCAGTCCATCCATGTTTCCGAGGTCACCGGCTGTACATCCGTCCCATCGGCAGATAGTAACTTGATCGGTGCTCTGACCGCTGTAGTCATCTTCTTGGTTTGTGCCCAGGAGAGCAAGGAGGCTTGGAGAGTTGGGGATGTCGGCGGAGCTGTCGGAGGAAATTGAGGCTGTCGGGGATGGAGGGGGGTGGTTCTCGTCGCATACTGATGACTGCGGCGTGTGACGGTCTTTGTTGATCCAGGGTGGGCCACCAGTACGTCGCCGCTTCGAGGGCGGCATGTTTGACATCGACGGGGAGTGCGCGCGACTATCTTCGTGGTCTGATCCATCCATGGAGCCCACGGAGGACAAGGGTGAGCCGGGGGAATCGCGTGACGCCATTTTTGTCCGACTTCGAAAGGTGGGCAAATGGATTGAACCAGAGTAGCGGCCGATGTAGATGGTCGCGATGCGAGGCAGGAGCACACGTGATCATGACTAAGCGAGATCCCCGGCCCCGGGGACAATCACTTTCCTCTACTTTCCTTCTCTTCACTCTTCCCCCCTTCTTCCCCCTCAGTGTCTTGATGTTGATAAACTATTGGGCCGCCACGGAGTATGTGCGGTCAGTTCACGCAAGAGCTCATTCCAAGATAACACACCCCAAATCACCTCTTATCTACACTAACAACCTGTAAGTTCATCCTCATCCTTTCACACTGCCTACTCCCTACATGATGAATCAAACCTATGAGTTCTGCAATTCCGACAGTCTCCATGTTTGAAAGCATGTGAGACTGAATGTTGACTCTTCTACACTTGATCTGATTTCTCAACCTTCTGGCATCATCTTCATTTTATTAGCTGTGACCTAGCTAACCGATCAAAGTTCAGCAGCTCTTAGTATCGACCACCAGCAACAATATTACCCTTCAATATAGCATCAATCTCAGCCAATTCTGAATCACTCAATACCTGCGCTCCACCCATATTCTGAATCACCTTGTCCTTCGTAGTACCACCGGGGATCGGAATAATAGTAGGCATACCGGGCTTGGCACTCTGACTGCGCACCCAAGCCAGTGCAATCTGTGCAGGGGCAATACCCTTACGAGCTGCCAGGTCTGTGACCTCGTTGATGAGCTTTAGGTTCTTCTGGAAGTTCTCTTCGGTGAAACGGGGCATGTGACGTCGGATGTCACCTTCGGGGATATCGCTCAGTGAGCCCACAGTTCCAGTAAGAACACCACGACCGAGAGGCGAGTAGGCGACAATAGGAATGTCAAGCTCAGCACATGTTTTAGCGACGTCATTCTCTAGGATGTCGGTTGTCCACAGAGACAATTCAACCTCAACAGCTGCAATCGGGTGCACCTTGTGTCTTTGCGAAAAGTTAGTCGAGCTCTAGTAAAAAAGAAAAGAAAAGAAAAGGCAAGAAGAGTACATACGCTCGACGAATAGTACCAGCATCGACTTCGCTCAAGCCAATTCCTCCAATCTTGCCTTCTTGCACATATTTTGCAAGAACTTCAATCATTTGCTCGACGGGAACCTTCGGGTCCTGCCGCGCACATTCGAAGATATCGATTGTCTTCTTGCCATCGAGTTGGAGCAGACACTCGTCCACGCTGCGACGAATGTTTTCTTCTGAGCAATCTGGAATGAGGACACCCTTCTTCAACCCACCCTTGATGCTGAGAACGACCTTCTCTGCATTCTCGGGGTACTTGGTGAAATACTTGTTCAACAAGTGCAAAGAGTTGTACTCTGGTGTGCCGTAAAGCTCACCACCGTTCCAGAAATTGGCACCAAGCTCAAGGGCAGTGTTCAGTGTCTCAAAGCATACATCCTGGGCTGGAGGTTGGGCTCTCCACGTCATGCCTGTGGCGATTAGCGCAATTCAAGGATGTGGTGGGGATTCGTACCCATGGTGCCATAGCCAGTAGAGCCAATTTCTTTTCCAACGAGAGAAGGCATTGTGTGTTTTGTAGTAGACAATTCGAGGTTATGTTTGAGAGAGAGAGAGATAAACGGGTTGACACAATCGAGGGTGTGGGCCTTTTATGGGTTTGGAGCCCCGCCGAATGCGAACGCTACTTCAAAAGCTTGGACTGTTGCTAAGCACCGAGGCTGAATATCGTCGACAGGTGTTTGCTTACGAGCTTTTTAGTACTGCCGAAGACCGAGCTCCGAGTCTTAATTGCGTTGCGTTGCATCGGACTTTTGCTCGGATAACGAGCACGGAGTTAAGGGGGATTGCTCCGTTGACATCAGATATACATGAGCTTCGGATGTAAGGATAATTCCCTTGCTCACTTCTAAGATCAGGATCCCTTCATTCTATCAGCTCTATCGAACGCGGTAAAAAGGCTATACTGGTTGAAGTGCATACAAAAACACAGCAGACTGTTTTTACGCAGGCCGTAATAGTTGTCGTGATGCATCGACACCCTCGCGGATAGTATGACACCCTGAACAATTACTCTTTTCGTCGCATTTTCTACTCCGTTCTCTACTCCATTTTCTACTCCATTTTCTATTCCATTTTCCATAACTAGCATCCCCATGGTCTAGAAAGCCAACTGCCGCATCTATAAAAGAAACCGACTATTTTTATACTGTTAAGCTTAGTGCTTCCTTGCTTTCCTGGCAGAAATATTGATTCCTACTAGTATAAAGGGCATCAATGTTAGAATCAGGCCAAAGTCAGGCACCAAGGGTGTCATATTATCCGCGAGGGTGTCGATGCATCATTCCCTATTTGCTCATGGGTCGCCATCTGGGATTGCATCATAAGTGTGTCGCACTCAAGTTAAATGATACAGTTGCATAATAATGATAGGCATCTTCTCTTTGAAAGAGATCAAATATCATTAGAATAAGACTTAAACAAGACCATCAGGCGTCCTGGACCCTGAAGTATACACCGTGTTCCAACAACCATACCTCAAAATCAATTCCATAAACCATTATACTAAAAATACACAGAACCAAAAACAAATTCGCTTTTCAATAACTTCAGTCACCCCAGACTTCAGTAATTCTCCAAGAATTCATTGAGCCCAAGCTCATCCGAACTATTAATGGCATCACCAACCTGATGCCTCAATTCACGGTAAACAGCATCGAAAACACCCGGCAAGTCATCAGCAGTGAGCTTACGACCCTTACTCCACCCATGCATCAATTCAATATTGGCAGGCTGGTGGCTGACATGGTGCTCCACGGTATGCGTGTACCCTGCGTCATCACTGTCGTGGGTTGGGGTGTAGCTCGTCGAGCTGGAGCTGGTGTATGTGATGTGCGTGGTAGGCGTTGGGCCCGTGTTCTTTGAGTAGCTGCTCTGCGAAGAGCTGCTTACTGGTTCCACATGGTCAGGGTAATTGCTCTCCACGTGGACGGTTTCGGTGTGGCTCTGGACATCTTGCTTGGGTGTTGCGGTGGCAGTCACTGTTGTCGTGGGTGTAGCAGATGAAGAGGGGTCAACTAGACCGAGGCCTTGCAGGACTTCGTGGACGTAGTTTGCCGTGTCTGGGATGAGACGCTGGTATGGTTAGTTAGGTCGCTAATTGGCGGGTTGGATGGCGAACCGGTGATCGGGCTTCAATGCCTGTTGCTTCTCCTTCTTGAATGGGACGGGCATGCACAGCGGATAGTGCTAGGGCTGCAACTAGTACTGAGTACCACGGTCTGGAGAAGATTTGGGACATGATGTATGGATGTGATAGTCTGCAACGGTGAGATGTTCGAGATGGGATTTTCTTGTTGATAACGACAGGATATTCCTTGTCTATCACAACAAGACTGACCAACAACACAAGTGTGTTTTGGCAACCGAAATAACCGAAATGCCTTTTTGTGTGCTGGAATGTAGCCTTTCCATGTTGGGAGAGACGTCAATACTCCCATGTCGCCCATATTCGATTGACACTAGACTCTCGCGTCATTCTTCCAAAACCAGAGCACGCTTCTGATTCCATTGGTTTATTTTGCGATTCTTGGCTGCGCACTCAGTTGAAAATAGTAGTGAGAAGTGTGGTTTGAGGTAGACCTTTGTCTTTTCGTGAAACTAGGGGTGTCGATCCCCAATGATGACAGGTATTCCAGGAAGCATCCTGCAAATCAAGAATTCACGTTGTATCATAATGATTCGAGCCCAGGGTGACTGGAATGAGGGGGTGATACTGTCTCATACTTGCATTTACCTCATCGCTACTTTGTTGCCCACGGAACTTGGTTGTTGAAGTTTTATGATCTCTTTTTCCTTTTAGCTTACAGTTCAAGAACAAAATGCCGGGCTTGAATGTTTGTACAATTAGGATTCAAGCTGGAGCCATCGAAATATGTACACTCCTGCTTCCCCGAGCTAAACGCCATCGTTGAAACGATACGAGTTCATCCATCTCTGTTGGGGCTGTTAGCTGGCCATCTTTGTTGAGTTCTCAGTATTCGACTTACCTTGTCATAAGGCTTAGATGAGTCACAGAAACGGAGATCTGTGGCAAGGCGAATGACATTGTCGGGATCATGATTGATCGTTGAGGCATGAATCTAGACAATGAGCTTCTGGTTGCATCAAAGGAACATATCACTTACCATGTGTGGCTTGTGTAAAACAACATCACCAGCCTCATAACTCGATACCAACCACCGCTTCCCATTTTCCTTTGCAAACTCACTTGGGAATTCGGATAGGAGACCCGTGGACATCATGTTCGTATTGAATGCCGACTTGGCCTCTTCATCGGAAAGTCCAGCCTGCTTCGCCTTCCTGAAGAACGATTCCTCAATCTCGATTCCGATCTTATCGCCTATAGCGAAGGTTAATACAACGAAAGCCAGGGCTCTGTGCAGTCAATCAACGTACCATCCTCCAAATAAATCAGGCCCCCGCCATTGATCTTAATATCTCCCATAGGAACCCAGGCCGTGACACTAGTCGGATCGCCGTATCTCAAGAAGATCTGATCATAATGCACACCAATAGGCTTCGACCCAGGAATGTTGTTCCTCAACAGTGTGCGCTTAAGGTTCAGTGTGTTCTTCCCCCAGTCCGCGAATTGTGCGACGAAGTCGTACAACGCAGTGTGGTTACAGAGCTTCTCGTACCATTCCTGGTAGTGTGCATCAAGAGCAAGATCCACGAATTTAGCTGCCCGGTCACCACCAGGCTTTCCATTCCCACCAATATGTCCGGCTCCAATGCCGGGATAGTCGAGATGGCTCTTTGCGGGGTCAAAAACACCTTCCACCGGGGTAGTCCCTGGCTTCAGGACGCCTGTTTCCTCCAATGATGAGAAGTATGCGTTTCGGGCGTCAAGGACGTCTTGTCGGGGCAGAACTTGCTTTAGGAAGAGGTAGCCGTCTGTTTCGTAGCGCTCGCGTAGTTCGGAAAGAGGGAGGGATGGAGACGAGGGGCGCAGCAGGGCCGCGTTCTCTGATGTTAGAGGGCCGTCGTTGACAGCGAGGTTCTCAGCTTGTAGTCCGACCATTTTGACGATTCAGGGAAATTTGAATCCTGGAAGAAATGGAACTGAGCTGTCTCTTATATCCTGAAGAGCCATGGCGGGGTAGCCGTGACGAGCCGACTTCAGTATCCAACCAGGTGTCGCGTAAACTCATCGCTGACCCCAATTCCCCGCGTGTTGGTCGTATTCCCTCGCATTTGGATATGCAGAGATGGAGGGTCGAGACAAAGAAGTAATCATTTCCGCACTGAGCGCGGGGATCTTCGCCCAGTTGGGCAAAATGTGGGGGACACGTGGAGCAAGTAGTGCTGATCCGCGGGGAACTTTGCTACTTTGGCCTCGACAACGAATACAATTTCGATTTGATGAGCTGACAGACATCGGAGATATGCCGACATACATAAAAATGCTAAGAACATATTATGGAATTGGATTGACCTCATCTTATGTATTAAAAGCGGTGGAGCTCAAGCTATGAGCCCCCGATGTCATAAACCAACATTCACCAACGTGAACAAAATGGCATAGTACATCTCCAGGCACAGCTCACTGACGATCCTTCTCAGAAACCACGAGAGCCTCCAGCCAAACATCCACATTCAAAGCGTCCCCATAACCACTTCCATAAACTTGCTCTGCAAATACACGCAACTGGGAAGGCATCGAGAAATCCCTGTAATGCTGGACAATATTGGTCCATCCAGCAGCATAAACCAAGCCACTCCACTGCACCACACCTTGCGAATCACAATGACAAGAGCCAAAGGCAACACATTCCATCGCACTGGTAGAAGACCACCACGCAGGCAACAAGTCCGGCTTTAACTCAAGGAGTGAGAGGAATCGCTTGAAGCCCGCAATTCCATCTGTACCTTCACCGTAGATTCCATCGCGGTCAAGGACGCCTTCAGACCTGTACGCATCTTCCATTCGCAGGCGGTAGACGTCGACAAGCAACGTGAAGACGTCTTTCTGAGGCCGATAATGGAGCCATTTCTTTGCGCGCAGTGTATGAAAAGGCTTTGGGATGTAGACCTCCAGGCTTCCGTTGTTGATTGGGATCTGGGGGTTGCTCAGGGATTCTTTGATGATGGGTGGACCGTTGAATGCGACTACCGCGTTGTTGAGGCTGCAAATCTTCTTGTGCTCTTCGTAGTCGGCGACTTGACACTCGCGGGAACAATAGAGGATGACGGGAGACTTGCAACGGCTGCAGTATTGTAGTTGTCTCGTTGTTGATTCAGACTCGCGGCATGTATGACATACTCTCTCGATGAATGGACAGCCGATCAACTTCGAGTTCAATTCTGGCTCGGTCTCGGGTGGCTCGAAGGCTGGTACTGATCAGTGTTAGCCCGGAATATCACATATCGGGGTCATGCTATGAGGTACTGACGAGGCATATCCATTTTGAGGATGGAGATGAAATAAGAGATGATGATGCGAGGGTAACTTGAGCTGTCTCAGCCCATATCAGGTATGTTGGTAAAATGTGGGAGATGAAATTCCATGGAGATATCCTGAAGGAAAGCACTCCTAAGCTCTAAATGCAAGTAAAGATAGCCAAAAGGATAAGCACGTCCTCGATTAGAGAACATGCAGATGCAACTACACACGTCTGAACTTCAATTATCTTTCCAATCAGTCAACTCCCACCCTTCAGCCCCATCAAAGATATCCAATTTCAGCGTCGTGAAGAGAATCTCTTCATACATCACAGTCGCTGCAGCTCTTGCCTGCGCATGCCAAGGTCCCCGGCCACCAAGTCTGGCATCATTCCTTGTGCGCCAGATGCCTAGTTCATCAGCCAACAGCTCAATATATCTTCGGATCAGAAAAACTCACAAGTTGCCAGATTCCTTCTGTCTTCATTCTTGGATCCAAACCAATACTTCAGCAAGCCCCCAGAAGCAATGGCTTCGCGATGTGAATGCGCATCCAGCGCATATAGACGATCGCCATCAGCATCTGGTAGTAGAATCGAACGAAAGATCACGACGTAGTACGACCGCGTTGTCCAGGGCCGATTCTCGGCCTCTGAAAATGATTTCACCAAAGAGAAGACTTCGTCCCAGTTAAAAGACTCAGTGTATGCGGCTGTTGCATAGTCGTCGCGAATTGGCTTCAGGTAAGAGAGTGCCAATGCGAAGATACGATCTTGGTGGTCCAAGGCTGATATGTCGAGGAGATGTGACGGGTCGTTGTATGGAGATGCAATTAGATGGGTGGACTTTTCTTCTACTTGGTTGGATTGGTGTAGAAGCTGCGATTGCAATTGCAGAGAGGCTGCGGCCTCGAAGCGGAGAGGGTCAAATTCTTTCGTTACGCTGCTATGATGGTGGAGGTTGCTGAGGTTGGCGGATGAGGGTTGAAAGTCTGCAGTGCCCAATGTAGCGGGTGGTTTGGGTATAGTCAATGCCATGTTAAAGTGAATCAACGAGACGAATTTCCGTGCTCGAATGTAAAGAAATATCTATATTTAAGGGGATCGGTAGATCCTTGATTGCGCCATTCCGAAGGCGAACCTCAATATCTAGACCCTGACCGCTACCGTGAACTGTACCACATTTCACAATTCCACAAAGGGAGCACGCAATTACGTTGAAAATTCGCCTGATTTTATCCCTTGAGACATGCCAAGTACAACGGGACCAAAGAGTACTCCGATCATGTTACGGTCCACGTGGTTTTGGTGAGCCCTAAGCCGTTGGGACTTTCAACTGCAGATCTCGGGGACGACTTTCCCCCGGGTTTTACCATTTACTAGAATAGGACGAAAGGATGAATTTTTGCTTGGTAAATTTTAATATTTTTTTCTCATCGAAGAGTGTTTTCTCTCGCTAAGTACTCTTGGTACAGCGGCTTGGAAGATAATGGCAACAGTGGTATCACGCGTAAATCATCAAGGCTCATGCCGCCTGATCTTCCTCCCGAAACTCCGTCGAAATGCAAAGACCTGGTGAAAAAAGCAAAAAAAAGATTTACTTGGGCGGACCCATCGCCCCGTTGCCTGTGTTGGCCCTCTTGTTGGGGAGGGCGGGCACCTTAAAACCGCCGTTCTGGTCGCTGCCCTGGTTAGGCGCCTGGGTGAACGTGCCGGAGCTGAACCAGCGGTTTTCCTCCTCTTCACGCTTGCGTTTAAGCTCAGCCTGGGCCTTGGGGTCGACCAATTCGAGGCCTTGAGCGGGGGTGAAGGCAATAGTACTAGCTGTGCCGGCTGCCTCAGTCTGGGATCCAACGCCGGACTGACGCAGACCACGAGCTTGGAGAGAACTGGCGATTCCGCTGGCTCCAGGGGTGAAGTGGTCCAGGGATGCATTGCTGTTGCCAGTGGCGTTGGTGGCCCAGCCTTGATTGTTCTTGCTGAGCTTGGCCGCAGTGCGCTTGTCGATTTGGGTGGCGCGAATGTTGCCTTGGTTCTCTTGTCCGAGCATACCAAGTCCAACGGTTCCAGAGCCAGTGCCGAATCCGACCTCGGCCTCCTCCTGGCCAAAGGCGATGCGGTTCTGCGCCTTTCGCATCTCAGTCATAGTGGTGGCCTCCTTGGCCTTGCGGGCGCGCCAGCCACCGCGCTTCGTAGAACCCTTCTCGTCAGGAGCGGGGAGAGCCTTGGCGCTGGAGTTCGGGGCGGGTGCACTCAGCTTATCTAGCTTGGTGAGACACTGCTCCTTCAATTCCAGACCATAAGAGCCATCGCGGTGCTGTTTAGCGACATCCACGCGCACAGCAAGCATCATCTTGCCACCCACAATTCGAATACCCTTCTTCATGTTATCCTCCGGGATGTTTTCAAAGATAGGGGAGTCGTAGAGATATCCTTTAGCGCGAACACCATGGTTGGTCGCGAAGCCGGTTCCCTCCTGACGGCGGGAGCCTATGGCACCCAGGTTGCAAGCAGGAAGTGCAGAAAGTTGGGCCAGACCTCCAACTGCGTTCAAGAACTGCGCAGCGGTTTCAGTTCCGATAATAGCGGCCAAGTTTGGAGCGGTGTCGGCCATGCGCGACTTAATGCGCTCAGTGATCTCGAGATGTTGGCGATCAAGCTTCAAGATCTTCTGGCAGATGCGGCAAACGCGGTTCAACTCTTTCTCGGACATATCGCGGCCTCGGGTAGTAGTTCCTTCGACTGCGACCACCATCAGGGATGGTCCGTCAAGGACGGCGCTGAGTGGCTCGCCAGCCAGGTTTTCCGAGGTGGCGGCCAAAGTCTTGATGTCGTTGAGAGGCCCATTAAGCAGGATCGCGACAGTCTTAGCGTATTTGATGGGAGTTGTGACAAGGGACTCCAGTTCGGGGAAGCGGATAGAGTAATGGTCGCGGAGGCTCTTGTGGAGGCAAGTCAGCTCATCGGTAATAGCGATGGAGCGCACAAAATCGTGCTCCTCATCCTGTTCGTCACCAATGTCGTCGACATCAACATCTCCAAGGATCTCGTCTTCTGAATCGTTGTTGTCGCCAGCTGCTTCCTCCTGGTCGCCAGCTCCTTCGTCCTCATCGCCCAAATCACCGAAATCGTCTTCCAGGTCGCGGAGATCATCCTGCAAGCTGGCCCCATTGCCGGCGTTGCCAGAGAGGCCTTGCAGCACGCCCGGCGCGTTAGCCGAAAGCTCACTCATATTTTTTTTGTTGGTTTCTGCGTGCTTTTCAGATAGAGTTTGGTGAGTCCAAAGAGACTATGAGAAAGAAATGTCAGAAGCTTGCTCTTGGTGGGATGCGTAGGTTATCATACAGGCTTGTTGGGCTGCAGGAAGCCTGCGAGCTCGATGCCGTGTTGTGAGTTAGGCAAAGGCTTGGAGGCAGAGTTGGGGTCAATCTTATGCCCCCCAGGCATGAAATATTGGGGACACATCCTGACCGCCCGGCAGGAATACGGTTGCGCCTTGAGACCAAAAGCGAAGAGACTCGGAAATTAGTTATCCCGAATTCCAAAGGTTTCGGGGAACCCTTTTTCCGAAGGTTCTCGGGAGATATTTGTTCCGAAGTCCGGCGAGGGAACACCAAAAGCGAAGTTCCCCCGGAAGTTAGTTACTCCGGGGTCCGGAGGTATTCGGGAGATATTTGTTCCGAGGGCCGGCCAGGGTCCCTCCGGGGACCTCCGGAGCCCGAGTACAGCCAAAGACGAAGTTCTTACGGTACGTGGTGAAGACCAAAGACGAAGCTGTACGGCGCCCCCATTGTATATGGTTAGATTGCTCCTTTTAGTTTTGTACTCTTTGCCAACAAATAAAGAAACCAATGTACAAAGATCATTGGATTTATAGCAACTCAATTTTCTAGGATATCTGGAAATATTTCTGGCGATCAAACCATTTGGCTTAGATGAGTGGTACCATAGATCAAACCTCAGCATCTAATAGACCTTGCAATCAATGTCTTGGTAAGCTAGACCAAGGCTGCCGCATGCAGCTTTATTTCTAAAAGCCTGTGTATCAATTCTATACAGATTCGCTGACAAGCAGTCAAGCAGACAAACTGGCAAACTGACAAACATCTATAGATGGAGCTCAAGGTGATTTTCATGGTGGGCAAAATGATAGCATAGCAGCCAATGGCAGATCAACAATCCAGAGCGGTCAGATCACGTCCGCAAACTCACATCGACCCAAATTCCTACCCTGACACAACGAGCTGCTCTCGGAACTAAATCGGGGACATACATTGTTCCAAGCTTTGGGAAGTTGATCGCCGTGGTCTGGTGATACTTGAAAACTTCCTCAACAACCGTCAAGCTCTCGCAACTTTGATCCTCGACCATTCCTTCCTCCCGATCCAAGCACCACTTGCACTGCGAAGCATCGCCCGAAATCAAATCAATCACAACCGTCACCATGGAAGGATCTCGCGGACCTCCCAGGGTCAAGAACAAGGCCGCTGCGCCCGTTCAGATCTCTGCGGAGCAGCTCCTCCGCGAAGCTGTTGACCGGCAAGAACCTGGCCTGGAGGCACCCACACAGCGCTTTGCCGATCTGGAAGAACTGCACGAGTATCAGGGTCGAAAGAGAAAGGATTTCGAAGACTATGTCCGACGCAATCGGATTAACATGAACAATTGGATGCGTTATGCCGCCTGGGAGTTGGAACAAAAGGAATTCCGCCGTGCGCGATCCATCTTCGAGCGTGCGCTTGATGTTGATTCGACCTCTGTGGTGCTGTGGATTCGCTACATCGAAGCTGAGATGAAGACGCGAAACATCAACCACGCCCGCAACCTCCTCGACCGTGCCGTCACGATTTTGCCCCGTGTCGATAAGCTCTGGTACAAATATGTCTACATGGAGGAGACGCTCGGAAATGTTCCCGGTACTCGCCAGGTATTCGAGCGATGGATGTCGTGGGAGCCGGAAGAGGGCGCCTGGAGCGCATACATCAAGCTAGAGAAGCGGTACAGCGAATTCGAGCGTGCGCGCGGTATCTTCCAGCGTTTCACTGTTGTTCACCCCGAGTCCCGGAACTGGATCAAATGGGCACGATTCGAGGAGGAGTACGGCACAAGTGACTTGGTCCGTGAGGTCTATGGAGCGGCCATTGAAACACTGGGAGAAGACTTCATGGATGAGAAGCTCTTTGCCTCTTACGCCAGGTTCGAGGCCAAGTTGAAGGAGTATGAGCGCGCACGCGCTATCTTCAAGTATGCCCTGGACCGCCTTCCGCGCTCCAAGTCTATGGTCCTCCACAAGGCCTACACGACGTTTGAGAAGCAGTTTGGCGATCGTGAGGGTGTGGAAGACGTGGTTTTGTCCAAGCGCAGAGTTCAATACGAGGAGCTGCTCAAGGAGAACCCTCGCAACTACGATACTTGGATTGATTTGGCTCGCCTAGAGGAACTTTCAGGCGACACAGAGCGGGTGCGTGACATTTACGAACGGGCTATCGCACAAATACCCCCCTCACAAGAAAAACGACACTGGCGTCGCTATATCTATCTATGGATCTTCTACGCCGTTTATGAAGAGATGGAAATGGAAGAGCCAGAGCGCGCTCGCCAAATCTATCAAGAATGTCTGAAAATGATTCCTCACAAAAAGTTCACATTCGCCAAAGTCTGGCTCATGAAGGCACGATTTGAAATTCGACAAATGGAGCTTCAGGCTGCACGGAAAACATTGGGCATCGCAATTGGAATGTGTCCGAAAGACAAACTCTTCCGTTGCTATATCGAACTGGAACAACAATTGCTCGAGTTCACACGCTGCCGAACTTTGTTCGAGAAACAGCTAGAATGGAACCCCGCCAGCGCCCAGGCTTGGCTCAGATTCGCACAGCTGGAGCGTGATCTGGGTGACTTTGACCGAACCAGAGCCATCTACGAGCTTGGCATCGAACAGCCAGTCATCGATATGCCCGAGCTTCTCTGGAAAGCTTATATCCAATTCGAAGAAGAAGAATACAATTACACTGCTGTCAGAACCTTGTACGAGCGACTCCTCGAGAAGGCCGACAACATCAAGGTGTGGATTGGATATGCCAGATTCGAGATGGCTGTTCCGGCAGAGCAAGAGGGAGCACAGGACGACGCAGCAGCGCCCCGCTTCTCGGAGGATTCAGCCATTAAAGCCCGTGCGATCTTCTCCCGGGCCGAGAAGCACTTCAAGGAAAGAAGTCGAACCAAGGAGGTATGTCTATTCAAAATTCCATCTTTGACTATCCAGGACAACGCTAACAAACTCACAGCGAGTCGATATTCTTACCACATGGTACAACTTCGAAAAACAACGCGGCTCTCCCGAAGAAATCGAAAATATCAAGAAACAGCTTCCCCGCCGCATCAAGAAGCGTCGCAAGCTGGACGACGACACATACGAGGAGTACTACGACTTCATATTCCCCTCAGACGACAAACAAGCAGCCAACCTCTCCAAGCTGCTGCAAAAGGCACAACAATGGAAGCAGGCTCAGTCCTAGATGGTGGCCTCGTTCACATCCTGTCTCACGGCGCCTTTGCGATGAGGCAGACTTTCTCATGTGCTATAGTAATCAGAGCAAAATACTATTTGTCTCTCTCATCCATGGATGTTGGGTGGTCTGTATCACCGAGTCATTCGATCAATATAGTGCCACCTACTTAAGTACTCAAGTGAGTATTTAATTTGTACTTAAGTAATGCCGGTGTGGTCTGCACATTTATGCCGTGCATGGTTTCTAGTTACACCGATGCTCGGCAATCTCCTTGATCCTGCTGTGCAAAATGACGTGCATCGTCGATTCCGACCACAAACTGGGCAGCGTAGTATCTTTTTTCGGTTTGTTGGCTGAGGTTGAAATTGTAGCTTTCAACTGAGTACGGCAGTTCAAATGCTCTTGGTGTGCTGTTTATTTCTATTTTTATTTTGCGTAAGTACTTAGGTATGGTTTGATTTTGTGAAGATTACCAAGGTTCGAAACTGGAGTTGAAGCCCTGGAGGTTTTGGTCGCACTTGAGTAGGTATATATCTTGAAATCTTTCACAGGCACCAAAATAGATGGTGAGACAACCTCGGAAGCTTCCCATGGTCCGTCCATATCCCGAAAAGCAGCTGAGACATGTAGCTAAGGTCTAGACCACAAACGTGTTAGAAATTCCAAGATCTGACCATAATTGAAATCGAGAATGGTGTAACAATGGCGGAACCACGATCTAGGCCGTGTGTACACAGACCAAAAGGGTGTCGCCAACTGCATAAAAGAAATACAACTTTAGAACATCTCAAGGGAACCCGACCCTCTTCAAATGATCAAAAATAGAATATTGGCATTCCTAAGTGCCGTTCCAAATTTTTCAGGGTAGTTTGACACATTCTTCGCATCGGATCTAAGATTAGCTTTGCACCTTGTCGTCACAGCCATGAGGCCGCTCCCGAGGCCACGCGGATATATTCCTGGGGTGTTGCAAGGCCCGACAGTTGAGAACAACACATGTGCTCAAGCAACTTTAGAAAGACAATGACTGGATTGATGAATGAAGACCTTTAGAAAGGGGAATAGAAAGGGGAACAATCAATTCCAACCAATACTACAGACTTCCTAAAGTTTTAATTGATGTCCCTCCTCAGTCTTGCCATAGACCCTGACAAAGGCTTTGTCGAGGTCGCGCCAATTGACACTTTCAAATGGAATAGATTAAAGGTCATTGATGAGTAGTAATAGCTAAAGAAGGTCAAGCCCTGGAGGCTTTAAAGGGCTTATTATGGAACAATGATAACGACACAAAGACTCGATGCCGTTGACATCGGATTCGAGGTATATAAGAGCCTTGACTCGTCCACCACAGTTTGATCTTCAGAATTCCACACACTAGCAAACCACAAACATCTTTACCACCATCACTACACTCATCTTCCAAGATTCACAAACACCATTACAACTTCAAGACAAACCACCATACCAAGAACATCATGGGCAACAACGTCGTTCCTATGAACCCCGAAGACGACAATGTCTGTGATAATTGCGGGTTGAACATGTTCGGCAGCGGTACTACTTGTATGTGCTGAGGGTTGAAGAGACAGATAGATTAGAGCCTCGAGATTAGACTTCGGTTGACATGCGAAGTACGGAGTATAGAAAATCAATTGAGAGTGTTCAGATCTAGATCTACTTAATACTTGTATATCCTACAGTTGTAGCCCGTAGAGATGACGAGAAGCCCAAATTTGGCCAAGCACGAGCCATGTGTGACATCAGTACCATGGTTGAGTCTGCTCTCAACCATGGGTGTGACTGGAAAAGGGGCGGTTGGGTTTGCACTTCCAGGGTTGACGGGGGTTTTCCCCTGGGAGAATCCTGGGGGAACCCTGGGAGTTATAACCTTGGAGTATACGCCCGCGCGTGTTTATTATTATTTACCGTTGCACTGTACTCCCACTCCTTGCAGTTGTTTCGCAAAGAAGGATTCAAGTGTCAGTGGAACAGGGGAGTGAGAGGGCCGAGAGGGTCCACTCCCGAGATCCTCAAGGACAAACGGTTCTCAGATTGAGGCGCGATCCAACGAACAAAATGAAGCGGAACGGGCCAAATTAAACCGTTCAGATATAGGGAGTAGCGTTCTTGAAGTAAATTAAACCAATCAAAGGGAAAAAAAAGGGCCAGAGGCGAAGTGACGAAATGATTCCCCTTCAGGGATGGCGTCCTTTTAGCATCCGCCCACACCACTCCGTTAGGGGGTTGACCTCTTCTCCCTGTCTCACTGTCCCTCTCTTTGCTCCTCCGTGCTGTGCACTCGTTCGATAGCCGGTCCTACTGCCATCCTTTCGTTTTACCAACCTCGTTCCTTCGCCTCTCTTTTTTTTGTTGTTTTTGCTTTTTTCCCTCTTTCAATTCCGATACCTTAGGTCCCGACTGGATCGCCCAGCCTCAGGATTTTCTCTGTGATTACTGTTTCTCAACATACACGCGTGTTTCGATCTCATTGTTGTGACCATTTCAAGTGTGGTCGTGAATCGCCGAGTCATCCGATACGCGATCCACCACCCCGCCTAACATCCTGCAACATTGCGCCGAAATTCTTCGGGAAAGGCCGCTTGGTTTGCCACTGTTGCGCGCTCAATCCGAATCAGTGGACAGTCGATTGACACCTTTTCGCCTTGCCGTTTAGCCTCGGCCGATATGAGATAGTGCTCTGGCAGTAAACCGAATCACGACAAAGGGTACTCGACTCCCTCGCTGGCTGGCCACCGCTGCACACTCGATACCTTGCACAAACATTTCCAACATTCAATATGACTGGCCCCAAACCCCCAATTGAGATCAAGGGCGATTGCTCTACGATCTACAGCGACACACTCTACGTCTACTCACCTGACGGTTCACCCAGTGGCTTCGCCTCAATACCACTCCGTGAAAACGGCACTTGGACCACATTGCCGAAACCAGAATATGCAGTCTCGGGCGCTGCTTGCATCAAAGGCAAGACCTCTGGCAGCAAAGACGAAGTATTCTATCTGGTCGGCGGGACCGGCCCTTCTGGGAACAGCGGCCTCCAACGGTTCTCCTTCAGCAGCAAGAAGTGGGAGACCTTGCCCATGACTTCAGCGGAAATGAAGAATCGCGTTGGACATGGCGCTGGATTCTTATCTTCGACCTCGGACATCGTGGTTTACGCAGGAAACACAGATGGCAGCAAAGTCGCTTCCCAATCCTCATACGTTGTCTCGACTTCCACATACGATGTTTCATCCGGTGCTGCCATGGGCACACCTCCCCTCTATAATCCTATCATCTTGCCTTGGAGTGATTCCCAAGTCGCTATGATCGGAGGCTCTACAACTAACACTGCCATCTACCTCTACAACACCACGGGTTGGACTCTCTCAGAGGCAACTCTTCCATCTGCACTCGACGACTCATCTCGATGTGCGCTTGTCTCGGAGGATGATGATACGGTACTTGAAGTCTTCAAGATGGATTCTTCGCCAAACAGCGTGACCAGCTACCTCCTCAAATCAAAGGGAAAGCTGCAAACCCCGGCCACCACCATTGGCTCCGCGGACAAGAGAAGTATCACCGACTCTTACAACAGCACCTTTGCACCCAAGACCTCTTGGTCAGATTATGCCCTTGCGCAAGGTAATGGCATGGTTGTTCTCTCGAGTGGCCATAACAACGACTCCTTGGCGGTTTACAACTCGACCTCCAATGGCTGGGCCAACTCCACGGCGCTGTTCTATGGAAGTGGTGACCAGACCTCACTAAAGCCATCCACCACTTCTTCCTTCACCACATCATCTACCCCGACATCCACTTCATCAACCTCGACCTCCGCCTCAACCACACCAACTTCTACATCCACGTCCGCACCTGGGGCCGGTGGTCTCAGCAGCCATGGCAAGACCATTCTCGGCGCGACCCTTGGAAGTGTTCTTGGATTTGGTGTCATTCTACTTCTTATCCTCCTTCTACTCCGCGGCAAGAAGGATAAGAAGGCTGCGGCTGCGCATGCCGGCTCTGGCGGCGACAGCAAGAGTCGCCTCAGCTTCCAAGATCAGGGCATAGAACCCCTGACCGAGGGGGCCTACCCAATGGCCAGGTCCCCCGTCCCTCTCGCCGCCGCTGCAGCCTCGAACGACTCCCTCGCCATCGTGACCGGCCAATACAACGGAGAGAAATCTCTCAAGCCACCCGGTGCAACAGGATACGGCTTGGCTGGAGGCAAGAGTAGTCCATTGTCCACCATTCCTTCAAGCGGTGCCATGGGCGCATCAAGTGTCTACACTGATGACACCGATCGCGCCGGCGATTCTACCGGACACGTCAACCAGCCGGGAGACCGAACAACCGACGAAGGATGGGGCAAGTACTTTGAAGAGGGCGGCAACATGCCATCGGATCGCTCAACCATGAGCTCCATCTACACCAAGTCCGACTACCGTGGCAGCGGATGGCCAATGGCCAACATGGCCCCACTGAACTTCGGATTCCTCGACCAACCCAAGCCCCTGGGCCAAGTGACGACCGGCAGTCCCACGACCGAAGTCAGCTCATCCGAGATGGGTAGCCGAAGCCTAGTCATTCCCGAAGGTCAATCCGCACGCATCTCCAGCGCCGACTCTATCAGCGTCGTATCCGAAGACGACCGCGATGACCCGCACTGGCAAAACGCCGCCCACAGCAGCTGGCTGGGTCGTCCCTCAAGCAGCAACTACAGCGCCAGCTTCTACAACCCCAGCTCTCGTGACCTTGCAGGCATGTCGTCCAACACGCTCGATGACAAAGCACGACAATCGCGTCGGAGATCCAGTGTTCTCATCCCTGAAAACATCGACGAACACCCACAAGGACAGAGCAATCTCAACTCAGATATGAGCTGGCTCAATCTCAAAGCTGAACGATGATCTATTCCCGTCTTTCCCGTTTTCATACCACTGTTCTTCCGCTTGTCTATTCCCGGCGTCTTGCAAAAGTTCCGCATCTGAACTGCGTTCTCTGCGTTGCATCCCCTGTGTGTAGCGATTCATTAGCGTCCCACGGGGTCTTGTTGTTCTAATTTCGCCCTTTGGCGTTGTACATATTCCATCAGTACGAGTAACTTATTTCGAAAGGCTCATTTACATTCCATTACCATTAGGCTCTTTATTATAGGCTGTAAGCAATAAGCAATAAGCTACATAACCACCTCAGTACAGTTTCGCCAAAAAGGAATTCCTCTTCGAAACCTTCCGGAACTCATCAACCATCGGACTCACCATACCCTCACTCATATATTCAGATCCCCTCCCAAGCAAAGGTTTTTCCTCCTCCTTAGTCCCAATATAATAATGCTCATCATTCTCCTCCATACCAATAAACCAGCGATCCTTCAACTGCGTCCCAAAAGGCCCACACCCACAAGCCCCCGCCAACCGCGAACTCTGCGGACTATTCACAGCCAACGCAAACAGGTTCTGCGGCTCCGTGAAATCAGTCACCTGGCGTCCACGCGCCTCAACAATCATAAACCCCAAACAAATAGCACTCGTCACGAAAGCAAATACCAAAATCACATAAAACATCCTCTGCCATTTCTCCGTTCCACCAGAGGCATAACTAACTGCCTGCAGCGTTGCAGGGAACGACTGATACACCGGCTCAGGCAGTATGTCGTCCTTATATGTCCAGTTATGATGGAATGGCCCATCCTCTGAACCAAGTATCAGAGTACTCCCCGCCATGACGGCCAGAGCTTCGGCCATGCTGGGCATTTTCGGATCAAGCGAGTAGGTTCCGTTATACTTCGGTAGCATCTGCATCAATAACCGGGCATTGCTGGCTGCGCCATCGGTGATTCCAGCACCGAGACTAACGGCACTCGCCCATTCATAAGCGACGTTCTTCCAGTCTGAGTTCCATTCTCCTTCTATGAAATCCGGTCGTTGTCGACTGTACTGCAAGTCGTTGTTGGGATCATTGCACCTCGTCGTCAGTTTTGCGCCACTGGCTTCAGCGTGGTATTCTGTTGAACAGTAGCCTGTTTGTTTGGCCTTGAGGGAGCATAGTACGTATTCCGGTGTGGTGTTTTTTGGCGTTGCACCTAGTACGTAGATTGATTTTTGCTTGAAGGGTTCAGTGACTGGCTCGTTGATATTTTGCACTGTCACGTTGATGATTGTGTTGTAAGGTTCTGGGAGTTTGCCGAAGGTGGGTGGGTATTGGCCATTTTTGGGGCCGAAATGGAAGATATCATCGACCTTGGTCCTGTTTAGGAAGGTTGGGGGAACTTCTTTTTCTGCCGCTAGATTCCAGGTTGATGCGTTGAATTTTTTGGAGCCTTCTGGCCACAGGTTGTAGATCATTGGCTCTAGTTCTTTTGGGGTCATCCCTGCGCAGAGAACATTGAGGGCTGGAGAGGGGACGGATGCTTTGATGTCATATTTCCCTTCTCCGGTGGCGGCTCCTGGCTGTTTGATGTTGTTGGTTTTATCCATGGCTGCACGAGGAATCCCACCGTGTGGCATGGCTATTGTCACGTTGATCATCATCCTGCCGTGCTTCTCTGATAGACTGGTGACATTTTGAATATCAATCCAGTCCCCTATCACAGTTGTGTTGTCCCAGATGGAGCCCAGAGGCTTGGGCCGGTCTTTTAAATCACAAGATGTCTCGTTGTGGCTGTCGACCAATTCCGTCCATTGGGTAACCCACTTCAGGTAGTTGGGGTAAGCATGCCCGACCTCTTTGATTTGTTGGCAGGTAGTATTCCGTTCTATTGGATCCATTTCCAGGGTGACGGGTATTTTGCAGGTCTCGTGAAAATAATACGGCCAGGAAAACCTGGCAAATACCTTCCCCTGTAGCTCTGTTGATTTCACATTGCCCAAAGAGAGCTTTGGAGTGACTATAAGGTTGTTATAGTTAGCACTAATTCGCTTTTCCCGCGAATGGGGTTCGACATACCTAACATCGTAGCCGCAGTTGTGTATAACATGGCAACGAAGGTCGCAACCAATGCGATGGCGCCGAGAAAAGTCAAAGCTGAATACCGCAATGTCTCCCAATGCACAATGATAGAGCCCGGCTGCATGATCCATGCTCTCATACTCATATCAGAGATGCTGATTCCACGAGACCCCGTCATCAGCGCCCGGCGACTGAGCACCTGACCCAAGAAAGCCACGCAAATCGTAACATAGGAAAGCTCGATAGACTTTGCAAAGCCAGCACTCAGCAGTTCCGCCCTGGAGGGGTCTAATGGTCCGTCGCTGGAGATTCTGTCCCATCGGGGCTTCGCCAATGCAATGCCTAGAAAAATGCCAGAAAAAACGGTCGCATAGACTGCGAGAACGAAGATCGTCAAGGGAATCCATGACAGTCGTTTCTGGAGGACTGTCCCTTGATTGGCGCAGCGTACATGTGGAGAATGGGGAGTCTGCGGGGTTTTGGGGTTTTGGGTGTCGCTGTCAATTGATCTGCGTGGGTTTGAATCATGTTTGGGGATGGTTTCGCCTTGTGGATTTGAGATCCCCAGGCCTATATCATGTAGGGCACTTTCGTTCCAGCTGTCGTGTGCTGAGTGGTATTGGTAGGGTTCGGGAGATGAGCCGAGGGGAGTCCAGGCCCGTTGCCTGTGCCTGAAGTCGGACAATGGGTGAGACTCCATTGTTTGAAGAAAAAAAGTCTCTTTTAATGTACGAGCTCTCAAGGATATTTCAGGACAGAAATAGAATAAGAATAAAGTGATCGTCGGTCAGACTTGGGGCTGAGGGTTGGGGGCCAATTTGATGGGATTATTGTATTTCAGACCAGGAGAAAACAGGCTATATGTAGGATTTAGGCATCTCAACAAGCATGATAGGGCTGGACTGTTGTCTTCGTAAAGGCTTGAGGCTCCGCGCGTTCAAAAATATTGCCGCTACCAGCGGTTCATGCATGATGATGACCAGGACTCAACAGAGTAATCAGAACAGCAGATGAGTCGGGCACCTCGACCCTCAGCACACCATGCTTGATCCTAGTCGTCTCTTCCGACCGCACTCGGACCGGCTTGCCTTCGTCGAGTGCATGATCATACGAAATGCCACCAAAAGTGATATTCCCCACTGCGTCGCTGCCAGGACCAATGAGACGGTCGATTCGGGCGCTTTGATACGCAGGCAGTGTGAACTCATATTTCCTGATCGGGCGGTTGATAGTCGTTTGGTTGAAGGCCCGCATGTTGGTGATCACCAGTTTGGACAACTGTGTGCCGTTGTAAATGGCATATGCGGACTCGGTGTCGTCTGCGAGCGGGATGTTAACAATGCGGGAGTGGGGGTCTTCGATGGCGTGGGCGACCATGATCTGGCCGTAGTAAAGGGGCCTCGTAGTGGGAGGGACGTCTTGGATGCCTATTGGCTGCCAGGATGCATATCGATAGTTTAGGCCTTGGTGGAAATGCAGGCGCTTCATACCCTGCAATATGTAAGCACCTGGGTGAAGGTAAACGTCGATGAATCATACATGTTCAGCTGCCCAGAGAGAGAAGTCCACCAGCCATAATGCATCGCCGAATACGTTGGTTGCTCCGTTCCGGCCTTGGTTGGCAATCGAGTTGAGCTCGCCCAGGGTATACGGGAGGCCAAGATAGGCGAGGTTGTCTGCACGCTGGATCTGCTGCTGGAGATTTTGGACAATGCTTGTGTGGTTCATGAGAGTTCCTGCGATGGTTAGTAGAGCCCAAGAAATGCCAAGAGCCGTAGCCTTACGCTGGAGATCGAACGGTGCAGGGAGCTGCGGCGGGGAATTGACACCCATGTAACTATTAAAATCTAATATTAGCACAGAACGCTCCAGCGATTGAAGGAGAGATGGAGCGACAAACTTGTGGAAGCAAAGCTCTCGGGTCAAATTATTTTCATCATAACCGAGGCTGTACAGCTCCTCGCCCGTCCAGGTGGTGTTGACAATGTTGTCAAGCAACACCAGACTGGGTGCCATGAAACCAGGGAATGAACCAGGACAGGCTTTATCCGCTGCAGTCTTCACAATCTCCGACTTCAAGTTCCACTCATTAGCATAGTCGAGGAGCGAGTAGTTGGAGGCGCGATATTTCCCAGGAGCAAAGTTGAACTCATTACCCAACTCGAAGAGATGGAGCTGAGGCCCAAGGGCCGTACAAGCATCCATAGCAGACATCTCAAGCTGCTCCACCGAGGTATTCTGATTCATGTTCAGTCCATGCAAGTACTTGATCTCGCCCAGTGTGTGATATGATTCAAAAAACGCCGGACCATAGTTAATCTGGATAGGCTGATCGTCACCGGGATTCTGGTAAACAAGATCAATGTTGGATTCTTGCTCGGGATAGTAAGTTGCATGATCCCTAGTCGATTCTTGTTAGTATCCCGAGACAGACAAATGACGAGGCTTGCTCACTGAGAAGTTCCTCCAACCCGTACTTTCGGCGCAACTCCTGTGATTGACTTGAAATTGTGAAGCAGATTCTTGGTAAAGTGGTTTGGGTGAGACTTGTTTCCTGCATAATCAGGGAAAAATGCAAACTCGATCGAGATGGATTGGAAGTCGTGCGGTATTGTGTGGCTGTCTTTTGGTATGGGTGGAATATTAAGTTGGTGCTGGCACCTCCCGGATTCAAAGAAAACGGCGACGGCTAAGAGCTTGGATTTGGTGAGAAGCATGATGAGCCCAATGGAATATGATGTGATTCTAAAGTTGAAATGTCTTGTCCAAGTGTGAGGAAAAAACCACTGGTTTCGTTGTATATATAGCCATCAGGACCACGGCTATCGCTGATCTCGGCATTTGACCATAAAATAGGAGAGGCAACGCAATCGAGTCAAGGCTCTACTTGGGTACATACCCACCATGCTTCTAAGCTCGAACTCTATTCACCTACCGTAGAGGTTCATTCCAACCTCGAGGTTGGCACCAGTCGCTGTGGGTTGCTTTGGGCATTCTGCACAGAGATGAGGTTCTCGTTCATTCACGATATTCATGATGAAGCCCCGAGTAAAGTGAAGTTGTTCCCTCGAATCGATAGACGAAAAGGCACGAATATGAGAGACCGTCTCAAAAATGCCGTCATTCAAGGGATGGCAATGTCCAACCCACCGCAACCCCGGAATATGGCCCACATCCCCCACAAATCTCCACACTCTGCCCTTCAGCCACCGGATTGTTGGAAAATGAACCACGATTCTGCGGGGTTCATCAGGCTAGATATTCGCGGGGAAGTAAGTCGAATTGCGTTGGGTTACTGCGCAGGGCAAACTTGGTAGTAAGCCGCGAACTCACTTGCAGGAGGGCAACGAGAGAAGTCTGTACATTCAAGTCATTTGTATGTCAGTAAAAGAGAAACAGTGACTGGAATCAAATTGTAAGATCCTGTTGAGTAATCTCTGATATGACCACACGTGAAAGAGATGGCAAAGACTGGCACAAGGCTTGAATGACCGAGCAAAGAGCTATAGCCGGCAGATCGACAACTCCGGAAGACTCGTGCGCCTACATCCGGGATGAAAATCACAGTTGACCCATCGAATGAGCCATGATGAGCCATGATGAGCCATGATGAGCCATGATGAGCCTCAAAAGTGCGTTTCACGATCAGTAAAGCCCTGTGGTGTCATCGTTTTCAAATCTGGGTACTTTCCAATTCTGTCTCACGTCGTCGGTGGCACCCGAAAAGGAGCGAAACCTGATAAGCTCGTTGTCTGTAACAAGCTGGTGTGTCACGAGTCGCTGGACGGTCATGAAATATGGTTGTTGGGTCAGTTTCGGAGTAGCGAGCACGGTGTACTTGACGTAGTCCGTAAAGGCCGTGAGGTAGGGATGAAAGGAGGCCTTGAACTGGGGAGGATTCCGCAGGGTTGTCAATACGGTTGTCAGTTCTGTCTCGAAGAAGCTTTGTGGGACGATTCTCGTCGGACGAATAGTGCTCGTATCGGTCTTGGATGTGGTCACTAGAGGGCATCTGCATCAGTCGTGATGCGTAAGCATCTTTTCTCAAGGGAAATGGCTCAGCAGATGACCGGGGTCAGTCACGGATTGCCTGAAAGTGTGCCTAGTGATGCCACCATAGTTGTCAGCTTGCAGGCTGACTGTGTATGAGTATGAGCACCGAGATTTGAAGGTTTTGATGTTTGACAGTGGCAGGCCTATGTCGGCTGAGCGAGAGGCAAGAGCTCTCAACTGTTCTTACGGTGAGCTGTAACCACCATAGATACCGAGAGCCCAAAAAGGCATGAGCACCAGAAAGAGTTTTCAAGTTCATCTCATCACACATGTGTGCAGCGTGAGCACAGCACTGGTGCCCCGGGGGCAATGCCAGCAGCCCCCGACGGGAATCCCACAATCTGAATATCCGCATTTCCACTTCGACTGTGTTTATTCAACTCCGCCATTCTGGCTATCCGGCAATTCGGATCGTAAAAATCTGATAAGTCCTAGTATCAGACCCCTCATCGAAGGCATCAAATTTCACGTAACAACAACACGATAGCCGCCGTCGAACATGACCCTCCCCACTGCGTATGCAGGGGTCAACCTATCCAACAACAAGGTAATTTCCCAGTCACTTGGCAGCCTAGTATAGACACGACGACTGAATGGAGCACAAGAGTTCATCCACCAGCATGACGTCTCCGCTTACGCAGCCCGGATAGTTCAGACCACGCTAGTAAGCTGTTTGGAAGTCGAAGCAACTCCGTAGGAGACGAGAAGGTTTTCGTTTTCGTTAAAAATAACACAAAGCAAAATCGAAAAAAAAAAAAACTGATATGTATTGAAGTCATTATGCAGTGCATACAAGATGTCTAAGCCACAGCTTGTCAGAGTCCACCCTGCACGGGTACGAATGCACTCTCGTCAGCCATCCGCCACTATTTCGCACTCCACTCCCCACAACGCAGGTCGAACCCTTTTCTAGTAAAGTGAAAGATAATATCCTACTAGTAGTTGGATAATGGAGTTTATTCGTACCCTCCACGTCAGTCGAGAAATGTTTATTTCGGTCCGGTTCCCGGGTTCGATCTAGTTTAAATTACAATAATCCACTCCCGGATCCGAACATAACCACCTATTCAGGCGAGGTCGGCTAGGTGAACTTTGATTAATGGGTATTTTGGTCGTTAGATCGATTGATACGAGTAGTACATTGCCAGCTTTGGAGCATTACACTAATCTTGATCCGTCTTATGCATCGAGGTCTACGAGTACTTTTTCATTTCCATCGTAGGAAGGGTCTGAATTCGGGGTTCACTTTCCTGGAACCAAAGAGGGATCTGTGAAAGTTGCAGCCTAGATTACTCCCAAGCTTGTGGGGTAGTTGGGCTAATTCTTTCTTGACTGCAGAATGATGCATAACAGGCTGGAAAGCGATTTGTGTGCTTTGGTTGGACCCCGATCGATCGAATGGGATTTACGCATATCTCCGTACTCCGGACCCCGGACAAGGAGGTTGCTAGAAGCAAACATTCCATGCCAATCTAGACCTAGAATATCCAGGAGGTTCGAAGCTACAATGGTTGAACTGTGTGAATAGAATAAGCAACTTTAGAAAGAGCGTAAGAATTTTCATGTAAATGAATTTCACAATGGGAAATTTGAATGATAAGCGCGATTACCCCGCTATATCGACCACTTGATAGTTAACAAATGAGCTATGCGTATATGCACAAAGAGCGTGCCACGGCATCCGAAGAGCAAATGTGGATTGGTAGGCCCTTGACTCTTCCAGGGCTACTGTTCGTGTCTCGATAAAAGATTAGGATTGGGAAACTGCCCGACAGCACGTCATGAGGTAGTATTCCCAAGCAATCAGTAAGAATGGCTAATTCAGCAATTGCGCCGTATCTTTGGTCAGTCATGCATTAGACCCTTCCGGACCCCATGGAGATAGTTGTCAATAGGAACCTTAGAAACGGGAGCCCCTTTTATGGTAGATTGTCATGCAAACTATAAGGAGTACAATGCCTTGATTACCGTCCCAGGCCAGAAAGGGCTATTTTGCTGTTCCCCGGCACAGGGATGATGTATTATGTACTCCGTATCGCATGATTCATTGCACATGTGGGGATCTAGATTGAGGTGTTGATTCAATCGAAAGGCATTTAATGCACTGGTGATCCCTACTTTTTGGCATAAGCAATGAAATTGCATTGGAGTGTTCTCGGCATCCAAATCCGAGTGCAACATAGCTTATGATGGGAGTACAAGGAATACAAGGAGTATGGAGTATACGAGTACGGGCAAGGGCGGTGAAAGGAGCCCGACGTCGGAGGCGGTGCCAGCAACTCCGCTTTGTCATCAGACACTAAACCCGCGAAACAGTGGGTGTCAAGCATTTCAGTTAGCCGTAATTGTCAGCTATACGGGGTACTCGTAAAGGACTTCAGGAGAGAGTTGTGGTACGATCTTGGGAATTTGAAGTGTGTTCCAAGGTTACGAGTATGGCATATCCCGAGATAGAAGTCGCCCCGTATTATCAAGTGCTCGAAATAGATGAAAGATCAATAGCACGAAAGCCACAGCTTAGCGTGGTACAGAATACTGAAGCGAGGTTCCCACTCCACCTCTCCTATCAGCGCTCGGAGAAAAGCATGATGACCGCAGCCGGATCGTCTCTATGTCTAAGCAATGCGGAGGCAGATTACAAACTAGTGAGAGTGATGCGATTCTAGAAAGCCAGGCAGCAGTTTGATGCACTATGGGGCTGTGGCTGTGTGCAGTTTACAGATACATACTGGATACAGTGAACGAGTAGAATTGTACTGTGTACCTAATCTTGTGCGGGGACTGAGAGTGGGGAGAAACTGGTTTTTCCCATCGGTGTCGGATATAAAACTTCCGATCGGGGGCCATCGAGAGATCAAATTGGGGTCCGAATTAAACGGATCAATGGCGGCTTTGGATTTAGAGTCTCAAGACTATACGCTTCAAATAGGGTGATCTTAAGCCACGTATTGAGCAGGGCCGCGTGGGCGAAAAAAAAAAAAAAAAGTGGCGGGTGCAGTTAAGTCAAGGGCTCCATTGCCGCTAACCGGGATGGGGTTCTAGGGCGAAGCTATACAAAGTCGACGCTCGGACTAGTCTTATCTCAGTAAGCGGGAGAAGCCTGGCCACGAGTCCCTGCGTCCCAGGGTAAGAATTCATGCACATTGAAAAGTAAAGAAGGGTCTTTTTTCAGGCACGTAAGACATCGGAACAAGTCAAGCTTGTGGCGTAAGCTCGGAGAGTGGACTGGACTTAAAACACTATTTCGCTAGTAAAGCCACGAGGACTCGTCTAAGCACTCCGTACTCAGGATTCCGACTCAAGCAGGACTAGACAGCTCGGACTACCGTGGATATACGTAGGCCGCATACGTATGCCCGGTGCAGCATCGATGACAGGCAAATCACCGCTCGGCTGGAAAAACCCCAAACGGTCCGCGTCCTCAACCCACGAACTATATTCCCAGAAAGTGAGTTCCAGATCGGAGGATTGAAGCTTGGCTTGATCGACCTGTCTTTAACGTCTCTGTGCAGAATATGGCATGTGCATGATCTCGGAAGGGTAGACCGTGGCAGTCATTCTCGTACTGCGTACTCCGTATAGTCTACAATATCATCAAGACACGGCATACACAATTACTTATCTAGTGTTTGTTTCCAACTTTCTATCTTGAAATACTCCGTACCTATTGGAATATTATCTTACAGAGCGCATAAAGAAGCATCCGTACGTCGCCATCTTACGTATGTACGGCGGGAGCTGTTCTGGGGAGCGGGGCGGGCGCTGGACGCGTACGAGTACGAAGGCACGGGCCAGTCCCTTTCCCCCTCCCTTTGGAGCCCTAAATGTCATCTTGACGCAGTTTGAGACGTGTTGACAGACGATCCCAGCAGATTAGGTTATCTTTAGAATTATTGTATGAAGTTCATGATCTATGTAAATGATGAAAATATCTGGGCTTAGCGAAAAAAATAATCCGAGCCCGAACCCTCGGCGTAGATTACCCTTAATGAGCCTCTCAAAACCGAGATTCTCACCCGCGCAAATTCTTTTTGTGTCTGACTTCCCAGGGCTGGACCTTTGTATCTTCCTATCTGGAATTAATACCAATTTCATTTTTTCCCAATTTCAACTTCCCGTTTATCATAGGGCGAGATAGCCTAAGCCTAGAAAGGCAACTAAGAACAACGCTAATAAATCAAACATGATCCAACCAGAATGGAGAATCCATAATTGGTGATCCAACATTGAAGATCCAGAATTGAGAGAAAAAAAAATCCAAGGAAAATCAGCAAGCCTTTGGAATTCCCGAGCCGGAAGTTAGTTCCCAAACAGGCCAAGTCTCCAACATCATCACTTACGTATGTCGCAGGGCTTCGGATGTAGAGAGGTTTGGAACGCATCTTGGGGGTACGGAGTTACTGTGCATGTTTCTATTGAGGTCTGTACGGAATATGACTCTGCCGGTATGCGAGGGCTGCAATCTACGGCAGAGTTGGCAGAATGCGTGGCGAGCTGATTTTTCCGCTCTCTAGATTAAGAAAGATCTGTACCTGAGTTACAAGTCGTAGTCTAATTGTCCTCATGGCCTTCCAGGGTCCAATGGTCTCATGATTGTCCGCGGTTCTGCCGAAAAGGTGGATCTTTTCTGTTTTCGCTTGACCCAACCGAAGCCCTAGTCCGAATGGTAAGCCCTCGGAGTTAAGGCATCGGTCCTCTCGACACGAAATAGATTGTAAAAGAATAAAAATAGTCAATAGTAAAATCAAGAATAGTTTGAGGAGGGGGGGCGCAAAAGTATGGCGTATACCAAAGGGCAGAAACGAGTCAAAACAGGTCTAAGAAAGCTAGAGAACGATCTTCTCAGGGTCGCGGGCCGGAAGAAACGGAGAAGTAAACGGGTCTGCACAGGGTGGATTAGGGGTCTGCGTATTATTGTGGTTTTTATATTACATGGCACCTTTTTTTTAATTTGATTTTAGATATCCTTTTTTCGATTTTCTCCTACTCCACTACGCTAACGTAGCGTGTTCGGTATCGTGTCTTCTGGGGAGCCTCGACAGACCCTGGAGCTTGGCTTCTTTCGCATTTTAAGTATAATAACTTTAGTTGCGCCTTGTTCGGCTTGTCATCATTTTTCTCTCCCCTTCACTTCTTGAGTTGTATTCTATACCTATTGATTGATCTCCACCTATCATTTCTCATATCGCTCTCCGACTCTCTCACTTTCACGCCTATTTCATCATTCTCATCATTCCCAAAGCGTAGAGCGCTTGGAGCCAGATCCTCATAGCATCTTCGTTGAAAGAGCAGTTGTTTTTTACACGGTTAGACAACCGGCGTTGGCCTTCGACCTCCTGCAACATCCCCAGCCCAGTTTGCAACTGCCGTTAAGGATTGTGTCCCCCCACATCCAATTGCAAAATTAGAAAAGCCGAAAGAAATTCAGCAGAAAGCAGTTGGGTCTCGGAAGAAACCCCGCCGTTGCGTGAAGAGGCGATTTGTCAGACCCCAGCTCGATCTCCGAAAGTAAAGATCCAATCGTCTGTGATATACTCCCCGTTTCGGTCCCTACCGTCACCTGAGAGGAACATACGGAGCGCGGCACAGGCTCGAGTCATCAGGCATCTGTTGAGGCCCACAGGCGAAGTGCAGATTTAGGGTCTAATGTTGTCGACTTGTTACACGACGCAGAGGACAAACATCTTTCGAGAGCCGCTGGTGCGTTTGCCGTGTCCCCCAGGGTGGCAAGCAGGGAGCAAGATACTCTTTCTCTCTTTTCTTGCCCTCCTCACTTTCCTTCCCTCGTCTCAGCCCGGCCATATCTCCAGTTCCCACGAACAAACAGAGTCCCCCGGCTGAGACGGCTGCTAGCACCTCCAGAACTGACGTGTATTCTGCCATTTAGTATAGTTTTCCAGCCCCGGTGACGACACATCGGGGCATTGAGGAGATGTCCAGCTGCAGGACGGGTATTGTGTCCATTCTCAATAATGACGACAATCCATCTTTCGCGGTTCGCTCCGCACCCCGACTCACTCGGACTCAAACTTCGCCATCTTATCACCCACATCACTCACAGCTGCCCCCGCCCGAGTACACCCGGCCCCATGCTTCATCCGAATCTCCAGCTGCATCACCTCGAGGCACCAGACACCCGTTCGAGCCGGTAACTGAAGCCGTACAGCCTGTTTCGCCGGGTTCATCCAATGGTTCGGCCTACGATTATATCACTAGCCAACCGTCAGGTTATCACCCATACGCCCGGCAGGATCCGCGACAAGAGCCCTACAGATTTCCAGCTCGCGGTCCCGCACCTCCCAGGACTCCCCCGGAGGCACGGTCAACCTCTGAAACGACCCAACCTGGTCCCCGCGGCACGGGTAGAAAGAACAAGTACCCGTGTCCTTACGCAGCCAGTCACGGCTGCTCAGCGACATTCACGACCTCCGGCCATGCGGCACGTCATGGCAAGAAGCACACTGGTGAAAAGAGTGTGCATTGTCCGATCTGCAACAAGGCCTTTACGAGAAAGGATAATATGAAACAACATATCCGCACCCATCGTACCCACTCTGATGATCTGCGCTCTACTTCCGAGCCCGAAACAGAGGGTCGATGGAATGTGGCTCGTCCTGATTCTACATTTGTGGCGGCTTCGCATCAGCGCAATGTCAGTCAGCTTACAGAGCCAGGGGCACAGCCTGTTCCTGGATCTGCCCCGAACGCACCCTGAACGAGTGTTCGTTTTACCATGTTTAGTATACGACTTTTCCAATTTTTGATGGTCCTTTGAGCCCGGCCACTGCTGTGCGGTGTACTTTGATTCTGTCTATTCCGATGGTATTGTTCTTTTTCTTCTTTTTCTTCCTTGTGCTTTTTTTTGGTCTTGAATTTTTTTTTCCGGGTTTGATTTCCTGGATCTGCATGTTCCTCATACCTCAGCGATCATCTGCATGGCGCGGGAGTTTCATATGTGAAACGTACCGTGTTTTATCTGTTTTAGTGGCTTACTGTTTTATATCCCCGCTGTACCATGTTCTGAAATCAGACCTGGAGGCTATCATGTATGAAATGCAAGAATGTAACCGAAATTCGACTTTAAGAGACTTAATATGTAACATGTAGAAACCAAAGTCTATCAGACCAGTGGGAATGCGGGGAAGTCGAGCCGTGGAACCATTGTTTACCTCAAATGTTTAGCCACAAGTCTCTTCTTCCAAGGGTTTCCCGGTCGTATTTAATGGCCATCACCAGCGGTCAAGTAGGGCTGGCCTGTCAAAATCTGTCAGTGATCGATTCCCTGATCCTCCCTGCATAATGACGTCGGAGATAATTTATTGAGACACGACAGCCTAGACGCTCATTCGATGGGGCTAGTATTTCCCTCGCGACGGACTGTGGCCACAACGTCATTAGGATAGAAATCAAATCCAGTATATATATCAGAGGAATTGGACTTTTTGAATCTGATCCTTTTATGTACCTTTTGAGGCCTGTACATCTCTAGCCACACTGCCAAGTCCCCTCAGCCCCAATCCTATCTGAACCCACAACGACGTCACGCCACCCCCAGCCCCGCCCTATACTCTCCTTTTTTTCATCTCTCTCTCTCTCTCGTCACCAATATCGTCCCAGTGAATGGTAGAATCTCACCCATCTCGACTTTCATCTTTGATTTTGATCCGAACCCACCATGTCGTACTACGACGACCGTCGCTATCAACCCCGCGACCGCTATGCGCGCCCAGTCAGCTACGCTGATCCGTACGATGATCCTCGCCGCTATGCAAGGCACGAGCGCGACTATGTACCCCGCAGAAGTGATGACTCGTTCGTCGAGGAAGTCCAACGTGAATACCCACCAGGCTCAGACTATGGTTACGAGCGCCGGTACACGAGACGACCAACACGACCAGTCCAAGAGACTGTGCGCCGCTCTTCCTCTGTCAGCGGCTACGATCCTTACTACGATACACGCTCCCGTCCTCGTCGCACAAGGCACCACGAGGAAAAACGTAAGCATCCGATGATCAACGTGATGAAAACAAGCTAACAATCCATAGGCTCTCGTCGCTCCAGATACGAATCTGACTCTTCTCCAAGTCGCTCCCCACCCCGCCACAGACGCAAAAAGTCATTTAGCGAGCAAGCCCTGGGCGCCTTAGGCCTCGGTGGTGCTGCCGCAGCGTCTGGTCATAGAGACCACAGAGACCGTGGTCGTGACCGCTCCCGTCATCATCGCAACAGATCATATTCCCGATCACCATCAGACTCACGCAGTCGCCATCGTGGCAGTGCCCGTGATAAGAGCCAGCAACGCATGGTGCAAGCTGCTCGAGCCGCCCTGACAGCCGGTGCAGTTGAAGCCTTCAAGCAACGCAAAGAGCCCGGTGAATGGGCAGGCACCAAGGGAAAACGTGTCCTTACTGCGGCAGTCACTGCGGGCGGGACAGATGGTCTTGTCGATAAAGATCCCAACAAGCATGGCACGCGCCACGTTGTCGAGTCCACCCTTGCCGGTCTGGCCGCTAGCCATTTCATGGGCGGCGGTTCACGATCCCAATCTCGCGGTCGAAACTCGGCCGGCAATGGCCTGAAAAACCTTGCTGCTACGGGTGCTATCACTGCTGCTGGAAAGGAAATCTTTGATCGGGTCTCGCGATCTCGATCTCGGCCTCGCGGTCGTCATGATTCCCGCAGCGATGATGATCGTGGATCCGGGAAGCGAAGCAAGAGTGTCCAGGACTACATTACCAAGGGAATAGCGGCCCTAGGACTGGGCGAGCAAGAGGATCGTCGTCACGATGATCGGCGTCGAGACAGCAGCGACCGCAGCAGAGACACCAGAGATGATCGACGAGACCACCGAGAGTACCGAGAGCACCGAGACCACCGGGGAAATGGAAGAGATGATCGAGAGCGGCGTCATCGCCGAGACCGATATGACGACTCGGGTTCAGATTCGGAAAGTGACTATTACAGCAGGGACTCACGACGAGGCAGAGGCTCGAGAGATGTAGGTCGAACCCGTTCATTGAACGGCGGTCAAAACCCCCCTTATGGATCGGCGCGCAGTGGTCCAACCAGTGCTCCGCGCGATGCCACGCAGCGCGGCCACTCAAACTCCGAGAGTGATTCTGACTTAGGCGACAGTTCTGACGAGAAGAAGAGAAGCAAGAAGATGAAGCGAGATCTGCTTGTGACGGGCGGCTTGGCTAGTGTTGCTACCATCCATGCCGCCCATGGTTTATATGGAAGTGTGGAGAAACGAAAGCAGCGCATGCAGCAGTTGAAGGAGGGCGAGATCTCACCCGAGGAAGCCCGGAAACGTCGCATCAAAGCTAACACCATGGACGCCGTGAGTATCGGTCTTGCGGCCCTTGGTATCAAGGGTGCCTATGGGGAGTGGAAGGAAGTGAATGAGAAACGGAAGGAAACCAACCATTTCCATGACGAGTGTGTTCACCGTGCCGTGAAGCGGGAATTGCGTCGTGCCCAGAGTCAGAGCACGCCTGCACGAAGTCGATGGCCCGATGAGATTGAATATGCTCCTTCTTCGAATGATTCTTGGAAGGAACACACTCCAATTTACCGTGATGGAAATCCTTATGGAGCTCATGAGGCGCCGCAGATTTCTTATTAGGGGTTTGCTTGGTTTCAGATATTTTTATGCTTTTCATGATTTATGAGACTATGACTTGATATGATAGCTGCGATGGATTCCCCTGGTTTTCTTTTCTTTTTTTCTTTCTTCGCTCCCAGCCTTTGCCATGAATTTCTGACTTATCTTATTTCGCTTCATGCTTTCTTTTTGTGTACTTTTTTGGCCTTTCTTCTTCGCTCTCCATTCTTACGGATTGTTTGATGATGGTCCTCTGGGCTTCCGTAGGAGGATGTACATGGTACATCCGACTGGTTTACTTTCCATACTGGACACACAAAGTGTATCTCATGTAACAAGGTCGAGATCGAGTATACGGTGTAGCATATGTGATGTATACAAATGACCGGCAGGCGGTCAACAGCTCAGCTACCGAACTTAGGTAAGAATGGACCCCGCCAATCTCAGCCCACCACGGATGTCAATTGGTTGGGTACTGGTACCTGCACGTGCATATGTTTTTGCATGGAATTGGCAGTACCAGTACTTTGAGGGGCGGAGAGTTTTCCCTTCCCCTCCTCTGGGTCCCCTTCTCTTGTTTTCTCTCCTTTTCCTTCTTCTCTTCATCAATCCATCTTTTGGTAAATTGTCCATCTAAGTCAATTTGGTTTCTCTTATACTGACAATCCATCAGAAACACACATTCATAATGGCTGCCCCCGCACAGAAGTTCAAGGTCGCTGACCTCGTACGTTCCCCTCCATTATTTTTCTCTCGCAAAAAGCTGACCCCTGACAGTCCCTCGCCGCCTTCGGTCGCCGCGAGATCGAGCTCTCCGAGGTTGAGATGCCCGGTCTCATGGCCATCCGTGAGAAGTACGGTGCCGACCAGCCCCTCGCTGGTGCCCGCATTGCTGGTTGTCTTCACATGAGTATGTTGATCACCCCATGTACACATTGGAGTTCCGACTGACCGTTATTTCAGCCATCCAGACTGCCGTCCTCATCGAGACCCTCACTGCTCTCGGTGCTGAGGTTACCTGGACTTCTTGCAACATCTTCTCCACCCAGGACCACGCCGCCGCTGCCATTGCCGCTGCCGGTGTCCCTGTGTAAGCCACCCCCAAGGTCCCTAGGCTTGTTTTGAGCGGTCAACTAATTCGAATTTTTGAACAGCTTCGCCTGGAAGGGTGAGACCGAGGAGGAGTACCAATGGTGCTTGGACCAGCAGCTCAGCGCCTTCAAGGATGGCAAGAAGCTCAACCTGATCCTCGACGACGGTGGTGACCTTACCTCCCTCGTTCACGAGAAGTACCCCGAGCAGCTCGAGGACTGCTTCGGTGTCTCCGAGGAGACCACCACTGGTGTCCACCACCTCTACAAGATGCTCAAGGACGGCAAGCTCAAGGTCCCTGCCATCAACGTCAACGACTGTGTCACCAAGTCCAAGTTCGACAACCTTTACGGTTGCCGTGAGTCCCTCATCGATGGTATCAAGCGTGCCACCGATGTCATGATTGCCGGTAAGATCGGTGTCGTCGCCGGTTACGGTGATGTCGGTAAGGGTTGTGCCCAGGCTCTCCACTCCATGGGTGCCCGTGTCATTGTCACTGAGGTCGACCCCATCAACGCCCTCCAGGCTGCTGTCCAGGGTTACGAGGTCCAGACCATGGAGGAGGCCGCCAAGGTTGGCCAGATCTTCGTCACCACCACTGGTTGCCGTGACATCCTTGTCGGCTCTCACTTCGAGGCTATGCGCAACGACGCCATTGTCTGCAACATCGGTCACTTCGATATCGAGATTGACGTCGCCTGGTTGAAGGCCAACTCCCAGTCCGTCCAGAACATCAAGCCCCAGGTTGACCGTTACCAGCTCAACGGCAAGAACATCATTCTCCTCGCTGAGGGTCGTCTTGTCAACCTTGGCTGTGCTACCGGCCACTCTTCCTTCGTCATGTCCTGCTCCTTCTCCAACCAGGTCCTCGCCCAGATTGCCCTCTTCAAGGCCGAGGATGCCGCCTTCGGCAAGAAGTACATCGAGTTCGGTGCCGGTGGCCGCAAGCCCATTGGTGTCTACGTTCTGCCCAAGCAGCTCGATGAGCAGGTCGCTCGTTGCCACTTGGACCACGTTAACGCCAAGCTCACCAAGCTGACCCCCGTCCAGGCTGAGTACCTCAGCCTTGATGTCAACGGTCCCTTCAAGAGCGAGATCTACCGTTACTAATTTCCTCGCGTTTGATACTTGATATTCTTGAATAGACTTTCAACATGATTTCGACGATGTTATGATTGGCATAAGAGTTCACATCAACTTAGAACTCAAAAAAATGGTTGTCCTTCAACGGCATAAAAATTGGCCTGCACCAGAGAATTGGTGTTTATTGTTTTGTTTTGGCGTGGGATGACCTGGGATGGTCTTGCATTCAACACTGCGTACGGATGGGTTAATCGTGATACCTCTGTGTAGGCCCCATGGGCCGATTGTGACCGTGTAGTTCAATTGAAGCTATACGTCAATGCTTGTTTCAGTTGTAAATGTGTAGCCTTTTCTCGTAGAAGTCTTCCAAGCCTGGTGCTCAACGTGGATCTTTGATACGAATCAAGTGCTTCATATTGATGCGGGAAATTGGCTTACCCTTATTGATCTTAGGTGACGCTTGATGCAGTGACCCAAAACCAACTGATAAAAAAAGGATCATAAATCGAAAATCAAAGCTATGCAGTGGAATTCTATAGAAATGAACAGATTATGTACATCAACCAACAGAGTGCCAGCTCACGTCGGCTCAAATAACCCTCAAAAACAGCCTATCAGTTTAACATTTACTTGAGCCCGCCTCACTGTCATTGTCATGACTGAGAGAACCATTCCGACCCTCTAAGCTCTCAAGCGCAGGACCAACGTAGTTCTTACGACCCCAGACACCATACCAAACCGCAGAAATCAAAAGGAAACCCACGAAGACAACAACAGCGTAGTTCATAGTCTCCAGGGTAACGCCTGCATTGGTGGGGAAGCAAAAAAGCGGGAGAGCAAGGAGTGACCAGCCTGTAGATGTTAGAACAGTATATTTTGGATGGGATTGCGGAAAACTCACAGATACAAACGACGTTGCAGAACCAGCCCAGTGGTCCAAGATCGAAGTTACCTGCTTTGACTTCTTTCCGACCACAAAGGAACATCGACACAGCAACGGGACAGGCATAGCTGAGTGTCAAGAAAATAACACCAACACCCGAGAAGGCATTGAAAGCAGTACTCGATCCAAAGTAGATACAACCAAGAATGATTTCAACAACCATTCCCAAAGCCATGGCATTAAGAGGAATTCCCCACCGCTCATCGACCTTCTTCCACCATCCCGATCCGGGAATAGCGCCATCACGCGCAAAAGCCCAGGTACACCGGGATGTGGCAGTGACGCAGCAAATGCCGCAGGTAATGCCTAGGACGAGGAGGGGGATGAGAAGGCAGAAAGCACCGGCTGAGTTTCCAGTCGCGGACAGAATGATTGTTGGAACGGGTTGGGCGGAAGCGATCTGTGCTAGCATTGAGATGTCGGGGAGGACGAATGCAATTGGGAGGAGGAATGCTAGGCCGGCGAACATATTTAGGAGGACGCCGCCGATGATGGCGCGGGGGACTTGGATGGCGGGTCTGCGGACCTCTTCGCACATTCTGGTTTTTTGTTAGATTGGATGAGAGGATGAGATGATGGACTGGGCATCTTACGATGTTACCATGCCGCTGGCGGAGAGACCGTAGGCAGCGTGGAGGAGACCAATGCAGAAGGACCATCCGTCGGGCCAGCCGGATTGGGGCTCGAAGGAGGTGAAGACCCATTCACCGGATCGACGGCCATTGCGGGCGACGACGAGGATGGTAATGAGGATAGCAGTGACGCCAACAAGAGTCCAGAAAATAGCAAAGGTCTAAATTTGATATTGAAAATATCAGACGAAGTGAGCCACGGGCAACTGGGGGAAAAGAAGAACGTACCTCGATATGAGTGAGCCACTTATTGGCATAAGCTGGAACAGCATGAGTGAGAAGAGTAATAGCGATGAAGATCAAAAAAGTCTGCCACGCCTGGAAGTTTTCAGCAATACCATCACCGTTGGCATTTTTAAAGACATTCAGACTCTCGACGAGGAACAGGGCGGTCGCGAAATTTACAGCGAGAGTAATTGTCACATTACCAGCGAGATAGGACCAGCCGCAGATCCAGGATGTGACACGACGACACCAGGGAGGTGACAGAGCAAATGTTTGGTAGTAAACACCGCCAGCGGTGGGAAAGACGGCGGTAATCTCTGCTAGGGAACTACAGACACACAGCATGATCAATGAGACTAGAATCCAGCCCCAGATCATGCAGACTGAGCCACCACCCTGGATGGCATAGTTCATAGTCGTCGATAGACCGTAGGGCACGGAGGCCAGAATGAAGCACATGAATATCACTTGCCATGTTGATCGATTTCGTGACAGTTCCGCGGTGTACCCGAGGGCTTCTAAACTGGAATCTGCGTTGGGCTTGTGGGATTTGTCCATGGTGCGTGGGTATATGTATGTCGCAACGGATAGATGAGTGTTTTTTTGTCGCAGTGGCTGAAAAGTCGCAGTGGCTGATGGTCGCAAAGGGTATTTCCAAGGATGTCGCTGTCGAGTGTCGTGTCGCTGTCGAGTAGTATTTTCAAATCGGGGTCCAACATAAACGGGTAGGGCGGGTTAATAAAAGATGTAAAGGGGAAAAAAGAAACAGGAAAAGTTAGGCAGGTTTTAACAGGATCGAGGACCCGTTTCGAGAAAAGTTTTGCATGGTATTCTGGGTATTCGAATAACCAAAATTACTAAAATATCCCTCGAATCTCCATAATTAAATTTGTTGGTTTCGGAACTCCACTATGACGCAGGACATCTTGGATAAAAAGACGCAAAGAACCATTGGAGAACCATTAAGAGAGCCATTCAAAGGCCATGGAATAAAGGTGGTCTGCCCATGTGGAAAAGAAAACGGTTGTGGCGAAACCCAATTAACGCCACGTTCGCACTGCATTAATGCGGGGAATCAAAGGGGTTCATAACGTTCATAACGCGGCGGTGATGCCGGGATCTCCTGATAGCTCGGCGGAACAGCCGGCATGAGCATAGCCTCATTGCCCGGTGCTTGCTCAACAAGATAAATAGGAAATGAGGCATCCAACGCAGCTGGGAGGGGTTTCCGATCGACCAAAGCCTTGTTCTGGGCTCGGAAGCAGTCCTCACTCAGGAGAAGATCGAGTCTGAGCCGGTGCTCAACCGTCATAATTTTTGGTTCCGTCGTGTATGAAAGATCTCCGAGTCGGAAAACCGATGCGCTATTCACGGGCTCGGAGTCGAACTCATAGCATACCAAATGGACTTCGGGCGCAGGGGACGCGGTTCGGATCGCAATCTCGATCGGGACTTGGATCGTCGAGTCTTTCTCTTGTATTGGGGTTTTCATCATCGGGTTTTCCGCTGTTCCCCAATAACCCCGTTGGAATCCATTCAATAATTCTCGAGTATATGAGGCTTCTTGGATGGGTTCGCATTCGGGGGTATCTTGTGGTTTTCGGAAGATCGTGGTAACCTCCTCTAGACGCCACTGCAGGCCGCGCACTGCCACACACTTGAATTCCATGGCACGATTTGTAGGCGAACTGGGTTTTCGAAGGGATATCTTTGCTGATAGTGAGATCTTTGATCCGGTACATGCTCCGAAGTTCTGCCTGATGGTCACATCCTTGATGACTCGGGACGTTTCATATGTGCGAGTATGTTGGATTGGATCGTCCCCTATGATCATTCGACGAACGACGTTGAGTTCCTGGCTGGTATCAATAATTTTTGCATCTGTCCTTGTCGCAGTAGCGACAATCAACAGTGATGTGCGTCCCAGTTCTGTCACCGTTGTCGGTGGCATGTTGGCTGGAACTGGAATGAAGAAGGGGATTTTGTAGATGATTCCTTCCTCGGGAGAGTAGCCGACGCGGGCGTCAGCCAACGAACTCGGTAGGGTGAGTGTTAGCCTCTCCAGTATTGAGCAGCTTCGTTGTCTTTGCTTCGCATTTGATGAGCCCAATGACATGAGACGGGAGATTCGATTTGTGAACTGTTGGTTTTGCTTGATCTCGTCTTCCGTCGACGTAGAGACCACGAGTACAAGGCTTACATGCACATCGCTAAGACTCCTCAGCTCTGCTTCTGTCTGTGCTGTGAGCCGTATAGAGCCCGAGATGGGCTCCGAAGAGCTGTCTCCATTGTGATCAAAGTATGTCTCGTGGGTTGCTGGAAGCTCCAATCCAAGGCGTACACTGGCCATATCTTCGATTTGGGGGGTTTGAAGACGATGAGTCCTGCGAGCAGGGGGAAACCGCAAAATCCTCTACATCACTTTTACTCAAACCAATTGTAACATCCAGGTGATTTACCACCAAACTACACCAAACGACCTCACTACATCGCATATCCACTAGTCCCAAAGCGGCAGCCAAGACTGGGAAATAGAGTTTACAGTGGGGCCCAAGGCGGTCTGACCTTCAAACGCTCTGTTTTGACGAAACGAGACAACTTCGCTTAGGATGTGACTATGACATATGTGCAAGTGCCAAAATACACAGAAACAGAAAAACAGCCTCAAGGACGATCTGAAGAAAGCATTTCTTGAGATGAAGTTCGACGAGCCACAAGTACTTGGATTTTCCAACAGGCTTGAAGACATCGGTCAATGCCGCAAACCCAGTTGATGGTTTATCCCCACTGACCAGCTCCCCGATCTTCAGTCCCCGGAACTTGGTTGGGGAAGGAATGATCGTTTCAAGATGAGGGGCCAGAAACGCCGCCTCTGCCAGAGTCCGCGCGATCTGGGCCGGGAGGAGCACGAGCAAGCGAAATGCAAGCGTAAGCACCACTGCCAAAACCTCTGCACCGGCCCGCGAGCTTCCAGGAGCTTGTTTGGGGCCCAGCACTGCGATAGTCACGAAATCGCAGATTTGGGTCATGGTGGTCTCCGCAAACCCGTACACCAAGGCAGGAACAACAAGTCGTTTCCAGCGGTGTTGGCCAGGTGTCCTCTTTAGAACAGCCTTGAACGAAATCGGCTGGCCCGAGATAGTTGTGTACATGAACAGTAGGTGGAATTCACACAGGAGCCCGCAGGAAATGGCGAAGGCCAGTGGCCTCAGCACTTCAGTCCGAAAAAGATACCACTGGAGGAGTGTGGCGATAGAAATCTCTGTCAATGAATAGAGGTAACCCACCATCAATTCACGGATGAAGTACAAACCCTGAGCTTTGCGAATCAGGCGAAACGTCTCTCTAACGTTCCTGAAAGTGGATCGTCGCTGCATTTCTCCGGCCTCTTCCGCTGCAGCCTTCCCTTGCAGGGGGGCCTCGAGAATCAATAACGTTGGAGCGACATTACCTAGAATGTAACGAAGCTGCTCAATAGTTAGATTCAATTGCTGGGAAACACGAATCAAGGTCGCAGTTGGGGACTTACCAGCGATGGCAAATAGAAAGAAAGGGCAGCCAGTGCAGTAAAGTATAAAGGAATGTCAATCCGGTCTAAGTCGAAACCTTGATTATCGAATTCGACCGGCCGGCCCAATTGCCCATGTCCTCGTGGGCTTATCAATATATTAAACGCGCGGTCTGGTATGACGCGCCGCAGCTTTCCAGCCGTTTCGATGATCTTGCCAACCATCCCCCAAGAGAGGTTGGTGGTCGATGGCGAAGACTAAGTGGGATTAGCTGAGAAGCTCTGGGAGAGATCTAAGAGAAAAATTCCAGAAATATGGTCTCCTTGGGGAAGTGAAGTTGATGGGGTTTGACGTTATGTAGGTGCTGGCGTGGAACGTTGGCTTTTGGCCCCCGGCCCCCGCCGTTATTTGAGACATTTTGTGCGGCTGAGATTTTCAGTCAATCAGTCTCAGTAACTACGTGTGAATCTCCATGCATTTTGAAGAACATATTGTGTAATAGAACATGGAAATTGTAAAAATACTGAATGTAAGAGTGTGTCTTGACAGCCCAGATCACGACATACCCGTCTGAGATAGATACCGTCCACTGCCTGTACATCGCAAACATTAAAGGCTTCATTTCTGTCATTGTGGATAATCAAATTACACCAGAGGCTCTTACAGAGCTTTTTGCTAGAATCAATTGTGTCAAACACGCGTTCGTGGGACATTGAATTCCCAATTCTTCACCACGATCAACGATCCAACCGTTCATGTATTCAATCTCCGTGCCACGTCCCTTGAGAATATCCTCGCGCATGCTGCTCGAGTTACCAGCGGTCTTATCCACCGTGTCTAACATGGAAGTCTCTAGTGCATCGGCTGAGAAGCGAGTTGGATCGTGGGACAAAGCCTGTAGTTCTGGTAGGTTTGCGAAAACCGTTGAAATCTCTTTCAACAGGTTGCGATAGAGCGGTTCAACTTCCCGGTTCTTTTTGATCGCGCCGTTGCGAACATTCAATATTGCCGTCAAGGGGTTGAGGACGCAGTTGGCGGCCAGCTTCAAAAGTTGAACCTGGAGGAGGTCTGTCCACTCCTGCTTTGTACATCGAAGGGTTGGTGCTTGCAGCAGATTATTTAATAAAAATTCGGAATCCCCTGGAGTCAAGGCCAAGTCAGGCGAGGGGATCTTGCCGATCTCAGCGCATCCGTTGAGTCCGGATAACACGGCCTCAGTCGCAGACTTCAAATACACGCCATGGCGCACGATGCCAAAGAGGTACCTCGGCCTTTCGGACGGTGTCTGGAAGACCCGCTGGTTTAAACGCTCGATCTGACCCATGCCATTTTGGAAAAAGCATACAGTGGAATGCTTTCCGATTCGATGTTTGATCGGGTCGAGGGCAGAGGCTGTCGCGGGTGCCTTGACACAGACAATTAAATGATCGATTGGAATCCCAGAGCTAGAGTCGTCGATCAACTCGCAGTCAAATGGGCCTTGCCTTTGTGATATACCGTCCTCTCCCACTTGAAGACTGATTTTATAGTCGTTTGACGCGTACTCCTGAAGTAGACTTTCGCGATGAACGAGCAGTGTCACCGGAGGGGGGTTTGGAAGAGATTGCAGTGAGTGGGCAATGAAGCATCCAATGCTGCCAAGACCTAGTATGAAAATTCGGGATGATTCAGACATACTGAGGTATCATGTAACACCGATGAGAGGCTGAGGGGTGTGGTAAGAGTGCCGGACAAGCAGGCGAGTTCCTCCACTTACCCGTTGCCCGTCCGAGCCCCGCCTTTAGCCCGCAACACCCAACCTCATTTGGCGAAGACAGCAGCCAATGCTCCATTCCGCTCATCTTCAGAAGGCTTGAAGATTCAAAATGCCGTAGAAGCAATGATGCGTGAGATTGGCTGAGGATGAAAGTCTAGATCTAAAGAGCTGACTACAAAAGTGGGAGCACTAGGTACAAATATAGCAAACAAACTAATCATGTCGAACAGCGTCCAAAGCAGCGGTACAAGACTACGGAAATTTCAAGCGGAAAGGCCTAGCGTGCCGGCGTTTTGCTGCCGGGCAGCTCGCTAGGGGCTCCCACCCCCGAAACTTCATGAATCTGTGCAGAGTCTGCTTGTCTTATTCCTGATCGGATTTGCGCATCTCTGTTTCCATTTGAATCGGTTGGAAAGTCCAAGGTGTGTCCCAAGGCCTCGTATCTCGCTTGTGTTTTTCTTCTTCCCCAGACGAAACCTGCTCCAAGTGCTGCAAGGGCGAGAACCCCTAATGGAATCCCAACACCAGCCCCAATGGCCACGTTGGAGGAGCCTGAGATTTTTGATGTTATTGTCGCTGTGGCCGTAGCTCTTGCGACTGAGCTGTTTCCGAACTGGACGAGTGTAGAAGCAAGTTTGAATGTCGTGCCTTCCAAACAGCAACTGCGGTCTGTACCACAGCAATACGCGCCATCCTTGCATAGAACGAGTCGGTAGGTCCAACTTGAAGACCCCCCAGCCTATACACAGCGATTCGTCAGAGCTTATTCGAAACAGAATGGTGCCTGGGATAGTCCTGACAACTTACATTCTTGTCGCAAACTGTCTTGCTAAGGCAGTTGGGACTTTCCCAGGTCTTATCGGTGCAAAAGTCTCTCCAGTAATTGGAACCATATTTGCCATCTGAATTACTCAAGCAAAGTCCATTCGGCTGACATGTGTCGGGGTGAGTTGTGTTCAACGAGCAGCACATGGATTCTATCCCGTCAATTGCGATACATGGCTGGTACGTCGGATCGGCAACGGAGCCATCGGGGGCGAAGCAGGTCTTAGCCGATCCATGCAATGGTGCGAGGCTCAAGAGAATGGAGACTGAATAAAGAACACCATGCATACTCGTACTGTCTGTGCAAGCGAGAAAGAGGCCGAAATCTCAGGGTACTCGAGAAAATTAACAAATCCACAAGGCTCCCTGCTCATCATGCCTGTTGAACCCCGTGACAGACCAGCGGTAAGTGGTCCTTACACTGCATATGATATGACGCGGCAATTGGCTGCTGGATGCTTTTTGGGGGTCGCGCCCGGGAGCTTCGCCCGGGAGCTTCACCCGGGTGTCTGCATACTTGCCCAGTCCAACTTCCAAGGTTTGGAAGTTTGCAGATCAGGTGAGAACAATATCAATTATGATACATCCCAGGGCTTTCACAGGATTCGAATATGAACACTTCTTCTCCCAGTCAATGCATATTATCCCTTGAAGACAAACCCAAGCCTGGGATTGCGCGATGATAATTTTTGGGATGGCTTGTGCCGCCAGGTAAGGATTTGGAAACTAGCTGAGCAAAAGCCGCGGTGGGCATCAATTTATCTGGACACTCAAAAACTTGTTGGCTTCGGCTGGATTGAGCACCAGAAACCACCAGTAGCTACATATGAATAACTGCCATCATCAGACCTCTAGAGCTCTGCCCTTCTTGGTATCTAGATCTTTCTCGCTGCGTTTCTCCATTCCAACGTCGGGCACTCCAGTCTTCGTTCCGCTGATCGATTTTTCAATAGCAGCGCGCTTCGCATCCAACTCCTCCAGCTCCTTTTTGTACCCATCCAAAGCACTCTCAACATCGACATCATCCGTCGCCGCGCTGCCTTGAAGTTTTTCAAGCTCATCCGTGCGACGGGTAACCTTTCGAGTCCGGCAGCACCAAGCAATCCCCAGAATGAAAGTCGTGAACCACATGAGCATATTGACTAAGTCAATCCAGACTGCAGCCCGCATGCGAGGAAGGGACGAGGTGGCCGTTTCGTACTCGCGGGTCGCCGTGCCAGAGGTGTATATATTTCCGAAGACGCCTGTTTGGGCAAGCCAGAGTACGAAGAGGACTCCATCCCATGCTGACCATGCTACATGGACCACGGTCACAAAGCAGTGTATAATGCAGGTCAGGGCTGATAAGGCGGCAACGATCTCGGCGTATACCCATTCGGTGGGGGCACTAGTGCTGGATTTCGTGGCGCGCGCTAGATCGACGCCGTATAGACCAGCAACGGTGATGGCGAAAACGAACTGGAGTGTGCGGAGTGCTGCGCGGGGAACCAGGCCACAGACTCCGCTCTTGTGCCAGTACTGATCAAGGTTTGTGGGGGCTCGTTTGGGCATGGTGATGGAGATTCTTAGAGTAAGTGAAGAGAACAGCGTTGTCCGGGGTTACTGGACTTTTTGAATTCAACTTAATGAAGGGATTTCTCCTCTCAGTGCCCACCTGTGTACCTATTAATACCCGCACATACTCGGATGTATTTTTATCAACTCCCAAGTCGTTTGGCCACCTTGTTTTATGGAGCGAAAATAAAGTGGATCCGAGACCTTCCTATTCGGGTAATTCTTCACGTATTCGTAGCCGCATGATCCACAGTGGAGAAAGTCCCTTCCCGAGCGGCCAATAGGAAGAGCTTCATGCACTTTTAAATTTTAACCAAGAGCAATCCATGGAGAAGGGTCTTGATTCTATTTTTCGCGATGCCGATCCTGCGTTTCGCGAGGCGTTTCTTTTTTTATCCCTTTATTTGTCCTGGGATTCCTGGGTTTAGACAAGCAAGGTCACACTTTCGTCCTATGGTGTATCGCTATGGTTCAGGCAGCACACTCCAGAACTGATGATGCGGATTGGGATCCACCACCGCCCTACGAGGCTTCTACTAGCAGCCAGTGGGTAGATCACTCAACGAATACTTTCGTACAGATCCCATGCCCCACGGCGGCTGTGCCGGAGCTATCATCAACTAGCGATGGTCGCGTTGACGTGCGAGTCGGGTCCCGCTTCAGTCGCAACTTGGAAAATATTCTGGGTGATCAACCCCCAGACCCGCTACATGCCGTCGAGGAAACATTCGCGTCACCATCAATATCTGACGTGGATTTCGACTTGAATCTCAACATTGTCGTCCAAGTGGTAGGGAGCCGCGGTGATGTCCAACCATTTGTGGCCTTGGGAGCCGAGCTGCGCAAACATGGTCATCGTGTCCGCCTCGCTACCCACGCCATCTTCGAGGAACTTGTCGTCGGCGCAGGTCTGGAGTTTTTCTCGATTGGCGGTGATCCAGTTGAGCTGATGTCTTACATGGTGCGTCATCCCGGGCTGATTCCGAGCATGGAGAGTCTGCGGGCAGGAGATATCCAGCGGAAGCGTGCATCTATCAAAGAAATTCTCAACGGATGCTGGCGTTCGTGTTTGGAGCCAGATCAGCGTGAAGGTACGCCTTTCGTCGCAGACGCTATTATCGCGAACCCCCCGAGCTTCGCACATATCCACTGTGCACAGGCGCTCGGGATTCCAGTTCATCTTATGTTTACTATGCCGTGGACTAGTACCAGGGCATTCCCTCATCCATTGGCGAATATGAAGTATAACGGAAGTGACCCATCTGTTGGGAACTTGATATCGTATCATTTCGTTGAGTGGCTGACTTGGCAAGGGTATGTTTAAATATGCCAGCAAAGTGTCTGACTTGACTAACAGCCTCTAGTCTAGGTGATCTTATAAATGCATGGCGCAAAGAAGCTTTGGAACTTGATTGCATACCCGCCACCGAGGGCCCGAATTTGGCAGAAACTCTCCAAGTCCCGTTCACATACTGCTGGTCATCAGCGTTGATTCCAAAACCCCAAGAATGGGGTGCGCATATTGGTATGTTCGATCAACACACCATAAAAGGGACCAACTGCTCACAGCACAGACCTATGCGGGTTCTTCTTCCGTGAGCCAGTAGCCTATGTGCCACCACCCTCCCTCGCTGAATTTCTCCAATCTGGACCTCCGCCAATATATATTGGATTTGGCAGCATTGTCCTTGAGAATATGGAGGCGACATTGAAGATACTGCTCGATGCGCCCAAGCGCACCGGGGTTCGTGCAATAATAGCCAAAGGATGGTGTCATATGCAAGGTGAAGAGTCACCTAATATCTACTATATTGACGATTGTCCACACGAGTGGCTTTTTCAGCGCGTGGCTGCCGTTGTGCATCATGGAGGCGCTGGCACAACGGCCTGCGGTTTGCGAAATGGAAAGCCGACCACCATCATTCCATTCTTTGGGGAGTAAGTATCCTCTATCCGCACTGTGAGTATCCTTTGTATGAAGCTGATCGAATATGGCACATAGCCAACCTTTCTGGGGCAGCATGGTTAAGGCCACAGGTGCTGGCCCCGAGCCGATCCCTTACAAAGCCTTGACGACGGAAAAACTGGTCGATGCCATCACATTCTGCTTGGAACCTACGACTGCTGCCGTAGCTCGAAGAATAGGTGACCAGATCAACCAGGAAAATGGTGTTCGGGCAGCAGTCAACTCCTTTCATGCACACCTTCCACGTCGAGACATGGAATGCGACTTAATACCTGGCGAACCGGCGGTTTGGAAGTTCAAAAAGGGTCGACGCATAGTCAAACTGTCCAAAATAGCTGCTTTCAAACTGAAAGACCAAGGTCGCCTGCAGGCAAAGCACCTTCAACGGTAAGAGTCTTTTCTTTAAAAATTTCCGAGATGTCCAAGTAGTTGGAGCTGATAATTGACGAATGATCAGGCACGGAACAAAACCCCTGAGCATCGAAGTCCAACGGTGGGAGCCAGTGACAGCAATCTCATCAGCGACTTTATCAACAGTTGCAGGTATGGCAGATGCCGGGGCCGGAGTTTTCATTGATCCATATAGAGAATATCGCCGTCTTCAAACAAATACTGAGGCCACTGGAGTCTCTGTTTTAGAAGCAGAGGGCTCCAGAACACAGGAAATGCCTCAGAACGCAAGCACCGACCAGAACGACACTTCACATGCAAAGCAAATGGCACTCGCCTCGGGGATCAGTCTCGCTAAATTTCTCGGACGCTCATCGCGCGGCCTTTTCGTGGAAATACCACTAGCCGCCACCGAGGGAATGAGAGCAATTCCCCGACTTTACGGCGACAAACTCCATGCAAATGCCCCTGTGCAAGATTGGAGAAGTGGAATGGCTGTTGGATGGTCGGGGTTTACACACGGCGTCTACGAGGGATTCACTGATATATTCGTTCACACATATCGTGGGAAAAAGAAGCGCGGATCCCTTGGTGTAGCCGAAGGCTTGAGCAAAGGCCTTGTCAGCCTAGCAGTCAAAACGGGATCTGCAACAATTGGACTAGTCGCTTATCCAAATCAGGGCATTTATAGATCACTGCGCAGTGCGATGCACAAAGGATCAGCACAACAGATTGACGAGGCAAGGTGGGCTGAGGTATGGCTTCTTGATACGGATAGGGCGGCACGAGTGGACGTGGAAGCTTTGTGCTCACGGTATGATGATTTGTTGTCTACAAGAGACAGCGCACTGCACTTGTGGCGTCGTTGAAGCTATCACTGCTTCCGATTTGGTAGTCAAACTTATGACTAGATACAATCTACTACAGAAGAATATTTCTAGACACCATACCAGTGACCAAGACAAGAGGCAAAGTGCCCAAAATCTAAAGTCGAGCAAGAACTTGCACATCTGACAGAATTGAACCTGCCAATGCCTAATACTACGTACTGTAAATGCATGATGTACTCCGACGTATCTCTACGCCATATGGGGGCATAAATCCTCTATTCACACTGAGCTGGCCACTGTTGCTAAGCACACAATGCCTCCGAAATTGAACTGACACATGCTCCAGACTGCAAGGTTCAAGTCAAGATGTCCTTGCGGAGCTGTGGGATTGCCCACGTTTTCCAACAGGCTCAACAGGCTGAACTGACTCAACCGATCCGACAGCGTCTTCTCGCATTCCTTGACCCACTTCTCTGCTTTGCCACGCAGGGAAGCCATCTCCGCCTCGCTCGCCTTCACATTCTCCTCCATCTTCCCCTCGTATTCGACTCCCATCGCCGTGTTGGAAAGAAGGGGCCTGTCGGACAATCATATTTCGTTTTTGTTTTTTTGCTTTTTCTTGGCGTTTTCACCGCCCCAGGCCTGTTGACTGCGCTGAGGACGTTGAGAATGCCGAGGAAGCTGCCCAGAGTTGTCATTGCCATTGCCCTTTGGCATAGAAACGCAATGAACCCCTCGGTCCTCCGGCAGAGGATCAAGAGTCACCACAAAGTCCACAGGTGAAAGCTCACTGACCCGAGCCATTTCCATCTTCAATGTCCTCCATTATCTTCTGGAGGCTCTGTCGGCTGGCTTTTGCCACCTCCAGCATGTCGGCTAGCGCGGTAATCTCATTGTCGAGAACCGTAGCAGCGAGCTTTAGACTTGTCAGGCTCTTCTTTTCCGTGTCATTCGCAAGTGTAGATTCCGGGGTCTCTTGGGCCTCATCAGAGTTCTGGGCATCGGCGATTGTGGCATTGGCGGTTGTAGCATCGACCAGTAGCGGGTTGGCCTCGCCCATAGTTCGGGGTTTCCCCAGACTGCAACGTTTGTGCATTTCTGAGAAATGGCAGTTGGCGCATCGGCGACTGATTCTCGAGGGCAATGGGACCACGACACATCCCTCAAAAGGGCCTTTCTTCTTGTAGCAGTGTCCGCATTCTTGTTCCCCTGCTAATAGCTGTCCGGTCACTTGGGCTTGGGCGGCCTCGAGGTTGGACCTTCGGCTCCCAATTGTTTTCTCGAGTTTCTCCCCATCCCACCTTTTGGCTGGACGGATGGCCAATTCGCGAGTAGCTGGAAGGGTTTTTATCTTCTGCGAGAGTTCCCGCTTTATGAAAGACTTGCACCTTGCAACCGGCCAGGGATGATTCAGGACCCGCTGTGCCCAATAGCCAGGCGGCTGTGAGCCGCCACCTCCCACGACGGGATCTTCGAGATTCGTATTCATGTCTGTTGTATGCTAGACCGTATCTCAGCACGTTGAAGTATGACAGTGTTCGCTCGTTGGGTGTGATTACACACGAATGGTGGTAACAGCCGGCTGTCTCATAAATTGGGCGAAATTTGTACGGACGGAAGCAGGAAATTGTTTTTGTTTGGTGAAGATACGGTTTGTCAACCTGGTGGGTAAACAAAAGATAGCGAACAAACGAGGATAGACGAAAGAGGTTCGACCAACGAGGTTCGACGAAAGAGAACAAACAGACGAGGTTCGACCAACAGGGTTCGAGAAAAGAGGTTCGACCAAAGAGAGTGAACGAACCAGGTTAGATCAACCGGGTTCGACCAACGAGGCTCGACCAACAAGGTTGATCAAAAAAAAATGGACGGAAGATGGCGGACGAAAGAGGATACAAGAAAGAGAATGGGGGAAGGGAAAAAGCAAGTGAGGGAAAGATAGAGCGATATGATGCGATAGAACGATCTCTGAATGCGTAGAAAAGAGAAGAGCAAAGAGAGAGGATGAGGGTAGATATAGGACTACCTCATGACCTGAGAGAGCAAACGAGCTTCATGGGAGAAGTGCAACTCGACGAGTCACAGAGAACAGACCATCGGGACGAAAGAGGGTGGATGCAAGAGGGTAAAATGGGGAAAAGAAAGGAAGAGAGATTCAGTATTTATCCTGTGTAGTTGGAAGTCCACCACTACGAGTAGCTAGGAGTTCTCGCGCCTCTCCCTGATCGGGAGCTTTACCATCTTCTTGGGCCTCTTGCTGTAGCCCAGCAGAACATTTCCCATACGAGGATATTAAGAAATCACGACCTGATACCCGACAATTGCCTCACTTCTTGATAATATATTCTAAGATGCAACGAAATAGGACCTATTGGGCAAGCAACCAGGCCCAAACCAGGCGATCCAAAGCAAGTGATCAGGAGCTGCCCTAGACCATCTAGGAAGCAACCTTTCTTCCGAAGTGAGAAAAATCAAGGATAGCCCATGGGAATTCAGTTTCTCAGTCGTCACTTGACATCCAACTATCTTGAAAATCGGTAGGAATAGGTGTCTGGGGTAGGCTAGACCCGGCTAGGCCGTTCAAGCGGACTATGGGGTCGGGTAAAAGGTCCTAGTAATCAGGTCCCAAACCTGTTTGTGCTATTTGTCAGTACCATATCCTCGGGATTTGTGTAGAAAGTGAAAATAAGCTTAGATATAGTGTTCGACCTTGGCCTGGATCTTCCCCACATTTGCCACGAGATCATGATGTCACGACAACGTCTCCAGACTCTTCCAAATTTTTTATTCTACTTAAACCCTTCAAATTCGCAGTGAAAATGCCGTGAGACCGCGATGGCGGATTTCAATCTTCCAAACGAGGGTCCTGATTTCCTGACCGATGATACACTCCACGAGGCCTACGAACTCGAGGTGCAAACAGCCAAGGGAGACAATGTTCGATTCGGAGAACTTGTCGCAGGAAAAGGGGATTCGATAACGACGATTGTGATTTTCAGTGGGTATTCCGAATCAATTCAACCCCCGAGCGACCGGCTAACCACTCCCATCGCTAGTACGACACTTCTTCTGCGTCTACGACCAAGACTACGTCCGAACCCTATCCCGTCAAATGACCCAGAAGTTATTAGACACCGTACCTATCAGCTCAAGACCCGCCCAGATCATCATTCTGGGGTGCGGCGACCACACCCTCATCGGGCCATACATAGAAGAGACAAGCGATGACTTCCCAATCTACTCCGATCCTTCCGCGCGAATCTACGAGAAGCTGCAGATGAAGCGACAGAAGGGCGGATTCACCGAGCCACCACCGTATTCAAACTTCACATTCCCTACTGGGCTTGCAGAGACTCTAAAGCAGATCTGGCGTCGTGGGTGGACGGGCTTGCGTGGAGGTGATTGGAACCAGCAGGGTGGCGAGTGGATCTTCCAACGGGGGAGACTAAGATACGCCCACCGCATGGAGGGTTCAAATGATCATCTCACTGCTGAGCGGTTGATGCAGATATTGAATGTGGCTCATGAAAAGGTACCCTCTCGTGAAAGCGAAAATGAGGAACTGTCACAAGGCGAGGTATAGTGGGGATTTGAACCCTTTAAATCCCGGAGGCCTGAAGGGTTACCTGAGCGATAGTAATGCCAATCCGAGATAGGATGCTTGCACTAATTCCACCAGTTAGCCAGGCTCTTCAATATCACCAGTCTCAATTGTCGATTGTAAGAATTTCCATATAATGGGTGGCACAAGTTTAGAAATCTGCCTCAGGCCTCAGAGCTGTGGGAAACCCCGCGGGGCACTCCAATTGAGGCCTGACGTAGGAACGATATAGAATAGTCCGATTCAGTGGACGAATTTTCCCGGTTAGATTAGCCCGAACAAAGCGGGACCGAAAGCGCGCAGTCGGCCCGAAAGGGAAATTAGCCGGGTTTCCCCCGCGGCGCCGCAACGGGCAATTTTCCTCCGCCGGTGGGGGATCGCGAAACGTGGGGAATTTCGGCTAAATACAACGAGTTCAAGAAGACCGCCATTCCCCCCATTTTCTGGCATTGGCTTCTTCTTTTCTGTGTCTGTCTTCATCTCCTATATATCCAAAATCAGCACAACATGGCCAGAGTACTTGAAGGAAAATTCGGCATTGTGACCGGTGGATCGCGAGGTCAACATTCCCCCGCATTGACGAAAGACGAAGCTAACAGTCAGTAGGAATTGGCGAAGCGATCGCACGCAACCTGGCGGCAAAGGGCTGCTCATTGCTGCTCAACTTCACCTCCGAGTTCTCGCGCGGTCCCACCGAAGCACTTTGCACCGAATTGACCTCAACGCATAACATCAAATGCGAGAGTGTGCAAGCAGACCTGAGCACGCCCACCGAGGGCGTCGCTGCGATTATTGCTGCCGCACAAGAGAAGTTTACCACCGACGGCAAGCTCCAAATCGATATTCTCATCAACAACGCGGGTGTCTCCCAAGACCGCAACCTTAATGACCCCAAGGGCGCGATCGAAGCCGAGCACTTCAACTGGCAATACGCAGTCAATGTCCTGGCTCCTCTCCTCCTTACACAGGCCTGCGCCCCCTTCCTCCCCAATGACCGCAGCGGTCGCATTGTCAGCATCTCTAGTGTGTCTTCGTCGCTCGGATTCGTCGGCCAGTCAATCTATGGTGGTACCAAGGCTGCCATTGAAGCTATGACGCGCACCTGGGCGCGCGAACTTGCCGATCGGGCAACCGTTAATGCCGTCAACCCCGGTCCGGTGGTTGGAGATATGTACTTCAAGACCGGAGATCAGTTCTGGAAGGATATCCAGGGATACCAGGATAACACGCCGATGAGCAAGTTGGATCTTAATGACGAGGAGACATTGAGTCGTTTGACAGACGAACAGAAGCGATTAATTCAAGAAAAAATGGGTGGCCGACGACCGGCATTCACGAGCGAAGTTGCTGGTGTCGTTGGCATGTTGTGCACACCCGACGGCCTTTGGTGCACCGGAAGTGTGGTCTGCGCCAACGGTGGTATGAAAATGGTTGAATAAGAAAAGAAAAGAAATCAATTCACAATCCATTCAAGATTGGACCTTCACATGAATATCGTACAGCGCTGGGTAGATTAGGGGGCCAAATCGTGGAAATGCGCGCTCGCATCCCGCCCCCCCTGGATTTCCCTCCCCCCTGCTGCATCATATCCCTTCCGCATGGAACTAGTACACGAGCTGAGATATGATTCGACTTTTGAAGCAGATACAGCACATACACTACCGCTTCCAGTGATCGACATTCCATTTTAGTGTTCCACTGGACATCTCCCGATTCAAGCATGCACGGTGGGGTTTCCAATAACCATGGTAATTCGGCCGTGGAAGCAGAAACCCTGGGTGATCGACGCATTATGGAGCATGGTGTGCTGTATCCGAAAAGTCCAGATCACCAGCAGAGCCTCCATTCCCAGCTGGTCCCACTATTTCAGTTCTCGCCCTGCCACTCTCGAGTGTTGTCTTCCTTCGGAGCGCTTAATGATTTTTGGTGGACTTCACCATGACGACAGAACCGAAAACTGCCAACTCTACCCATTTGTCCGGGGATTCCTCGGGTCATGAACGTGATAATGTACACCTTGAAAGGCTGGGAAAGAAACCGGTGTTAAAGGTGAGTCGGCTGTTTGATGCAGCGCCCGCAAGGCCTAAATTCTAAAACTTCTCGTGAAGCGAACATTTGGAGTTTGGGCAGTCTTGGGCTTGAGCTGCACTGTGCTTGGAACATGGGAAGGATTACTTGGGTAGGTGAAACCCGATGCTCATTCTATCTTTTAATAAAAAAAAAAAAGCTCATCTTTTTGCAAGAACATTCACTACGCCATTGGAAAAGTATGAATACTGCACCAGCGTGCAGACTTGAACTGACGAATCCCAGTGGAGGATCTGCCGGGGCAGTGTATGCCTTTATCTTTGCTTGGACTGGCACCGCTTGCTGTTTTTCGGTTCTCGCAGAGCTGGCATCAATGTGAGCTTAGATTCACACAGCCGTGTACCACTTGCTAACCATTTACTCCGCAGGGCACCAACCTCCGGAGGCCAATACCACTGGTGTGCCATGCTGGCTCCAATAAGCTGCATGAAGTTTTTGAGCTACATAACCGGTATGGAATCTACTCCCGGTCGTCGAACTGTCTTTAACATCGCGATTCAGGCTGGACTTCCGTCATTGGGTGGCAGACTGCATTGGCTGCGGCTGCCCACCTGGCTGGTACTCAAATACAAGGTGTTGCCATTCTTGTTTACAGCAATTACGATGCTAAAGCTTGGCACGGGACATTAGTGATGTGGGCTTCTCTTTTGTTTGCGGTTGCTATTAATCTAATTGGTGGCAAACTTCTTCCTCGATTGGAACAAGGTATTCTGGTGCTCCACGTCCTCGGGTGCTTGGCGATCATCATACCGATTGCCATACTGGCTGACCACAGATCCAAGCGAGAGGTCTTCACGGAATTCCTCAACGGCGGAGAGTGGCCAACCCAGGGTCTGTCTTGGTTTGTCGGACTCTCGGGGTGCGCTTTTTCATTTGCCGGAGGGGATTCGGTTGTTCATGTGGGTGATGCTCCCTTTTCACTTATTCGTGAATACTGCTGATACCTGATAGATGGCTGAGGAAATCCATAATGCAGCCATCGTTCTTCCACGTGCGATAATGCTGAGTGTACTAATCAATGGCATACTCGGGTTCAGCATGCTCATCGCTATTCTCTTTTGCATGGGCAACATTCAAGACGCTTTGAATTCTCCGACAGGGTATCCATTCATCGAAATCTTCTTCCACTCAACTGGATCAATAACAGGAGCTGTTCTCCTATGCACCATCGTACTCTTGATATCGATGTTTGGTGTGATGGGTATGATCGCTGCTGCATCACGGCAGTTCTGGTCATTTTCAAGAGACAGAGCAATCCCCGGCTGGCGATTGTGGGTTAAGGTAAGTCAAATCGTCGTTGAGTACCATCTGGGCAGTGGCTTATCTTATACAGGTATTGCCGTCAAACCGGATACCCATCTATTCCATTCTCATCATAACAGCCATTGCCTGGCTGCTATGTCTCATGAATATTGGATCCGAAGTTGCGCTCCAAGATATCCTATCAATCGCAGTGTCCGCCATATACCTATCCTACCTGATGGTCGCTTCCTTGCTGCTCTATCGCCGCTGCAAGGGGCAAATATTTAGTCAAAATGAAGGGGACGGCGCCATTAATGTCCCAGGTGCTAGATTGGTCTGGGGACCATTTCACGTCCCTGGTGCCATCGGTACGATCATCAATTCGTACGCCGTCGTTTATATTATTATCGTTATATTCTTCAGTTTCTGGCCCCCGCACATCTCGCCCACCGTCACAACGATGAACTTCAGCGTTGTTGGGACATTTGGCACCATCATACTAGCAATTGGTTACTACTTGATACGTGCCAGACATGTTTACACTGGACCCGTGTTGGAGACGACGTCTTGATGGAACAGTCCCAATATGCTATAACGACTTCCGAATTCTAGCTCACTTGGGCTGCAATACCCAGTCTCAGCGCCGCTAATAGACATACCTGAAATCTTTGTTCTTGAGATCAGTGGTATCGACAAGGGCTTGGGTGACACCTTCTTGTTTCTCTTGGCTCTGCGACATCGGATCTACTACCCGATTTTCCTCGCGTTTTGCGTTCGTCCAACGCAAATAGAACAAGAGTCCAAAACCGTCTAATACACACACAACCAAACAGACGATTATGGCCAGGAACCCACTCTATGAAAAGATCAATGATTGAACACCCAATGGCAACGAAGAGGAATTTTGTGTGCTTACCTCATACTTGGGCGCTTCCTTTTCAAAGAATAGCTGAGGACCAACGATGTTACCCGCACAGTACATGATGAAATATATTGCGCTGACCGTAGCTCTCTTCGTAAAGCCTCCGATATTGGAGCTGATCATCGCCATTGAGATAGGCATAGCCGCAGAGTAGATTCCCATCAAGAGTAAACCTGCATATCGGGAGCCAACCGAGCCAGTGGCATACACAAGGGCACTACCGATGATACTGAAGCGACGTTAACATCTTTTCAATACTCAAAGCAAAATGGGAACCGGGCTGACCTTATCACGTTGCAACCTATCATAACTAAGCAGCGAGTATTCGCAACTTTCGAGGATATTACTCCTCTAAGTCCATGTTAGCCGTGTCGAGTTCGAAAATATGAGAGGAAACTCACGATAGCAGCACAAAAATGAAAACAATCACACCACCAGGTATACCTAGCAAAAGGGTGTGGAAGGTTGAGAACCCGAATCCTTTCAAAACCAATCCATTGAACTGCATTGTATCAATGTGAGACCACTCGCCGTAGAGTATTCACCAGGACTTCACTCACAGTTGTAAAACCACCATTCGGAATGTTAGCTGCCAGTATCAGTACTGCCAGCAACCAAGTTTTGACATCTGCAAATGCCTCCAGGATCTGTGATTTGTCGATATTTGAGTTTTTGAACCCTGTTTGGTTTGCCTTCAGGCGCTCTACTGCAATAAGTTTCTCTTCTTCGGTTAGGAAACCCGCCGTAGTTGGTGAATCAGGAAGTCTGAAGAGCATGAGAATGCCCAATAGGAATGTGATAACTCCAAATATAATAAAAAGCCACTATGGTGACCATGTCAGAGCTTTTGAGTCGAACCCCTGGGGATCTGGTAAATTGGTCTTACCTGCCACGCCTTGAGACGATCTTCAATTTGAAGGATCCCAACAGCGATCAAGTTTCCAAAAATCAAGGATAAAGAGTTTCCACAAAACCAGATTCCATGACGAAGAGGTTGCTCAGATGTCCGATACCAAAGTGAGGTGATCAAACTAAAACCAGGGGACAGACTGGCTTCAGTACACCCGAGGAAGAACCGAACAACCATCAAGCCAGCAAAATTGGTAGTAGCGGCATGACATGCTAGAACCAGCGACCATAGAATGCTTCCTCTTGTCAGAGTCATTATGATTTGGCGTCGAAGAGAAATTACTCACAAAACCGTAGAGAGATATTTGCCGAGTGGAAACTTCACCATCAGCAAAGATGCTGGATATCTAACAAACATCAGTGGGGTAAGAATCAACATGACGGAGTGTACTCACGAAAAGAACAAGTAGCCGAAGTAAAATATACTCGACGACCAGTTATATTCGGAACCGACGAGCTGGAGATCTTCTCGGATGCCCATAAGAGCTGCATAGTTCAGGGTTTGCTTGTCTAGAAAGGCCATCATATACGCAAACAGCATGATTGGAAGTACCCTTATTGCCAATTAGAAGAAATACCAAATGGACGCTGTTCTCTTATACAAGGACACTCACATCAAGTCGATCTTCCAGACTAGTCTTTTTTCTGCAGTTGCGGAGAACTCGAAGGAAGACTCAAGGGTTCCATTTTCGATGTTTTGGTGATCGATGTTCTCCTTTCTTTCTTTGTTCCTTTTAGGAGAGTGACTATCCATATTGAAAAAAGCAGAAAATAGATTCGAGAAAATGTTAAATATAAATGAACGCAGACTCAGCTTCCTCTGAATGAAAAGAAGAAGAGGATTTGATGAAAAATCCTTCTATTTATGTGTAAAAAGGCTTGTCATGGAGGATATAGTATTGACTTTGTCAACTATCTGCAATCAACTTAGAACCTAAAGCTTTCCCCGCAAAATCACAGGCCTAGATAACAGGAATCCGAGACACCTCTCGTGTGCCTATTTGCTGTTTCGGCAAACTAGCCACATCTTGGCAAGTCTAGCGCTGAAAGATACCAACTCAAATTCAAAAATCCTCTGAGATAGAATAGCACATCTCTGATTGGGGTTCGGGTTCTGTCCCAAAGACCGCAGATAACAAAAGCTAAGCAAATCAAACGTTCCACCAAAGGCGCCCCCGAAGTACGATTACTGGACGAACCCGAATTGCTGGCATTTTCTTGGTTTCGTGCATCAATGCCCCCGCTGTAAAGGAGGCGCGCCTCCACTGATTGTTTTCTGCAATATCCCTCGGATTTCCCGCAAATTATTCTACTAGTCCCTCTGCTGACCCAGTACCCGAAAGTAGGGGTCACCAGTCGTTGCCCCCAAAGTAAGTGGTATCTGAAGCCGATCATTGGAGGTGGATGTGGCGCGGCGATACACGAGTCCATTGACCGGACAGCTGGCACTGGTTGTTGCTGCTGGGGGTGTTAATGATGGACGCAGTTTGGCAGCCTCGTTGATGCTGGGAGCGGCGGGGGTGTGGGTGGGCACGCGCTTTGTGGCTTCGGAGGAAAGTGGTGCGAGTCGTCTGCACAAGGAGGCTGTTGTGGGAGCGCAATATGGGTAGACGAAGAGGACGCTCGTTGTCTCTGGGCGGCTACTGTGGATTCTGCCTAATGATAACATTAAGGAGTGGGAAGGACGACCGGCTGATATTGCGGCATTGACGTCCCAGGGGGTGGTTCCTATGATGGAATGCCTAGAATGTGACGGTAGGCAAGGCTTCAAGAAAAAAGGTCCAATTCGACGAAGAGATCAATGATGCAGAAGGAAGAAGAAGAGATCAAGCTATGTTGAGAGCAGGCTTTAATAGCTGGGAGCAAACATGATAACGGTGGCAAGCCATCATATAGAGTGCCTAGGACTCAGCTTGCATACAAGACATTCAATATCCTAAATGAAGATCAAAGGCATTCCAAGGTTAATTATCATCAAAGTTCTTCTTCACGTCATCGGCGAATTTATCGTCAACAAGAACTTGACAGGCTACTACAGCCATTCCTGCTGCGCAAGCGATGGCCCTCTTGTAACCTTCCTCGGACCCAGCACCCTTGGTAAACTGGGGTGTGTGGTTGACACCATCGGTGGGAATCGTGAAGATGCCGTGGAACCCAGGAACCGCATATGAAACATTGCCTGAGATATCACTTAGTCATAGTTCAAATCCTCATAAATCGTTCATTACTTACCCATATCAGTAGAGGCTCCGGCTAATGTGCTCTTCTGTGTCGAATTATCAAGCAACGTATGGTGGCCCAAAGCACGCATCACAGAGACGTAGCTTTCACAAATCGGTAGATTGGTTTTAAGGTCATCGTAAGAGATACCCCTAGAAAATCTCGTCAGCCGGTTTGCAGTATCGCAATCGAGACAAATTTACCAATCAAAATCAACCTTGCAGCCAGTCGCAGTCGCGGCTGCCTCGAAACACTTCACCACCTTCTCAGTCAGAGGTTTAAGTGACTTGACGGTCGGAGAACGAATATAATAGTCCACAGTCGCCGACATTGGAATGATATTTGGTCGATCACCACCATTAACGATCACTCCGTGAATCTTCTGTGTCGGGAGTATCTGCTGGCGAAGCATTGAAATGTTGACATAAGCCGAAACCACAGCGTCCAGTGCGTTGATGCCTTCCCAGGGCGCGGCAGCGGCATGTGCGGGTTTACCAGTGAAAGTCACTTTGACCTTATCATTGGCGAGGAACCCACCCTCCACGACGGTGGCCATACCCATCAGTTCGGGGCTTCCCGGCACCATAGGAACTGGGTGGACCATAAGGCAGGCATCGACACCCTTATAGGCTCCTTTGTTGAGGAGACGAACTTTACCGCCACCGGATTCTTCTGCGGGAGTGCCGATGAGGCGGAGAGTGAACCCATTGCCTGAAGATTCCTGAAACTGGGCTTTCATGGCCTCGCACGCGCCAATAAATGCTGCTATCGAGCTGGTCGCAATAAGGTTGTGACCGCAGGCATGGCCGATCCCAGGTAGAGCATCATATTCCGCGTTGAAAGCCACAACGCGACCCCCGGTTCCTTGAGTATACTCAATCTCAAGAGCAGTCTCGAGGTCATATGCCTTGCGGGTAACTGAATATCCTTCAGATTTAAGATTGTCGAAAAGCTCGCAAATGTGATCATGTGCATCGAACTCTGCATATGCAAGCTCAGGATTTGACCAGATCTGGTACAGGGTTACCAATTCATTCTGTGGTCAGCGTAATGTAAGCTAAACATACCTTCTGGTTGATATCTTTCAACTGCGCGTCATATCGACGCAGAGCGCCCTGCACAGTATCTAGAAAGCGGCTTTGGGATTCGGAGAATTGCATGTTTAGGACTGTGGCTGATGATGAACCAAGTCAGTAATTTTGACCCCTGTTTTTCTTATATAACTCTTACTTCAACAATTTCCCATCAGTTTGACGACGAGGTCGAGGCGATTGCAACGATAAAGCGGTGGTTCGACCAATCAGATCGGCCCGGCTCGATAAACTCTCGGCAGCGCGAGGATTAGCCGATGCAGCCAATCGGCAACGTCAGCTCGGCTCCGAACCAAACCTCCGAGCGTCAGTATCTTCCCCGCCACTTTCCCCTCATATCTCAGTTGCAGGTTTCTCGGGGGACCCTGGTACTTCTAAGAGTCTCCAGACCTCGCGTGCGAGCCGAGACAGATGTGAGCTTGAAACAGCCCATCGCCCAAGGCTGTATGACTAGCAATGCATAAACCGGGGAAGACCCGTTCTAGGACAGGCAAGGATCCACAGGCCCTCTCCCTTGCATCAACACCCGGGGCTAACACCTCGTCCAGGTTGCCGAACCTGCCGCATTCGAAAGGTGAAATGCGATGAGGAGAAACTGCCAAGTCAAGCGCACGAGGAGCCACAGTGCAGGCGATGCTTTGCCGCGCGAATTCTCTGCGAGTGGAACGGCGGTCCAATCCCGCGCAGGTCGACGCGTACCTTGGCAAACAAGTCTCTCAAGAGCTCTCCAAGGGATGAAGACAGCACTGCAAATAGCCCCGTTCCTGCAAGGAAGACATCTCATCTGCAAATTACGTCATATTCGCGGAAATCACCTTCGGTTCAGACATCACCTTCTGTGCAGGGCCGCAGCATTCAGGCAGCCAATTCCTTGTCGTTGTCCGCATTCGATCGTGAGTGCTTGAGCTATCTTCAAGATTCAATTCTGGTCGTAGTACTTGGGAAGCATTGGCCTTGGTCAACTGTCTCCTATACCTACCACAAAATCGCGATCAAAGAGCCCATGGTTATGAGCATGATGCTAGCTAGTGCTGCGAGGGAGATCTACCGCGCTAAACTTTACGATGCGGAGACTACTCCCCTTGATTCTTTGTCAAGCATTGATCAATCAGATCTGGATGGCAGAGTCCATTACGGTCGAGCTTTGTCGAGTCTCAGGGAGGCTCTCAAGCAGGAAGTAAAATCTCCTCAACAAATTGAGGCCATATTCATTACGCTTTGGCTGATGATAGACTACGAAAACCGCTTTGGTAGTGGTGCATCTGCCATCAATATACATATCCGGGGAATTGAGACACTTCTCCACAACCACATTGTCCCTTTACTCCAGTGCCACGCACGCCCGCCTGCCATCCTGGACAGTCCGGTCCCCTTGCAGCAATCGGAGACCCAGCCAGACGCCACGACACTCGGTGAATATGCGGGTGATGCAGACTCTGCTCCCATTGCTCCGACCGCGGCCCCAACCCACGGATTGGGCAGCACATGTGTGCCTCTCTACCTTCTTTGGACTTTGTATTTCTTTACACCTGCAGCCCTTTTCTTTGGATCAGGCACAGCTCGGCTGGACACCGACATCTTTCGATTTTTCTTAAAATCCGAGACCGGGAATACTGCTCTTAGCTTACCGGAGCTCTACAGGCTGAGTAGACAGTCTCCTGCGCGGTTTTGGGGCGACAGATACCCCATCTCGTCCCAACTTGACGATTCAGAGAATCTTCCGGGACTGACACTTTATCACCGTAGCCATGTGGTTCAGTTCAAAATTACTGAATTGTTCAGACATAGTGCAGGACCAGAAACAATTTTTGGAGAAGGTTCTCCATATCAAAAAATTGTTAAGGAGATAAACACGCTTTCTATCGTCAGTTCTTCCTGGCGGGTATACAGCGGGGTTTTTACTGACATTTCTAGGAATATGACACTATCCTGACTTTAGCCAAAAGATCCCCCTCTTGCGATGTCGCTGGCGATCGCCGCGTGATGGAAACCATATTTTGGTCTGCCATAACATTCTATGGCACAATAGTCTATTTCCACCTCTGCTTCGAGGATATCCTCAAAGATCAACCGGATCTACAAAACAGCGAACGAGATATACTCCCATTAAACACGACCGTATCCCAAGTCCTTGAATTAAGTCTGAAAATGCACCGAAGCCGACCAAGACTCCTAGTCCGAATAACATGGCCTTTGTTCATTGCGGGTATTGCAACATCGGACCGTATATACCAGGATTGGGTGTCAATTCGGCTACGCGAGCTTGGGAGATACGGTCAGAATTATGAACGAATCAGTCGCCGTTTTGATGAGATTAGCCAAGGAGGCCAATCTTATTTTCACGAGCGAAGAGGACATTACTATATAGGGACTTAATCAATCACTTTTTCAGTCCAAATATTTAGTCACGTCCAGTTTTTCATCAGGGCATTTCGTCGTAGATTCGATCACCTTCCATCGGTGGCTCGAGGAAGTCTGACGGAGGATCTAGAGGTAGCTGATTTTTCTCAGCCCATCCACGGACATCTTCGAAATTCTTACATCGGTGTTGAGTGTTGAAGTCGACATAAGGCTCGGGGCTTTCAGGGTAGATCCATATCTGACCCAGGACACCGGTGTCGACTGTACACATGAGCTGTTGGCGAATGATATCAAGGCAGTGAGCTGTGATCGAGGTATTCAGCGAAATTGACCGTGCAATAGGAAGTGAGAAAACATACAGACGTGTCGGCGCACAATGTAGTCATCATTGACGAATGGGCCTTCACCCTTCGCGTGGTAATAGTCATAGTTGTAATAGAGTGATTGACGGAGAAGATTCTTGGGAATTTTAGTTGATGCAAGCAATGATGTCTAAGAGGAAGAAGCCCTTACCAAACAGTGAAGATGATGCAGCCCTTCCACATTTGCCGGAAATCCTCCTCCATATTTTTTGTTGATTTTCACTTGATCGGCAGCGAGTCCACTCTGTTTAGCATCTTCGAATGGCACGCGAATACTTCGATCTATATTAGAAGCAAATGTCAGTGAGGTTCGAGGCATCAGTGAGTGGACTGGCCACCAACAATTGATTCCCAATGATTCCCACGCCGCATCTACCTCAGGGCCCGCATCTAGACGAAATATGCTTTCCTTTAAAAGCGAGCCATTGAACATTTGAGGGCTGTACTCGATCCCAACTTCTCTTGTGATAGTTGCTAATTTGACAGTGAGTTAGTGGAACAAATATGAGATGAACCAGCTTACAGTATTGGGAAGTATGTGCATGGCACATGGTATCCAAATCTCCACGCCAGTCAAAGCCAAACAATGCTCCAATCAGGAAGAAGAGCACAAGTGCAGCTGTTTGTAAAAGACCAGTTGCAAAACTCTTGCAGCATGCCGTTGGGGTTTCCTCATTGTTGGTCCACAGAGTGCCCTCCTCCTCCGCCAGAAGGCGCTCTCCAGACTCATCTGTGGGCTGCGAATCACGAGTCTTGTCACGGAACATAATAGTTTGGAATTTGAATAGTTGAGAGAAAGAGAGAGGAAAAGCCTTTGCCCAGTGGAAGCACTACCTCCATTCTCCCACCCGCAACAGGCCTGGTCTCGCCACCCTTCCAAGCTTCTGACCGCAAGTTCGACAACAATACTGCCCAGCTTTGATGATTGCATTGCCCAGGAATTGACAATCTCTGACATAATGTTCTAACTGCATGTACTGCATGTCTCACACGTTTCGCAACACCATGAGCTACGAAGTAAAGTGCACAGACAACGCGATACGAGTACCTCCCCAAGGGATATCACACCATGCGAAACAAAGACACACAGCTGAATGGCGTCAACGTGTTATTTCTGATGCCAACCACGATACTATGAGCCCGGGTAATCTCCGCGGAATGTGGTCAAGCCTCTTTTAGTCATGATCTACGCGTTTCCTGCAGCTTCATGCGAGGTTCATCATGCAATTATTTCAAACTCTCCACTGAAATACTGAGTTACAGCAAATGCTACTGATCGAATCATGGAGTTATTCTATGATTACCACGCGTCAGATCGCTTATCCCCCGCAAGGTAAGGTGGTTCTCGACCACACGTTTACAACCGTCCCTTGCAGTCAGGATTCATCGCCATCACAACATGGCATCAACACACCGCAAGATCGCGCGAATTGATGCCAGTCAGTGTCGTCAATGATCTCCGAAACTAACAGTAACTAGCTTTCTGGTACGTAACCTAGAAGCTCGAAGCTAGCTCTGCTCAGATATAAATATGGGCATACCGTCCGGTCTCAAGTCGATATCTTCATACCGGCAACCCCGAGAGCCTTCAATCCAAAGAAGTCACCGAAAAGCGAAGAAACGCCGAAAGTCTCAAATTCCACTATCTCCATCTTGTTCAAGATGCGCTACACCGTGATCAACGGCCTTCTCCTCCTGGCGGTCTCCCCTCTGGCTGCCCTCGCCCTCCCAGTTAATCCCAACGACCAAACCGGTCAGTGGGACCCCAGTGGCCAATACCGCAAAGGTCACTGGCAGAACGGCCAGTTCATTGCGAACAACGATGGCAACCGCTACAACCAGAATGGCCAGACCAACCAGAACGGCTATGTTGATCGGAACGGCCAATGGCGCGACAACAACCAGAACGGCCAGTACAACCAAAACAACCAGCAAAACCAGAACGGTCAATGGGCCCGTCCATCTGCTGTAGCCCAGCCACTCAACTCGGGTACCGTGCGGAACGACGGTGCCACCCTGGTTCCTGGCCTCGGCGGCCGTGACTGGCCCAACGACCAAAAGAACCAGAATGGTTGGACCGACGCAAATGGTCAGTGGCACCCAAACAACCAGAACGGTCAAAACGGCTGGACCGATGCCAATGGACAGTGGCATCCTAACAACCAAAACAATCAGAATGGTTGGACCGATGCCAACGGCCAATGGCACGCAAACCAGAAGCGTGATGTAGCTTCTGACGCCAAGAACAACCAGAATGGCTGGACTGATGCCAATGGTCAATGGCACCCTAATAACCAGAACGGTTGGACCGATGCCAACGGCCAGTGGCACCAAAACAACCAGAACGGTTGGACCGATTCAAATGGAAAGTGGCACGCAAACCAGAAGCGTGATGTCGCTTCCAACAACCAAAACAGCTGGACTGACGCCAATGGCCAGTGGCACCCGAACAACAGTCAGGACCAGAATGGCTGGACTGACGCGAACGGACAATGGCACCCCAACAACCAAAATGGTTGGACCGATGCCAACGGCCAGTGGCACCAAAACAAACAAAATGGCTGGACTGACGCCAACGGCCAATGGCACGCAAACCAGAAGCGCGAGGTGGCCTCTGACGCCCAGAAGAACCAGGATGGCTGGACTGAGGCCAAGGGCCAGTGGCACCCCAACAACAACGACCGGAATGGTTGGACTGATGCTAACGGACAATGGCACCCCAACAACCAGAACAACCAGAACGGCTGGACCGATGCCAACGGCCAATGGCACGCAAACCAGAAGCGCGATTTAGCCTCCACCACTGTCCAGCGCCGCACTTGGCGCGACGCTGGCAGAGACCAGGACAACCACAAGAACGACAACAACAACCAGAACCAAGACCAGAACGACTACAACCGCAACCACGGAATTGCGCCCAACCCCAGCGTTATCACCCGTAACTGGCCCGCCAACTCCAACAATGTGAACCCCCAGGTCACTCCCAGCTCTCAGAACAACAAGTACCAGAGCTACGGAAACTACAAGAACTATGGCTCTTACCAGAACTACCCTGCCAACCCCCAGGACAAGAACCAGGACAAGGCTATCAAGGCCAATGTTGGTCAACAGGAGTAGAAGCCCACTGGCCTGGCTGAGTTGATATGGTCAAATTAGCTACATGAATTCTGTGATACTTTTGGTGCTTATTGTGTTGTCGAATTGGAGGAAAGGGATGATTTGCATGAGACACGAACTGGATACGCTCATTAATGATTTTGGCTGATGGCCTTTTTAAGTACATGATGAATAAAGAATCTGAACAGCTGGATTTGAATTGGTACTTAAGTAGTAGAATTCTACAGCCAATAAATGAAATTGCTTATACTATAACTGTCAAGTATGGCTTATATAGTGACATCTTCCAGGTTTTTGACTCCACAGATTCGTCGGCATTCTAGTAGAAAATGCCGCTTCTGTCTTATGCCTTGATGTAGAAATCCTCACTCATGTCCTCGATCAGTTGCTTAAGATATCTCAGAACTTTCTTGTTGTTCTCCAGGTCCCTCTCCAGCTCGTATGCCAGCATGGTCAAAGCATATCCCATGATGGCGCAGAACTCAGTGATCTCTGACGCTCCGTTAGTCCCGGGGAACCATTGCGAGGGTGCCCTACTGACCGTTTTACAGTGTCCTTCCTTTTCAACCATTGCCATTGCAACTCCAGCGATCATTCCAATTTGTTTGGAGTGATCCAGAAGGGCCACTCTAATTTCCGCAAGCCGTGCCCATCCCTTTTTATTTGGGTCATTGCGAAGAACGTTGGCTTGACGCTCCAAACCGGCCTTGAAATCGTTGCACTCGTTGCAGTAAATTTCTTCCCAGGTTTGGGTCTTGCGTTGATATTTGAATGCTGTTTCAACTTGCCTGATATCGGTCACGCGTGATTCTGAACGGATAATTCCGGAACGGACGGTTTTGCGGACCATTTGATCGAGATCACTTACAGAATCACGCTTTGGGGCCCCCATAATACACTGCTTGATGCGGTTGAGGATGTTCATTTACTCGATACTCCCAAGTTGGGCTTCTGCCTGATAGATGTTAACTGTATGATTTTGATCACTTGATGTCTTTAGATTGGGTGAACAGTTATGCGCGAGGATCTGGGGCTATTTGTGCTACCAGAGTCCTTGGAGACTAAGTCGAGTTCATACAAGACTATGATCAAAGAGTTTCGACAAAGAAAGCATTGTTGGGTTTGTCTGGAAACAAACCACCCATTGATGGTTTGTTCACAGCACAAAGGTGGAACAATGATACACTGTACAAAGGAGCAGAGCGGCCAGATCGGATGATGTCCCAATAAGCCTTTTTCCTGCCTGGTTATTGCCTTGTCAGCTTCTAGCGGGCAGAACTGAGACACCTGAATAACCAATACATAGACTATGCCAGATCAAACCATGCCAAATGAACTCTTCTTGGAAAAAAATAAATAAATAAAAAAAGTTACGCCCGATCCTGGATTCGAACCATGGGTCTCTGGAGGACGCGCCAACACCTTCGGAGCACACGCTTATGCGGTGACACACTCCCGGGTTGGTACGCCCCCGCAGTGCCTTAAACCACTCGGCCAACCAGGCTTTGTATATTTAGTACCAGTGGATCTTGTCACATATCCAACCAATCCTCGCCACTTTTAAGGCCCACTGCCCCACCAATTGGTCTTGGCGACCTGGCCGCTCTGCCCCTTCGTACCAGGTCAGTGGACCATACATCGGTCCCTAGGAATCTAATACTTGTCTTTAAGCAATATACCGGTTGGCAGCGGAGGCTTTGGGAGGTGCAAGGATATCCTGGTATGGTCATAAATCGTAAATGTACATCCATAAAATGATCGCACTCTGGAACACGCTCAATCCCTATTCAAGAGATATTTCATTACGCCTTCCCCACTCATCGATCAGTTTTGCAACATGGTATTGAGTGGTCCATCCCAAATCCCTCTCAATGCCAGCAAGGATCTCAAGAACAGCATCTTGTTCTCGTTGCCCTTGGAACACTTGTCCAGCGACGAACAAAGCCTGCACAGAATTTATCCTGAAAGGACCCGTTGGATTCGCGAGGTTGATTCCACAGATTTCTCGAGCATGGTAAAGTGCCTCTTTCAATGCATATCGATATGCCCTCAAGCGTGCAGAAACCGTCGATCGAATAGCCGTGGACTGCTGAGGCTGATTAACCAATAACAATATCCTGGCTTGGTGATAACTTTGGACCGTTGCAGCGCATAAGGGCAAATCAAACCAGATTTGCTCAAAGGTCTCTAACGCAAGTTTATGTCCTGGATCACTGCTTCCTTGGCCCATTGTGCGGGCGGCTTCTGTGAAGGTAGATGGTAGGCAGTCGTACCATTTGTCAAGCTCGGACATGAGGATCTCCCATCGGTCATTGAGGAGTTCTTGTGTGAATCCAATGTATGGACGTTGTTCGCGGGGTAGGATGAAATCTTCTGGGACGATAGAGTCTCCTGCAGTGAGGTGGTTCGCGATCTTGCCAAGAAGCCAGGTGAGCTCGTTGCTCTTCATATCTTCCTCGATACCGAGGGAGTTGTTGGTATCGAAAGGGCTTGCCGCGGGTGATGGGAAGAGATTCCCATGCTCATCTGTAACTAAGCCAACATTTTGCCAAAGTCGCACGTCCTTCAAATCCAGGCGAGTAAATGTTTCGCTGATGACTGTTTCTATTAACGGCCATCAGAGTGCGGAGAATGTATGCTAGACTTACAAGCACAGAGTAGATCCTGTCTGGCTAAACTCCAGAAGATAGGTCCCTTGATCGCAGTCTTGGGGATGATCACTGAAGAGTGGGCCGGCATTGATGCAGATGTGTCATTGAATAGAGGCAGTGCACTGAGATGAGCTTTCCATGCGGTACCTGGGGCATCCATTAGTTCATAAAGACACAGAATTGCCACTGCAGCGAGCATTTCTTCCTTGTCGGAGGGGTTGTCATTGTATGCTCCAAGGTTGATAGCCCTTTTGAGAAATCCAAGTGCTTGGTCGTAATGTTTTGCCGACTGATATTGCCATGTCTCCTCGTCAGTCGATGGAAGTAAGGAATCTTTGCGGTTCTCTCCGACCGAGGTACGATGGACGTGCTGGAGATGTTTTGCAGAAAGGGCGCAGACTGCAGATTTAAGCAAAGGCCTTGTTGCAGCGAGTACGGGGACTTTTGATGAGAAATAAGCGGTTGTGTCAAAAAGATCCATCCTGTGACTGGTCAGTGACAGTCATTACCATGTTCAGTACTTCAATACTCACCACTGACCGGGCCCTTCCTTGAAATGTCGCAACATGTGGGACACAATAACTTTAGAGTCAGCATCTCTCGAAGAGCTTTCGGGTCTTGAGACCGAGAAGCCTACACTGGCAGGCGTTTCGACTGTGATGTTTGTCGCTGGTGTCCTCCATCCTGGGGAGCCGCTTAACAAGGGACCTTCCAGACATTGCAGGGATTGCTCCCCACCGGAAGCTGGATCTGTATCCAGCTCCATCTCGTTTTGAAGGAGAGAGCTGACTCGCGCTATATCCACTCCAGGCTCATAACCTTGACCGGAGGTTGAGCTGCTTTCAGCTTGATGCTCTTCGCCTCCCCATGCTGAGCCATCATTTTGATCCGCAGTCTCCAGATCATCATCCCGCAACATACGCTCACCTTCAGGTGAGCAAGGATCCTCAACTTGAATGAATGTGACTTGGATCTGTTTAGCAGTGACTCGGATTTTATTTGATATGACACTCACGTTCGTTAGGTACCTCCACCCACGTTTGGTCTTCGAGCTCTTCCTGAGTATCTCGAGTCTTCCATTTTCGAGCATCGGGTCTTTGCCTCGGTTTTCGTATCGGCGAGGCGATGTTGTGATTACGGAATATGCACCGCTCTTCAAATCGGCATTCCCGATCTGCTTTGACGCAAGGGCCGCAGATTGGCTTTGCTTCGTCGCATTTCAATTTGCGACCTCTGCATGTCATGCTACACCAGTCATATTAGCCATCGCTCTGCTGATCATCTTGCACACGTACCACCCAGTATATGAGCGCATTTCGCGATGAGGTCGGGGAGTTGCTCGGGATCACTTCTACAATCGGGTAAAGGGTGGTCTCGGCTCCGGGTAAAAGCTACCGATGACGTGCCGCCCTGTGGGCCGAACCATGTGGCACCCTCGGCTCCATTTCCATTTTCGGTCGTCAATTGGTATCTCCATTGCCCTCGGCTGGGTTACCATCTAGGCTCATAACCTTGGAATGACTCCTCTGGGAGTGGAGAACGAGATGGATGTACAATCATCTCGAGTTAAACTTTTTCGCGACTTGCATGCTACTTAAACGTGGCCTTATGTGCTTTCCATTCCGATCCATCTTCGTTCAAAATGCCACCAAAGCTATACCTGATCCGCCATGGCCAAGGCGAACATAACATCGATGTACAATGCCCCGATTTCTCTATCCTGGCATCTACTCAGTATCTTACCTGTCTCGCAGAATAAGCATCATCTTCGCGATCCCTTGCTGACTGCAACGGGAAAAGAGCAATGTCTTCAGCTCAGAGACGAATTTCCATTTGCTAAGGAGGTTTCTGCTGTTTTTGCGTCTCCTCTTCAACGCACAATCCAAACTGCTGCATGGACTTTCGGTCCAGAATTGCAGGAGCGCCAGTTACCATTTGTACTAGTGCCCAATGCACAAGAAATCAGTGGTTTCCAGTGTGATTTCGGATGGGAGGAATCTTATGTCAAATCGAGTGCCCCCAGCCTCATCTCAGAGGCCGCTCCCGGGTTCGATAAGTCAAATATTGATACTACTCTTGTTGATGGATCCTGGAATTCAAAGGTAAGTAAAGTTTTATACAACCACGATAGCAATGTCAGGACACTTTCACTCACCCATATTACACTTGAGCAGAAAGGCATATATGCTCCAACACTCCCCGCTGTTCGCAGGCGTGCTGCAGAGCTGCGACGCTGGCTCAGGTGTCGACCGGAGGAACATATTGCTCTGGTGACCCACGGTGGCTTCCTTCATTATCTCATGGAGGATTGGACTACCTATGACAAGGCCCACAGTAAGTCAATGAATCCCAGCATTAGTGGGTTTCGAACTAATCTTTTGTCGCAGGCACTGGCTGGCGAAACTGTGAATGGCGGCAATTCGAGTTCACAGAGGACTCAAACGCAACCGATGCGCATTTGACGGAGGTCGGAAATACCCAACAAAAGACAGATAGGGCTCCGGGTCTTGACTCTCATGTGATACAAGAGATTGAGGAAGTTGAAAAAGCCACTTTTTGATCTTGGGAATAGTATGGCCCAGACTTGCCAGCCTTGATGTTCGGAAAATAATCTCAGATGCACGAAAGATATGTATGTTTACGCACGTGTTTGTCTGATAGACCATTATTATTTTTGCGGTCTCCCAGGAAAGTGGACATAGAGAAAGACGGAGAGGAAGAAGTCAAGACAGAAAAGATCCTAAGTTGAAATGGGATTCGATGTCCACCTTAAAACATTGAATGTGGGAATACTCCGTTAATTGCAACAGAGCCGGGGGCCTGAGGTGCGGACAATAATTGTTCTTGATAGAATTGCCCTTTGTTTTGACTGCATCAGAGCGACCACTCATCTAGTAAAGCTTTCATACAGGCTGCACCTATTGCTGCAGCATACGGTTGCCATATTTTATTTTTATGGCTGTCAGCATAATCACACACCCCCTTGACCACCACGCAGGGTAGGCTATCCCAGACCCCTACACCCTCCATTTCAAAAGCTATCACATTATCTTGCATAGAGATGAGATCTCTATCTTGTCCAGATTTCATGACTGTATCCCCAGATGCGATAAGACCAAGATGAATCGTGGGAGAAGGCGTATGTCCTTGGGTAAGTGCAGCCTGAAGCCGCTTGCGTTGAACAAGTTTATCCTTGTGGCATTTCAATTCATGACACGATAGATCAAACACTTCGTCACAGACTGTGCTATTGGTAGAATGGACACAGCTGATGCAAGCATCGGGGTCATGATGTTTATGCTGATAAGTAGACTGAAAGAGCTCATCCTGCTCTATCCCTGGATACCGGGCGGTGTCATTGCCAAGTGTCTGATTAACAGCTTTCAGATATTTCTCCACATTGCTACCAATTCGCTTGCGTGCCATCGTCGTCTTGATTTTCGAAAGGAAACCTCGGATCGCCACATTAGGCCGACCAAGCTCATCGGTTGCAGATGTCTTGCGAAGAAACGCCCCTGGAACTCTTCTGCCAAAATCATGCTGGACAATCCCATCACTGACCACTATATCACCAAGAATAATCTCCTCGTGTCCATCCTTATATGGAACACCGCCACAAATCCCGACGACCAAGGCGAGCTTGATGTTCGGATAGGTTGATCGTATAGAAGAGGCAGCTTGGGATGCAACGATCTTTCCCATACCTGGAAGGTGTACCAAAACGGCGTGGTGGCGACCCATTCGACCAAGGGTGTATGTGTTTGAGTCTCCTGGTGCGTTCTGATATAGGGTAGAATCTTGAAAGAACCCATCAAAAAGCGCGCTGACTGCATCGACTTCTAGCGGCAAGGCACAGAATATTGCAACCGTGAAATCTGTCTGAATGGCAGACTCCGAGGCAGTAATGGTTTTGTTTGAGATGTCTTGGTAGGAAATTGCCTCAGTTGCGTTCGTCGAGGGAAGACTTTGGATATCCCAGTCATCTCGGTAGGCGTCGGATAATCGTTTCAATGGGACGACAATTTTCTCATAGAGGGCATTCTGTCGGGCTCTGATTTCGTCTACCTCTCTAGATTGCCGCATTGAGAAGCCACCGAACAGGTCAGGATTGAGACAGTTATTAACAGCCTCTTCATACAGAGAATGCACCGTATCTTTTAAATTGCTTCTATGGGCTGTTGTCCACGCCCATGTATAGTAATCATTGATCACAGTCTCACTCAAGGGGTGAGGACACTCCTCACCTGTCAAGGGCTGCTTGACCGCGATTTCGACGAGGAGGATACCCAATGCAAGAATATGTGGATATTGGTGCATCAGATCACTGGCATGATAAAAGTCGTTGGACTTCACAATCGCTCGAGCCAACTTTGTCGTCAGGTATGGATGTGGCCTACCCTGGCCTGTCAGGCCAACTCCCTCACTCAGTAATTGAATACTTTCGTGGGTCCAGGGTGTCATCATCCACGGCGAGTTGTAATATTGCCAGACGGATTTGGCAATAGTATAGGCTAGGTGAGATTTACCCTTATTGGAGATATGAGGAATCTTTTCAAGCCATTGCCCTAGGGAAAGTCCTTCGCGAGGTAAAATACCACGGCAGGGAATGGGATCAGGTGGTTCAATAACCTTAAGCACATTTGACTGGATAGAAAAGTGGACAGGGTTGCCAGGCTGATCATCGATCAAGGTGCAAAATTCTCCCAGCGAGAGTCGCCGCATGTTTTGTGCCACACGAGAGAGATTTTGTTTCTGCGATAAACGCTCAAGGGGTGAGCTGCTGAACCCTACTTTCTTCCGCTTCTGAATACCAGTCTGCCTGTGAATCTCGGCTCTTAGCATTAGCTGTATTTGTTGGCTATATCAGGCGATTGTCTGCCTCACCTTGGAACCATCACATTTAACTCTTTCCACGATACAAATGATTCAGATTGTGTTGGAGCAAAAGAGTTGCCTTTGAATATGAGTTCAAATGACACATCTTCATCCCGGCCTTGGCTGTCGGTGCTCAGTCGCAGCCGTGTCCAGTCCAGGTGACCCGTGCGGCAGCGACATGTAGTCCAAATCTGTAATTGAGTGTAAAGCGTGTCATTCAAATGTCCTGGATATCCAATATCGCCGTCATCCTGGTATCCCTCCTCCGTATACAATGACTCCGTTTCATCCACTGTCAAGCAATCCAGAACTAGGCGTAGAAGGGTGTGGTATTCTGGGTTTTGTAGGACAAAATGTACCAGGCTTTCGTGTGTCTCTTTGATGACAGTCTGTCTGATTTTGCTTGTGGAATCCTTGTGAGTATGAATTCTCTTCAGAGCTCGAAATCGATCTGCCTCGTTCCGCGACCTCTGCGAAATGTGTTAGTGAAGGCTGATTGAATGAGTGTATACTATGTCACCCACTGAACATGCTTTGTCAAGAAGCTCAAATATGCCCAATAGCTTTTGTCGCCCGATTGCTGTCTCTCTGATCGATGCTACCTGCTGGGATAGAACGAACAGCTCGCATCCCAGGGTACCATAAATCTTATTTCGAGTCTGCTGCCCTATGACAATGACTTGGTTGCTTATCCACGGTAAAACCTGACAGCCCAAGTCCAGGACATCTTGGTCGTCCATGAAGCGGGATGAGATGAATCTAAGCAGGTTATAAGTTGAAGTTAACGAAGACTCAAAGAAGACAAAAGTAGTGTCAGCTAGTGCGGGGTAAGTCGGCTACCTGCAGCACGCGATGAGCCAGCCCTCTTTTGAGAGAACACAATCCAATCTGCATATTCGAGGTTGCGTTCACAGTTATGGCAGACGAACTTGCCATATACGATGCCACACTGGCCTGTTATCACGTTTTCCGAGACATGGGTGCTGTACCTATCTTGGAAGAATGGGCAGAGAACTGCCTAGCGGACTTGAACTTGTGGGCTAATGGGGTTGGTGCCTTGAAGGTGGGAAAGGCATCCCTTGATGCTCGACTATCCTCAAACCTGGACGCAAAGATCTTTGTGGTTAACCTTTTGGGAATGCTACAAGGATTTGTGGAAAAGTGCGGTGAGATAGGTATTATCGAAACATCACTGTTGAGGAAAACAATAACGACTGACTTATTCACCAGGAGGCGAGGTGCACAACGATAAACCAGAGACCTTTGAGCTGCCCCAGGCTATCCAAGATGTAAATGATATTATGGGCCAACTAAGCAGGATCACAATGTCGATTCGCAACGCTGGTACAAATGCTCGTATCCAAAAGGCCGATGCTTCCTATGACCCTGATCATCCACAGATTAAATCTTTGTCTCAGCATCTCCAGCTGCTTTTGCTGGTAAAGCCTAGCAAGAATGGCACTCTGCAGGCAAGGGCCTCTTCGCAGGGCAACCTAGTGCTTTCATCCAGAGACGATACCATTGTGATCGATCAAAACTCTTTGACTGCTATTCAGAAACGAATCATCAATGCAAATTTGAAACGGAGAAATCGATTTTTGTATGCCCAGCGCCATGCGACGAAATTGTCTGAGAGGCATCAGGTCCCCTCAAAATGGATATCGGCACCTCGAAAATTACCTCTGCCACCCGTCCTGAACGCTCTCAAAGTCAGTAAAGAAGAGCATGGTGCCCCACAAGGCTGTAGTGCAACCACCGCCACCGAAGTACAGGATCCGATTGCACTACCAACGCAAGCCAGTGCCCAGCCAGCAACCACAGTCATCTCTACAATCAGCTCTCGTGTGACGTATCCCAGGCCTCCTCCACTTAAAAGTGATCAGAATTTATTTCAGTGCCCTTGCTGTTATCAGACATTGTCAACCTCTATGAGCAGAGGAAGTCAGTGGAAGTATGTATTGATACCTTGAGCTTTTTAATCATGACTAACCATATAGCGATTTAGGAAACATCTCTCTAGAGATATTTCTCCCTATACATGCATTCTAGAGGACTGCCCTCAGCCCGAAAAACTATACCAAACCAAGAATCTCTGGCTGTCACATATGCGCACGGATCATGGAGCCATTTCTAACTGGGTGTGCCTCGCCTGCAATGATTCAAGTGCGCGTCCAGTATTCTACGAGAAGTCAGCATTCATCGAACATTTAGAGGGAAAACATTCAAGGGGTATCAATACCCAGCAAATCCCTATGTTGGTCTCGGCCTGGCAGCGGAAAATGTCGATATCGATTCACTCTTGCCCCCTGTGTGGCTTTGAAGGCCAAGATTCAGATGCCATCTTGGACCATACTGCTGAGCATCTTCATTCATTCTCTCTTAGATCCTTACCATGGGCACCGGCGGAAGATGGGTCTGATAATGATGTGTACGATGGCTGTTATGAACAACATCCATATTTTGATATAGGAAGATCAGTCGATACAGAGAGTGAGCGATCGAGATCTTCCATGCCATCTGAGCAGGGGGACCTAGAAGAGTTACCTGTCGTGGGTTCTGGTGGAGAGACAACGGAAAACAGTGGGCTGACAGAAGAGAAGATACGGGGTATCTCGAAAAATGCGAATGTTGAAAAAGATATGCTGGATGCATTTTTAAATGGCATTGAGAGCCAAGGGACTTTCGAGGAGCCATCCCCAAAAGCCAATGTCAGCAATCTTGGTTCAGTCTTTGGCAGCGAGAGCGAGTATGAAGAGGCCGAACCCATGCACCGACGGGATTTGGAAGGGTCAGAGAAGGGGCTAGGGCCAGGGCATGCAGACAATGGCAAGGCTCGCATATTCCAGAAAGTCGCAGCCGCTAAGATGCCGCATCCTTCCATCAAGATCGATAGCAAAGTCCAAAGCACGAAGCGCGGCTTGGAGGCCGATGGTGATGGCTTCGATGTGCCTAGTCAACAGGTGGATCCCTGGTTGGATGCTGGCAATACAGACAATATCCCGCCGTTTTTGTGCCAGTCAGTTTCGGGTAAGTGAGAGAAACGGAATTATGCGCGCTGTCGTAGAATAGCGAAGGAAAGAGGCAAAGAAATAGAGAGCGCGTCTCGTACATGTTGGAAGACAGCTGGCTGACCGCTTATATTTGCAGAGATTCACGACAAATTTGAAGACCTCGAATGGATGCAGCGCACACGAATAAGTGAGAGTCTGTTAGCCAATGATATGTCGCATCCCTGGACCCTGGAGTCCGACCCCAAAGTTAAAGAGCGGAATCGATATTTCAACGTGCAGGCGTGGGCCAACAATCGCATCCATCTGCGGGCGCCCGAGAGCGGGTGTGATTTCATCAACGCCTCTCCGATCGTACTGAAAGACTCGGCCTCGGAGGAAGAGAGGACCTATATTGCGACACAGGTGGGTTGGCAAATCTCTTGGCATGCTCCCTTTTGTTCTAGGCCGTTGGGAGGCTCCTGGCTAACAATGTGATTTGTTCTGATCGACAGGGACCCAAGAATGGACATCTCGCAGACTTTTGGCATATGGTTTTCCATGAAAGCAAGGATGTGGCTGTCATTGTTATGTTGACCCAGACCTTCGAGGCTGGCCGGGAGAAATGTGCACAATACTTCCCATTGGATGAGGACTCAGCTTCGATGATTCTGACAACAGATGACTCGGATACATTTGTGAACGATGAGAGCAGCCAGGACGAGGTGCCCAGGGAAATTGCGAAGGTGGTATTATTGGAATCAATGTTCGATGCTAAGTCACGCTCGGAGATTCGTAAGCTCGAGCTGACCATCGGCTCGGACTCTAAGATCGTGTGGCACTTCCTCTTTGCAGGCTGGGCAGATTACTCCAGGCTCGAAGGCAGCGATCGTGAGGCACTCCTTGAACTGATTAAATTGACAGCTTCCAAATCTGGGGGACCCGACAATCCACGTGTGGTCCACTGCAGCGCAGGTGTTGGCCGCACAGGAGTCTTCATTGCCCTGGACCATCTCCTCCAGGAGCTGGAATCGGGCCAGCTGCTGCAGGTAGCCGATTCCGAGACCGACCCCGTGTTTGAAACAGTCAATAAGATGCGTGAACAACGCATGATGACGGTTTACAACGAGTTACAAATGCAGACCATCTACGAGGTGCTTCGAGAGCAAACAGATATCAAATTGGGCAAGATAACAGGGCAGAACAACGTGTCGCCTGGAAGCCGAATGGATGAACACCAGTCCGCCAAGCTTGCCAAGTTGAGTGACAAGACTGATTATTTGCCTATCCCATAGGACCGGTCGCAGTAAGACTGTACTCACTTATCCACTGAGCTACCTGAGCAGCTTACAGAAAGTGGGTAACTTTTGTGTTTGATACCCAGGTATAGACACAACGATTTCCTAATCGGGAACATATCTATCCCCATTATCATCACATGAGATAGAGCCTCATCGCATACAGTAGTATATATTAGCACCTTGAAGAGTCATATTTACATATAAATTGAAATGGAGCACAATAGGGGGAGGAGGAGGAGGAAAATAAAAAAAACAAGTGTGGGAAGGCTGGATCACTCCCCCCCTCTGTTAAGACTCAGGTGTTCCTGAAGTCCAGAGGGAGCTTAGGAGTACGCAGTATTTAAATCCTGAACGCCCGAACCCACCGAGCTACCGGAGTAGCTCACAGAAACTAAGGAACTTTTGTATCTGATATAGACCTCTGTATTTCCTAATCGGGAAGGTGGATCCACCACCGTCACGTGACACATATAAATGGGCACCTCAATTTCTGTACTTGGACATTTCTAAGGTTACCTATTCAACTTAACTGACTAAATCCTCTACCTAGGAAGCTTTGGCCTTGCAGTCATCACGCAATGTCGCCCGGTGCAGAATTCCCTTCGAAAGTTCCTCACAGCAACGTGCAATATCTCGACGGACTTCATCCATTGACGCGTATTTGTCACTCCAGCAGCCAGAGATGATGGAACCAAAAACCAAACTGTCAACTGGAGGAAACTTGCGCTGTGAGAATAGCCTCTCAACAACTGTGACTAGCCTTCCCATTTCCATGGTTTTTTCCAGCTCGGCGTAAGGGACATGACTTGTTTCAAGCTCAAACAGCATAGACCCAAAAGCGAATATATCTGAGCAGACACCGAGTTCATCGCCAAGCCTAAAGCTACACCACTCATATCCGACTTTGGGAGCTTCACCATCAATACCAGAGCCAGCGAAGTCAATGAACTTTGCATGTTTGGTTTTATCCACGATGATGTTATGACACCCAATGTCTGCGTGGATAATTCCCTTGCTATGGATATACGCTAGACCTTCTGCGGGTTTTAGCGCCCACTGAAGCTTTAGGGTCCAAGGAATGGTAGACTCGCCGACACTCCGCTTGTCGATACCCCGGAGTATACCGCGAAGACAAGTTCCACATTCTAGTACTTGGCCTTTCTCGGTCACCTTGTGAAACGCGATGTGTCCATGGTATCCAAGTTGTTCATAGCATTGAATTTCAATAGCGTACGTTTGATGTTCGAAGTCCCCTGATGTGGGCATAAGCTTGATCACATCATCTTTGTCAATGGCATAGATCACCGAGGTTGTGCCAGCTGCAACGAAGCTATGAGCTTGATCCAGGCTGGGTGATGAATCCATTTGTAGCACGAATTGCTGATTCGTCGATAAATCATGTTCCTGTTGGCCAAAATGAAAAGAAGGAGCAACCGGGTCACGTGTAAGCATGAGGTATCACAACTTCACATAGACAAACGGGTGGTCACTGATCTTGAGCTCGAGCGCTGTTCGTACAGCAAAGCGGCCAGACAGAGAAGGTTCCACCCGCCAGAAATTATGGGTCCTTTGGCAAGTGGATACAGCCCCACGAGGATGCGTTTTTCGAGATTTGCGTGACTAGAAATGGCAGACTTAGCGAGATCGCCCAATGCGGTAATTTTTACCACATAAGATCCTTGTCGTCGGCCCGTGTACCATGCCGCAAGGGAATCGGAAGCACGACATGAATGCCCAATGCTTAAGTCTTTTGCATTTGAAATCTTCAGTCTGGACCAGGGAAGACTTTTCGGCATTGCCCTGTGAAGCTTGATGTCCTGAGTAATTGCGGTAAGTGAACCGAGATGCCCAATTATCGTGCTAAGGGAAGAATCAAAATCCCTAGACCACTGGAAAAATTTTCACTTACTTAAGGATGCATTTCAATTTTAAAATCAAATACCTTGGAGATACTCAAGTACATCCTCCTTTCACAGTCGTTAATTCAATCCATCATACTTGTGTACCAATTCCCCAATTCCTCTAAACACAAGCCCTGCACAACTCTATACCCAGCCCAGAGAATGGGACTCTTCCCTTCAAATCTCCGAAGTCCGCCAAAATATCTCCTAGGATGCATTCTGTGCTCAGCCAACGGCCTCCTCTTTGGGATGGACACAGGCACCATCGGCCCTGTGACCGACATGACCGACTTCAAGGCCACATTTGGCGGCAGTGAGAACTCGACTATCCACGGTCTAATCGTATCCTGCATCTTGATCCCAGCTGCTCTCTCGTCATTCTTTGCCGGCTATGTCGCTGATCGACTCGGTCGACCCAAGGGCATCGCCATTGGAGTATTTATTTTCGGTATCGGTGCAGCGATCGAAGCCGGGGCCGTGGCATTATCTATGTTCATTATTGGTCGCATTGTGGAAGGACTCGGAGAGGGCCTTTTCCTTGGCAATCTCGTTGTTCTGATTTGTGAGATTTCGCCTACCCGTACGAGAGGGGCCATGACGACTGGTCCCCAGTTGGCTACCACTTTGGGATTGGTTCTGGGATATTTCGTCAGCTATGGAACTTCGAGTGTTCAATCGTCGCTTTCGTGGCGATTGCCTTTCGTTGTTCTGGCGAGTCTTTCTATGATTATGTGCTGCTTGTCTCTTTTCTTGCTCCCGGAATCACCGCAATGGCTTGGACTGCATGGTCAATATGCCTTGGCTGAAAAGGCGTGGGAGAACCTGGGCGTGCGTCCCGAGGAGCGTGAGAAAGTCCAAGCCAGCGTCCAGGTCACTGAATTGCACTCTGATTCCGGCGAGGAAGTCAAAGAGAACACTACTAAAAAGCTTCTTGAAATCTTCTCCAAGGATGTTCGCGGGCGAACACTTCTCGCTGTCTTCTTGATGGGAATGCAACAAATGAGTGGAATAGACGGAGTCCTTTATGTATGTTTGAACAATCCCCAGCTATCTTCTAAAGTTGGTCTATTTGAGGACCCCGGCTAACGTAGATTTTGATCAGTACGCACCCCAGCTATTCCAACAGGCCGGCCTTGCCTCTTCCGAAGCCAGTTTCCTGGCATCTGGAGTCTCAGCAATCGTTATTTTTGCAGTCACCATCCCAGGACTAATCTATGCAGATAAATGGGGCCGTCGAACCAGTATCATCTATGGGGGTATTGGAATGGCCATTCTGATGTTCTTGATGGGCGGTCTCTATGCCGGAGAAGCTGTGCATAAAACAACCGGCGCTGGCCGATGGGTTGTAATTGTCTGCATCTTCCTATTTGCTGCTCTATACTCAGTCAGCTGGGGTATATCTGTCAAGGTCTACAGTGCTGAGATTCAGCCGCAGCGGACTCGTGCATCCGCTACCACATTGTCTCATTCAAGTAATTGGGTCACCAACTTTCTGGTGGCTTTGACTACTCCTGTCCTGCTTGCAAAGAGCAGTTATGGTGCTTACTTCTTGTGGGGTGGGTGCTGTGTGGTGACTGTTATTGTCAGCGTGATATACATGCATGAAACTAAAGGTCGGACCTTTGTCCAGATTGAGGAAGCATTTAAGGGAAGAAAGCTAAGTGAGGATGCTGAATGCACTGAAATTACAAGCAGGACATGAGCTTTCTTGGCTTCCTATGATGGATATGACATGATTGAGGGATTGGACGACACATAAGACTTAATGAAGGATAGATCATAGAGAGAAACTTGGATGGTGCTATAACTAGATCAAAAGTGAGAATTCTTCTTTGTTGAGCTCATACATATTTGCAAAGTGCAAGCTCAGCAAATCCCACCCTTGAAGCACTGATTGCTATCACTTTTAACCATCAATTGCTTGAGAAGCAGCTTCAAGAGAAGTGTTAGGCTCATCCATGGATGTCAGCCCATTTATACACCTTATCGCCACGTGACCCACTACGTCATCGCCGATAGTCGGCTTAGGCAGCTCAGCTGTCACCGGCGACTTCAAACCCGTTCACTATTCTCAATTACCTCCCAAAAACCAGAATACTATTTTGACAGCTTTCAAAATCCTCCAATGTCTGGCCTCTCAATCATCCGCCCACGGGCAACCTCAAGCCTACGCCTCGGACTCCGCCATGCCCGACCCTCACTCACAACCCACCGCACCTTCCACAACCTGAACACCAAACGTCCCCGGGTGCCCCAATTCCCCACGCTTCCCGCCATCCCCAAACCCAGCACCAGAAGCTACGCAGCCCTAAACAACTCAAGTGGCAAAGCCGAAGCAGACCTCCTAGTCGAGGAACTCCAAGAACTGTACGAAGTCGCCAAAGACGAGTTCGAAATCGCGACCGAAAGCACAGACACATCCACCATCTACGCAGCCTCGGATCGGGAATCTGCTCGCGATGCGTTGAACCAGCTTTCAGCTGTTTATGGACTTTACACGGCTCGTGAAGGCGAAGTTCAGAATGAGGTGGGAGAGGAGGATGGGGATGGGGCTATTATTGAGACGAATTATAATCCTGCTGAGGTTCCGCAGGGGGTTAAGGATGAGGTGCGAAGACGGGTTGGGCAGCGGATTCGGGAGTTGAGGTCTGCTGTTGAGGCTTTGGAGGAGAGGGCTATGGCTGATTGAGTTTGGGGATGATGGATACACATACACATGTTGTGTTGGATGTGCCATGGATTGGAATCGCCGGGTGATGTTTGCATGGGCATTCATGTGCTCAGGTGTTGAGCTGGGAATGTTGGGTTGGATGTGTATTTTCGAACAAAATCTTCTACGGAGTACAAATTTCGGCATTATTCTTTCAAATTTTCACAAGTGTCATAACAAGTGTCAGATGGATGTTGAAAAAGTAATTGGTATTAATCGATCAGTACAAAGTCCCGGCAATAGTGAGCCTTGGGTGGTATCAACTTTTTTTGGGGTTCTCATGAGTTTCCGAATCGCCGGACACAAAGTGTTTACCGGCTATCCGTAGTACGCCCGGCCGCAGAGAGCGCCATATTCTATTGGGTCGTAAACATGACAATCGTATACAATAGGTCTTTGGAGGTAAGTGGATCATTAGACGATGGCAAAGGGAGGCAGCGTAAAGTGGTCGGGACTAGGTGAGGGTAGGGTCGAGCAAGATTCGTGTTTATGGGTTGTTCGTTGGTGACGCTTCAATTGATCTGATGGGGGAGAAAACAAACTGTTAGCAATCTGGTTTAAGGGTAATAGCTTACAGTCGAGGGGCCTACCGGGGCGTGTGAAGCTTTTGGTGCAACCTGGGAAGAGGCACTTATGCCTTCGTTCTCCATGAGCTGAATATAATTAGTAAATGAGTAACGGGTTCTGGGGGTATAGGGAAGCATACTCAGTCTATGACTAGACATGTTTGAAGACTGCTCGAATGTTAGAAGGGATGCTTGTGATAGTGAGAATATATAGAAACTCACATCGCCTGTTGTAAAGTTGCATCCTGGCCAAGTGCACTTGAATGGCTTCTCGCCAGTGTGAGTTCGCGAGTGTGTTTCTGTGGAGTTCAGTAGATGGTTCACAGGAAATAAAAGTGTTGGGAAAACCTACTCAACTCGCTGCTATCAGTAAACGACTTGCCACAGTGTTTGCACGCATATGGCTTGTCGCCTCGATGGCTGCGCTCATGGCGATCTAATGTTGCCTGTCTAGCAAATGTCTTGCCACATACCGCGCAAGAGAAGTTTTTATCTTGGGTAGGCAGGTCAGTTGAGTTGGTCAACATAGAGGGAACATCAACTTACAATTGCTATGCGTGAGGAAATGACCTTGGAGTTTGGACTTCTGCGAGAAGGGTTCATCGGGACGATGGCAGCCTTCCCAACAGCAGTAGTACCCATTTCCCTTTGCTCCATCAACAGTGCTCATATGGGCAGCGATGAGATGCTCTTGGAGAGCACCGGAGTCGGCAAAGGCAGCACCACATACTGCTTTGATTCCGTTGATCGTAGGTGCCCACTTGCAGACATGCAACTCGTTGTCCTCGGAGAAGTCCGGGGTCGTGAGAATAGATGAAGCACCTCCATCAAGAGGCGGAGGGGTTTCCCCCGGACTTGAGTGGAGGTGGGAGCTAATGCTTGAGCGGGCGTGTCGTGAGTAAGGAGAGTATGGGTGGGAGTGAGCATGATGATGAGCGCGGCAACGATTATGACTACGATGAGGACCCTTTCGGGTGCTTTGCAGGTTGAGTTCGTTAGGATGCTTGAAGTGGTTGTGGACATGGTGATGGTGACCATGGTCATGGTCGTAACAGTTCAATGCGGACGTGTTGAGTTTAGGTTTCTCAAAGGGGTCAAACATATTTTGCTGCCCTGGCGCATGTTGGTCTTGACATATAGAAAAGTCGGAGCACATCCCAAGCATATGGAAAACCTCTGCCGGGTTGACTTCGGTTTGGGTCGGAGCGGGAGCTGGGAACATCGCCTGCCAATCCTTCTGGAAGTCATGGCATTCAAAGTGATTCGGTACATCCTGCTCACAGTTGGTAGCGTGTGCTTGGTATGAGGAGAGAAAGTTTTGTTGTTGACTAGGATCGAAGGTGCCAGGGAAGGTGTGCTCCATCCCCTTCATCGGATGACTGGGAATGTGGGATCCCATCGTCGTCGATGGGAAGACACCGGTATCCAGTGATAATGGGGTATTCAGTCCGAAGAAGGTGTCGAAGCCACAATCTTGATTCTCCGTGCCGTCACAGCAATGAGCCTCGAAGCAAAGAGGGTCAATATTGTCGCAGTGATCCTCCGCGCAGTCAGGCTTTTCACACTCGGTCTCTTCACAATGGTTGGTATCGCAGTGAGTGTCGTCACAATTATCATCCTCACAATGGGTAGCAGAACAGACAGTAGAAGTATCACAGTCCAGAAAGCCTCCGCATGCTGACCCACAGTCTAGTGCGCAGTCGTCGACATCACAGCAGGCCTCGTCGACCTCACAGGGGGGTAAGGGTGCGGGGAGTTCGTGGCCTGAGCAGTTCCAGTGATCCTGAGGATTTTCAGAGGGGGCGACGGTGTCCTTCCCGTCTATATGAAAGGCTTCCCAGTTGCATTCGAGGCAGAACTCGCCGCCTTGGGGTTGAGACGCCATGGTGCACGGTTCACTTCAGGCAGGAGAGAGTAGGGTTTTAGGGCGGGAGACCAAAATGGGGTCGCCAGGAACAGAGTCACCAGGTGTACGACGACAACGGGGGAAATGCAGTTGAGGAACCGAGGGGGGTGCGACCGCTAGTGGGATAGTGTATGACCCTCAGGTACGGATTACTCCGTACAATATCCCGCTTCAATAATCACGTAGGCGAAAATCGTGTGGCCACTCCAGTCCACCACAATGTATGATGTCTGGTTTGCTAGCAGGAAATATCTGTCCCGGTTGGTGTCTTCGTGCAGATTGTGGGTTGTTCTTCCCGGCTCATTCGCTCAAACTGGTCGGATAGGAATTACCGACGCAATCGGAAAATTGGCTTGGATCGACATGCAGGAAGCAGGAAGTGAGGAGTCAGAGGACCTTGGAGTCACAGCAAAATTTGTGTATTGAAGTCAGAACAGGGGCCAGGATACATGGCTGGTGGTGAGGACCCTTGGGACGCAGATGAAGTGAGGACCTTGGGGACAGGGCGTCATGGTCTGAAAATTCGGGCGAATCGAATGTCGCGTGTTGACGATCCGCGTTGTCGTTTCCAAGGCGGGTTATGAGCACATGGCATTTGTATTTTTCCCCAGTCTGCAGTCAAGATCAGGATGTTCCATTCCGATGAGGAATTCCTCAAATTCTCCCCCGCGGAATGGATTTCCTATCGACTGGAGATAGTGACTCAGCATTATTCTGCCGATCTCCCTGGGGTTGTCAACATCCATCTATTCATCGACAATGAACACAATCTGCTAGTTACATGAGCATAAGCCAAATGTCAGGTCAGCCCTGTCAGACTACACTGCTCTATCAAGTGTCACAGTGTACAACACCAATCTAGACATCTGGAGAGTGGCTTAATGCGCTTCACCGCCTCCAGATCGACTATCTTATCGATACAAGCCCTATATCCAAAGGACTTGAACAGCACTGGAGAGCAAGATCATACAAAAGTCTGGTATTTTAAAGCTATTTAAGACTCTATACTAAGTATGTTCTGCCCAGTCTGCGCCCAGCTGAAGTCCATGATTGAAAATGTTGGGCAGGCTTCCGTCAAACAAGTACCTACGTCCATGGGTATCATTTAGACTCTTAAACACCGCAGAAGCAGGTACACCACAGTACTTAAAAGGTCATGGTATGACCTAGTTAACGGGAAAGCTCAAAATCCTGAACAAAGGCATTGCCTTTGTTTGGATCTTGGAGCGAAAAAGGGTTACATCTATAGATCTACGCAATATTCCGCCTTCCGTCCAATCTGTTTATTCTACGCTCCAAGGTTGATGACCCCCATGGTCAAAGCCACATACAGAAAAAAAAAGCCCTAGAAAGCTTCCACTCAATCTAACCACCCAAAGTTACAAATTACAATATACTTTAAGTATGCATAAAATGTATACAAAAACCCTGTCACAATCACAAACATTCATGATAGATCCAACAGGCTTGGCGCCAACTCCTACTTCCGCTCCCGAATCGCAAACCCAACATTCCCCTCAACCACCACTTGTGCACAATGGGCAACATTTGCTCGCGCAACGACTCAGACAACTTCAGTCAACCAGGCCGGGTGGTCGGCACCAACCCACCCAATGCTGCACCCCGCGCCGCCGTCCCAGCCAAAACAAACTGGAAAGCCACGCCAGGCCGCACTCTAGGCGAAAGTGACAGCACCAACGCTGGGGCTGACGAGGCGCGCGCAAACGCTGCCATTGCTGCGCAGGTATGACATTCATTTCCTTGAATGCTAGATGTGTATTGACTGTTCTAGAAACGTGCAGATAACGCCGGTCCAAAGGGCAAGCTGGGGTCTAAATTGGCTGCGCAGAAGGCGCAGACTCATGCGCAGACGTTGGGGGATGTTAGTCGGGATGAGAGGGCTGCAAGGGATGCGGATGGGGCTGCTGAGGCGCGGAGGTGGAATTGAGGGTGTTTGGAAGGTGTTTTGATGTGCTTTTGGCGTTAGACTATTGTAGCGTGTCCAGTGTTTGGTGACAGGGATGATGTCATCTGGTGATCTTCCTGGTCTCCACCTGTTTAATTTGACTTCGCATTTGAAGTAGTATGTATTTCAGTATCAGAAGTTCTTCGGTGTAGCCCTAAGGTGTGCTGGGTTTATTGGGAAGGTTGACATGAACATCGATTTATTTGCCCAGGATACCTCTGGCCATAGAGAGTGATTACAGAAACTAGATACTGTACAAGTTGCTGCATTGACATGCCTGTGATCGAGAGATTTAAACAACATTGTAACGACCACCCACAGGAGCACGAGCCTCGCTGTCGGCAGCTGCAATAGTCCCCTCCTTCAGTAGACGCATAAGCTCGCGCATAGCGTTGGTAACCGAAATCTCTGTCTCGCCCTCCACCAGGATGTACAGCTTGGGAAGTTCTCCAGCAGCAGGCTCCTTTCCGTTTGCATAGAAATTGCCCTTTGTCGTGATTGAGGTTCCGGAAGATTCCAGGATCTTGGCCACGTTGGTTCGGTTGGTGACAGCCCACCGAGCTTTCTCTGTAAAACGATGTGATTAGTACCGGTTCTGCAAGTGGGGTTAAAAAAGGAAACTTACGGGGGAAATCGTTGATCTCCATCGTCGCATGGAAGGCTCCTGCATCAGGTCCACGATTGTCGATAGGCACGCCCGATCTCATCACGCCTGCGCGGCTGAGACGAGCGTGGATATCAGCCACGGCTGATCCAACCTTGTCAAGGGCATTCTTGCCACCACTGGCGTCCTTCTCGGTACGATGGACCGTAATTTTACCGTCCAGATCAATACCCTTGGGAACTCCCGGAAGCGATGTTGAAGCAGGTGCAGCACCAGCTGATTGAACAGATGAAAGTGCCTTGTTGAAGCGTTCCTCTGTATCCTCTTCCTTAGTTTCCTCCTTCTCCTCTTCTTCGTCATCGCCATCTCCGGTTTTGTAAGCTGCTCGCTCACGCTTGCGCTCACTTGCGCGCTTGTCGTCAAGACGGTCAAGACCCTTTCCACCGAAACCGGCATCCATTTGCTTCTCTTTACCTGATTTGACCTTTTCTTGGAACTGATCAACTAACTTCTGAACAGGCTCAGGAACCTCTTGGCCACTCTGCCAAAGAGCCTTTGCAATATCATTCGCATACCGATCTTGATCTTCAGTCAAGAACGTTACGGCAGTTCCAGTATTTCCGGCACGACCAGTGCGGCCGGCACGGTGAACATAGTCCTCCAGGTGGTTTGGTGCTTCATAGTTGACAACGAGTTTCAGTTGCTTCACATCCAACCCACGAGCTGCCACCGAGGTCGCAACCAACACAGGGAAGATTCCAGCCTTGAAGTCTTCAATCGTGGAGTCACGGTCGACCTGGTCTTTTCCACCATGAATTGACATGCAAGGGTAGCCTTTACGCATCAACTCCTTGAGGAGATCATCGGCAGCCTCCTGGCGATTGACGAAGATCAAAGTGCGATCATCCTCATGATCGTCATCCGAGTACAGCTCACCCAACAACTCCAGCAAACGGAAGAACTTTGACTCTTGGCTACGGACCTCGACAAGCTGGGTGATCTCGGGCGCGACAACACTCCTGCCTCCGACCGTGATTTCAACCGGTGAATTCAGTGTTTTACGAGCCATGGACTCCATGTTCTTGGGGAAGGTGGCCGAGAAGAGGACAGTTTGGCGGTCCGGTCGGATGCTGTTCATGATCTTAACCACTTGAGGTTCGAAGCCCATATCAAACATGCGGTCGGCCTCGTCAATGACGACATACGTGATACGGCGCAAGTTAAGAACTCGTCCTCCATTGGCGGCAAGAAGGTCGATAATACGACCAGCAGTGCATACGACGATTTCCGCTCCCCGCTTCAATTCGGAAATCTGGTCCTTGATGGGAGCTCCTCCATATGCACAGACAGCGCGCAGACCCAATGCCTTCAGATAAGGCTTACAGTCCTTGTGAATCTGGACAGCCAGTTCTCGAGTGGGAGCCAAGATCAAACTAATTGGACCGTCCATGCCAGTCACTGGCCTTTGGTCCTTGATGTGTCGGAACATTGGGATCAGGAAAGCCGCAGTTTTACCCGATCCGGTCTTTGCCACACCGATAACATCCCGACCGGACATGATCGTGGGAATCGCTTGTGCTTGAATAGATGTGAGATGTTCATACCCAAGCTTCGTGATGACATCAAGTGTCTGCATTCCCAGACCGCACTGTGACCACTTTTGAACTGGCGCAGGGACACCGGAACCACGAAGCTTGATCCCATCCAGTTCAAGACGCAAGTTTGCAACTTCCTCCTCTGTCATTTGGGCAAGATCTGAGGGCTCAGTGTAGAATTCCTTTCGGAATGGCTCGTATTGCAGTTTGGTATGGTCAACCTCAGGGATCTCTCGCTTTTTCTTCTTAGCAGCCGCCAAAGCAAGAACATCCCCAGCATCCTCGTCTCCAATCGGAGTGAATTCGACGTCGTCATCGTCCCCGTACATCGCCTCTGGTTGCTGGGTGGCCTTTCGCTTAGAGAATGAAGCCCCGACGGCCTTTTTGGGAGGCGGTGCCCCTGCTAATTCGGACATGTAGGCATCAAGAGGATCAACCTCTTCAGCCTCATCGATTTCCATGGCGTTAGACTCGGTCTGACCATGTGCTCCGTCTTTGGTGTCCTCTTGCAGCCGTTCATCTCGCCGCTCAGCAGCACGTGCAACCGCAGCAGCATCTTCTCCTGTTCCTTCATCCTGCATTTCAACATCGCCGTCGTCTCCATCGTCGTCGCCTGGTACACCGGGCCCTTGAGAATCCTCCAACGGGAGAGTTGGGAGTTTTGCTAATTTCTTGCGAGTGGATTCTTCATCTCCAAAGCCCAACGTCTTGGGTGCAGATTGTTTCTCTACGTCTGAGGCCGGGCGTGCGCCTAGTCCGAACCCACTGACATTGCCTTTGGCTTTCAGAGGACCAGAGAGCTTAGCAGGAGGTGCAATGTGGGCGGCGGCACCGGTCTTGAAGGACGGCTTGGCTGAGGTCGGCAGAGCCACATCGGTACCGAGAACGGCGGGAGTTGCCGAGTTTGTGGAAGATGATTTCGCAATGGCCTTGGGGTCAAACTTTCCAGGGTATGAAGCTGGAGGCTCAGAATCAGCTGGCGAGAGGGTAGATTTACGGTCAATGGCATCCAGGATGTTCCTTGTTTCACCAGTTGACTGCTGTTGTTGTTTCTTTTCACGCTCGGCGGCTTGCTTTTCCTTCCAAGCTGCAAGCTTAGCCAGTCTCTCGGCCTTCTTTTTCTCATCATCAGTGGGACCGGTGGGGGCTGGGTTGGGTATTTTTGATTCCTGGAATTTCAAACGATTAAAATGACATCCTAGGGAACCTCGGGGAGCTCGGGGAGGAGCATGCATGGGGTAGCTCACGTCTCGGGTTTTGGAGATTGATCGTCGACTTGAGGTACGGTCACGACTGTCGTCCCGTCTAGATTGGGGTCTCATATCAGCAGAATCGTCGGCCCATCGGCGGTCACGGTTCCGGGAGTCATCTCGCCTAGCCCGGGTATCTCTGTCACGAGGGAAATCACGATCATCATTTCTGTCTCTGGAACGGCGACGGTCTCGGGATCTGTCCCTGCGAGGAGGACGATAGCTGTCTTCATCGCGGCGGTCTACTGAGCGATCTCGACGTCGGTATCCATCTCTATCACGGGGGTCTCCACGGCCACCGCGGTATCGACGCTGGGAATTGCCAAGGTCAGCTACTTGTCTGCGCAAAGTCAGTTGAGAATGAGTCCAACTTACTTCTGGACTGCGGGATCTGCGGTAACTGCGCCCATCATCCCGACGGCCATCATAGCGATCATTCTCCCGGCGCCGTCGTGATGAAGAGTATGTGCTGCCTACAGGTGATGGTGAGCGAGTATCCCCTCGGCGAGCCATTGTTGCAGGCTGATTAGTGAGTGTTACTGAAAGGCAAATGCACCGAAGGAACGGAGCAAACGAAAAGAAAGAAAGAGAGGGTGAGGTGCAGCTGTGCGCAAACACTTCTTCGTGATAAATGAGGCCTTAGGCCGCTTGGAGACAATCGTTTGATATTCCAACGCCGATGATGCAAACCCTTTTGCGATGGATTATGTAATGCGACACTAACCCTTTCCGGAAAGGTGCTACAGCGGAGGCGCCCACCTCCTTCTTAGCTTGCGCTAGCTCTCCTACCCTGACATCTTGGAAATTCCTTGTCAATTCGCACTTTCTACTTTAGAGCTTTGATCCTGCTACAAAAGGCGTTGGATATGTTTTCCCCAATTGCAGCCCGGGGGAGCTTCCTTCGTCTACACCGCGGTGCTGCGCGACGCGTTACCTCGGTGACAAGTGTGCAGAGCCAGCTTCGTCGTCTTTGTCTGTCTACCGCACCTATCCAGACACGCCCTCTGGCTCAGGGACATCTGCTTCTGCGTAATTTCACCCAATCCAGCCCGTTTACAACCCAGGCTACTGAGGAAGCCAATGAAACCGAGGAACCCAAGCGTGAGAAGCTCTTAACAGCGAAACAGCGGGAGATGAAGGACAGGAGGGCGCGCCAACAAAAACTTCGCGAGGAGAAGAGGCTCAAAAAAGAACAACTCGACGCGAAGAAAAAGGTCCAACAAGAACGACTCGAGAAGAAAAGAAAGCACGCCCAAGAAGTCAGGGAGAGGGCAAACCTCAAAAAAGAAAAATTGCAGAAGAAGCTTGAGCACCAGCGAGGGGTAGCCAAGCGGAGGAGGGAGAGGGTGCTCAGAAGAGAAGAGAAGGAGCGCCTTCAAAAGCAAGTTATGAAGCAGAAGAAGCTCAGAGCACAACAGAAGGAACGCGAACTACAAATCAGACAAATGAAGGACCGCGTTTTGAAACCTCCCCAAACATTGCCAGCGCAAGCTCGCCACGTGTTTATTGGAGCGAGGTTGCGTGAAATGCCCGGTCCCGAACATGGATCCCCGGCAACGAAACTCGAGACTGTCGCAGTGATGTGGAGGAACCTAAGCAGCTCCGAGAAAGAGGTTTGTGCTTTACATGTTCTTCTTAATCTGCTGACAGCTAATCACACAATTTAGACTCTTAAGGAGAAAGCTGAAAAGAACAAGCTCGCCAACAAAGCTGCGTTTGAATCGTGGATTGAGACATACACTCCTCACCAGATCAGGGATGCTAACAGGGCCCGCCGTTACCTCAACCGTGTGATAAAGCAAAACCTCAAACTTCTCAAGGATCACCGCGAACCTCAATACCCGATCACTCCGTACCTGCGGTTCCTGGTAGAGCAACACCATTCTGGCGAATTTGACTCAATCAAGGACATCAAGGAGCGCACTGCTCACATTGCTGAGGCATGGAAGACCGCTCCCGAGTGGAAGAAACAGGCAAGACCACCTAGAGATATGTCTGTTCAAACGTACTAATGCCCCACTAGGAACTGACCAAGGCTTTCGAACATGATGTCGAGCAATGGAAGAAAAAGTACACGGAGGTCTATGGCGAGGCTCCAGTTTATCGGGGATTTTAGCTCAGGTCAGCCTGATGCGCTTTGTGGAATCCACCGCAGCCATGACCTCGCTTCCTTTCGAAGGATCGTGGTTCTTCTATCGGTCTTGCTTTTGGTGATTCCCCGTTGTTGTTTCCTTTTTTTTCGGTCACTGTATCACCATGCTTTGACTCGAGCGTCCTCGGTGTCAAATTGTTATTTTGCTCTGCTGTATTCTTACACTAGGTCCGCAAATAGTCCGTGGTATCTTTACATGAAAGCACTTCGTATCCATCATTCCATCATCTGTCTTGAATCGTATGTTTATGTTTCAGTTTCCTGGTCCGAATGAGTCAGAGCCAGTGACTACTCGTAGTATATCGGTCCTCGCCACGGCCTCTCTCCACCACCCCCGCACTGGTGGATTTTTTATTCCGAAGCCCAAGTGGCGGTGAGCAATGGATGCGCTGCGCTTGCAGCACGCCCTCTTTTTGAGTGGCACCTTGTGTCAAACACGCTTGGCTAGCGAGAAACTTCTAGTAGATTCAGGTGTATTGAGATTGAACCGAAGTCGTCTGGGGGTGGAAACGTGGGTATACACATGCAGGTATGGGGACTGCTGAAAGTCCTCGAGTCCACAATGGAACGGAGTCGAGTCTCCAAGTGTCTAAATAGTCCTGATTGTCACTATAATAAGTACTTTGTCTGTACTAAAGTACTTAGTCCTATAGTCTTTGTCTGCAGTGTTTATTCCCTGCAGACGGGTGTACCCGCGATAGTATTGGGCACCCACGGTTACCGGGTTCATCATCCATGGAAGGAAAGGATCGGGTCCGTGGTTACGAATAAATAAACGAACATGAAAAAAACACCTGCAATGAGGTGAAAATTTGAATTGGTTGCATACGACACATCCTAGATTTAAAGGTGGTTTGTTAAGATCTCCAAGCCCCTGCAGTGCTGATGGAGGGGTGGTCTCGTTATCGATAGGACTGTCAGGCTGCATGTGCCCAGGTGCTCTGTACGATCAGGTCTGTGCTACATGGCTTTCGAAGTATGCCATGCAGATTGGATCAGACAAAGAGTGAATCAAGAAATGCGAGTCTGAACTGCGCTGTGTACATATGCCTACATGTGCGGAAAGCATATTTTTGTCCCCGGTTCCCAGCCACTTTATCGTTTTGTAGTAGGGGGTTTATTTGGCCGGTTGGAAATGGAATATAACCTTAAGCTGGATCAAAGAGATGTGTCTTTCACATCAATCTGAATGACATTGTAAATACCATTTTCAACATTTTCAATGTACATGTACGAGTACGAGTGATCGGAAGTCAGCAAAGACTCGAAAGTATAGAGAAAATCACTTGGAGGAATGATCTTCATCTCCACCGCCTGATTATCCCTCTCTTCGGAGACCCTTGACTTTTTTTCCCTTTCCTCGTCTTCTCACTGCAATTTTCCCTCTGATACCCAATATACCCTCTTGCTCTAATATTTATCAAACCGACACTGAACTCGCGCCGGTCGTGCAGGCTCCAGAGCTACTTGGTCCTCCCCGACACAGCTTAATTGTTCCCCGAATACTAACCACCCGCTCCGCGCAATCTTGTCACACCAAAGATCCTCTCTGCCTTTCATTCCACGCCCCAAAAGCTTGCCTACGCTCGGCCAAGACTCGACAGATGCGTTCGCCCGATCAACAAATCCAGTGATTAGGCTGTGTACTTCGGCGCATGTGACTCTTATCATGGCAGCAATTGAGGGGCACGCAAATACCTGGACTGGTGACAATGTCGCATTCTCAAATTGGGAGATGGAGACAGGGCAGGTTATCGACGAGGTCTGGACGACATTCGAGAAACGAGGGGCCTTTCGCTCGTTAAACCGGCCAGCCCAAAAGACAAACCTGGCTGGTTTAAGTTCTTGTCTTCTGACTCGCTCGGAACCACCCTCGTACGACCTGCCTCCCCTTTACGATGATGTGGTTCATGACCTCCCTCCCGAATACTCCACGCTTCCACCTTTGGCAGGCAAGAAACCTATGGCTTATGCGGTGCCGACGGTGCGAGAAAAATCGCAGACTCGGCCTTCGTCCCTCCTACGAGACTCCATGTTGGATATCAAGATTGATTTTGAGAATCTGACGGGAGTCAGGGAACACAAGAAGAAAAAGCCCGCTGCTGCGAAGAAGGCCGCACCGCCTACACCCCCTCCGCCACCACCACCGCCTCCTCCCGCCGAGGATAACCCAGATGATAATGCGGGTGGTGATGGGGGTGATGGTGGTGGGTCAGCTGGTGGTGGAGATGGCGGCGGTGACGGTGGCGACGGGGGCGACGACTGGAACGGGAACGGTGAGAGCGACAAAAAGAAGGAAGAAGAGGAGGAGGAAGCACGACTCGCCAAGGAAGAGGAAGAAAAAAAGGCGGCAGAAGCTTCCGCTGCCAATGACCTCAGCTGGGCCGAGGAAGGCGGTGGCGGTGACGACTCGTGGGCTGGATTCGCAAGTGTCGGCAAAAAGAAAAAGGGAAAGGTAAATGATCACCATATTGATTGTATGCGGGGTTCTAAATATTGTTACAGGACGAAGCACCTCCGGGAGGGTTTCAAGACGTCAGTCTCAATGACGGTGCACCGCAACTAGATCTGAGCTTTGATGCCCCGGCCCCTAAAACCGGGGGAACTGGATTTAGTTTTGGGGGCTGGGGTAAAGATTGGACTACTGGTAGCAAGGCTGATCCTCTTGGCGAGGCTCCCAGTGAAGACACCAAAGACAATAATCCTTGGGGTGCCACATCCAAAAAGAAAGGAAAGTCCGGGTTCGACTTTGGCGACCTTGGCTCTCCGCCTGCGGAGGATACGAAACAAGAGGATGATTGGGGAGACGGCTGGGGTATATCCACCAAGGATAAGAAGAAAGACGCCGAGCCAGCGCCAGAACAAGAGTCTCTGCCACCCCGGCCTGAGCCCCCGGTTAGAACTGATTTCACCCAGGAAGCTTGGTATTTAGGGATGTCCAAAAAGGAACAACGGAAAGCCAAGAAAGAAATGGAAAAGAAGCAGAAGGACGAGGATGACGAGTATGCGAAAGCTCTGGAAGACTATGAAGCTCAGGTCGCAGCCGCAGCTGCAGCTGCACCTGAGCCTGAACCTGAGCCTGAACCCGAGCCCGAGCCTGAACCAGTGATAGAGGAACCTCCACCTGCTACTGAGCCTGAAAATGACTGGGGCTGGAATGTCCCAGTCAAGACCAAGGACAAAAAGAAGAAGAAGATTGATCTCTTAGCTGACCCAGAACCCCCAGCCCCAGATCCACCAGCGGCCAACGACGATTGGATGGGCGGATGGGGAATTACGGGAAAGAAAGACAAGAAGTCCAAGGATCCGGAGCCTGTCGTAGAGGAACCACCAAAGGCTGATGAGCCAGATGACGCCTTCAGTGCCTGGGGCGTCCCGGTCAAGGAGAAGAAGAAGAAGAAAGGCAAAGTCGAACCGGAACCCGAGCCTGAGCCTGAGCCTGAACCTGAACCTGAACCCGAGCCAGAACCAGAACCAGAACTAGAACCGGAGCCTGCGCCTGTGCATAACGATCCCCTGTACGACGGCTGGCATGACCTTTCTTCCAAGGACCGGAAGAAGCGTGAGAAGCAACTAATTCGCAAGGGCCTCCCCATTCCCGGAAAGGACTTCGAGCTTAAAAACCCTGCAGACGAACCACCTGAGGTGGTCCCGGAACCAGTTGAGCCTGAGCCTGAGCCAGAACCGGAGCCAGAACCAGAACCCGAGCCCGAGCCTGAACCTGAACCGGAGCCGGAGCCGGAACCGGAAAAGCCAGCTGAGGATGATTCCTGGGGTATATGGGGACCCGTCAAGGACAAGAAGAAGAAGAAGAAGGGTGGTGACATCGAGCCCCCTCCGCCTGCACCAACACCCCCTGCCCAAGGCCTGACCCCGGAGCCGGAATCATTCAACGATGATGTCTGGGCAGAATTGGCCCCTAAGACCTCCAAGACTACGAAGAAGACCAAGGCCATTGAATCACCCAAAGAGGAGAAATCCAAGGGCAGCTTCTGGTCTGCTTTCACCGGTGGTACTACGAGCAAATCTAAGTCTACTAAGAAGGCCAAGGAACCGGAACCAGAGCCAGAACCAGAACCCGAGCCTGAGCCAGCACCGGAAGAGGACTTGCTTATCGACGTGGGCGATGAAGCCCCCGTAGAACCAGAGCCGGAACCAGAGCCAGAGCCAGAACCTGAACCTGAACCTGAACCCGAGCCAGAGCCGGAGCCAGTACCCGTGAAGACTTCCAAGAAGGCATCCAAATTGAGTGTCGCCGAACGAATCAGACAACTGGAGCAGGCTAAGAAAGAAAAGGCCAAGGAGGAGAAGTTGAAGAAGAAGAAAGCCCTCGAACCAGAGCCAGCTCCCGAACCTGAACCTGAACCTGAACCTGAGCCCGAGCCCGAGCCTGAGCCTCCTGCCGAGGAGCCTGTCCCCGTCAAGAAGAGCAAGTCCAAGTCCAAGAAGGAGGATTCTCTTCCTGGAAGCTTCCCTGACTTTGGAGATGACGTTGAACCCGAGCCTGAACCTGAACCTGAACCTGAACCCGAACCTGAGCCAGAGCCGGAACCTGAACCCGAGCCAGAGCCAGAGCCGGAACCAGAGCCTGAGCCTGAGCCCGAGCCACCAGCACCGGATCTTTCCAAGATGACAAAGAAGGAACTCAAGAAATACAAGAAGGCTGAGGCTGAAAAAGCCGCTGCTGCAGAAGCCGCTGCCGCAGAGGCCGCAGCCGCAGCCGCAGCTGAAGCTGAAGCTGCTAGAGAGCCCACACCCCCGCCAGAAGAACCAGAGCCAGAGCCCGAGCCCGAGGCTGAGCCAGAACCAGAACCAGAGGCTGCCCCGGAACCTGATGCTGAAGCCGAGCCCGAGCCCGAGCCCGAACCAGAGGCTGAGGCTGAACCAACTCCAGAAGAGCCAGCGGCAGAGGATCCTCCCCCCACGCCTCCAGCAGAAGAAGCGCCACCGAAGCCTGCAAAGAAAGAACGAGCTCGTGTCGATCGCAACGCGAATACGTGGGGCTCATTCTTTGGCGCTGCGCCCCCACCCAAAAAGCTCACTAAGAAGGATAAGCCACGCGACGAGGAGAAGAAAAAAGAATCCACGCGCGAGCGATCTCCTGGCGCTGTACGGACTAAATCCACCAAATCCCGGCCCAAAGAAGCAGAAGCAGAAGTTGAAAAATCATCATCCGATCGGGAAAAGCGACGAGAACGAGAAGGCCGGCCATCGAAGAACCAACGTGGTGTAGCCTTGGCTAACATGGTTCTGGGCACGCCTCAGTCGAAAAGTAAATCCAGTCGGAAACATGATTCATCATCGAAACCTGCATCTAGACGTCCTTCATTTGATGAGAATCTAGCACCAGAAGAGAAGGAGGTATCTGACAAGGCTGCCAAATTGATGATGAATGGGAAACGGCGTGAGCGACCGCGCACGGAACGGCGGAAGTCCGGTAGGAGAAACTCCACACTTTTTTTTTATTTTTGCTGACGCGCTTATCAGCTCGTGACCCGTATCCGATTGAGGATGAGGATCTTGTCGTTGTCGATATGGAAGATGCAGGGCTCTCACCAAAGGAAGACTCAAGAGGTTCGAAACGCAAGTCCAAGAGACAGGTAAGACAAGTCGACAGTATTTCCGAACCATGACTGACTTGGCCATAGTCACGACCAAGGCCCGACGAAGACGACACGGTGATGGTTGACGCTGACCAAGCGCAACCCGCAGAAGTCATCTCAGGACCCGACGACATGGCATTCGTAGATGCGCCTCGGGAGCGTCGTCTCAAGCGATCAAACACAGCACCACCGCCAAAGAAGCAAGAAAGTGGTGGCCTGATGGGTCTCATCGGCTCACTGCGAAAAACAGCCAAGCCAGAGAGGCCCGAGCGCCCTGAAATGCCAGATCGACGAAAGTCGCGCTCATACCGTGACGAAGACATGCGCTATCCTCCCGATGCGGAACGCGATGCAGCCCGCAGAGCGCGTCGAGAAGATCGACGCCGCGGGTCCGTCCGTCCAGACACCGACGCCGAAGGCTTCGTTACTGATGCCCCAGGCCCAGGTCCAGAGGCAGAGTTCGAGGACCGCGAAGCGCGACGTGCAGCACGTCACTCGCGACATGGATCTCGCAAGGCGCCCTCTGCTGCTGAGACTCGGGACATGGAAGCTCGAGAATCGGAGGAGCGGCGCGCGCGCAGAAAGCAACGAGCACGTGAGCGCGCGCGCGAAGAGGAAGAGGAAGATCGTATGCGCGAAGAAAAGCGTGTTCGACGAGCTGCGCGTGAAGAACGTCGTCTTCGCGAAGAACAAGAGGCTCGAGAAGCAGAGGCTGCTGCTGCTGCCGCCGCCGCCGCGGAAGCCGAGGCAGCGGAAGAAGCAGCGCAGGCTAGAGCCGCTGAGCGTCGTGAGCGACGAAGAATGCGCGACGAGGAGATGATGGCTGCTAAAATGAGTCGTCGTCGTGCGCGTGAGGAGCAGGAGTACTTTGAGCAGCGGGAGGAACGCCGAGCGCGAGGCAATCGGGAAGATCCCAAGGACAGAGCTCGTCGTCACAGGTCGAAGGTTCCTCTTGAGCCAAACAGAGAGCCTTATATGACTGGTGGCGGCAAAGACAAGATTTCTTCGTGGGTGTATTCTCAAGCCGATGAGCCTCCTGAGCCACCCCCAATCATGCCCACTGTCCTCGACATGCCTCCCCCTCCCGATGCTGGTGGGAATGGCCACTCCCTTTCGTCGGATGAGGAAGCACGACGTGCTGTGAGACGGAAGGCCAGGCGACGTGCCAAGTATCCCGAGGAAGAGGAGGATGCAAGATCCCGAAAGAGGGACTCGCGCCGTGAAGGTGTGAAAAGCAGTTCCGGCAGTGGTGACTACGAGCGTGACCGAGCGAGATCTCGACCTGGCAGTCGACAAGAAGCTCCCTCGGCGAAGAAGCCCAGCTGGTTCCGCAAACTGACGAATCTTTGAAATTAAAAATGACTATACGTGTGATGTGCTAATAGGCGACTATGTTTTTGTTATATTTTTCTTTTTACCAGCGATATTTCTGGATATTTTCTGTCCTGTGTTGACTACTCGAAGTGACGACAGATATGAACCCATGATATTATGACCAAATGAGATTCGTTTTTTCTACATGTCCTTTTTCCACTGAAACAATGCATTGTGTTTCTACTGACAATCAGATCACAACAATGACCTCTCGTGGTTCGGCGAACAATATCATTTGCAGGCAATCCTTAGTCTCACTGCACATTGACAAACACCACACTCAGCCCTACACCGTATTCAACTCTACACAATGACATGGGACCACAATGGGGCATGTGAACAATGGCATCTACATCCTCGTTTCTTCACTTGGTATATGTTTATCCCATAAACTGCAGTCCTTTTTGCCTTCGTTCCTAACTTCTACATCACCGCGATCACCACGCTTGAAAGGCCATTAGTCCAATATTCGCCAAACGCGTTCATCAGAAGGCATGTCACCTGCATCAAGAGATGTACACATACTCACAGCCCCAGATCGAACGCACTGTGACTTGACTCCTGCCTAACGCGGCACTGGAAAAGCGTCACTCCACACATCTCCCTCAACTCGACTCAAAAACATGCCTCCAACCACAGAACTCGGGCGAAAGCGACGCCTCACGCCACCCTCGCCGCCCCCACTACCAGAGTGCGTCGAGGAATGGCATCAGGCACGCCAGGCCTTCGTCAGCTTCCTGGAGCAAACAGCGGGTCTCTTGTGCAAGCAGGCCAGGCACATGGAGCAAGCCAAGGTCAATCTCGATGTGGAGGCTGGGAAACTTCTGAGTGAGATCATTCGGTGTGGTCTTGAACTTTCCTGCGATGCCGTGGACCATCCTCTTGTCAGTGAGAAGCCATTTGGGTACTACGATGAATATGTGATGGAGACTTGCAACTACCTGAAGCAAGTTTGCAGGGTCTTGGCGATAAAGATAGGGTATGGTGACAAGGCTGCCTGGTGTGTTCATTTCATTTTGCGGAATATGCGGGAGGATTTTGGGTTCTAGGTCCCTGGCCCTGGATTGTTGCCGTTGTTCTTCAGTGGCTGAGTCGGGATTTATGCTCCATGGACGACATTCGAGATGGGAGGAAATGTCGGGATGGAGAGGCTACTGGGGAGTTCAGGGAGTATTCTTTTATCTTTAGCAAACTGGGAAGAAGTTGAAATCTCCAATCAAAATTCATTTTCATGCCAGCAACACTTTCTTCCCAGCCTCCAGGTCCTGTATCCTCTTCTTAAGCTGCCGTCGCTTCCTCTTGGAGCCCATCTCCTCCCCAGCGATGGCCTCCAACTCTTCGTTAGACAGCTTGTTGACCCACTTCGGCGAAAGCAATCTCATGGGTGTTTCAGGCCCAGTTACCAGGTGATGATCCACGGCCTGCATGCAGACATTGTCCACAAACCTCTTCCGAGCCACCTTGTAGTATGCCTCCAGAATATCATGGATATCGTGCGTTGTGTGCTTGTCGTTGCTCATGTGATTATGGGTAAATAGGTCGTCGACCCTAACCACCTCTCCATGACTACAGTTGTCGATTGTCTTCGATGCAATGTTGTCGCGAAGTCGTCGTTGGCGGCTGAAAGATTCAAAATGTTAGTCATTGTATCTGTATGATAGTATGTATCCCGGAAATGTAGTTAACTCACCATTTTTCCAAATTATCATTCATGTAATGATTCAAAGTCAGCGGGGTTCCTTTTCGCTCAATTGTAAGCAAGAAGTCAACCATAGATATGGCACGACAGTATTGTCGGATCAGATCCTCTCTAAGCACCGAAAGAATTCGGGAGTAAATCTGACGATTTTTGCAGACTTGGCCAAGAACCGTCTGGATAAAGTTGTGGACGTAGCATATAATGTCACTGACATAGCCCCGAGAAAGTGTGGGCCACTTCACGGTTTGCTGCTTCATCAAAGTTGAAAGAATGGTGTGGTTGAAAGTGCCAATCTCGAAGCCGCGGGCATCTTCGTAAGCTTTGCTGACCCATTCGAAGATCTGATGTTTTTCAGGGGCCTGGACATCCTCGCGCTCGACCAAAATTTCTTTGATATCATCAACGTCAAGGCTCTCTTTGACATATCGGTTTGGTATGTCACTAGTGCTGCTGTTGATCGCGTCATTTGTGCTCGCCCCCTTACTCTTGGAGCCAAACGCATATGAATGCCCGTACAGTCCAATATCGCCGGAAAATTCATTGTTGCGGGTGGAAATCACGGTGGCCAAGCGAGCAAGCCTGTTTGCTTCGAAAATCTCATGAGCCCCGTAGTTCGTAGCTATAGCATTGGATGTTATGTCCTGAAAAGCGGCGACAATCTCGAGAAGAACTCCTCTCTGCTTCTCTGGTGTATCACGTCGATCACCCAGAATTTCCATCGCATCCTTGGTTTCTTTGAGCAACTTTGCAACCTCATCACGAACCTGGGGTTCTGTTAGTTCTTCGTTCAACATGGTACAACTGTTAGAATTTGAAGCGACATGTCACATACCTTGGGAAATTGCCGACGCACGGTGGCCGTGAGCAATTCCTGAAGCTTGATCTGCAATGCCTTGATGCCAAAGCTCTCTGAAGGGATTTGATATCAAGGCGAAGTCTGGTGAAACATTTTTTCCGCTTGGTCGCGGTGCGCATCTCCATCATTCAGCTCCTTTTGGCTTAGGTTTCGAACAAGGACCCAGCCGAGACCCTGGGTGTTCTCATTGTTGATCAGGTGTACCACCTTTTGCTCTGCTCCTTTGTCAACGAGGTCCGGTTTCGTCATAATCTTCATCGTTCTCAACTCCTCGGGGTCCTCATCGTGTGCCATTTCAATGATTGCCTGCGTCGCAAGGTCCACATTGGCTGGAACAACAGCCAGTATGATCGAGCGGGTCTTTTTCATGTACTCCAGCGCCATGTTCTTGACCAGAGCAATGTCCTCCTTGGTTGTCCGGTCAGTCGTGTTCTGGAAGATTCCCGGGACGTCAATCACGCTGAGGTGACTTTCATCAGGGCCGCGAATCTCAAGTTGAAGGACGTTCTTCGAGAAGGTCGGTTTGTTATCACCGTCCTGGGTTGAGATTCGCATTTGCTCATGAACCTACGACTCACATTCAGTTGGGATGAAGCGATAGAGTAGTATCATTCACGTACCTCGCGCATCATTTGAGAAAACTCATTGCTGCTTAGAGACTGCAAACCTGCAGCTTTCCAAGCCTGTAGCTTCTGTCTCTCATTCTCATCAACTTCAGGTGAGGGGAAAATGGAGGCGTAAATTTCCCTCGCTGTGAGGGTCAAATCCCGGCGAAATGTGATCTTTGTTGCGAAGCGGGTACACAAGCCACTGTCGCGGGGGAAGTTGACCTTGGTTAATCCCTCCAGTACTGAGCTCTTCCCACTGGACTGGTCACCGACAACGACGAGCTGGGGTAAGTCGACATGCTCACCAACATTACATTCGAAAAGCTTATCGATCTTTTGGAGCAAAATAGAGTCAGCTAGCGACTGGCCGGCAAGGTCCATAGCTAAAATCAGACAGATAGAGTGCTTGAAGGGTTTGGAAACTGAGAGAAGGATGAAAAGTTGAAGTAAGCTGGATGTGTGAGAAAAGAGGAGAGAGAAAAGAGGAAAGAGGACAGCTGGGAAAGGGAAGGAAGTGAAAGGAAGTGAAGAGGGAAAGGGCGGCCTTCCCTTTTAGGAAGCGCCCTTTTAGGAAGCGGCTCAGTTTCATGTTTGATATGTTTGATGCCAATTGTACTTCACTATTTGTTAGTAGCTGCGATGCTACATATCAAGTTCTATGGAAGTCTTCCGTTCCGAAAGCAATCAATGACTAAGTCTACTTGAGCTCCAGGGCTAAGTCTGGAGCCTTTCAGTTGTAATATCCCAACTTCGCGTACGCTTTGGTTACCCCAATGGCACACCATTGGTCTGAAACCTTAGTCTTACTTGGATTATTAGCCCCTGATGCAACCTGACTAGGTGACATATTCAGATTAGAAGTTCTATGATCAATCAGTGGTTTGCTGTTGGTCAAACTCACAAGTGGAAATATGTTTACATTGCTCGGCTCACGGGAGCACAGAGAGAAAGAAGAGAGGGTTGAACATGAATGCATTGAGTCATTGAGCTTCCCTTTCTCAGTGGCCTTCCACAATTCCGCAGAGCCTTCAATATGGTCCATCTCGTCGACGGCAGCGCGTAGTTTGGCTTCGAAGACATCGATGGGGTGATAGATGAATCCTTGAGATTTGAGGCTATACTTCTCTGCAACACTAGAGAAAGTAACAGTGTTGGCGCCAATTGTTAAAGCAGGAGGTGCCTTATGATTCTGGCTGTTCTGCTTGCCTTGTACAGGCATTGTGTTGGGCTAATTGATATTGCTTACTTTCTTCTAAAGTTGATCTGCTACAGTACCACAATGTAACTTTTATAACCATAAGTAGGGGTTTGACCGAACACTCATTTTCCCTATCTGTAGCCTCAAAGGAAATTGCTTTCCTTCTAAAGTTCCACCGTGTTAGTTCTCATGATAGACATAGTGACATTCAATCCAGTCTTTGTTCACAAAGCGGTCAAATATAAACCAAAACAACAAACTTCACCATTAGTCTAAAGAATAACAAAGAAGTAGCTACGCGTCTGGTTTGCTAATTACTTTCAATAACATTGTCTTTTGCCAGTCAGTCTCATTACTCCTGGGTCATCATCACTCTGATATTCCTCTGATATCTATCATCATGTGCCAAAAGGCTTTGAATTTATGCAGTAAGGTGTGCTATCAATATTCTTACCGATCATTTGCATTCGCCTTTCTCTGTCTTTAACTTGCCCTTTACTTTGCTGTTGCAATCTGGGGACCTCGAAGGCCGTTTGTTGGCGAACGGAAATCTCCAAGCTCTATTCAATAGGTATTAACCATTTAGAAGACCTTGCGGATATCTTCCCTCAGCATCATCTTTGAACCTCATCTCGCCGCTCTGGTATTCTCTAACATTTGTTAGACAAAGCGATCATTTCAAACTATCTCTTCAAATCTACAACTCTGCCAATACAACCATCATGTTTAGTCGTGAGCGGCCTGGACAAACCTCCTTCTTGCCCATTCTGGAGGGCAAGAATAACTGGATTGAATGGAAGCAGCACCTCGAAGTTGTTCTGGGTGCTAAAGACATCAATCTCCTGGATATTATCACCGGCGTGGAGAAACGACCCGAAGATCTTGTTGCGGCAGCAGCAGCAATTGAGGCCCTTCTCAAGGATGAGGAGCCGACCATGAAAGCTCTGTGGGAATTCTCCTCACCAAGCTCTTTCAGTTCGCCGGTTTCCACCGATGGCACTCCATCCTCGTCCTCGTCCTCATCTCCGCCTGCCTCAGGCAAGGACTATCAAACAAAGTGGGAAGCTAAGAACAAGATGGCTCTGGGATACTTGACTGCAACCGTCCATGAGAAACTGTCCCACCACATCGTCAAAGGGAAAACGGCACACGAGGTCTATGAGTCTTTGCGTGCAGCCTGTGAAGAAAAGGCTGTGCTCAGTCCATGCATCAAGACCATTCGATGGATTTCTTACAAATACGAACCCGGACAAAGCGCCGCCGATTTCCTCCACAAATGGCGCTTCTACCTCGATGAAATGCGGGCGACGTATGCCTCTGCCCAGCAAGTGCCACCGTTGCTTTGCTTTCACGTTTTCATCGGTGCCGTGAGCAACAATGCGGCATGTGTTCCCTGGCTAAACACGCTTTTCCTCGATCGAAGGGAATTTCAAGAGCATGACTTGAATGCTCTCTATGCCAACTTCTCGGTGGCTGAATCTCGGCGCACGGGTCGTAATCTAGGACCTCAAAATGGGGCCCTTCCCAGCGCTTCGCGGCACGCCTCGCCTTTCTATGGTGAACGGCGCCCACAGGAGTACTCACGCGTCTTTACCAAGAAGGAAGATGATTCGTGGTGCGCCATCCACAAACGGAAAGGCCACACAACTAAGGACTGCTGGAGCAACCCGAGAAATTCCCTCAATCGGCGCCCTAATACCATGTCCACTAAAAATGGACATCACCAAGGATCTACTTCCAAGGGCCAACCTTTGAAACCAGCAATCCCGAACAACGAGAAAGATTTCCACTCCTACCTTTCTGATGACGAAGGCTCCGACAACCTACCGGCGCCTGACTGCCACCGTATGAGATTCCCTCTGAGATCCACATGCGTTTTTATTTACTAACATCCTATCTTTCTAATCTAGAGCCTCGACTTACGCCTCTGCAGCAGAAAGCCGTGAACTCACGCGGAGGCTGGGGAAAGTTTATGGCGAGCTTTGGATTGAAGCCAGCCATCCGAAAGGATGTTCTCGAGGCTCAGGAAATTGCCACGGCACTAGCTAATCGAAACGGAGCTGACGAAGATAGCGACGATTAAGTCCTTTGAGAGGATTTTACCTAAGATGAGTTTTCCACTCATCGTACAGCGAATATTAAGAGTGGTCAAGACTAAACATGGATTACAATTCTACTTTCAAATTGTATCATCCCTGCATCACCTTCGTATCATGCCTCGTCTATAAGTGTAACCTCAAACAACCTGCTCTCCCCAGCAGGCATCTCGATAATAAAACGCCAGAGAGCCCAGACATCCGAGCAATCCAGAACCCCCACATCAGACTGCTCAATCTCGAAGCTCCTATTCTCTTCCGGGAATTTAAAAATTGCAAGGCCAACAGGAGCCAGAGGAATATCCGACGAGAAGTGCGAATAGCCGTAGGTGCATATCTTGTTTCGGACTTCATTCCATGTAGGTCGCCATTGTTCAAATTTCTTTGACCATTCTTTGTCGGTTCCGGCTGCCGCGAGGATAGCGCACATTTCCCAGAGGAGGTATGATTTATTGGCCCAGCCATCAGACTTTCCGATTGTACCAAGGGTAGGTTGTGAGCCGCGGCAGATGTGGAATTTGAAGATCGCCTCGGGCTCTGGGAGATCAATCAAGATTGAGCTGAAATCTTCGAAGGGGTCGAAGACACTTTCGGTGTCAGAGTATTCGTCGTCTGCGTCCCAGATTTCTTCGATCTCCATTGAGGCCTCGCGTGTTGGCTTGGTGGATGACTTGGTTCGGGGTGCCATTGTGTTATTTGTAAGGACTTCAGGACTTCAGGAGTATACGCGACTGGGTACTGGGAAATATGAGTTTAGATCTCGAATATGTCTTTTCTCATTGTAAGGAACATAGTGCTGTTTAAGTACTAGAGGAACATATCCGATGAATATTGAACTTCAAAGATCCTTTGTTTTCAGATCTATAGATATCGGCAAGAGATAGTTCCTAGTGACAACTGACAATGTTATTAACAATACCGCATGTTTCTTTGTCAAGTTATTATTGTCGCTTCCCCGCCACAAAGAAGCGATTAGACAACGACGATCCGGCTAGTCAATCCACTTGTGACATCGAGGTGCAAGGCTTTGTAAAAAGAGAGGGTAGAGGTCTCCGAGGTTCAAGGCAGTTACCTTGGCAAGGCGACGCCAGATCACAAATGAGACGTGAAACGTGAAGCTAAACTTCATCGCCTTCCCCTGCAGACTTTTGAGCTAACCCATCCTTCTCTCTTCGCCGATTCTCCAGATAAAACCTCCCACTTTCATACAAACTCAAATAAAGGCCAAGGGCCACAGCCGTCCACCCAGCTCGAATAAGTCCACCCCTGAACAATCCCCTCACTCCTTCATTTCGCAAAATATCTCGACCAACAGCGAGAGGTCCTTTTCTGGGGTATGCGGCCTGTTTCGAGCCAGAACTTTCTTTCCCACCATCCCAGTCCCCTGCTCCAGCTAGCAGCATGATCCTGGTCTTCACAACATCTATGGGAGTGGTGACTGTCGATACAACCGTTCCTGACATGGCAGCCGAAATACCCGTCAAACCAGCACGCTCGATAAGCAAATCCGATTGCGAAGGCGCACTTTCATCCTTGCCGTTTCTCTTTCGCCACATTTTAATCATATTTGACCGGATGTATTCAAAAAGTGGAAACTGGAGGGCGGTTGTTGGCAAATTTCGACCCAGGAGCGCCGTGTATCCACTCCATAAACGCCAGGGATGACGTCGGAATCGGGATAGTACTACTCGTGTGGCGTTTGGCGATCCTTGCTTGCCATTGATCATTTGGGCATTTTGTTTCAGCACCTCTGCTGGGGTGATCACTAGACAAGAGACCATTTCGCCGGTTGAAGATGCGATTCCATGCATGACTGGTGTTGGAAGGGAATGCGTGAATGGTAGGTGAATTTTGTTCAGAGATCTTTCGCGGAAATCCTTGTTGGAATCCTGTGTAGATGAACTGTAGAGAATGCTTTTGACGGCTTCGTAGGTTGTGAAGAATGAACCGGCTGGAATTTTGTTAGTTGCAGTATAAGCTCGACATGGGTATACGTGCATGCTGGGATTGTCGAAATCACAACGCTCCATACGCCCTGGTATAGCCCTCTGAAAAGGAGGTTGCGGTTGACTGCTCCTGTACGTGCATCTTTGAATACTGTACTATAATCGGGTGATTGGATGCGGGTTTTCAGTGTGTCAACGGGGTACACTATGAAGTCAACTGCTACTGCTGCAAATGCACCAGCCTGTGGATTTCATCGTGATTTGGTTAGTGTAAGGCTTCTTTCGATCTGACGCGGCTGTGATATTGATGTACTTACAACCCAGATATCGGTGTTACTGTTGTACATGTTGGGATGAGAGTGGGAGTGTTCTTCGAGAAGTTCATTTCGGGTCCCATGAGGCGTGTGAGAGAGAAAGGATTTACGTGAGGAACGAATTGAGCACTTAGGTACCAGTCTGTACTGCCAGGATTTTGAGGCCGTCCTTCTCGGCATGATGGACCATGATGTCATTGATATTAGGCCTACTTTGAGTGCTCTTAAGTGTTCATCTAGTTCTCTTTGCATTGCTCGCTTGTACAATCTATATCAATATGATATTTTTGGCTATCCTCTATTCAAATTAAGAGGCGCTAATAGACTCTATTGTACATGATGAACTGCAACCCTTCAGAGCCAGCCCTTAGGTCCACTCCAGTTACCCTTGACCATGTAGTTGGCGTACACCCAAGGGAAGAAGTCCTTCTTAAGGTGGTAGAATGCGCGACGAGGCTCACCCTGGTCAATGCCGAACCAGTTACCAAAGGTCTCCTTGGGCTCACCACCGTACTTGAACTCAGCAAGCAGAACCTTGCCGTACTCAGTCAGAAGCGGGCAGGATGTGTAACCGTCATAAGAAGCATCAACGGCCTTACCCTCCATGGTTTGCAGAAGGTTGCGGACAAGAACAGGTGCCTCTGAGGTGACAGCGGCGGCAGTCTTGGAAGTAGGCAGACTGGAAGCATCACCGGCGGACCAGACGTTGGGGAACTTCTTGTGTTGGGTGGTGTTGTCGTGGACATCGACCATACCGCCCTCGTTGGCCAGAGGGCTGTCCTTGACGAATGCGTGGGCACCCATCTTGGGGGAGACGTGCAGCAGATCGTATTCGCGGGTGACCTCTCCGTTGGGGGTGGAGAAGACGGCAGCCTTGCCATCCAGCGCAACGAGATCGTGCTGGAACAGTCCCTCGACACCGCGGTCCTTGCGCATTTGCTCGAGGATTGCGTTGTACTTGGGCACACCGAACATGACGGGCAAGCCGGTCGCATAGCTGATCTTCACCGGGGACTCAGCGGGGTTGGTAGGGTTGTAGAGGCCAGCCTTCTTCCAGAGGTCCAGCGCAAGCCACATGACCTTTTGGGGAGCACCGGCACACTTAATGACGCCGGCAGGCTGAGTGAAGATGGCATTTCCTTGACGGAAGTTGTCAAAGGTGCGGAAAGCCTTGTCACAGGTGTTGTAACCATAAATAGATGAGACAGTTGAGTGACGATCAGCGAGGGCTTCAGGAAGACCCTTGATCTGGCCATAGTTGATGTTGATGCCAGGAACCACAACGAGATGCTCGTAGTTCAGCTTGTCACCGTTCTCAAGAGTCACGGTGTTTTCAGTGGGGGCAAATTTGCCAACACCCTGGTTGTAGAACTTGAACTTGGAGTCAATCAGGCTCTCCATTGGCTTGCGCAGGTCCTCTTTGTTCTTGAGGCCACCACCGACAAGGGTCCAGCCTGGTTGGTAGTGGTGCCATTCGGCAGGGTCAATGACAGCAATGTCATCCTGTGCGAACTTTCCAGAGTGAAGGAGCTGGTGACTGATAGACAGACCAGCAGTACCACCACCGACCACTACAACCTTGTGGCTGCGGGCAGTACTAGCTACAGGGGATGCGGTCGCAAGGCCCCGGCATTGAGAAGCCACAGAGCGGGCAGCACGAGCTGCTATAAAGCGACTTTGGAACATTGTAAAGATGAAGCTCAATGGAAACAAGAAGCTAAGAAGAATATCCAAAAACACCCAAAGCAGTAAGCTCGTTAGCTGATGTCGTGATCGCGGGATCGGATCAACCCCTTCCGATACCGGGGACGTTCTCGGCTGGTCGCCGATCTCAACTTGTTTTCTTGTTAACGGACATGTGCATCAATGATTCTATACAGGATTTTGGATGTGAAATTCCTTTCACTTCCTTGTGAAGCGCTGCCCAGCAGCAAACACATGACTTCAATTCTTTACTCTTAGCTCCGTGCGCATCAGTGACGTACAACACCTGTGGACGCCAATGGTACATACAAACCACCAATCATCAATTCCACCGGGCTTGAATCAGGGAAAGTTTTCAATCAAAATCAATTCCAATCCCCATAGTATCCAGTATCGACAATCACAGGGGCTCTCGGTCCAGAAACATATCAATCGCCGTTTCGGGACGAGCGGATCCCCTCGCCACCTCCAGGAATTTCATCAGTAATCAGACACCTAGACTTTGGTGGCATGAGTAACTCCCCGAGATATTGATTGGAGTGGCCCTGGTGTGACTCTTCTCAATCGGCGACCTCCTGTATGCTCGCCGAGTCCCGAGTCGCCGACCTTGCGGGTTTCAAGTATGAATTGTTAACCCTTGACGTCTGAAGTTTTACAATTGTCATAAATCATCTCTATATAATTCATCATGTTAAGACCACTACAGCACCCAATTATCGCGTCCCGACGGATCGTATCAAACGCCTGCAGAGTATCCGCCACATACGCCCAATCTTCCACATTAACTTACGGCGGGCAATCGCGATATATCCACCAATCTGCTCGAGGGAGTGGATTAATCAACGCAAGATTACCGCGAAGCAACATCACCATTAAAAAAGGAGCGAAACAAAACATGACAGCACCAATCAAGCAGCATAGCACTACCACTGCATCAACTGAGCCAGCAGTACACGATGTTTTCGACACCACATCTGGAACATGGCAATATATCGTCGCGGATCCCTCCACATCAACTGCTGTCATCATCGACCCAGTCTTGAACTTCGATCCCGCTACCCAGGCTATAACGACCAAGTCAGCCGATGCTCTCCTTGCTCTTGTCAAAGACAAGAATTACAAGATCGACAAGATCTTAGAGACGCATGCTCATGCAGATCATCTGAGTGCCGCATCGTATTTGCAAAGTCGTCTGCTGCAAAGTCAAGATCACAAGCCGCCCATTTGCATTGGAAAGCGCATCGAACAAGTGCAAAAGCTGTTCAGTCAGCGATATGGGGTTCCGAAAAGTGAATACAAGCAGGTCTTTGATAGACTCCTCGACGATGACGAGACCTTCACTATTGGAAACATCACCGCAAAGGCTATCCATCTACCAGGCCATACGCCGGATCATCTCGGATACATGATTGGAGGTAACCACTATCAAACCCCTTACGTTGAAATATACTAATCCGTGTCTAGACAACGTATTCTGTGGCGATTCTCTCTTCCATGCAGACATCGGCACTGCAAGATGCGACTTCCCCGGCGGCGATGCCAAAGATCTCTTCCAATCAGGTCGCAAGCTACTCAGTCTTCCCGGACATGTGAAGATTTGGACAGGTCATGACTATCCCCCAGCAGGTCGGGAACCTATGCCATGGCTGAGTGTTCAGGATCACAGGGAGCTAAATAAACATCTCAAGGATGGTGTTAACGAAGATACGTTCGTGGCTCTGCGTCAAGAGCGTGACGCAGGACTAGCAGCCCCGAGGCTGCTTCATCAGTCTTTGCAGATCAATATCCGTGCTGGAAGGCTTCCTGCCCCGACGGAGGCCGGACAGAGACTGCTGCATGTTCCTTTGAAGATTGAGGATGCATGGTAGATGGCCGCGGATTCGTTGAAGCTATTGACATGCTCATAATGTGATTTTGGCGCGTCATCGGAAAAACGCGGCATGTTTTCATTGTCCTTTACCTGGTAAACCCGGTGTGACAATGATGTAAAGAAAAGACAAGACCAAAGCATGCAAAGCATGTCAATGAATAAAGAATCATCGACAATGACTTTCTCCACTACCTTTGTAAACGTAAATAGCCATACTGATGAACAAATGTAAACATAGAAGTGTCTTTCAAGGTTCAAGACCTCCTTTAAGCCCAAATTAGCAACTTTCTTTGCAGTCCCCGCATAGACACACAGATAGAAGTGTATAAATCCCCTCGAACCCTCGATCCAAATACCCTCTTCATCCCATCATCTCAAACAAGAAATAGTCCAGCCTCAGCCCATCCAACCCACAAGCTAAGTCTTCCAACCCCTCAAGCGAACAATCAAGCCAGTCCACAAACCCAACATCAATATGTCTAACGTAAGCCCAATCATCTACGCCAAAGAGCGAGCCTCCCTCATCGAGGCCTTCGAAACCAAATTCTACAACCTGAAGTTCCCTCCTGATCTCGGAGGCTTTGCCCTGACCCATGCCAACTGGATCGATATTTACACAGCAGCTAACAGATGTATCCCGATGGCCGTTGCCGCCAAGGACTTTGAGTTTGAAAAGGCCTGTCGTGGCATTCTGTATGTTCTGCGGGATACGAGCATCCAGAACCGGTTGGAGTTTGCTCGGGCGCTTGAGGCTGCGGTTCATCTTTCGATCCGGGATCCTGAAACCCATACTCGTACTGTTTTCCGATATAGACTTGTTAATAACTCGCGGGGATGGAAATACTAGGTGGATGATGGATCGTATTGAGATTTTGACTGCGCTGGTTCTTGATTTGTTAGTTGGGGCGTGGAAAAAGAAAAGAGTAAAAAAAAAAGAATAAAGAAGTTGAAGTTTGACCTGTTCATTGTTGTAATCTAAACAAAATAAGAAAAAAAATCCCTTCTATGAGTAACAAGTCGATGTAGACAGGCCAAACGACTTGGCCATAGAAGAAATAAGAAACAGGAAGTCATATTAACATCCCAAATAGAGAACATTTTCCCTCCCTACGCCGTAAAAAGGTCATGCAATCCCAGAAGCATCGTGTCTCCCCGCAGTCGTCATTTAGTTCGAGGTCTCGTTGGGCAGCAAGTTGCCCTTGATGGCAAACATCTTGCCTGTGCTGGTCGAGACGAAGTTGTCGACCTGGCTGGCGTACTGGTTCACCTGGCGGGTGTTGAGCATGCTCTCCAGACGGCTGGGCTCGGCGGGGAGCTTGAACAGACGCTGCCACTCGTCCTCGGGGAGGAGGGGCTGGTTGAGGGTGGCACGGGTAGCGTTCTCCTGGGCGCGCTTCTGCTTCCAGGCGTTGATCTTTTGCTGCTCACGGCCGAGCACACGCTGGTAGTACTGGTAGTTGTTGACCTCGGTGTTGTGGGTCTCGATGCTGTCCAGAAGGAGATCGCAGTTCTTCTCCAGGAAGGGGTCGATGCTCAGGGACAGGTTGTCGAGGTTGGGGGTGAGTGTGGAGGTTTTGTTGAAGGGGCTGGACTCAAGAGCAGCGAGGGAGGAGGGGAGCTCGGTGGAGGCGTTGGAGGTCGGGCACTGCAGCTGGTGGATGAAAGAGGTGATCAGGTGCGAGTTGTGGAGCTTGACGGGCAGTTCCTCGAAGATGTCGGGGTGGCGCATTTCGGACTTTTGGAGGCTATAGTTCCCATTAGTATTTCATTGGTTGTGATTTCATGGAGAAAAAAAGAATCCATGCGTAGGCGGTTCCACATACTCCTCGGAGGTGAACTTGTTCTCCTTGAACGCAGCCATGAACTTGGCGGACAGACGGAAAGCGCGGAGGCTGAGGCTGCCCTGGGCGCTGCGGCTGACGTCGTGAACCAGAGCAACTGTGCGCTCGTTCATCTGGCTCTGGTAGTAGAATTGGTTCTCGATCACGTTCATGTTGACAAAGTTGCCCATGTTGGCGCTGGTGTACCATCCGACGTTGTTGGCATCGGTGTTGACCTCGCGCAGCATGCGAATGTACTCTGCGGAGTAGGCGGCATTGGCCTTCGCACGGGGAGCAGCAGCGGCGGGGTTAGGAGCGGCGTTGTCAAAGTGCGACTCGGCGGGCACTTCCACGACGGGGAATGGGAAGGTGTTGGTGATCTCGAGGGAGCCATCGACATCCATGCCGACAAGAGCACCGGTGGCGGTGGAAGGGAAGGTCTGAGAGCAGTGCTTGATGATTTTCATCACCACCTGAAAGATCCGACGTCAGTATTCCGACTGGCGAGGCCTGGGGAGATTTTCTTCGGGAAGACGAACCAAAGCCTCGACCTGAACGGCCGCGAGGGGAGCGGGGGTTCTGCATAGATTGTTAGTGTCAGATTCTAGGATCAAAATGCTGGCATCACATACTCGGCCATTGTGAAAGATTATAACTTTTGGGCGATTGTTAAGGTCGGGATGGTCGACTTGGACGGTTTGTGTGAAAGGAGCCCATCTGCCCCGATTGGGTTTAGTGCCGTACACAAAACAGCTGGTAATGCAATACCGTCCAATGCGCCTGTGCCCCACGTGAATAGAGGGGCAATACAGTCATATTACAGTCCCATGGCCTGATCAGAGAGTTTTGACCTCGTGAGAGTTGGACTTCATCGTGTCCGTATACATATGTGAGATGAAAAAAGGCACAAACTGTTAATTTCTGATTCTGGAGACCATTGAAGACAACAGCAGAAAGATTGCGTCTCAACCTCCGTCAATTACCACTGGGACATTTATCTCCAATTGAATCGTAATCTACCCCCACCCATAAATGACTCGCGTCTACAAGATGCATTCTCCAAGTAACAATGCCGAATCAATCGCGGACAGTAGCCTACGGGCGAGTCCATAATCTGCAGATTGCCTCAGTCACACCTTTGGCTCCAGAAAAAGATGGCTACTGGGTGATGTACACGCCTCCGTGATCGAGACGAAAGAACAACGCAACTAACCATCCCAGCTTCATTCACGGCGGTGCCTGGCGAGATCCAACCGTCACAAACACCTCCTTCGACGCAACCGAGTCCATCCTGCGCGATACCCCAGGCCTACCCATTTCCGGATTCGCATCAATCTCATACCGTCTCAGCGCACACCCAAATCACCCACAAGACCCAGTCGACACTTCCCCCAAGGATTTCCGCGATGCAAAGCACCCCGATCATATTCGAGATGTTGAGGCTGCGCTTGCATTTCTTCAAAATACATACTCGTTCGGTGGTCGTTATATCCTGGTAGGCCACAGTTGCGGCGCAACACTTGCCTTCCAGGCTGTGATGGGAGCGGTCTCGAATCATCGCGAGCAGGCATTCAGCGGGGCAACTGAGAATCCAGAGATTAGCGTCGGAGTTGTCTCGGCTTCCCCTGGTCCTCTGCCGCCGCCATTGACGGCACAGCCTACGGCCATTGTCGGCGTGGCAGGAATATATGATCTGAGACGGCTGCGGGACTCGCACCCCGATATCTCGGCTTATAGGGAGTTTATAGAAGGTGCGTTTGAGGCCGATGAACTTCTCTGGGATGGTGTGTCGCCGGCGCAGATGGCTGGATCGCGTGGGGTAGAAGGTGGTTGGAAATCTGGGAGGTTAGCTGTGCTGGCGCATTCGAAAGAGGATGAGTTGGTGGACGAATCCCAGCTCGAGGCCATGGAGGAGACACTTAGACAGTGGGAGAAGGTCGAGGCTCAAATCCCCGTACAGGAACTGTCGCACCGGGATCGAAGAGTTCGTGTTTTGCCCATCAGTGGCGCCCACGATCAAGCGTGGGAAAAGGGGGATCAGCTGGCATATGCAATCATCTATGCTCTCGAGCAATTGCGGGAAATGGGGCTGGCTCCCCAGTGACCGGGAAAGCGCATTGATCTACTTGTGTAATCAGCACACTACCATGTATCGGGATATATGGGTTGCAACTATTACGCTACAGCAAACGGGTAGAACGTTATTTCGTTTCATTGGTCCTGCATTGGCAAGGACAGAGTGGGTAATTTAAGTACTAACGAAGTCATAAAGATAAAAGAGAAACTTCTGGCAAGGGGCCATGCGATCCTGACAACGCCGTAATTCATAACAGAACATCTCATGATAAAGAACACTCGAAAGGGAAATTCAAGCACACATAGTTCTTGTTGCGCGGAATCATCTCATCCGCAGAGAATAGACAAGAAGACAATGCTTAGTTGCCAATCTCCATCTTAGCGGAGGCCGCATCACCGATCTGGGCCTGATTCTGAGCAGACGCAATGCGGCTTTCAGCATAATCCTCGTCGAGCTCGAAAGCATCATCGCACTCGCTATCTTCGAGAAAGCGGTGTGGAAGGTCAACATCGGCGAGGCGCATTTTGAGATCCTGGCGCTCGCCATCCTGGTAGCGGGCAAGAGCAGCCGCAGCATGCACCCTGAAGCCGTAAATACGGGGCTCGTAGCGGCGGCAGCTCTTCGCCGGGTTGAGGGCAGGGTAGACCTGGAACAGAATAGAGTGGAATGAGGTACCGAAATATGCGCCGTCGATGGAAGCGTGGCGAGACGACTTGGGGTTGTAGATGTCTTCACACTTGGGGCAGTACAGCTTGACAGTGGTCAAGTTTGCGAGGTCGGATTGGCCGACAGGCAAGAGGGCATGGCCGTCGCACATGACGCGGGGACACTTTCCGAAGTCACTTTTCTTGTATTTCTCAAGCTAGAGAACAGTTAGCACAGTCGCTATCATGTGAGGTTTTGGGGAAAGTTCCGAACGCACCATCTTGGCCAGGCCGCGAGTGGTAACAATGTATCGAGCATGAACGAGACCGTACAGGTGGCGCGCCGATTTTTCGATTTGTTCACGCAGATCGTCGTCGGCGTCGAGGTCGAAAACATCAGTCACAAGGTCAAGTGCATACTGATAGTACGAAACTTCAGTGTTAAGACCAGTGAGATTGAAACGGTCGGTCAGGTAGTCCTCGTCGATCTCGCAGAAGTATTCATTGCCACGAGAAGAAACAAACTGTACAATACAAATAATCATAATTAGCAAACCCAGCTTCGCAGTGTGGACATTAAAGGCGTGGAGGTCGGCGGCGGCCATAGCGTGGAGGTTTATAGCCACTGCGCTTTGCAGGCTTCTGGGGAATTTTGGCAGGCTTCTGGGGACCATTGTCAGGCTTCCTGGGACCTTCATCATCGCTGTCGTTGTTTGGGCCAACGTTGGTGGGAACAATCTTGATGATATTGCAAATTTGAGCCACCAACATTACAATCCAGCAAACTCCCCAGAAATAGAAGATGACAGTACTGGGACGATCTTGGCCATGATATAGTGCCAACATCTGGACACAGAACAGCATGATCGTAAAGAGGAAGACACACCAACATCCGGTAGTGTAAGTTATGGTGTCCAAACGGCAAGGAGGGCGGAAATCCACGATGCGCCGACAGATGAGACGGAGGAAAACAACAATGCCCTGACGGATGGGAAGGAGGAAAGCCACAATGCTCCAACGGATAAGTGGGAGGAAAGCCGCGATGGCCCGACAGATGAAAGGGAGGAGGTCCATGATGACCCAACGGATGAGAGGTAGGAAAGCCGCGATTCCCCGACAAATGAAAGGAATGAAATCCATGATTCCCCAACGGATGATAGGTAGGAAAGCCGCGATTCCCCGACAAATGAGTGAGATGAAGTCCATGATGTTATGACCTGCGAGTGATTCTCGATCCGTTGACGATGTACTGTGGATACGGAAGAGAAAGATAGACGGGGAACCGGGTCTATTGGAAAGGAAGAGATGAATGCATCCTGTTGTCGTGTTTGGTGGCTGAATCGCTGAGTCGTCGACATTGTTGAGTCGTTGGCGATGTCGCTGAGTCGTCGACATCGTTGAGTCGTCGACATCGCTGACTCGCCCATATTCCAGAGATGTAGGTGGCCCCCAGAGCCTCTGCATTGTGCCGCCTTGTGTCGCATTCGCCAGCCTCATTTACCCTTTATCATGGCAACATTGGTGGCCCAGCGCCATATACGAAAAAAAGAAAAAAGGACTTACCCAGTCTCTCCAATAGCTTGTGTAATCACTGTCAGTCTCACTGTTGAAGTCCTCCATGGTTTTCATGAGTCTGCGCGTGCAGTTTTTAACTCAAATATGATTTGCACTGGTGTGTGCTTCCCTGTCAAAAAGGAAGTAGACAGGTGGGGTGGGTGGAGGTAGGCGCCGGTGCACCCAGGCCTCCTGAAAGAAGTGATGACGGTAAAATTATTTGCTGGATATTTGTATTGTGTATTCGCTGGATCTGGACAGAGCAACGGGTGGTGAAATGGCACGGTGTGTCGGAAGCAATGTCGGAGGAAGAGAAGTGTGCCTCTCATCGCTGTCCGTTATCGAAGCTATTCGATAATGCCACTTGTACGACCGCCTTCCTTATCGGATGATATACATGGCCGCCCTAACTCCGCCCCCCTAGGGCCCTTACAGAGTCAACTCCACTTGTACCTCGTCTATGACTCTACGTTATGCTCTGTCCTTCTTAATGCTGAGCCTTTTGAAACTGATTGAGCCACAAGTCTTGATTTCCACTCAAAAATACACAGGGAACCCAAACTAGTAATCTGCGCCCCTGTCCGGGTGCGGCTAAGCCTCATGTCGTGATAATATCCGCAGACTTTCAAAACGAGGGGTTGGCATTTTGCACCAACTGAGCAAAGTATGCCTTGAAGATTATTAGCATGATCTGTACTGAGCTTCTTTGTATAGCTGCTTACCTGGAACCATGTACCAGCTTCTGGTGCCGGCTGAAGGGCATCGGAGTATCCACAGTGGGCATCGTAGCGGGCTGCGCTCGAATCCGAAGTGCCATCGCTCTCACCGCCAGGCTTGACCCAGACAAATGCATCAGTCAAAGCGTCGCCGGTATTAGTGGTGGGCCGGACACCAAATCCAGTTCCCTTGACATTACACCAGTCGCCCCAAGCATTTTGCTGTGTGGGCTGGACGCCATTACGACCTGGGAACCCCAATCAGTACTCAGAATTTGCATGTGACGAGATCAACTCGATTCGAGATGTCCCAACGCTTTGCGGGGAAAACATACCGGTGTCAGTGATGAATCGTGCGTCCCAGCCAGCATTTTGCAACAGCGGGCCAATGGCATTGATATATCTCTTCTCGTCGCAGTTCGAGTTACCTGAAGTGTATGATGGGCAGGTTGACAGAGACCAGCCATTGTAATTCGCGACGTTTGTTGCGAGACCTCGAAGGGATGAAGGCTTTCCTGCATTGTTGTAGACATTTGCGAAAAGCTGGGCTGCTGGGCTCAAATTGGCTGGCCACCCAAGCCAACCCGCGTGTCCTGGACGAGAGATTGTGGGTCAGACTTCAAGTCAAGCTTTAACGACAGCCCTCGTGTGATCACAATGGCACTCGCGAAGGATTGCTTACCGGCATCCAGATACATGGCAACATTATCCAGGTTCAGCTGCTTCACTGCATAGTCAGTGCCCTCTAAGTATGCGTCATGAGCGTTGGCACACTTTGACACAGCCATGTTGGTCACAAGATTAGCCAGACTGTCGGGCTCTGAATTGAAAGTCAGCACAGTCCCGTTGGCCGGGTAGTTTTCATCGATCAAGCAGAATGTCCACTAACCAATAACCAAGATAGTTCGAACATCCGAGTATTGAACCAGGATTTTGCGAATCTCATCGATGTACGCCTTATACTTCGCGACTCCGCCATCCGCAATCGAGTACTCGCCATTGCTGGCCAGTGCGGCACAGTCACGGTCTGGAAGATCATACACCACAAACTGGGCTGCGATGGGTGGACTAGCACCAGCGGCGTTCTTGGCTTTGATTTCAGCCAACATAGTGCCCATAGTTGGTACCTTGGCGGCAGTATCTCTAGTCCGGTTGTCAGACTTGGTTTCGGAAAGACATACACTCTCTGCGCAGGTGGACTTACAGCCAATAGAAAGATGGGACATTTGCAACTGAGCTTGCAGCAGCTTTTGCAGTACCCGTCATCGAAGGCAAAGCCAAAGAGGAGACTTCAGATGCATAGTATGAATTGGCATGGAGCTGATACCCAGAGAATGGGTTCGTTGCGGTCGCGCGAACTGCATTTGAGATAGCAGCTCCAGCCACGCTGGAAATCAGCAGAGGAGCAACGGAGATGGAAAATTTCATCGTGGCCTAGGAATGTCTGGTTCCTTGTGTTCTTGCGGCTGCTTGTACTGCCAGTGCTCTTTCTGATCCTACAGACCATCCCTTATATACCTTGGGTGCCAGGTTCATGCATCGAATCCGTTGCGGAACGGTCAGCCGAATCCCGAAAGATACTTGACATTATTTCTAACCCCTCCCCTATTGAATTCATTGAGTCCCTAGCAGTGTCGCATCTTTTGGACATCGCCAAGAGACATCCCCGCGACGAAAGATGACAGGCGGTCATAGCTTTTCCCGGGTGGGCTAACCAACATTGGCACTGCAACTCCCTTTTGGGTATCCTTCAGGGCTTCTGCAATATGCGGGTATGAAACTCTATGCGGTATCCACGAGTGTCGCGTTGCCCACTTGGAGTTCCCTCTCGGACCATGTTCGAAAGTCAGGCCTTGGAGAGTCTCAAGGATATCTTTAGGATGATTTCGTAAATCCGACTCGAACTGTTTCTCTCCATCCAAAAACAATCTATACAAATCAAAGCCCTCGCTTCTGTAGTCGTTGAAAATCCTAGAGCTAAACCCTTTAATGGCACGGGGCTCTAGAGTGCCTGTATCGACATTCCCAGGTGGCTGAAACTGCTCCAGGGCTTAGTCCAGGGTCTGTTGAAGCCGAAGCAGTCACACACTCGCTGATCAACTTTCTTCAGGGCTACAGATGGACTTATTGCCTATATGATCAAGGACCTCATCCTGGGATGATATTAAAAGCCCCTGCATTAAAGCGGTACTCGTCCTCCGCCCCCAAACAGGACATGATGTATGGTCGATCTTTTCCGAAATTGGCGCGGGAGGACAATTTGTATCAGAGCGCAATGGGAGATTAGATTAGAGCCAGGGTTCATCTTACACGGGCAGCAGGTCAACTTTGCTATGAAACATGGGCAAATCACCTTGTTTCGCAACATAGATGATGTGGAAATTACTCAGTCAACAGGCCCTGGAATATGTTAAAATCAAGAGTATGTCAAAATCAATATATAATGAAGTACCCCGTACTCAAGTAGAGTATGGACCCTGGACAACATCCCATGATGACCTCGACAGGTACGCAAGAACTTTCAAATCGAGTGTATCAAGTGTATTCATCTTCCAAGGTTTACACGCCTGGTAATCCTTCATTTCTCACAGGATTTGTCTTGATGTTGTTTGTACACGAGGCTTAGCATGCAGGTGGAGGTTGTAGATTGACCTTTCATCATCAATACGTTTCTTCGATATATTAACACCACGTGTTGAATACATTATCTGTAAGAATATCCAATTACAACAAAGAGCCCCTCTGATATCCAAAGTTCTTGACATCATCTACTAGTGCAGCCAGCGAGAGGCGACTTGATAAGGCGCTAATCCCAATCGGGACACTACGTCATTGATCGAGGGTGGCTTATATCAGACAACTTAACTTCCTTTTGTCTCTGCTTCTTTACTTGTACTTCACATCTATCCTATCTCTTCAAACTTGCCTCTATTCATCAGACGCCACCATGCCACTCGTCGTTCCTGGAATCAACTCATCTATGGGTGACAAGTCCGAGTGGGTCAATAGGCTGATGGGAAAGACCATCGGTGATAACAGCAACGAGACAGTGTGTCGTCCATTTGAGACTTGACGAACTAGAATTCAAGTACTAACAGTTTGCTAGTCTTTCGCAAAGCAAGACCTACCCCAGTCTCACCGAGTTTTGAAGCCCGGCGACATGAAGACTATGGACCATGATCCCAACAGGTAAAATGCCTAGGTATACGAAAAAAGACAGAGCAATTGCTAATTTGCACTTCCAGACTCAACATTCATGTCAACGAAGAAGGAGCCGTACACGATGTCAACTACGGTTAAAGCCTTAGAACTTTAGAACAGAATACCCTCAACGAATGAATGAACAACCTCAACATCTATTTCTGAAATCTATGTCTCATATATCCCTATGCGACTCCCAAATCTAAGCCTTCCATCTCAGCAATGTAAGTGAGTGCTTGGGGAAGACATAGCTTCCACTCGCACTCCAAGTCGACTCTCTAATAGCCACCTCTTCCTTGCCATTCATATTTGTCACAGAAACATCAGCACCAGTAACCGTGAACACCTCAACCTCCCCCTTCGCCCCCTCAACCCGACTCTCAAAGTCCTTCTCATCATGAATATTAACAACAGCAACATTCACATACCCATCCTCACCAAGTGAGGCACTAACATCCAACCAAGGCGTCTGTACAGCACCACGAACCCAAACCGGCTTCGTCTCACCCTCATAAGTCCCAGACGAAACATGGCTGCCGATGGTCCATCCACGCATGAATCGCGAATACAACCAAAGAGGCCACCAGGTTGTTTGCTTTGTGATACCATCTTTGGTAGTCATCAGTGGCGAAATGACATTAACAGTCTGTGCAATACATGCCATGCCGACGTCTTTGCTCTTGCGAACGAAAACGTTCAGCCACACGGCGACGGCAAGTGCGTCGGAGAGTGTGTAGTTTTCTTCTGCGCCTTGGCTTCCCTCTGCGCGGATGGGGTCCCATACGTTCCATTCGTCGAAACAGATTGTTGGGCGCAGTTGCTCGGGTGGGACTTGATTCTCGACGCGAGCAAGGTCGATGAGGGAAGATGTGATTTCGATGGCACGCTCTGCGGCTAGGGGAGCTGTAACATTGGGGAGATGGGATGAGGAGGATGTGTAGAGGTGGATGCTGTGCATGTCGATCAGGGGGACGGAGCTGGTTGATAGGGCTGAGTGGGCGGGGACGAGACACTCCTTAAGTGTGTAGTAGTCCCAGGTGGTGGCACCTTCCTTGCCACAGAGGATGAGAATGAGGGTGGGATCAAGGAGCTTCAGGGCTGTTTATCTGTTAGTGTCTTGACTGTGCAAGATGACGAGGCAAGTTTACCTTTGGCCCATTGAATGGCCTTGTGGGCATATGCTTCCTTGGTCATCTGTTCGACCTGCCAGGGACCCCAGCATTCGTTACCGAGAGCCCAGTATTTGACCTGTTCTGTGTTAGGGTGTGCAGGACCAGCAACGATATTTCAGAACTGACATTGTAGGGTTCCTCGCGACCATTCTTTCGGCGCAGATTGGCGTAGTACGTGTTTCCTGTTCCGTTGCAGTACTCAACCCAGCCCAAAGCTGTGATTGTTAGTATTGCACGAGAGTCATTTCACGCCAAACATACCTTCATCCAGAGTACCAGTGCCGAAGTTGAAGCAAAGGTACGGCTCGGTGCCGACTGCCTCACACCACTTCATGAACTCATCAGTTCCAAACTGGTTGGTCTCTGTTCCAAGCCAAGCAAGCTCAGGTCTTCAATGATTGTCAGCAAAATTCACAGTGTGGACGGACCGACATACCTCGCAGGACGTTGGTCCTTAGGGCCAACACCATCCAGCCAGTGGTAAGTCGCGCAGAAGTTACCACCGGGATACCGAACGACGGGGATATTGAGCCCCTTCAACGCCTCCAAAACATCCGTGCGGAAGCCGTTTTCGTCGGACAATGGGTTTCCAGGATCGTAAATGCCGCCATAAATGCACCGTCCCATATGCCTAACCCTGTCAGTCCACAGCCGAGACAGATAGAACATCGAACATACTCAGTAAATCCAGAATAGATATTCGGATTGATCTTGGAAATCTTTCTCTCGGGATGAACCGAGATCACAGGAGTTTCCTGGTCATCCAATTTGGTAAAAGAGGCCATTTTGCTACGAGTTTACAGAGAAACGTGGCTGAAAAAAAAACCAGACCAGCAGCTCTTAAAAGTTCACGAAATATCTTTCGGCAAAGTCAACACGTAACAAGAATCAAGTCAGGCATCAAAATGCGAAACGCGAAATGAAAATAACCGACTGACAAGGCCTAGAAGTGGAAAAACTCCTGCGGGGAAGAAAACCCATCGAGACCAAGTGTCGCGCTGGCGATAACGGACTAGACAGACCAGAACTCCTTCTGGCTAGCAGGACACCAAGTCAAGACCGATGGGGCAATCTCGGGGTCCAACGAGACGAGGGCTTGGCTTCACGATGCCTGCATTGCGTTGTGGGAATTCTTCCGTCAATCATAGCCCGTCGGAGACGCCACTTCTTGAGACTTTGTCCCCCGCATGAAGCTCCTGATCCCGACGCCTTTCGTAAATTGTGGTGGTTATGGCAATGAATCTCGGTTCAATTCCATATGAGCCGATGGAGGTTGGTATATGTAGACATGATCGTCCCCGGATATGTGGAGAATCCCCAGATTTTATTCCCCATATTTTTACCTCTTGAACCATGCGTCTGTCCCCTGCGTGGTACCAGGTATGTGAGACTCTATTGTGACAACAAGTCTTGGAACTTTAGCTGATTGTTGTATAGTTCCTGGTCGGCGTGTTCGCCTCGCTTGGATCATTCCTTTACGGATGTATGTTTGGAATTTCTAAAGTTTTACTCTTTGACGAAGGGCTGTGCTAATGTGATCCAGATGATTTGGGTGTTATTGCCGAAGTGATTATTTGTCAATCGTTTACATCCAAGTTCGCCCCGGATGATACCCAGAAGTAAGTTTCAATCGCCATGGATCCCCTGGAAACGCAATTAACCATCATGTAGGGGCTTGGTGGTGTCTCTGTTCACAGCCGGAGCATGTGTCGGTGCTGGAATGGCTGGTCCTGCTGGTGATTGGCTAGGTCGACGACGAACGATTTCGCTGGGATGTATAATCTTCTGTCTGGGAGGTGGTCTGCAGACTGGTGCGCAAAACATCGCATACCTTTACAGTGGACGATTCCTTGCTGGACTGGGGTGAGTTTCTTTTGCGCCCAAAGCCAGCCGATTTGATGTGCTAACACCTGCTTTTCTAGTGTCGGTTACCTGACCATGGTTATTCCCCTGTACCAAGCCGAGATCTGTCACCCCAGCATTCGTGGACGAGTTACAGCCCTGCAGCAATTCATGCTGGGAATTGGAGCGCTGTGCGCGACTTGGATCGGGTACGGCACATACACCAGGATCTCCCCAACCAACCACGCCCAATGGCAAGTGCCTCTGGGTATCCAGATTGCGCCTGCTGTGTTCCTGGGTATTTTGATCTCTTTCTTCCCCGAGGTGAGTCATGTCAAGCATGCAGACGGAATGACACTAACGTGAGCAGTCACCGCGTTGGCTCATTGACAATGGTCGCTCCGAGGAGGGTTTGCGTACATTGGCCAAGTTGCACGCCAATGGCAATGAAAACGACGCTTGGGTGCAAGCCGAGTATGCTCAGATTCAGGAGAGCATTACCTTCGAGCACGAGCACGAAGCCAAGTCCTATCTCGACCTGTTCACCCACCGCTCTTCTTTCCGTCGTTTGTTCCTTTGCTGTGCCCTACAGGCCTCTGTCCAAATGACCGGTGTATCTGCAATTCAGTGAGTGTATCCCCCTTTCCAAAGCACGGATAGAAAACTGACAAGACCCAACAGATACTACTCACCCGAGATCTACGGCCAGATCGGTATCTCCAGCGAGGATACCCTGAAGTACCAAGCCATCAACTCGATCATTGCCCTGATCGCCCAATTCCTCTGCATGATGTTCATCGATCGCTTCGGTCGACGCTGGACCCTGATCACCGGAAATCTCGGCAACTGCGCCACCTTCATCGTGGCAACGATCTTGCTTGCCAGGTTCCCACCCGAAACAAACAACCAAGGCGCTCACTGGGGCTTCATCATCATGACCTGGTTGTACAACTTCTCCTTCTCCGCAACCTGCGGTCCTCTATCATGGATTATTCCGGCCGAGGTGTTCGACACCAAGACACGTGCAAAGGGTGTTTCGATCGCGACCATGCTGTCATACGCCTTCAACACGATGATCGGTCAGGTCACTCCCATTGCGATGACGAACATCGGATACCGGTACTACTTCGTTTTCGTCATCTGTAACTTTACCAATGCGGTCTTCTTTTGGCTGCTACTCCCCGAGACCAAGCAGGTACCTCTGGAAGAGATGAACCAGATCTTCACTAACTCGCCATGGATCGTGCCTGGAACTCGCACTGATCAATTCTTGACCCATGATTTGGAGCGCAAGGTCGAGGAGAGGGAAGTCAAGGAGAGCACGAAGCATTTGGAGTAGGGGGAAGGGGAATTTGCGCGTTTCTGTCGCAATGCATAGTTGTATTCTGTTGACTCCGAGATAATCACATGTTGCCTAGGCAAAATTTGTTGAAAGCTTCATTCGGCTGCTATGTAGCTGTTAATGGAATAGCAAGATCGCAAGACACTAAAGACGAGGTTTAAGTTGCTCAAGCGGGCGTTTCAAAAGAAAAACCTAACGCGACATTTCACGCGACACGTTAATCTGAGTCGGAGCCATAGTCCCCTAATCCAAGCGAAACAAGAGGCTTTGGCGTGGGTTTGGCCTCTGGTTTCTTCTCGGTACTTGTCGCCGGAGCTGGCAGTGCGCCAGATGGCTTGGAATCCGCCTGACTCGACGTGGATGTCTTCCGGTCGGTCTTTGTGCCATCTCCTTCTTTATTTGTATCTTTTCCGGTGGGGGGTGTAGACGCCTTGTGCTTCTTGGGGAAGAGGGTATTTTGCTTTTCGCGCCTTCTTTTCCGCGGTGCGGTCCAATCCTCGCCTTGTCCCTCCTCCACCACCTCTGATGGCTCCCGCAGCACTTTCTCCGCCTTTTCGCGCTGTCGGCGAAACGCCTCCAGCTGCTCGGCTGTATCCTTCTTAACAGCCGCTTCCTTGGCGCGTGTAGATTCTAGCACCGAATCCAAAAAGTCGACTTCGTCATCGTCCAGCGATCGGAATTGGTTCTTGAGACGCGATTTCTCTTCGAAGGCTTCTTGCTTGGCCACTGTAGCGCAAGGAAATCACCCTAACATGTTAGCCAGGAACCCTTAGGAAATTCCTGGGATCAAGACCCGTTCGGCTCACTTTTGTTCCGCTCCAGCACTTCAAAGAGACTTTTCCCGTCATCCTGTTTGCCTATCTCGGCTTTCCGTCTCCGCTCCTCCTCCAATTCCTGTTGTGCGCGGAGCCATTCATCGTCGCGTGCGATCGGCTGGTCGCTGGTTCCGCCTGATACGAAGCCCGATGACATGCCGATCGGGATAATTGCAAGAGGACACGAGTAGACTCGGGTATAAAGCCGGTATTATCCGTGTGAAGGTAATGGCCCGACGTGGGGAATATTCTGGAAATTGGTCTCAGGTGAAGGGGCGTGTGAATGTCATTGGGGAAGCGGTAAAGTGGAGCGGGTATTTAGCCAAAAGAGCCATTTCAGCCGGACGGATCAATGCGACTTGGAGTCTAGGACAGTTGGCATAATACGAGTAATATTGAGTGCAATGGCAGTATGGATCAAAGTAGTATTCAAGTGGACCTGGTCGGTTAATTACCTTGAATTCAATATGATGTTAGAGTAGAGTATACGTGATTAGTCCCCCACTACTACATCATTGCTCTTGGACCTGCCCACTTTACCATTGACCCCTCTACTCGTATAAGAGTCTCCTCCCCCAACCCCTCTTTCTCTCCATCATATTCCTTACTCAAAATGTCGAACCAGCACACTCAGTAAGTTCTTATCCCGCGCTCAACATACTCAATTACTGACCCCCATCGCAGAAAGACCTACACCCTCAACACCGGCGACAAGATCCCCGCCGTCGGTCTGGGAACATGGCAATCCAAGCCCAATGAGGTCCGCGTGGCCGTGAGGGACGCCCTCCTGGCCGGTTACCGTCACATCGACACAGCCCTTGCCTACGGCAACGAGGCCGAAGTTGGCGCTGGTATCAAGGACTCCGGAGTTCCCCGCGAGCAGATCTGGCTCACCACCAAGCTGGACAACCCCTGGCACGCCCGCGTGCCTGAGGGCATTGAGTCTTCCCTCAAGGACCTCGGCACCGACTACGTGGACCTCTACCTCGTCCACTGGCCCAGCTCCACCGACCCCAACGATCTCTCCAAGCACCTCCCCGACTGGGACTTCATCAAGACCTGGCAGGAGATGCAGAAGCTCCCTGCCACTGGCAAGGTGCGCAACATCGGTGTCTCCAACTTCGGCATCCAGAACCTCGAGAAGCTCCTCAACCACCCCACCACCAAGATCGTCCCTGCCGTCAACCAGATCGAGCTGCACCCCAACAACCCCTCCCCTAAGCTGGTTGCCTACAACACTTCCAAGGGTATCCACTCCACTGGTTACTCTTGCCTCGGCTCCACCGACTCTCCTCTCTACAAGGACCCTACTCTCCTGAAGATTGCCGAGAACAAGGGCAAGACCCCTCAGCAGGTGCTCCTCGTTTGGGGTGTGACCAAGGGCTGGAGTGTCATCCCTAAGTCTGTCAACAAGGCTCGCATTGAGGGCAACTTCGACATCAACGGCTGGTCCTTGACTGATGACGAGGTTAACCAGCTTGACAACCTTAAGGATCGCTTCAAGGTCTGCGGTGACGCCTGGTTGCCCATCAAGGTTTTCTTCGGTGATGACGAGTAAACTCGTTCATGTTCTATGATGTCCATAACAATTAGATACCAAAAGAATGATTTTCATGACAAGTGCTGCTCCCTGAATTCACGAAACTCGTACACAGCTTTTGTAGAACGCCAATGCCTCATTATGTAAAGTCAGTTGCCTGTCTATACCTGAAGAATATTCGCACGAGTGCGGGAGAGAGGAGGCATTTCGAAGCTCATAAACAACTTAGTTGCCCCCTTTAAACACAGGAGGTCCACCTCTTATTGCTCGCCAATAGTTTTTAGAATCAAAAAGCCGCTGGCAACCCTGTAACCCAAGGCCATTTCACCGCAAATTCTTGAGTAACCTCCCATCCCGATGGATCCCACGGCGATCCCCAAGTGACCATACCTCCGAACCCACATTTCACATCTTGGAATCCCCTCAGATCTTGACACAGCTGTGCTTTATCATATGAGTTCGTATCGCGACGCAGGATGTTATCTAGAACCCTAGGCACGGGTAAAAGATCGAGCTAAGGATGGTGCTTGGTAGTGCTTTGTATCGTTGGTCGTGGATTGCACCGGGGCAAATGATGTGCATGACTCTGTGTCTCGTTGGATACGAGCACCGGTATGCACCTTGCTTTCACTGTTCTTTGGGTGCCAAATTCGGACCCATGTTCCACATGGAAGCTCTATTCGACAAATTACTGGCATTAGCGCCTTGGTAGAGTCTTAATTATGGCCAGCTTACCCCGTCCACTGTGACTATTGGTTAGAAATGTCAGTGAGCTGCATTAGCGGCATGTGCCTAACTTATATCCGAGCTGCGTTCATTGGGATTCAAGTCATGTTGGCATGTTATTGTTACAAGTGTGATTATCTGTTTTCATCTAGATAGCGTATTGTTGAATTAGTCTAAAGTTTGTGTTCTTTACGGGTCTGAAAGTATGAAGGAGATTCAAGTTTAATTAACAGATACAAAGGTTTATGGGTATAGCTATAGGGCGATCGATCTAATTCCAAGGTTTTAAATAGAAACCACAACCTTCTTAGCGGAAACACCCTTCTTCTGAATATCAAGGGCATTCTGAATATAACCGAGGCCAGTGCCTACAACTAAAGCATCTGGCTTAGCTTGCAATTTTCCATTTGCTAGGGCTTCAGGAACAAATTTGCCCCAAATCCACTCGCCAACATGCTGGTTTGGCTCCTGGATGATAGAATATGCGAGAACTATACGCGAAAGCATTAGTATCGCCACAAATAGAAATCTCGGTGCTGATAAGATCTTACCAAATTTAGGAGCAAAGGTTTCTGTGGGCTTGTCATATGGTAAAACACTGGCCACTGGCACAGAGATGTTCAGCTTTTCCACGAGAGCAGCCAATGGTGCAAAGCTGTTATCCTCAGAAATTGCATCATAAATTCCCACGAATTCAGAACCCTCAATTGCATTGGCAATATCCTGGACAACGGTGGGAGACCGGTAGTCAAAGACTAGATCAGCGCCGAGAGACTTCACAAATTCGTGATTCGCCTCGGAAGCAGTTGTCACAACAGTTAAGCCAGAAGCAGCTGCAAGTTGAATGGCCGTTGCTCCAACTGATGAGGCACCGCCCCAAATCAGAATTGTCTGACCAGTAGGTTCCGTCTTACTGGAAGAAGGTAGAGGGAGATTGAGATACTCCTTTTGAAATAGTCCTGCGCTTGCGGTGGATATCGCGAGAGGTAGAACGACGGCCTGCTCAAAACTCAAGCTATCCGGAATTGGTGCAGCGAGAGCTTCTGTCACCACGGGGTACAACTGGAAACTCGAGTTGGCAGGGTTGCGTGTCACAAGGCCATGGCAGTGCCTGTGACATATTTGACTTGGTCAGCCTTCCTCGGGGAGAAACTGTAGTATAGAGACTCACGCAATCACTCTCTGGCCTTTAATGAAGCGCGTTACTCCAGAGCCAACAGCCTCCACAACACCAGCTACATCTTCGCCCAAAATGAATGGATACGTATTCAAATAGCGACCATGGGTCCTGTATAAATTAGTATTTTTTTGGAATAGTTGTGGGAGGTACACAAACTGAATTTTCCAGTCAACGGGGTTCTGTGTTTAGAATTAGCAAGGAAAAGTATTTAAGAATCCATGAGACTTTCTTACTATAGCCACAGCTGCATTCTTGATGACAATTTCCCCAGGGCCGGGGATGGGCTTGGGTGCGTCATTGACAGCAAAGGGGTAAGCTTCTGCTTCAGTGAGCCACGCAGCTTGGTTTTCCGCCATTTCTTTTTGGTGTGAAAGTGTCAATTAAGAAAGATGAGTTCTGGATTTTGAAATCAAAATTGAAGCAATTTATAGGAATGGAATAAAGGTGATTATAAATGATGTTCATTCTGAAAAGATTACAAATGTACTTCGCAATTCCATGGGGGCCATAATTGCGAAGTATAGAAGCCCGGACTTAAGGACTTTAATCCACCTACTTCCGACGTCTGAAGTGGGTTTCATAGTTTACACAAGATATGGAGTAGATGAGTAATACTACTCATAATCCACAGCTTATTGCGCTCTGAGAACTCTTGTGATTCTACCCGAAAACTCTTCTCTCCCCAGATTCTCTTCTACCTTCAAAATGCCTTCCATCGCCAACAAGTCTGTTCTTGTGATCGGAGGGTCGTCAGGTATTGGCTACGCGGTTGCAGAAAAATGCCTTGCAGAGGGTGCGAAGGTCCACATCGCGTCATCTTCCTCCTCGCGCGTCAATGCAAGTGTCTCCTCCTTGAAAGAGCAATTCCCCAATGGTGAAATTTCCGGTCATGTTTGTGATCTTGCCGATCAAAAGGTGGAGCAAAATCTCGAAAAGCTCCTAGAAGCTATAAAGCCCCTTGATCATATTGTATTCACCGCCGGTGATGCACTTGCCCTCACACCATTGGATAAAATCGATCTCGAGGCCATCCAAAAAGCTGGGCACATCCGTTTCGCTGTTCCTTTGCTGGTTGCCAAGCTCGCGCCCCGTTTCTTGAATCCTAGCTTCCAATCTTCTTTTACCCTGACTACTGGGGTTGGCTCGCAAAAGCCATTCCCCAACTGGTCTTTGATCTCTGGTTATCTGTCGGGACTTCATGGGATGACCCGCAACCTTGCTCTCGATCTGAAGCCATTGCGAGTCAACTTGGTGAGCCCTGGCGTTGTTGATACACCTCTCTGGGGCCCCAATGGGGTTCCAGAAGAAATGAGCCAACATACAACCTTAGGAAAGGTTGGCACTCCTGAAGAAGTCGCAGAGGCATATTTATACCTGATGAAAGACACAAACGCCACTGGCAGCTGTATCAGCACCAATGGAGGATCGCTTTTGCTGTAATTGAGTTAGCTGCTCAAGCGGCTGGTCTGTTGTTTGTCCATCAAGTCAGCTATGCATCGAATCTCTGTTAGCCTGTTGTAACAAACTAGCATGGTGTGGCTGTGTAGGTGTATATCCTCTGCTCGTATCTGGTTGTCTCACACCTAAACCGAGCATACTGAAAGTCAATTGAGTCTAGGATGAAAATTCCAAATTTATCAATGCTTACTTGATCCTGCTGTGACGAACGTTCTTTTATCAACTTTGGTGGCAGCCCGATACTAAGTAGGCCTAGTAAGATCTGTTGAAAGGACTCTGGAACTGACCTCTATTTCTGAATATCCTTGTTTTTGACTCTTTAGTGTATTTTCTAGTCACCAATATTATGTACGGAAGTAGCAGCATCAAGAAGAAACCCCGGCGAGGAAAAAGCAAAGTGTGGCAAATGCAGATATTTGGCGCCACACACTCTACAAAGAATGTTGGGCATGTGTCTACTGCAGTCACTTGGACACAGCCCTGGAGGCAGACAAGTTTCAAGGTCTGCTATATGCGAGAATTAGTTGGACTTCGTATGCAGGAGCCCTGCAGTAAGTTCATTCGGTGACATCCGTAGTCCGGATTGTGATCGGATCCCAATCGCCAATGAGATATACAGCGATATATGCAGTTTGCTTCCCGAATATACTATTGCATCGCCGACATGAAAATCATTGGGCAAGATTCCCATGGATTATGAAGTTGGCTGCCCCCCTTCGCCGATCACTCACCCCCCATGCCCAAGGGCCGAATGCGCAATATCTTGGCAGTTCCTTTCCAAGGTTTGAGCCTCATCGAAAATGAGCCCCGGCTTACCCCTCGCAGATCTCACATTTATACGCCCGATGGCCGGGCCATGGTCTGGCCTTGTCCTTTTGATCAAACTGAAACGGTACATGACTGAAGATGCGGCAACGAAGTCTGAATCACAGCGCCTACAGGGTAGGATGGATTTGTCCGTTGGAGGTGGAACAAATCGCAGCCATGGAAATGCTTGACGAGGAGCATCGGCCTCTCTCACAGCCAAGTGGAGACACTAACGTCTACAATCTGGGTAGTATCAACAACCACAATGTTGTCATCGCCGGTCTTCCAAAGACAGGAAATTGCTCCGCGGCCACAGTTGTCACCCAGATGCGGATGACATTCCCACGTCTCAAATATGCCCTGCTTGTTGGCATCGGAGGTGGTGTGCCAGTGAAGACTGATGTTGGCATGGTCCGTTTAGGCCATGTGGTGGTCAGTGAGCCTATCGGTATACACTCCGGGGCGGTGCAGTATGACCATGGAAAATCGAGGACAGGCTACTTCGAACGCAAAGGCTTCCTCATGCCTCCGCCGACGGCTCTTTTAAACGCTGCCCGCGAAGTATCCGTCAAGCGCCAGCGAGGGGATCACGATCCGGTTTGGGAAAATGTCCAAAGAATTCAAACCAATCGTGGAAACCTGCATCGTTTCAAGTTCCCGGGTTTGGAGAACGATCACCTCTATGACCCAGGTTATCAGCATCAGAAGATCGGAGCATCGTGCGAGAATAGCGGATGTGATTCCCTCAAGCGCATACCTCGACCGATGGACGATAGACGTGGAAACTTTATCGTGGTGCACCGAGGTACAATCGCATCCGGAGAACTGGTCATCAAGGATGCATACCTTCGAGATGAGCTGGCGAAGGAGCACGGAATACTATGCTTCGAGATGGAAGCAGCAGGGGCACTTGCTGATTTCCCATGCATGGTGATCCGGGGAATTTCCGATTATTGCGACTCGCACAAGAATGATATATGGCACGGATATGCAGCTGCGGTAGCAGCAGCATACGCAAGACAGCTGTTTTTCCACATGGCCATTGGCGAGACAATTCGGTAAATTCTGCAATATTCGAGTAGCAGAGCTACACACTGACTGAATCGATAGGCCCAACTTACCTTCGAATGAGGATACCAAAGTCGACCCAGATGTCATAGGGCAGTTTCATAAAGCTGTCAAGGACGGTGAAACGACTGTGGTCAAATCCTGGCTGAAAATAGTGGATGTGAACATTCGAGACCTGCGCACTGGGCGGACAGCACTTTCATTCGTTGCCGAGACTGGCAATATTGACATGGCCAAGATTCTGCTTGACCATGAGGCCTTGGTGAATGTCCGGCAATGGAGCCGTCCGGGTGATACCTTGGGAGGCGGAACAACCTGGACAAGTGGAAGAACGGAACTGAGTTGGGCGGTTGACTGCGGACATGCCGAGATGACTGAGCTTCTACTGAAGCATGGCGCGAATCCTAATAGTGCCAACAGTGCTGGACGGGTACCCCTTCATTATGCGTGCATGGGAAACAATCGCCGACTCGTGAGAATCCTGGTTGAGAACGGGGCAGACCCTAATTTCAAAACTTTCCATCATGTACGGAGTACTCCACTTTGGAATATCCTTTGAGGCCGTGTGGGCTGAGCTAACGTGAAATCAGGGCTGGGCACCTATCCATGAGATAGTTTCCCACGGACACGTCGATCTTTTGAAAATGTTTCTCGATTACAACCCGCTACTGAATGACAAGAACGGAAAGAAGGGCAACGGGAAAGCTCCTTTGCACTATGCTGTCATCAAAAAGAGCAAATTGATGATGAGGCTTCTTCTTGCAAAAGGGGCCGATCCAAATGTCGGAATGATTGAAGACATCACTGCCCTGCATCTTGCTGCTGCTGCGAACTGGACTGAAGGGATCGAAATTCTTGCGGATTATGGTGCGACAATTGACGCGAAAGATGCTCTTTTACTTGAAACGCCACTTCACAAGGCCGCGAGAAACTGCAGCTTCCAGGCATACCATATCTTGGCTCGACATGGTGCTGACCCTAAAGAACACAATATCGATGGTCAGGACTGCGACTCTATCTTAGATTGCGCTCAACAAAATCCGAAAGATTGGGAAGTAAAAGCGGAGAAAGCGTTTTATCTCACCTGAAGAACATAGAATCTTTCTCTACTACATGGCAGATTCTATTGCTTTACACTGGGCAAGGATGGTGGAAATACTAGTATAAAAAGTGCAAACATAGCAAACATAGCAAACATTTCAAACTTGAGAAATTTACTCCACTCAGACAGTGGCGCTGCACAGCCACCGCGTGATCGCCTGAAGCGGAGAGATAAGGTGCAACTATACCCTGGCGTCATCAGGCATCCCCTCCCCTTTTGTCAACACCCGTCTCACATACTCAAACCAAAGACACCCGTCTTTAAACTTACAGTATGGCGCCTCCAACTGGGCACCTGCTGCTCCCCAAGATATGGAGGGCAGCAAGGTATGCGTCATCGCTTTCTCACATTGGGGTCCGAATGACTCGACTAACAGTCTACCAGGTTCGCCTACGCGAAGGCTTCAAAGGCCATTCGCAACAAGTTCCCAGAACAAACACAATACAATTCAGTGCACTACCAACCGGCTTATGCCCGAATCAACCGCCAGCCAATTAGCCGTGTCGCGGCCATCCGTCAAGCCCGTAGCCGGCACTTCTCCACTCGCGCTGCCGGTGCCTTCGCTGCCGCCATTCGATCCGGCCTTGGTGCTGAGGCGCCCGTCCGCAGCACATCTCGAATTGTCTCCGGCATTAGTCGGCTCAGTGGTCGCGCCCCGTTCGCTTCGACCCTACGTCCTAACCTTACAGGTGGTACTTTGGGCCGAACTGCAGGTGGATATGCCATCGGGGCTGGCCGTTTTGGGGGAGCTAGATACTTCTCCCACGGCCCAGCCGCACCAGCACAAGTCATTCAGAATGTCTCGCAAGGCGTGCGTGCTTTCTTTTTGTCAGGCCAGAAAGCCCGGTTTGATGGCATTGACCCTCGCACCGGCGAGAAGCGCTTCAAGGCGGTTAGCTCACTGCAGGACCAGGCAGAGCGCAAGATGAATGCCGTGCCCCGCACTGCATCTGGATCTTTCGTCGACTTCCAGGTCTCCCCCACTATCACTGCTCTCAGTGCGCTCGGTGGTCAGGATGGCTCTGCACCCACTCTCAACTCCGAGGGTCTCATGGACCTGCTATCTGCTGACTTTGCACGTGCATTGAAGGACTTTGCCGCTGTCATGAACGACCTGAAGCGTATTTCTACCCTCGGTGACCTCCCAATCGTACTTCACGACCGATCCACCATCCGCGTTCACTTCCCAGGTTGTGACTCGGAGACCGTCGAACAGCTCTGCGGGGAAGTCGGTGTTCAGCGTGGTCGAATCGGACAAGATGAGGAATTTGATATCCGCACTGGTGCCGATCTTGCTCTGTTGTTCCCCTTCGCGCCTAGTGTCGCCCCTGCCTCCGATACCGATTACTTCTTCGAGAAAGCACCCAAGCCACAGTCATTTGCAGATCTTGACTGGCAGGGGATGATGACCGGTGAAAGCTGCGCACCTTCATCTCGTGACTCGGGTAACGCCATCAGTTTTGATGACGGTGAGCTCTTCGGCGCCAATCCCTGGAAATCATCGTCTGCAAGCTATTCCAGCATCAACATTAGCGAGCTTGGTGACAATCCTTTCTTCCCAGAAGTCTCCAGCGCTGGTCAGCCGGAGACTACCTCCGCGTACGACGGTCCCGACGGCATCTACAAGTTTTTGGCCGAGTGTGATCAGGCTCAGCGCTAGGGATAACCTGGTTTACATTTCATAATTTCTTTTGGACATTGCGTTTGCATCTTTTCTTCTCCAGATTTCTTTTTCCTTTTCTTTTTTCCTTTTCCCCTTTGATCTCTGTTTCAATTTGCCCAGGGCATATCCCCCGGCTAGGACCGGAGTCTACATGATTATGACCCTGATACCACTCCACTCTTTTTAACATTTCATTGCGTTTCATAGTCAATTGAAATACTTGATCTCGACTATTTTCACATTTACGGTAATTTCATCGCTCATTTAATATGCTTAGCCAGATCTAGCCGTCATTGTTACCTCTGCATACCTTAAAGTCATCCATGGATCCGACTTCAGGATGGAACACCTTTGTTGCATCTGCAAGGAATACTGTTTCGCTCAAAAGCCCCAGTGGTTTACAATTGCCATTGTCACAACTGGATTCTTTGTTACGCTATGCCATTCTCTTCTCTTTGTGCTCCATTCGCCGTATAAGAACATCAAAATTCGACTGCATCTCAAGCGACCTCTCACCACACTCAGCTCTGATCACAGCTCCACTTGAGCAAGCCACAACCATCTTCGTTTCCCACTGCAGAGCTTACAAGCCAACTCAAGATGTTGAGGTTTACAAGCATCTACTCCACGACGTGCAAATGTACCAAGGAGTCTGGCCCCATCAATGCCTTCTGGGTCGTGGCTAAGATCCCCGAGGCCATGGTTTTTGAGTCCTCCACTCGAATCATGGAGAGCGTGATTGAACAGATTCAAAATCGCCAGGCTACCATTGAGGATCCATCCCAGCATACACTGCGTTACTTCCGCGTTTCTGTTCCCATTCTGGTCACTGAGGTACCCTACTGGGAGACTGAGCAACAATACATGGCCGCCGAGAAAATGGCCTCTCGGTTTCTGAAAGGTGTTCGGACGGGTGAATACAAACTAGATCTCGGGCGCATCTTCCCAGCTTTTGTCCTTGCGAGGGCAGGTCTATGATCTTAGGCTTAGAGCATTTGAACTTAGAGCTGAGCTATGTACGACAGGAAAAATGACAGAAACCGGAGATCAATGCAATTGTCGATTCTTCGTAAATTTTACCATTGTAGTTAATTTAAATTCCCTAGAAAATTCTGTGCTGTGTTATCCAAGCCTAGGAATTCCTAACATACTTTGTTGTGGAGACTTTAGGGGCCTTTCCATCACCATTGCCTTCAGTGTCACTCAGCGTTCGGTCGGTCTGGGCGTTCAGGGCTGATTCTTCAATACCAGTTACTACCTGGGACTCTGGGTCTGTCCTCTTGGATCTTCTCTTGTCATTCCAGAGCAAGAGTTGAATGGAGGCAGTAGTCAGAACTAGAAGCGTTAAGTTAGCTTGAAGGTCTCGAATAAAGAGCTGGATTCCATACTGAGCAGGACTTGAAGCACAATAGAATATGTGTGTCCTTTAGCGGCTCGGGGGAAATCCGTAGTTTTCCAGACAAAATTAGGAGCCTGGATCAGACTGTTAGTCCTGTTTTTGGACTCACTTAAGCGTACTCACCACTGCCTGTACCACATAGGCGAGGTCATTGGCCATTGCGACAAGAAGAGCCCGCATCTCGGTATCATCGGAGCAAATCTCATTGATCCAACTTAAAATCAAGGGCCCAGCACCTTCCTGTGACAGGGTTAACATGTGCAAAAGAGTTTAACTTTATGCTCATCACTTACGCCGACTTTGGCGAGCCAATAGACAGCTTTGCGGCCATTCATGTTGGTGTATAGGGGTAGCTTGAGCAAAAGCGAACTGATGATAATCTGTTCAGGGAATAATTATGTCAGTTTTCGAAGCTTTTTGATATCTTGCAAGGGGTGATGATGTTTTTACTTACGGTAGTAAAAGCGCCAATATAGATGAATGGCCAACGGGCACCACGGCAGGGTCCGTCTGACACCCAGGCCCAGATTAAGCCCATGCCAATCAGAACAGCAGTCGTGGGAAGAGGTACTTGAGTATTGGTTAGCCGATCGTGTTTGGTATTCATTGGACATAGTTGTGTCAAAGCCTGGACACTCACGGTTGTTGATTTGGGGGACTGTGTATGATGTTCCAGGAACAGGAGGAGGATCCTTATTGAAGCTTTTCAACCAATATCCCATACTCGGCTGGGGAATTCCGTTGTTCCAAACAATATAGAGCAAAGCTTGGATTCCATGTTAGCTTTTCGATCATTTTCTCGATTATGATGCCAGGGTTATGGTAAAGATAGCGGGACTGCAGGAGAACTCACGAAGTAGATAGGTTTGCCAACTAAGAAGAATCTTCTTGGCTTTTGCTTTTGTCCAGGGCTGTTTTCCAGCGCGTCCAATACCTTTCATTCTCCGAATGGAAAGGAGGTGCTCTTCTTCAGTAGTCCACCAGGTTTTCTTGCCCCCTTGGGGTAAATTAGGGAAGAAGACGTATCCAGCGACTGCGAGCGGAAGTGTGATGATGCCATCGATAATGAACAGCCAACGCCCTGTCAAATTTTGTTAGCACTGGGCAGTTCAATTCTCATCTGTTGGGGGCACGTACAGCCCGCGTAACCATGAGTTCCATTGAGATTTTGGTATGCGGCAGCCTGAAGGAAACCACTGAACAGGGAGCCAACTGATCCGGCTAACCAAAAGATCATTGCTCGTTTTCCAATCTCCCGTGGAGTGTACCACGATCCAAGCATATAGTGGATTCCTGGGTAAAATCCAGATCTATAGATCGGATAAGTAATGAGGTCTTCATGTAGATGGAAGATATTTCCGGGACTCACTCAAAAAAGCCGACTAAAAAACGGAGTGCGTATAGTGCCTGATAGTTCTTTACAGCCGATGTGCAGATTGTCGCAAGGCCCCATCCAACCTCTAAGGTTGGAATGACCCATCGTGGCGAGACTCGGGTCAACAGCAAATTGCATGGAATTTGGCCGATCACGTATCCTACTGTCCAAATCGATGTGCCTGAAACCCATGTTAGCACTTAAACTTCCAATATGCGTGGCTCTGGTTTGCAAGTTACTCACTTGTCACAAGTTGGTTGCCAAACATCTCCAGATCCTCCTCCATGCCACTGAGGAAGGCATTGTTGACATTGGTTTGGTCGATATTCTTCAAAAAATATCCGATCGACGCGAATGTGAGTACGAATGCATCGACTTTGAAAAGTAGCCATCGCTCCTTGGGCGGGAGCTCCCATGTATCCCACACCATGCTTCTCCACGTCCTTGTGGGTTTCGTGAAGGAGCTTTCATCGGAACTCGATGCATTGTCGGCATCTATGCTCTGCGATCTAGGGACAGCCACCTGGGCGTCTCTTTGGTTTCCCATTTTGAATGAGAATCACCCGAAAATCATTCAGAAAAAGATTTCAAGGACATACGGGTAACGGAGCACATATAACGGTTTTACTTCATTGTGGATACCCCATCATCTTATACAGCTAAGGCATTATGTTCTCAAAATGCCCAGCGATCGCGTCAACTCCAGATCTCCTATCTTCTCCTGTTATGGTTTTTCCAAGACTTAACCAAGAGGATACTAACGCTTGAATCGGACTGAAACAGCGGAATCCTTGCGGATGTACTTATCAGCCCAGGTGCATTGCGATGCTTCACGGCCATCTTGCGCAATAGCTACACTGCATGGATGTTTAGCGCTGATTTGTAAGGATTGTAGACTATGTTATGGGGCTATATTGCTTACATTGATCCGTTGATAATGGTCCGAGTCCAACGAAATCATCCGATCAATGGCCTATTTCTTGCGTGCTAAGACGCAATCCACCAACTTTTGGCGTCATGTTTCTACAGTTGCATCGCGGTGTTTTGAATTTCACATATATAGACACTGTTTAGTATCAGCGATTTTTCTTTTATTCTAATTTGCATATAAAAAAAAGCAATCATGCCGGAATTCATTAGCGTCACTTTCCCCAACGAGTCCACCGAGCTCGCACCTATCCCCGGTGCACCAATTGATCCCGAGTATCTCGTTCGCTATGCTCGATCTCTAGATGATTTCGGATACAACTATACATTGGTGCCATATGGCTCATCATCCTTCGACCCTTTCACCATTGGAGCGACCATCCTCTCTGTAACCAAAAATATCAAGGTTATCATCGCCCTCCGCCCAAACACCCTCTACCCTACTGTAGCCGCGAAGGCCCTTTCAACTCTGGATCAGCTGAGCCGCGGCCGAGTCGTCGTCCACTTTATCGCCGGAGGCAGCGATGCCGAGCAAGCCAAGGAGGGCGACTTCCTGACTAAAGACCAGCGCTACGGACGTCTGGAAGAATATATCAAAATCCTCCGTCGCGCTTGGAAGTCCGATGAGCCTTTCGACTGGGAGGGCGAGTACTACCAGTTCAAGCAATTCAGCAACCAGGTTCGTCCAACCAACGGAGACATCCCCGTTTCAGTTGGCGGATCTTCCGACGAGGCATACCGCATCGGCGGCTCTCTCGCCGACATCTTCGGTCTCTGGGGCGAACCTCTCAAGGAAACCAAACAGCAAATTGATCGTATTTATGCTGAATCCGATAAGGCCGGTCGCCCCGAGTCCGATAGACCCCGTATTTGGGTCACTTTCCGCCCCATCATTGCTGAGACTGATGACCTTGCTTGGGCCAAGGCTCACGCCACACTCGATGCGCTCTCGACTCATCGGGCAAATGGTCAAGGCAAGGTTCCAGCGAATGCACCACCTCCCGAGAATGTAGGCTCGCAGCGTCTACTGGATATCGCGGCCCGTGGGGAAATTCAAGATCGTGCGCTGTGGTACCCTACTGTTACTGCGACTAACGCGCGTGGCGCATCTACTGCTTTAGTGGGATCACCCAAGACCATCACCGACTCACTGATCGATTATGTGGATCTCGGTGCGGATCTGATTTCCGTTCGTGGTTACGATAACCTTCATGACGCTATCGACTATGGACGCTTTGTGCTGCCTCGTGTGCGTCAGGTTCTGAAGGAGCGTGAGGATGGCACTTCGGCTTGATTAACCTCTAGAGCTTGAAGGATGTTAAATTAATGACACGAGCCTAGTTGGGCATGTATATACTTCTATTTACGTCGTAAACTACTTTTAAAGTTTTCTTCGATCATGAAGATCAGTCCTTGGCATTTGAATCCGTTCTGCTCCGTACAATTGATCCCTAGTCTGCTGAAAACTGTTATACCTGGCAAGATTCACGACAAAGACAATTGATTAAGTATAGAGCGCTCTCCCTTCGGGATATATGGTAGAAATTATATTATACAGGTCATGTTACTCGTCCAGATCAAAAGCGTCACTGAGAATCTTCTAAAGTTCATCCTCCTCGACCGGAAATAGTCGCAGCTGATTCAGCCTTTCTTGCTCCTTCAATTCTTGCAGCTGTGCTTCCAGAGCATCGTTCCCTTGAAGCAGATTCTGGATCCATATCGCAGCCTCTGCCAAAACATACTTTCGTGTGTAAGAATGTTTCTCAAGTCCTGGCACAAGGTGACAAAGCTCTTTATATCGCTGTCCAATTATTTCCCTCCTCTTTTTCTCTGACCGACAATGACATAATTTCTGTCCGGGTTTTTGCACACATTTTCTCTTCTTTTGGGATCTATTCTCGGCTTTTGAACAGCTGGCTCGAGAGCACACAGTAGTATCTGGCGAGGATCGCTGTGCTTGGTGTGATAAAGGCGGAGGTGAAGATGACGAGGAAGGTGTTTCGGATAGTCTTTCATAATGGGGAACCATGGATGGTTGGAACATGGGCAGAGAAAGGCCATTAAGTTGTAGAGGATCGTTGGAGGGTTTTTGGGGTGGTTCGTTGAATTTCTCGGAGACGTCGAAGCCAATGTCGACACTGTTGCAAAAGCTGGCCATGTTTCGCATCAGGTTTTGCACAAGGCGCTCTTCTGTCCAAGTGCCGATGGGATTAGAGAATCCATGATAGCAGAAACTGGGGTCTGATCCCCACTGGAGACCGTCTTCAACAGGCCATTGTTCTCGTGGAATAGTAGGCTGAGGACTCTCAGCTTGCCATGGACAGCAGTCAGATAAGGTCGCGTGGTCCATGATCGGGTGTTGACTCCCGTACTCCATCTTGATTCGAAGTAAGCACTGGGTATGGTTTTTAGGGCTCGGATCTAACGTCGCTGTTAACGAATTCCCTTTGGGTGTGTTGGTCACGTATGCGGGTGAGGGTGGAGACTCTTGCAGTAAGGAGATACGAGTATAGATGCGACAGATGTAAACTTAGGATGATTGTATGCAGCTCGGAGACTAAAATGTGACTGTTGCAGGTTTATTAGTTTAAATTTCTTTTTGAATAGGGAGAAGAAAGAGGCAGCAGGGTTACTACGTCAATTCCGGGATGCACCCGGAGTGTGGGAATACCCTCACCGGGTCCATCCCGGACCCCACAAATGATGTCGTCCACCACCGGACTCAATTAAGATCCGGTAGTCCCCCAACACGCCTAGGCCCAGACCCCGGAAAAAGTGTCAAAACTGAAGATTGAGATGGCTCGGCTCCCCTCGGCCTCACTTTTGAGTTCTCGGTTTCGTGGGGTACTGGCACGTGATGGCCCTCGTGTCTCGTGGGCACTCCGGGTGCATCCCGGAGGCCCGGAATCTTTCCATCCCCAACATTTCTCAAAGCCCCTTTGACCGGCCACCACCCGGATTGCCAATCATACCCCTTACAGTTCTGCAAGTACGGAGTACACTCCATATTGTGGGTCGCATGATAGATCGCGCCCTCGTGGCTGATAGGACAAAGCGTCGTGGAAATGCCTACGAGAGGTGGAATCCAAAAGCGGGAAACACCACGTCGGCGCAAGATTGCGCTGGCTTGTGAATCCTGTCGAGACAAAAAGGTTCGATGCGATGGCGAAAAGCCAATATGCGGACCCTGCGTTCGCCGCTCATACACGGTGGAGCAATGCGTGTACAAGATTGATAATGCAAGATCGGCCAGTAACGATGAGTACTTGAAAATCCTCCATGAGCGCATCCGGGAATTGGAGGAAACATGCACCAAAGGTGGAGTCGCAGTACCACCTGCGCCATCTCAAAATGGTGATGAAGCCTCGGAAAGTCAAATGGACGAAGATGTGGACTTGGACCCCCTCGACACACAATCACGAACATCTGCCGCGGCAGAAGGATTGCTTGGCTTGGGATCAACTCCTGTTGGGCCTGGTTCAACTTCAATACCAGCGACATCTCCGTTCCAACCACCAAAGCTTCCCGCGCAAAGGAACATCTCGGACACAGAAGATATCTATCGGACACCTCGTGCTTCACAACTATCCTCTGATGCTACCCGCCCCCGAGCAGGGAGTATCTACCCATCGCCTTCGATTAGTTCTCATGGAAATGTCACCGCCATGGGGGCCATATCTGTCCCGGAAGATGACCCGGGCACGGACTCCCCGCGAGAGCAGCAATACTATGGGAACTCCTCGGTAGCCTCCTTCATGCGCCTCGCGGGAGAGCCAATGCCTCTCCAGTCATATATGTCTGCTCTGCGGGAGGGCAAGAACGAAGCACCATTAACCCAAGGCTCGGAGACGGGTCTCTGGCGCGATCTGGGACACCCTTCTGTGGATCTTAGGTTCGATGACTTCTCTTTGCCGCCTCGGTCGCTGGCAGACCACTTGCTTGAGTGTTACTGGGACAGAGTCCATTGTCTGTTTCCTTTTTTCCACCGGCCAAGTTTTGAGCAGGCTTATGAAAATCTGTGGGGATCAAACAAATCGCCTAAGCCTGAGTTGCCGCAACTCAACATCGGACTCGGAGGAGCATATGACTGTGGTCCGAATTCCATCGTCTTTCATTGTGCCCTGAATTGTATATTTGCTCTTGGGTGTCATTTCTCTGATATCCCACCTTCTGAACGGGAGGCAGCTGTCTACTCCTTTTTTCTGCGTGCTAAGCGTTTTGTGAACCTTGACCTTCTCGATATCGGTACCATTGGGGTTGTGCAAACACTCCTCATCGTCTCGCTTCTCCTCCAAAGTACGCCTTACCCGAACCGATGCTGGAATGCTATTGGACTGGCGTGTCGAGCCGGCCAAGGGCTTGGATTGCATGAGACAACTACGCATTCTTCATGGAAACCACTCGAAACCGAGATTCGCCGGCGGACCTGGCATAGCTGCGTCATTATGGACATGTATGTGCAATTCTTGCGATCCCACTCTTATAACACTGCTAACACTCAGTTCATAGGATTGTGAGCATGACACATGGAAGACCGAGTATGACCTCACACATTTCACCAGTGCCCCTGCCAGAAATGGGAATCAAATCCCAAGCAAGTGATCCTTGCGAGCTCAGTGGACAGCCTTGTGATCACAAAATGGGATACTTGACATTCTACGTCTCGACTATTGAGCTTTATAAGATTCTTGAGTCCATCCTATCCGAAGTCTATAATGCCTGGCAGACTCGGTCGAACAGCAATCAAGCATCTTCACCTCGCAGCTCCAAGATTTGCAGTCTGGACGTCTTGATGGAACTTGATGATAGGCTGTCTGCTTATGAGGCCAATGTGCCATCGCCACTCAATTGGACAAACGAGCCATTGCAACATTCGGGCAGTGGGGGTATATCGATCTTCAAACGCCAACAGAATGTGTTGCGAGCTAGGTAAATACGTCATCGTCATAATTCTTAACTTTCAGTCCACAAATACTGACAATACTAGAGCGATTCATCTCCGCCTCCTGTTGTATCGTCCTATGTTCACCCAACTCTGCTCCGATGAGCGAGCAAGCTCCTCGAGGCGCTCGGATGCTGACCCAGGAGATAGAGGTATCGGAGCACCTGCAGAAAAGAACCTCATATACTCGTCTGTCTTTTCAAAATGCGCCGCATCCTGTGTCTTGGCAGCCATTGACTTGGTGTCTCTCGTTCACCAAACGTACCGAACCAGCGTGACCGATGCTTGGTGGTATAATGGCTTCTGTAAGTGGTCCCATTGGTGCACCTGCTAGCTTGCTAACATCTCTTTCAGATACTTCGACCGCAGGTTTCATTTTGATCATGTCATACTCTTGTCGATCAGTTCGTGGGCAAGTAGATCCACAACTCGTAGACGAGAGCTGGCGCAAATGCGAAGAGATACTAGCTTTCATGGCAATGTTCAGCTCATCTGCTCGTAACTCGCTACAGTTTCTCCAAGTTACGCATCAACACATTGTTCAAAACTATTCAGGTACATTATTTTCCTTTGAACGAGCTGTGGTCAATGCTAACTCTTGCACAGCACCAGCTCGGCCTGGTGAAAATCCATCACTGTCAGCCACACAATTGCAACAGAAGGTCAACCAATACCCAACCCGACCAGATACATCATCACAGCATGCGGAACTGATTTCTGAAGATCATGGCCTCCGTCAGGAGTCTGGTGCTACGGATATGAACCCTTTCACAACATGGGATGAGATGGGATTAGGTCAGGAGGATTTCGGCTTCCTTGGTCGATTCGACTTTCCTGATCTTGCAAGTTGGTTTACCGATATACCCCCATGATTCCCAGTTTGGGTGTTGCTTTGGTCATTTATTAGGTCAACCAGAAGGTCCCAAGCTGGGGCTTTTTGTTTCTCTGTGGCTTTCGGTCCATGTTATAGCCACCCCGAGGTCTCACATTCCTGTCTAGTCCGCTCGTCATTCTGGTCCAGACAGTTTCTTTCACGACATCAATAATCCCGCGGGACTTCAATTCTTTGTTCGCGCGCCTTTTACTTCAGAGTAGGCGTGTCGCAAGATAGGAATGTTGCGGGTCTGGTTGACGAAATCTGAGTGTACTCTCGTCATTTCATCATGGACTGCTAAAAGATTCGGTCTCTTTCCGGGATCAACGTGGCATCAAGGGTTGAATATTAGTAACGAGATAGATACTCTGATGCTCTCTCCCTAAGAGATGAAGTATTGAGCTGTGTCACTCCGAGTCGAATACTCGTACTGTGTCACTGTATCTTTCATCCCAAAGAATCAAAGAGCATCAAATAATCTCGTATCAGCATGACTCCAGAAATTCCCAGCTGAATTCTCAAGAGTGTCAAAGTCCGGCATCCAAAGAGGATCATTCTCATTTTGATCAATCCATGGCGCCAACTGCAAAGCCATCCTCACAGCATTTTCAGTCTCATCGACAGGGGCCTGCGTCGGCGGAAGATTGACATCAGGGGCTAATCCAGTCATGTTGGTAGATGTGAATTTATCACTAGACATTCCAGGGGTAGAGCCCCAGTTCACCCCATACTGTGCTGTCATCAGTTCGGCTATCCCGGCATTTCGAGCAGTCTCGTCACCCTGTAACTTTTCCATGGCGGCGTTGACGAGTAATTCGAACGCATCGCGGTATTTCTTGACCCAGGCTGCGCGCTCGCCCATCACGAAGAGTACAGTGGAGCAAGCGCGGATGTCATTGCTCATGCGGACGGACCATACTTGATCTGTATGGGTCCAAAGCGCGTATAGGAGGGTGATACCGGCCATGAAGACGGTTTGCACGGCCAAAAAGGAATGCCCGTATTCCAGTGTTTGGTGGAGCCGTTTGTGTGATTGGCATATATTTCCTGCTGCTGAAAGACAGATTTGGTAATATGGGTCTGTTATTGGGAGAAGAGGGAGAAAGGGTTGGATGAGTAGTCTGACAGCCCTGTAGTAATGGAGTATTGGGTAGTCGAGGTCTGGTCCGCTAAATCGTGAGAGTGCGGATTCTTTCCATTGTTCAAGCTCCAGGTACAAGGGATCCATCTTTGGCCGAAGGGTCGATAGAGATCGGTCAGCACGGTAGATCTTATGCTGGATGCGGGAATCGATGCGTCGGAGTTTAAAGAGGTATATTGCGAAAGTGAGGGAAGTTGTTTTGTTCGGGTCTTGAGGTGCTGTGAGAAGAGTCGGATCTTCAATGTCATCATCGACATCTAATGGTAAATCAAGGTCGATGTGGCGGTCGGAAAGGCTGAATGGGCGACCGAGAGACATGGATGCCACTCGCTCCAGGTAGTATACAGTCCAGAAGAGCCTCCGTCGCATTTGGGTCGTGAACGGGTCCATGTTGCTCTCATTTACCTTGCGGTGCAGACCCAGGTCAATAGCTGTGCGCATGGCAAGTCCAATCATATACCACATCCCATGGCTAGACGCCGTTCGCAGATGATACACGACAAGGAGAACCATGGCTTCAATGTTGTGGATAGATCGAGCCTCACACATCGTGGGAACATGCTGTAAGGCAGCAGTATAGAATCGCTGTCAATGTTTAGCATCAGATCCTCACGGTATCGAAGTCCTCAACTCACCTCAGGTGCTGTGTAGGCATATTTTTCACAGAGCTGCAGCATGGTCGCACCAATAGCATACACCATGTTCAGCTTGAAGATCGCGAATCGATCAGCCCTTGTGAGATCTTCACGCTTGGTTTTTGCCAATCGCCAACGATCTTCATGGATCTGCCACACCTGCTTTTGATTAAGAAACGGGTATCGAGAGTGAAGGCGCGTGAAGTATGTGTCCAGAATTCTTGCTCCCATCTCATCAGTCGGCGGTTCCACATTTGCAGGCAACAAGTCTTCCGGTCTAGACCGATCTTGAATTTCAGGAGCACTTGGCTGCTCCGATGGCCCATGCACCCGGCCTCTCGTATTCCGAGAATTATTGATGAGGCTTTTGCTTTGCTGTTGCTGCATCTTTTGGATAAATTGGCTCCATACACTCGTTTGGACCATTTCTCCCAAGTCAGCAGCGAGAGAGAGACCGGAGCTGGATCCTACGTAAGCAGGAGCTTCTGAGGAGCTGAGCGCCAGTAGTCCCACAATCTCCCCGACTGGGTTGTTATCAAGCCCCGAAGTAGTTGTCTGTGGCGTTGCATGACCTTGGGGGGTAAATAGCGATGGCGTGGCTATTGCAGCATTCCGCTCGGAATCTGATTGATTGAGTCGGCTCTCGAGAAATGCCACGCGCTCTTCCAGGACGCGTGTGTAGCTAATAGTTAGAGAGATCAGCTTTGTTTTGGGACTTCACTTCCACACATACTCATTCTGACTGTCGGTGTCTTCCCGCACGCTTGACTTGTCGCAAGTCACCCCGGCTTTTGAGCAGTTGGAGCAGGTAGGATACTCATTGTCACACTAAAGATCAATGAGCCCTTATTTGGTGGCTATAAGGGTCATCGGAGCTCACCTTCTGCTTCCGAGTCTTGCAGCGTGTGCAAGCCGTCCGTCCACGCTTCCTTGGGTTGTGGTCTTGCGCTGGACTGTTTCTTGAAGACACGGAATTGTGTGCAGGTGCGTACATCGTATTCCGGGACCATATACTTGAGCAGTCATGACATGCCAGCTTCGGAGGCCGGCGATTGTCGTCGGAAGTGTCGGAGGGGCGATGCCAAGACAAGCCGGCACCGGCTTCCCTCCGGATCTATAAGGCTCATCAGAGTCATCACACATCATCTCACATGAGATACTTAAGTATCCTGTGTCGAACCTGAGAATATCGCTGAAGATATTGTTTTACTTAATATTGTTTTGTTTTGCAATACTTTGTAGAATGGGATTGAATTAGATGAATATGGTATCTATGATGCTTTTCGGAACCTGGGAAGGTCTATAACCCGCACTGCTGATGCAACGAAATGAGACTAGAATATGACGACGAATATGCTTGAGAGCCTGGGTAACGGACCGTTTTTTGTTCCTATCACTTGGAGTGACTCTCCTTCTCGGTGCCAAGTTCCACCCGGGAATGTGGCATCGATGATTCGAGTGTGGACGCCGAAGGACGCTTCTCAATATTCCGAGGCGTTTGGGGGCTGGCTGACTCCTCGGGATTCTGAGCAGTAGCCGCTTCAGCATCTCTCTCCTCTTGTGCTTTGCGCTTCTCCTCTTCAATTTCTTCGGGTTCCTTTGGTCGCTCCAGCCCCCTGTCGCGAATAAACACGCAAGCGAGGAAACACACACCAATGAGGCAAATTTGCAAAATGAAAACTGAATGGGATGCCTTGGTATAAGCGGACAAGATCGAAGCCCATTCGGTGGCATCGATGTTGGACCTCGAAGGAAGGGAGTAGGAAGACTCCGCCAAGTACGCAAACTTGGTTGGCAGGTGTGAGCGAAGAGTGGCCTGTAAGATGGCGGCTGAGATAGCAAGGCCACATGCACCGCCCATACAGCGAAAGAAGTTGCGGTCGGCGATCACCACTGCTCTTTGAGATTTGGTGCAATGGGCTTGCAAGGCTATCAGGGTAGGTTGGAAGCAAAAACCGACTCCGGCTCCCATGATGAACACAATCACAGCAATTATAGCTGGATGCGTGTTGTCCCCGAACAATAGTAGCAGGCCGTTACCTCTTTAATGAAGTCAAATTAGCACCAGACGCGAGGAAACTCCCTGAAGAATGATATACTTACAATGTCCACAGGCCAAATCCAATCCAAATGATTTCACCATATCGTTTCAATCTTGAGATGTACTGTCCGGAGAGGATTGAGAAAATTGACTGGGCTACAACCATCGGACATGTCATGGCTGCAGAGACAACGGGTGACCAGCCACGGGCATTTTGGTAGTACAGCGGGAGGTAATACAGGTTGACTTGGTAGACAGCACCAAGCAAAAAGCTCTGTAAAAATATTGTAGAGACGACCTTGTTTTTAAAGAAGATCACTGGCTGTAGGTCAGCTTGATGTCTCATCTAAATCTTGGGTAGAAACGTACCTGGAAGCATGGGCAGTGTGGCCACTTTCCACTCGATGAATAAGAATGCAACAAGGGAGCAACCCCCGATAACAAGCATACTTATGACCATTGGTGAGTCCCACGGGAAGTATGAGCCACCGCCAGAGATGGGGATCAACAGAAAGATGATACCAATAGACGATGCAAGTATACCGAACCAGTCAATGCGAGTGACGTTCTCCCGAAAGCTGCCTTTTCCAGCGTTGTTTGGGATCAGGAAATAGCCAATGACTGCAGAGCAGGCAGATAGAGGAGAGATCAACCAGAAGAAACCGCGCCATGTTGAGCGCATAATAAATGCGGCTGCAACGAATGGCCCGAGGACGTTTCCCATCCCCAGAGCTGCACCCAGTATACCTTGATATTTCCCTCGTCTCTCCAGGGTCACAATATCAGAAACGATGATCATCGTCAAGGAAGTGACACCTCCACCACCAATACCAGCCAATGCGCGGAAAGCGTAGAACATCGCTGGGTTTTGTGACAAGCCACACAGCAAATCTGCAATACATAGCGTCATCAATGCAGAGAGATAGACAATCTTCCGTCCAAAGATGTCAGAGAGTCGGCCGTATAGCACTGTAAACATGGTGTTTGCAATCAGCGACGAGGTTCCGGCCCATGATATCGTGTTCTGAGCACCGAGATCGCGGGCAAGAGTCGGTAATGTCACACTGATTCCATTCTGATCCACGTTGCAGATCAACAAAGAGATTGCCAAACTGCTGAAGACAACTATAAGCTGTCCAAACGGCAAGATGTTTGTTTGATCGTGAAGCGCCTTTTCGGCTTCTCGTTGTCGATTCATGACTTGAGATGTGATTGCTCCAGTTTGTAAAGAACAACAATTGTGCCTATGTTGTTAAGACACACAAGGCTATGTCGTGAAGTAAATTTTTGGCTGTAAGATAGGGTTTCCGGGATCTGATATTAATGCTTGGCGTGGTGCTAAGTGGTTGAAGTGTGGGGGGTGATGATATTTAAGTGAGGACCAGCACCACGGAACGAGTCATATCTATGAGGCACGGTAGCAGAATATGGATTCAATAAGAGCTAGTCCTGTGCGATGTTCATAACTTCAAGGGAAAAAGCTGGTTTCCGAAATTCAAAGGCGGCACGTGATCTGTAAAATCGTCGGAGGGTCCGAAAGGTTTTCTGGCAACTAAGTGCTGGCCATCGATTGGAGGTTCGGACCGCTGAGCAGATATCATATCCGGTTCGTGTCCGACAAGGGTAAAAACTCGTGTGCTCTACGGGCCAATTCCTTGTCTTTAGCGGCTTGATCCCGCATCTTCTCTCCCGTTGGTGAAGAGCAGAGTCTGTAGTGGATCCCTTCGGATGACCGATCGGACCTCCGATACCGAGTCATAGCCTAATCGGGAAAGTTCCATCGCCTTTTGACAGCACGGTGTGCGGAATGGCTGCGTATGCGGCGGGTCAGGCCAATTGAAGAGAGATGCGTTGATCACTGCTCCTCTGGTTTTCGGTGATTTGCAACTAATGCTCCAACGTGGTCTAGACAAATGTCAGTCTGCTCGTTGGTGAATCCTGCTATTCTTATGCTCTACCGGCCTGAAAACTGCCGCATATACTAAGTATGGGTCACACCCATAGAGCGCCAGTCTTGCTCTTTCAATCAGCTTGGTTGGTTCGAGAATACTCCACAGCTCGGTTCTCTATGTCGGACTAGACACCAGACGGCAGTGATGAAGACTTCATGGGACTACCAGCATAAAAGCAGTCTGTAGATTGGAAGAACTATAGATCTCTTTGGATGTGGCCCATTGACCCTTCGATCCATTCATGCATTGAACGCGTCACTCATAGACTTCATAACAAGATTAGCCAGGATATTATCCAAGCCCAGGGCATCTTAATCCACGTAAAAATTTCCCTCATGGATCAAATTAAACGACTACTCCGCCACTGACGTCTAAATCAAATTCCCTCCCCAGCCATCTCAACAGCTCACTTCAATGTTGCTATAGACGATGCTGCGTGGTGTTTCGAGAATGCAAATTCCCAACGGCAATCCTCTCCACGACAGAAAAAGACGATCGAGGCAAGGTCCATAATGCCGACATTGAATTTCACGCATGTTGATCCTAAATTAGTTGACAATCTTGGCGCGGCTGAAAATTCCCTTTCCAAAGATAAAAAAAAGATGTCTTTGATATCTCCAGTATTTTCTTCACATGGCGAGCTAAGTATGTGCTGGTCCAATTGGCACCCCGAGACCACCACCAGGCCAGGCATGTTGAATTGAAGCCGTGTTTGGTGGATTGCTATCGTAAGTAGAGTTTTCGCCGACTACATTGCTGCTACCCACGCCATTGGGGGGGCCTGGGTGCCTTGCAACGTTACTAGGGTTCGGTATAGCATTGTTCATATAGGTGGCGCCAGTGGCATTGCCTTGGTTTGGGAAGAAGCTCTGGTTCAATGACCCACAAGTTGTGCATGTAAATTCAATCTTGAAATTGGTCAGAACCATTTGGGGAATATCAGTTTGGTCGTCACGGGGGTAGTTGTGGGCTTTGGGAGGCTCGCCCGCTACTGGCATAGTGGCGGCGTTTTGGTACTCGGATCCTGGTTGTGGCATGGTCATTTGGTGCGAGGGGAGAGCGAGAGGTGGGTTTGTTGGCAGTGGTTGTTGTACTTGGGTGGGCAGGGTTTGAGAATTAGATGATATGGGCATGCGATTGCTTGGAGGCTCGCTTGGAGGCAAATTATCGTCGTCAATCAAGGAGGATGGAAGATGATCAGGAAGCCATCGGTGCTCTGGTATATCCTCGAAGGCGTTCGTCGCATCCCTATGTGACTCTGGTGATTGCTCAGGCGATTGCTGCTCTCCTGCGCTCAAATCAAGATCGAGTTCTTGATCAAGTTGGCCTTCGGCGTGTCGAGGCTGAACTTTGGTGAGTGCTCGCTGTGCCTGGCGCATGGAGATATCATAACCGTGGTAGCGTTTCACGGCATCCACGACATCCTGAGCCTTGATCTTTGACTTCATGTCGAAAAGCTTCGGAATCTCTCCCAGCAAGAAACGCACATGGGAGGCCTCAGACCGAGCTGGTGTAGCTGATGGGGAGTCTGCACTACGACGGCAACTATGGCTGTCCTGGAGGCTGGTGATGTAGGTTGCATTCTTGTTCGAACGACAGACGACTCGAAAGAAGCAATTTGCCGAGGAGCGGCACCCGATAACTACACTTTTCTTGTTGCTTCGAGTGACACGAAGCTCCCAGTGTTGCCTCACGGATATGCTGCGGACTGCCGATTTGAACTCTTCCAGAGAGGAGAATCGCTGGCTCACATGGAGCCCAGAGTACATCTCCGTCATAGTGGTGGTACGCAGAGTATTGAAGCAGCCAAGTGGGCAACTGGGACAGGAGCCACGGACTCTCGCGTGACAATGTCCATCGGGTCACAAATTGTAGCTTCGCGAGGTCGTGCTTGCAAACACCTCTGGCGAAGCACGGCGTGACCCCAGGCAAGCACCCGTTCGATCTGCGTATTTGTGGACTTGTTTCAGACCGGTCGACTTTCTAGGATGCAATGTAGCAAAAGTGAATTCCACTGGCGAGTCTGAAGTAGCAAAGCAACGCAGTCGAATGTTGGAGAATAGACGTCAATAAGGTTGGGCGGAGTAACTGACCGCTCGGCTTCACTTTTCACTTCCCCAAGTCGCGCCCCCCCCGCCAAGTCGCCCTCTCAGAACTCAGCTCTCAAGCGATTTCTAACTCATCAATCAAGATGGCTCTCTACGGCCTCCTAGGCCAGCCAGAAGAAGGTCCAGCCCACAGCTTTCCCCTTCTTCAGCTCCAATGCTCACACTCCTACAGATGCACTCCACAAATCACGTCTCCTCAACGTGGAAGAGAAGCCCTTCAAGCGAATCTCCAAGCGTCTCTTGAACCCTGACTCAATCCTCGTCTCACAATCCTCCCTCCCTACTACACCACCCGAAGAAAGTGACAGCAACCACGCGACCGCCGAAGCCCAAACCCAGAAAAAGCTCGAGGAATGGCGCCACTTCCGAGAGGATGTATCACTGGATTTTGCTGCTTTTGAAGCCAGTATTGCGCGCGTCCAGTTCCTCATCACAAGTAACGAGAAAGAGCGCCAGCGGTACGCCACCGAACGAGTACAGATTCTGTCGACAATGCAGTCCGTCCGGGAGAGCACAGCCGATTTACGCAGCCAACTCGAAGAAGCTCAGCGATTACTTTCTTTGCGCAAGACCTACGATGAATTGACCGACAAAATCACCAGTAACCGCCTACTGAAGCCGCGCGAGGATCAATCAGCGAATCTCCAAAAATTGCGCACGGAGATCGCAGATCTGGAGAATGAAAGCAAAGACTACGCCACGACATGGGCTGAGCGACGAGAGCAGTTCGGTCGCATCGTTGACGAGGGCATGCAGCTCCGTCGGTTGATCCGCGATGAGAAGGAGGAGGTTGAGCGCCGGGAGGGAATGCAGGAGGGTGTGGATGGCGATGAGGGCGATTCTGCCTCCAAGGGCAAGAACAGCAGTGTCAATACCCCCGGCCAGGACAGTGAGGGTACGACTCCGCCTCAGATTCAAGAAGAGGCCCGGCCTGCCGCTTTGCTGGTTGAAAGGGGGGGTGCTGCGGGTCTTGCATCACCTCTGCGCCAAGTCACCACCGCTTCTAATAACGAGGACACAAACATGGTCGATGACGGTGAAATCTCGGCGATCAGTGATGGTGAATTGTCTGAGCTCGAGGAAGGGGAAGAACTCCCCGACGGGCACTACAATGAGAAGATGGATACCACCTGAAGCATTTGTATATTACTAGCACTAGCAAGGAGTTTTTCCCGGGTTCAGGCGTTGGAAATTTGAGTGAACATTCAATGACATAATGGATCTATTTCCGATTGGGTATTTTGTATTGGTAATTGGGTGTTTAGGACTTCAGGAAATCTCGCGCTCTGCGGTCTTAGCTTGGGCAATGGCATCTTTGGCAGCTGTGATGTCCGCGACGTTGCTGTCAGATCCCTTCTTGCCCTCCTCAATCTGCTGGAGTTGGTCAACTGGCCTCGTTCTGTGAGCATTAATAACTTACGATCAAAGCATCAAGGGTTGCCACAGTCTGCTGGAGTTGCTGCTTCAGGGAAGGCAAAACTTTCTTGGTCTCTTCGAGGGATAGGGCCTACATGGTATGTCAGTTGAGGTAAATGGAATCAACGACCAGGCTTCAATTCCAGTAGATTTCACTTACCTCTTGCTTCAACACATACTCGCGGTTCTCATCATCGCCAGCAGTCTCAGCTTCAAGTCTCTTCACACGCTCAATCTGGTGCTCAAGCTCCTTGTGGTAGGAGGCCTCTTCCTTGACCAAGCGGATGACAGAGGACGTAGTGATCTGGAGCTGAGAGCGAGGAGCCATTGTGATTATGATTATCTGCGCAATTGTCAACACTGATTTGAAGTATTTCGACGTTCGATAGCTTCAGCATTGATTCAAGTAAAAGAGTCGGCCCATGGCAGGTCCCGAAAGACATCCGTCGGCTTGCTATTACTTTCACAATAGAAGTAAAGCTTTTCTTCGGCATCGTGACATTGAGCGTGCATAGATGTTCTCGGAACAAATCAGCTGCAAGGGGACGTCGCTTACCTGTGGGATATGCGATTGGCAAAGTAACGTTGTAGTGTCGTCGCCGATTTCTCCAGATTGACCTCATGCCCCTCCGTGATATCGTGTTTGCACTGTTTGCCTATGACATCACGTGTTGACGAAGTGGGATTTGAAGCCGAACAGACAATCGCCCAGTTGAAATCACTTAGGGCTACACGTCAGATATTGCTCAACAAGAGCAGAATGTTCGTTACTCGTTCGTTACTCGTTCGTTACTCGTTCGTTACTCTGCGCTTAGATTCTGAAGATGTTCGTTACTTTGCGTTTAGATTCTGAAGATAAAGTGCGACGACACCGCCATGAATGTGATACTAAAAATGGCCATCAATGAACGACTCTTATTCATGGTCACAGTCTAGTTTGAAGGACAATACCAACAATAGCATACCATTCATATTGCTGTCCCTTTTCATAACCCCATTCTTACTCTATAGAAAGCCTCTATAGAGCCTCTACAGCACAATCCATACTCCCGAGGTCGATAAAGGCCGATAAAGGCCGATAAACACGATAGTGGATCCGGCCAATAAGCGTCCACCAGCGTGATCCTCTATTTAAAGCCCCAGACTCCCCTTCTGGGACATTTCTCCATCTTCCACTTCGCTGCGACCTGCAAAATCTCGATCCAAAGTCCTTTGCTCTCATGCTACCATTGCGCTACACAATTTGGATTGATTCCCAATTGTGGTAAGCATGCCCGTTCGATCCCTTCGCTCGATGGCTACGGCCACAGCAATCCGCTACGTCAAAGGTATGTACTGCACAATGCGCCCGTTGGAACTAATTGAACTAACCAATTATTTCGTTCGATCCAGTCCTAGATGACCTTGGCGCCCTACCATATGTGCTTGCTCGCCCCATCCTATTAAAGATTGATAATCCGGAAAAGCTGGTATGTCATACATCTCGTCGCTTAGCAAACGCTTTGGTCGCATTTGTGAATATAAAGTAACGTCTGTTCCTCGTACTAGCACACTATCGAACTTGCCTCGCCCCATCTGGCAGCGGAAGACACTGAAATATGGATGGACTTCATCAAACGAGATATTCCTCGATGGGAAACCTACCAACTGCCAGCGCAGTCTGATGACTGGTACAGTATTTACTGTGACCTGCGGGAACAGACCGATCGCACCCTTGACGCAGACGCAGAGATGATGCGCAAAGCAATTGATGGCATCAACAATAAACGCGCCGCTCTCACACCCCAAATCATTCCCCAGAGCAAGAGTCACCGCATGGCCCACGCACGGCCAACCCCCAGACAACGACATGCAGCGTACGATCGCCGGATGGGCGGCATCGGCGCTGACACCTACATGCCCCGCTCGGATAATTGGGGGTCCAAGAAAAAGAATAGCATTTTCCAGCCTATTAAGCGGAATAATGCTTTAACGGTCCCAACAAAGGCGCTGAATAACCGCGCCACCCAGGTGCAGCGCGCACCGCGCGCCCTGGTTGAGGAACACCAGGAGTCACGTCGCTCCATCCCGCCCAAGGGGAGTCTCCTGCCTGCTGTGAAACCCCCGGGGCTTGCCAGTAATGAGGACAAGCTGCGTGCGCTCACCAACTCCGCGCAGTCTGGGTCAAATCCTGGCCTCAAACGCCGTGCTCCTTCTCCACCCACCTCCACCTCTACTACCTCCCCTGTTTCGTCGCAACCAGGCCCGTCAACATCCAAGCCTGTCATGAAGCAGCGGCCGGCGCCGAGCATTTTCATGCCGCCGAAACGGCGTCGTATGTGATTGCTCGTCACGAATAGAGGGCGGGAAATCCTCTTAAAATAGAAGAGAGGGCAGAGGGGAGGGAATATGGGCACCCCCAACCCCTTCACGGACTTATGGAGGAGGGATATGCCCACCCCCCAACCCCTTCACGGACTTACGGTGGGGGGGTGGGCATCCCAACATTGCCGTATCCTTACGCCCACTGCTCTCAACACTCGCTGCTGAGAGCGGCTGGGTGTAAGGATCAAGGAGGTACAAGTGGAGGTGGGGGATATCCCTGCAGAGCGTTATGTGGCTGATGATGCGGAAGAGGGCGATGTAGCAACCTCGTATATGGGAGGCTCTACCTCTCCGCCCATTGAGGATGTGGCTCCTTCTTGGTACGTCGCCATCATCGTCAACGACGGGACACTGACACCATGACTTCCGGATCCCTCAAATCAACTTGCGGAACACCATCAGCTTCCGGAACACCCTCGACTTCCAGCACACTCTTAGCTTCCGGAGCAGCAGCCGTAGCGCTCTCCGTAACCGGACAAGACAAGATCACCTCCTTCTGCGATTGCATTCGCGTCGTCTTTATTTTTGTGATGAATTCTACCACACACTGGGCTTCCGGAACACCATCAGCTTCCGGAACACCATGAGGTCATGGTCAAGGATAGCTGGGAGCCGCCAACTCCATTTGACTCCCCTGGTGTTCCCAAGGAGGAGTTCGCCTGGTGTTCGGAAAACTCCAACATCCCAAAGAAGCTGTGTATCACGGTGATTACTTATCCTGTTTTTCTTTACGTCATTTCAGGGGGAGTTGGGATTTTATTTCTGATACCCGAGGTTACTTCGCCTCACTTGCGTTCAAATAGGCGTTTATTCTCGTTTTGTTTAGCCGGCGAGCTAATGGACAGTATGCATGATGTGAACTCCCACTGTAGATCCATGAGCATGGTGCTGTAGACAGAAAATCGTACTTGACGCGTCCAGCCCTCCGACTCTGGGATGACATCGTAGTAAACTGTTCCGTCAGCCCCTGCGCGCTCTTGCTGCAAGCCCCGAAAGACAGCTATAAGCTTCGCGTCCAAGTGAGAAAGCATAGCCAAATCACTCTTCCAACCCCCAACAGTGCTCATCTACACCCCAGCCCCTGAATATGATCCTCCGCGCCCTTCAATCTACGATCATGTGCCGAAAGAAGGTGGAAAAAAAAGACACTCGGGAAACAACCGGAGCAAAAAAGTAAATTCCAGGACTCCTAACATGCTAATCCGATCGCGACCGGGGAAAAAAAAAGATTGCTCAGTCCATGGTTCAATTTGTATGTAAGGAATCATGCGCCTCCACGAAGCGCAAGGACGAGATGCAGCGTCGCGCCACCTTCGAGGTTATATTCGGAAGCGGTCTTGTCGTCGGACCTGCGAGGCGTTAGCAACTGCGCGCAGGGGTGCGGGGTGACATGAGATCGTACATCTGCTTGCCGCCGAAGATCAGTCGTTGCTGGACGGGTGGGATGCCTTCCTTCTCTTCAACGCGCTCTTTTATCCGGGAGACCTGGGCTTGTTAGGTTTCCGTTGGGCATGTCGGGTGCGGGCGTACCTTGTAGTCGGGCTCGATGTCGAGCTCGATCTCCTTGCCGGTGAGTGTGCGGACCCTGGATTGTTAGCTTGGATACTAGTGCTGGAATGTGCGACATACTTGATCAACATTGTGTGCAGTTTGTGTTGAAGACTGAGTTGCTTTCGGAGTCTTGGAAGTGAGGGGGGTTTTTGGTGGGGCGGTGGCCTTGTTGCCTGATCGCGTCGGAGCCTCACTGCTTCACTGAGCTTTGCTTCACAGGTGCTCGTCTTAAGGTTATGTGGTTGTCAGTGGAATATCTGAAGCGTTTTCACTCTGAAGTTATTTAATTTCGTCTCGCATTTATCCGACTCTAGACCTTGGAAGTGAACTTTCGAAAACATGCGGGATTATACTCGAAATATATAACGAACTATACTCAGTACTAGTAGCTAAGTTCCGTATGAATGTGATCAAAACGAGCTAGAAATGCTCGAAAACCCCCTCAATTCTCAAGAAAACACTTAATTAAATCATACACGTCCCAATACCTAAGCACCCCACCGAGGGAATCGCATAAATCTGTCCCATCGTCTCTCCCGGGGAATGTTGCATCGTTCCTCTACCCCGCTGAAAGCCACTCTGCTCAGGATCACAATCCCACATCGACCATGGCAAACATCCCAAATGGGGATGAAAATCAATTTGAGCAATTGATCAACGCGTGTGATAATGACCCAGTAAGACGAGTCCTCACTTGCAACTGCGACCTGGGCAGATGCCACCGACAAGATACTGAGTCTGCAGAAAACATTCCAAACTGCCTATGAAAGCCACAGAACAAACAGGAACGCTCTCTTCAATGACAAAATCAGCCAGCCTGGATTCTGCGATTGGAAAGAAGACCAGATCTTGAATCAAGTTCTCGAAGCAGAAAAAGGCTTGACGAACTACGTTGATCCACGAAGCAACCTCGCGTTCTGGGCACGTCCTCCCCAGCATGTTCGAGAATTGGTTTCCAAGATACAGCAGCAGATTGCTACGTTGGCTGGCCCCGGTAAGTGCAAGCTGGCTCTCATGGGATCTCATGAGCAAAATAATAACAACAATTCTAGGCCTGTGGTTTGTTCCACCCGAGAACCTACACATGACGACGTTGGAGATCTGCTGTGAAAAGAACCGAGAACAAATTGCTGAATTGATTGACAAAATTGACTCAAAGATGTGGGAAGATATGGCGAACTACACCCTAGACCACCGTGCTCGACTGGTCAAGCCCGTTATAAGCTACGACACCTCTGCTCTGGCTCTGAGTTTTGTTCCCGCGGCCGGCGAGGATGACGCCGCAGCTTATAGCGGGAAAGATGATGAGTTTACCTATCATCACCTACGCCGGGATCTTTACAACAAGGTGACTACGAACGGTGTCCCAATCGGCGCTAGGTATACAGTGCCCTCAGCGCATGTTACCATCGCCCGGGTGGTGAAACCAGCTATGGCCACTGAAAGTAATTCAGCCTCTCCGGTAGAACCCGATGCGGAGGTTGCGCAGCTGGTTACTGGAATTGAGGATCTGAATTGTGAACTCCGCTCGAATGTGTGGAGACGATTGGGAGATCCTTCTCAAGGCGAGTGGGTTGTTGGCCATGAGAAGGGATTGGAACTTATCTGGGGCACAACGTGGTATGGAAAAGGAGAGCGCGTTGTTTTAGGACAAGGCTTTTCTTAGAGTTTCCGGATAGAAGATATCTGCAATGAAGATTTTGTCTATTTCCCAGTTGTGAAGAGAGATGATGTCAATGTGGCCTCAGGCAGAAAATACGGATGACTCAGCACTATCAGTTGGCGCTGCCAAATCCGGTTAGCGTACACCCTATCGGGCCTAAGCGAGTGCAATCCCACACACCAAGAAATCGCTCTTGCTCTCCTCCGACAAGCGACAATCCAACGACCACCACCCAGCTATCCGGCCAAGTCAGTCAAAATGGTAAGGATACTACCCGGGATACGTCCTGCTCTCCCCTCGAAGCCCGATTATTCGAATTTTCTGTGTTACGAATTGTGTGTGCGGCCGACCTCGAATTCGTCCAATTTCCCGACTTTCGCAAACCACCACCTGATGCACCACCCAACCGCTTGTACTCTACCGACTTCTCAGACCAAGGATATGGACAAGGACGAGGATTGCGGTGGCCAGCTTTCCCACGACCAGGACTGAATTCGAGAATTGCACACAAAATGGGGTCACGCACTGAGATTTCAACAACCCCAGTGCACAACACCGATCCCACGTCAACCAAGTACGACTGCCGCACACGCAACATCTTCGCGACCGCCAGAGATTCGAATCGGACTTCGGAACATGAACATTGACGTCCCATATTATTCGCAAAACATAAGCTCATGACATATCCAGGTCAACATCCCCAAAACCCGCCGGACGTACTGCAAGTCCAAGGACTGCCACAAGCACACCCAGCACAAGGTCACCCAGTACAAGGCTGGCAAGGTACGTGCTATCGAGCAACCTACATCGGACCCCGAACAACAGCTGATACATATGATTGCAGGCCTCCCTCTTCGCTCAGGGTAAGCGTCGTTACGACCGGAAGCAGAGCGGTTACGGTGGTCAGACCAAGCCTGTCTTCCACAAGAAGGCTAAGACTACCAAGAAGGTCGTCCTGCGTCTTGAGTGCACTCAGTGCAAGACCAAGAAGCAGCTCGCCCTGAAGCGCTGCAAGCACTTCGAGCTGGGGTATGTGTTACTTCACTATGTGACTGGTGACCGGTATGCTAACCTACTTCGTTCTATAGTGGTGACAAGAAGACCAAGGGTGCTGCTCTGGTTTTCTAAGTTATTCGATTTCCTTGTTCGGCTTCTGGGTTTCCTGCATTGCACAACGTGTTTCGCTGCTGCGGAGCATATATGACATTGGCAATGGAAAAATGAAATAGGAATTCATCTATTCAAAAACACCATCTATGACTACCGGATTATGAGTTGTTGAATGAACATCTTGCTCCCTTGTAGAGTTGCTCGGCCCGTAGTGTCTTGCCTTGTCGCATCAAATATCTTCAGAGTGCATGTTGTCGTGACATCCAGTTCCTATTCTCCCAGTCTGGCTAGGCCTTCCAGGGTCCACTGTCACTGTTGATGTCTGCGGAGCTCTCTTGAACCTGACTCCACTTTGGAGTATCTTCTGCGACTCGCGCCAATATTAAAACCCGACATGCAATAGCCGGAGGTGCTGGTGTTTGCCCAGACAATCTAGCCCGACTACATAGATTTCTTTCTATTCTTTCTGAGCTTAAGGGCTGGTGCAGGGTCGGGGTCACCCCGAGAATGCACCCCGGACCCAAGCGCCACAGGTGCACGCCCAGCGACGTGAACTCTCGTATCTCCCGCCATCACATTCATGACGCTGATGGAACTGGATCAACTTCCCCCAAGGCTTACCGCTCAGCTGACAGATTCGGTCGAATTACACCCGATAGGCGAGAGTGAAAGTTCAAGCAACGCCAAGACACCATCCCAATCTGGTATCCCGTTCACACCCCGGACGCGCTACTGGCGCCACACTGTCCAGTGTCGCTCTTCGTGGACGAGGTACTCCGTGCAGCGCGGCACCTTATCAAAGCCGTGTCTCGTTGATCGATATCTGCAAGACTCGGCAATCGAGTATCACACCCTGACAACCCTGGGCCCTGGCATCCGTCGTTCCCTGTGGAACCACATTCCAAAAGACACAGAGACTGCTGGACGGCGTAATGGCTAAAAGGGCCAAACAGACCATATATCTGAGTGGCCTGATGGAAAGTTGATCGAGTGGATACCTCTCGTATGCATTTCCCCAGTCTTTGACTTTCCCCGCATCCCCAGAAACAGCCCTCGGTCCTCCTCCGTGGGTTTACTACGTCTTCCCCTTCTGCAGGGTGACCCCTCCTCGGCTAGTCGGATGTACCCCGGTTCCGCATAGATAATAGACCGTCTGGTATCTCGAATGATTGCATTTTGATTTTTTGAAATCAATATACTTTGAGAAATACCTTCAAGATGGCGATGTGGTATGCGCTGGGAATTGCTTTCTTCGCCGCTATCGGCACATTCTTGTTTGTAAGTCGCCCTGTGAGCTGTCTGGGATTTTGAATGGACTAGAGAGCTGATTCTGGTTACCAAAGGGCTTCGATACAGGTATCGCCACAACAAGTGAGTTACACAAGTCCACCTTACGACTCAATCTAACAACCCTCAGCAATTGCCCACCAGAGCTGGATAGATTATATGCAAAAGCCATCCAATGGCCTCACAGGAGCCGTGGGTATCCCCCCAAAAATGACAGTAACCAAGGAACTGAACATCCCAGGTCGTCGCAGTGTATATCGCCGGCGAAGCGCTCGGCGCTCTAACGCAAACCTTCATCGGCGACAAACTCGGTCGTATCCGTTTCATGCAAATGATGTGCATAATCGTCACAATCGGCACCGTCATCCAAACCGCCTCCGTCAACATAGGAATGTTCCTCGCCGGTCGTGCCCTAGCCGGCTACGCAGTCGGGTAAGCCACGCACCCCACCAAACCAACCCCTCTAACATTACTAGTGGCCTCGTCGCAACAGTCCCAATCTACCTAAGCGAGATCTCCGACCCGCGGTACAGAGGCCTAATCGGTGGAATCTCAGGCTGCGGCATCTCCTTCGGAACAATGATGTCGAACTGGGTGGGTTATGCATGCAGCTATGCGCCTTATGGACCTGTGCAGTGGCGTCTGCCATTGGGGATTCAGATTCCGTGGGGAATTATTATGTTCATTGGACTTGCGACTTTTATGCCGAATTCGCCTAGACAACTTATCCGGTCTGGGAAGCTTGAGTTGGCGAGGAGTGAATTTGCGAGGATTCGGCGTGGATTGGAATTGCTTGAGATGGAGGAGGAGTTTGGGCTTATGAAGGCTCAGATTGAGTATGAGATGGAACGGGAACTTAGTTCTTATCGGGAGATCTTTAAAGTGTTTAGGCATCGTGTGCTTGTGTGAGTCTGCTATGCCCTTTTGTTTATGTGCGTTGGCTAACTTTTCAAGCTCTATTGCTGTGCAGACGATGACGAGTTTGACTGGTGTCAATGTCATTCAGTACTATCAGAGTGAGTTCTTGAATCTGTGACAGTTGGTTGGGTTGGTAACTAACGCTGCCATAGCTACTCTGTACAAGAGTCTTGGAATCGGGTCTCATACTATTCTCGCTTTGGCTGCGGTCTATGGCACTGTTGCTTTCGTGTCGAATTCCCTCACCACCAAATACATGACCGATCAATGGGGTCGTCGGAAGTAAGTGGCGTCTTAGTCAATTCCTTACAGGTACTGACAGTTTCAGGATGTTAATTGCTGGATTGGCTGGCATCATCGTGATTGAGATTTATGCAGCGGTGATGCAGAGGTGTTTCCAAAACACGGACAATCGTATCGGAAAGGGATTCGCCATTCTGGGAATCTACCTCTTTGTGGTTTGCTACTGTACGTTGCCAGCCCAGTTGCACTTGAAGCCTCACTAACATCAATCTCCAGACGGTATGCTTAACAGTACCACGTGGCTATACGGTGCCGAGGTACTCCCCATCGCTCTCCGCAACAAAGTCATGGGCATCGCTGCCTCTTCACACTTCATCGTTAATGTTGCTAGTAAGTTATTTTCGCTCTGGACACCACTGTGCTCGAGCTAATTTGTCTCTAGTCACCGAGGCTGGGCCTAGTGCTTTCGCCAATATTCACGAAAACTATTACTACGTTTTCGTGGCATGTTCTGCATTCTTCTTGGCGATTGCATACTTCTATTTCCCTGAAACCAAGCAAAAGACACTGGAGGAGGTGGCTGCTGCGTTCGGAGATCGTGTTGTTGATCAGGATGAGGGTGCCAAGCGTGCCGTTAGTATTGTTGGTGAGGCTCAACATATTGAGTCCACTGACGGCACAGCGAAGGCAGTTTGAAAATCGCCGACATGATGTTTTAGCCTGAGATATTTATAATTGTATACGATTCTCAGGGATGATTAGCTGAGACCGATGGGAATTTTAATTGAAACACCTTTATCAGCAAGTATAACGAACACCTTGGAAACTGGAGAAGAGATGGAAAATAATAAGCAAATTGAGGCTGGAATAGGCACACAAGGTAGTCAAGGTTGTTATTCGGCGGCGGCTTACTAGTGGAGAGGCGGACAAGGTGAAACTTTAGAACTTCCCCAGTGCCAAGAGCCCAGGTCTGATGGTAGGGCGCCCGCAAGTACCTCCAGACCTCCATCGGGGCTAACATTTGGGCAATAACTTTGAAAGGAAGGTGGAGACTCGGGGTATCTAGGTGATTTCTCGCCTGGGCACTACCTTTTCTCAATTTTTTTCTTTGTTTCTATACCGTTTTCTTTTAAAAAAAATCATTTTATGTTGGACATCTATAGGACCCACTTGTATCTAAGCTTTGCGTTCGGAACTTCGGCCCTGGAGGTATTGAACCTGTGGGGTCCATGAGCTTCAGGAAGTCTATAATTATAGGGTTGATGACAGCGAACAACTAGAGCTTTGATAGGAGTGGGGGCTCTGTCACTTAGGCCACCTCCTGAGGTCTGGGAACTATGTACTCGTACGCTGGGCTGCTTTGCATAAAGTGGCGTGATTTGGGCTTCGGGATCAACTGCAAGTTGAGGATCCTTGTGTTCCAAGTATGATTTTACCAGCGTATTCTGCGTGAGCAGCACATTGCAATTCATGTACAGAGTACAGAGCAGGGAGATATTGAACTTTCAAATTGTTTGATGGGCTGAGCTTGGAAGACTCTGGGAAACAAAATTAGATCAGAATACGATGAAGGGTTGCATTGCAACTTTGCTTTTTCCTGTCTTGATCTTGGATCAGGGGTCGGTGTGGAATACATAGCCTAGAAATCTCGATTCCAACTAGTCCGTAGGGTCGACGCGAATCCCAGTCAGGAACCACCAGCCTATGAAGCAAAGCAAATCTCTTTATAGAAAATAGTCCCACGACCAGAATGCTCGAGAAGTAGATTTGGTCGAGCTGCTGCATGACGAGATCACAATTAGGGTACACATCATATCTTGGCCTGTGGCTAAGTGCACCTAGGCAAACCAACAGACTTGGCGGCCCCCTCCTCACTCAGCCCCCAGGCTGTTGAGCCTCCGAGTTTTCTCTCTCAACCTCTCCCTGGGAGGCACCGTGTCGCGACCGCAGATTGAAAATACACGGTCTCGGCTCCAAGTCACCATGGCCAACCTCTGGCTCTCATTACTGTTCATCTCTTTCCTGCGTTTGGTCAGCGCAGGAGAATATACTTTTGCCTTCAGAAGCAATAAAAAAGATTTTCATTACAAAGTTTATCAAGGAAACACACTCAATGTCTGGTGGGATGGTTGGCCAAATGGCCGGATCGCAGAAACAATCGGATCAGAATACGCCGATCTTTACGTCGCGTCATGGAACTTTACCGACTACGAGTATTCTCAGAAACTGACGGGTAAGAGTCAATCTTGTCAAACCCAAAAATATTGAGTTGGTCTGATCAATTAGCTGGACAGCCGATGTGGATGTTTCTTTGTCTGGAACATATAGTTGGGAAATCGATATAAAATCCGATGCCCTGTCGTCGATGCGAAGATACGGCCTTTTTTTCGTCAAGGAGGGGGATGAATACCAAGGAAAACAACCTGAGTCGCTTCATACAAAAGGCTTTATCATCCTCGACATACCGACAGAGTCGTCATCCTCTGCAATGCCCTCATCGACATCTACTCCAGCTGCCACGGGCAGTACCGAGCCAACAAGCCCGCCTACAAGCACACCTACCACGGCGA